CGTCAAGCCCCCACATCACCAGTATCAGGGTCTTCTCCAACCTCTCCCCATTCCCCCTACGGCGTGGCACACCATCTCCTGGGACCACATCACCGACCTCCCCAGGTGTAGCCAGTCTCAGAGCAGGAGATGAGGGTGTTGTCAGGTAGATCATTCTCAGTCCAAGCAGACATGAGCTTCTTGCCAGGCAAGATGACCTGGGGAGGGATAGTTTTGCTGGCCGCGCTGATGGCTTCAATGATGGTGAGGGATTGGCGGTTGGTGGTGGTAGCCACATAAGCAGCCTTCTTGGGGTCCGTTGTATCCATGTGCTCACTCCCTCCAACACCAATCCGGAATCCCACCTCATCCATGTTCCAAATGACGGAAGGCTGAAGAGTGATCAGTGTGTCAACAAGGTGAGATGCATCAGAATACTCACCTGGATGCCATATTTATCTTTCACTTCCATGAGATCCCTGAAGTATTTCACTATCGCCTTCGGCTCTAGAGCAGCGACTTTGGCCAGCTCAATGCTCTTCTGCTTAACGCGCTGGAGACTCTCTGTCCGCTGGTGGAAATGGTCGACCCACTTAGAGCCCACAGTGGGCGCGTTCTCCGCATCTCCATCCCAAGCCTGAGCTATGATTTGGTTGGCTGAATCCTCAACAAGTGCTTTGGTCAGAGGTGTCCCCCAGCTATCCAGGAGACGGATACAGTCCAGCAGTATCTTCTCCTGTGTGTCAGTAAGAGCTTTGTTGATAGGTTTTTTTGCCATGCCTGGACAGAATACCCTTGGTTCGTTTTCGGAGTCGCTTGACAGGCACATCATATTGGTGAGAGAGAGCAGCGAAATTGGGATTTTTCTGCTGGTTTGCAGCGTGTAGGGCCTCTAGAACTCTCGCTTAACCATGGGCCCGGGTATGCTCTAGACCACTTTGATGTGACAAATATCTGTCCATGAGTGTGTGAAACATTCACTGGTCTTTCTGGCACAGATGAGATGCTCACATCAGACACCACTTACATTGGGTATTCACAGTGCATACAGAAACATTGCATGGGGTATCAGTGGGTATATCTATGTTGTACTGCACAAGTACTCTACATTCAAAGACCATTGACTACACCTCTAGTGTTGATTTGCACTTTCAGGAAACTCCAAGGAGGCAGGTGATTCTGCTAGCAATGACAAGGCTGTAGCACTATTGATTTTGTGATTTTCTTGACAAAGACAGAGCAAAAAAAAAACAAAAACAGAGCAGTGGCCAGTTATGTAAGGGGTTAGTTTGGAAATGATCATCATTGTTGGCCCGGAAACCAAGACTCAAAACAAATGGTACTACTTGATGCAGAGCTGGTCTAGTCTTGACCAGCCAGTTCACACCTACTTAGCAGAGCTGCATAGTCAGTAATACACTTACTGTAGGACTGCCACAATGAATGACATTCTGGTGTACATTTCAGAGAGCAGATCCTCCAAGTCGCTGTCCTCCACCCCACCTATGCCTAGCAGCTTGTGAAGCCTCTGACCTTGCTGTACTATGCCCTGTAGCTTGAGTATAGCCAGATCCAGTACCTGTTACAGTCTGGGGCATTGGCTGACTAGCAGGGAATTGTCTCTTGAAGAAAAGGGGTGTTGCAAGGGGGTTGGCACGGCGTAGATGGGAAGGCGCATGGCTTGGGAGGTACGTAGAAAGAAACCACCTCGAAAGGCTTCAGCTGACAGTGATGATACTTGAAAGCAATCACATACCATAAATGGCCTGCCAGAAGACCGACGATGCCACCAAGAGCTTTGGCTGGGCCTCCAGTGAGTAGATCAAGCAGTATCAAAGCGGGTGGATACACTGCGTTGGGTATTAGCCATGCACACGGCTCCTACTATAAGGTGGCACTCACGGCTTGTTGGAAGAGTGAAAAGGCCAAATATGGAGACCCGGACTGTGGGGTTGACCCGGCACCAGACATAAGTCTGAGCAAGAAGCAGGGGCCGGAAGAGAAAAGGGAGGCCAATTGGTATGTTGAACAGCTACGAGGCTAACATCAGTGAGGTCATATCGGTGTGCATGGGATACCACTGACTATTATGAACATGCTTAGCATGACGTGCAGCCATGCATATTCTGCGGTGTCACTCCTGCTGTGACATAAGGTAAGAACAGGCCCTCAAATCGTTGTGATAGTGGTTCACGTACTAGGTCAACGTTTCCATCGCCGACGAGTTCCGATGGATCAGGAAAAAGTCGTATAGGAGTGGGAAGCCACTGCCTACAATGGAGACTATGAGCGGATGTCGCTCTATGATTATATTGCCATCGCATCATACCGCCGTAAAAGAAGCTCGTGAAAGGGCGCCATATCTTTGGGAGCAAGCGGGAGACCATCAGCCTCTACTTTATCGGAGGGTCATTACGGAGGAAGACTCACTTCGAAGCGTCTCGCGACTGGTCCCCAGAACAAGGAGAGCTGTGCGGTGGTTAAGCGGTGCGCTGCAGTATGCTTGGCCTGGCACAGAAAGACCCACAGCAGCAGGGGACGCCAGTCCGAGTAAACAGGGCCTGCTAGAGATGAGCGGACAGCACGGGGGCAGGAAAGAGGACTTGCGCTGTGACGGCGGCGAGGGCGAGGAGAAGGGTGCGGGTGACTGGGGGGACTGCGTGGAACGCGGCGGCGAGGTCGGCCATCGCGTGGGTGTCGCGTACAACGACAGAGCGACAGAGCGTCTATTGAGCGTACAGAGCAGTCGCAGCTGGGAGACAATTCCCGCTCCCCGCCGCTGTGGCAGTCCGCTTTTCTCGCTTTCTCGTCATCGATCTCTCGGCTCGATCCCGCCATGCCCCCGCCAGAGCTGTCTGCCCTCCGTCTCCACCGCCCCCCCTTCGCGACCCAGACCCCAGTCTCAGGGTGGCCGCCCCTTGCTACCGTCAAGCCGTGGCACACAGAGTACACCCTCGTCTTTGTCGTCGACAGAACGCACTCGAGGGTACGTCCACCTTGTCGATTTGCAGCTACTGACCAGATTCTAGTTCCTCTTGGGCCATAAGAAACGTGGCATGGGCTGCGGCCTGTGCGTCAAACTTAGACGACTCCTCGTTCGTCATGCTGATGACTGCCACTGCCAGCTACAATGGGTATGGCGGAAAACCCGAAGCTAGAGAGACAATGTTGGACTGTGCCATCCGAGAGCTCCAGGCATGTCGCGTGTCGAATAACCATATCCGATCTAACATTATTTTTCGCCAGGAAGAGTCCGGGCTAGTTACAAACAAGAATGATATTCGCCTGAAAGGCCTCCTCCTTACAAGTCGCCCCACTTCATCAGATAACGCAGTCAAATCTCTACTGCGCATACACATCTATGAGTGTACGTCTTGGTCTGGAGATCCAATCGAGTGAGTAGATTTACCCAAGACTGTTCACATGCCAACTGCCATGTGATGTGATTGTAGGACCGAAGAGATGGCTCCAGAGTGGTTCACTCAGGACAACTTGCCCCTCGAGAGGATGGTCAGTCCGCGTCTCTTGTATGAAGCCCAAATTCTGTCTAGCTGACTCGATTGCCTGACTATCAGTGGCCAGAAGCTCGGAAGTATGTACCGGTCGTACTCGACTCCATTCTTCACGGCGCTTCCAGCGATCTCTTCCTTGCTCGAGTCGACTACGCGTATCTCACCGCGGAATCGGCACCCACTGCTCTTCCACCACTGCACGGCCAGAGTGTACTATTAGCAAGATGCTGAGATTGCGAGTCAGCCTATGGAGAGGCTGAGTGGTTGGTATATGACTTTTACAGGAGCAGACAATCTTTTGAAATTCAACACCACTGTCGGATAGACCTGACAGGCACAACAGCATATATATCATTACATGATGATGCATGGCTTTTTCTTCTTCTAACCATTCTTTGAAGCACAGAGCGAACCTTATAGTAGACTGTGGCAGCACTTGTATTGTCTTCTTCTCCATGTCTAAGCGTACAAACTGAGTCACGCTGTCAGTAGTATTCCCAAGACCCCTCATGTCCACTTACTCGTCGTCGTCAGCCTCGTTCTGGAAAGTTGCACCAGTGTTTTCCGCAGCCTCGCCGCTTTCTGGGAACTTGAAGTTGTTACCAAAGCTTCTAGACTGTTGGAGAGTCGTGCTGAACATCTCGTAGCGACGGATGTCGGCATCCGAGACGGAACGCCTGGCGTATCGCATAGCTTCCTCAAAGTGGTCACTAGAGAGAAATATAAGCAGAAAGCATAGAGCGTACAGGCCTTTGCAACTTACACAGTGATGGCAGGCACCTCATCGTCCTCGTTCTCCTCCTCGCCCAAGAGGTCAACATCCTCTCCAGCTGCCTCGGCCTTCTCCTTCCTGTCCCTTTCTCTGCGGATGTCGTAGTCGATGCTCTCTCTGATGGCAAGCTTGGCAGCACGCTGACAGATTTCAGTGAGATCGGCACCAGAGAATCCGGCAGTGTTCTTGGCAAGGAAGTTGAGATCCACACGGGGATCGATAGGGGACTTGCGAAGAGTGGCCTTGAGGATGGAAAGTCGGGATTCCTCATCGGGTAAGGGAATGTAGATAAGCTGGTCAAGACGTCCGGGTCGGAGAAGCGCGGAGTCGATCTGGTCGGGTCTGTTGGTGGCACCAATGATGAAGACGTCTGCGAGGCTTGTCAGTCATAACTCATCCGCCAAGTATACAATGCACGCACTCTTCTTGGCGTTCATGCCGTCCATTTCCGTCTAGAAAGCATGATCAGCTGCCATTCTCTGTGAAAACGTCTAGCTTACCAAGATCTGGTTAAGGACTCGGTCGGAGGAACCGCCACCGTCACCGGAAGAGTTGCCTCGAGACTTGGCGATGGAATCGAGTTCATCAAAGAACATGACACATGGCGCTGCAGCTCTAGCCTTGTCAAAGACATCACGAACATTGGCCTCGGACTCTCCGAACCACATGGTCAAAAGCTCGGGGCCCTTGATAGAGATAAAGTTGGCTTGGCATTCGTTGGCAATACTACATATCATCAGCAGCATCCCAGCGCAGACATTACCCAGACTTACGCCTTGGCCAAAAGAGTTTTACCGGTACCGGGAGGTCCATAGAAGAGCACACCCTTTGAAGGAGACATGCCGTACTTGAGGAACTTGTCGGGATGCTCGACAGGATACTGAACAGTCTCCTGCAATTCGCGCTTGACCTTGTCCAAACCACCAATATCGTTCCAAGTGGTGGTCGGGATCTCGACCACGGTCTCTCGCAAGGCCGATGGGTTGTTGACTCCGAGAGCAAAGCGGAAGTTTTCCATAGTGACACCAAGGGAGTCAAGCACTTCGGCATCGATAGTGTCCTCGTCAAGGTCGATGAGGTCCATCTTCTCTCGAATTTGCTGCATAGCAGCTTCGGAACAAAGAGAGGCCATATCAGCACCGACGTAGCCATGGGTATCGGCAGCAATCTGCTCAAGGTCGACGTCGTCGGAAAGCTTCATGTTCTTGGTGTGGATACGGAGGATCTCGAGTCGACCGGTGGGATCAGGGATACCAATGTCAACCTCCCGGTCGAATCTGCCGAATCGACGAAGAGCAGGGTCAATCGAGTTGGGTCTGTTGGTAGCAGCCATAACGACAACGTTGGAACGAGCCTTCAGCCCATCCATCAAAGTCAAGAGTTGAGAGACAACTCGTCGTTCGACTTCACCGTTGGCCTTCTCACGCTTGGGGGCGATAGAGTCGATCTCATCGATGAAGATGATGGAAGGACTGTTCTTTTCCGCTTCCTCAAAGGCCTTTCGAAGGTTCGACTCAGACTCTCCCGCCATCTTGGACATGATCTCAGGTCCATTGATGAGGAAAAAGAAAGCACCAGTCTCGTTGGCGACAGCTCGAGCCATGAGTGTTTTACCGGTACCGGGGGGACCGAACATCAAGATACCACGGGGAGGCTTGATACCGATGGCCTTGAAAAGCTGAGGGTGACGCAAAGGAAGCTCGACCAGCTCTCGAATCTGGGCAAGCTGCTTTCTGCAACCGCCCAAGTCATCGTAGCCAACGGCATTGAGGTCGGCCTCTTCGGCTTCACGGTCAAGGGCGTCACCTTCGGTGTGGATGACAGTTTCGGAAGCAACGATCTGTGATTCTCGGTGAGATACGACCCAATCAATAAGCACGATGACCTACACAGTAAGGTGAGGGGTCCACCTCAACAACCTTGAAGTCGACAGTTCGCATACCACCTCGAACCTGGAAAACATCACCTATTGATAATGTCAGCGGTATGACGCAAAGCTAGATAGGGTAAGCCTTACCCTTTCGGACGGGTCGATAAGCCTCCAAGAAGTAAGGCTTCAGATACACGTCAAACAAATTGCCGGAAAGACCTAGTATTGTCAGCGGACAGACACGTGTACCTTCAACGACAAGTATAACTGACCTTCAATGGAGTCAGAGAAGGGAAGGATATGAATACGCTTGCCGTACTTGATGTCGTTGGCGGCAGAGACGTGAACTAGGTCGCCGAGCTTGATGGCACAGTTTGCTCGAGCCACTGATATCGTTAGCCAAGTCAAGCTTCGAAAGACTCACCCTTGTTCATGGCGACCTTGCCCTCCTCGATATCATCCTGACTCAGGCAGATGAGAACAGTGTCCCTTCTTCGCTTTCCGCGGACTGAGAGAGGTCAGATACAGTTTCGAGGATCGGCGTTCTGATACTTGCCGATAACAGTGTCACCTCTGGGATCGTAAGTCAGTCATGATGTTGGTCCAGCTGGACATGTCACTCACCGGAAGAGACCAAGGGCCTCCATGGTATTGGGGTGCAAGATGGCAACGCTGTTGTCATCGGAAGGGCTCTCATCTACGGCAAGGCGGTTGGGGCTAGTGCGCTGCTCAGCGTTTGACCTCTCGGCTGATCAGACAGACTCACGATCGCTTCTGCCTGAGAATGGCAGTAGCGGTAGATTCATCCTGAGCAGCCTACAATAGAGTCCGGTCAGTTGCGGAAGGGCGGGGGAGCGGGGGAGCGGGAGGGGGGGGCGACGAGGCATACCTTGGAGGGGTCGTCGGCCATTGTGGACAGGGGGGTGGATAGGGGTAGGGAAGATGGGAAGAGAAGAGAAAGAGAAAAGAAAGAGAAAGAGATCCGCGATGGATGCTCGCCCGCGACCCGCTGGGCGATGACGAAGTGTTGTTACAGGGGGACCCTTTAAGTCGCCTCCAGGTTTCCTCGTCTTTCCCTCACCTTCTAGGCTTCTGTGCTGTACCCGGAGTCGTACTGTGCATGCAGGTCTTTCCCGCTTTATGCATGTGTAAGCAGTCTGCCTGCCACGCACGCCTACTGCTTCTTCCCTTGGCTCCTAGTATATTCGTGACAAGCACCACATGGTCAGGTGAGAACAAGTATATTACAACTATGGATATGTGCGTAGTCATCAGATTGCAGAGTATAGTATCTCGGATATATTTGCCATCCGGGCGAAAGAGCGCCGGTCCTTACAACAATTGACTCAAAGAGGCGCAGAGCGAGCTCGGTCGGATTGCTTTCTTAAATCGTGCTCTATAGTCCGAGGCCGGAAAGGCGCACGTTTCTCGACGGGGGCGAATGCGAGGCGAGGCGAGGCCCACGCCTGACTGCTGTAAACAGACTTGTAAGATGGGGGTGAGCTCCGGCCGATGTCAGGTGGTCGTGTGGGCGTGATGGGTGTTCTGCTGAGATCAAGCACTCAGCGACAGTCTGAGCGAACATCTGATGACTTACATGATGGATTCCGCGTCTTCACCCAACCCTGGCTTGGTGGTGGCGCTCTCCAGGAACCGTGCAAAGGGAGCGCGAAGGGATGTTCGAGGTAGTACTAATAGGCAACAGGCTGCCGAGAGCTGCGAGAGTATCGGTGGTTAAGCTGGCTCAACTTTTGTGAGACTTTACTTACAAAGTAGCATACCAGTTGCCAGCTCAACTCTAACAATGCAATCATAGCGCGTATGACGAACCCCAATACCCAATCGTGGTCTCTGCTGACTGATAGTATTGAGGGACCTTGTTGTAAAATGTCAATCGTATGACATGGGCACAAGTCTTGTCTGACACTCACCAGAGATCAATGACACTCGCGCCCCCCATCTTTTCAAGATGCTCGTCCAACTCCGGATCCGTGCCTCGAGCTTTTCGTCCAACAAAGTAAGTTTTTCACTTGTTCTATTGAGGCCTGCCGCCAGATTTTCAAGCCTTTGGCTGCTGAGAGCAAGGCTTGCAGCGTTGTCAACATGCAAGGTGTTTGTGTGGAGAGCGAGTTGCAGGGAATGACCGAGGGCTTGTTCCATTTCAAGCACGTTGCCGCTCATCGCTTGCAAACCCTATTGTACGTCATGTCAGCAGTCTTCTTCGTACATATTCCTGACATACATCTTCCACTTGGCCCACAAACTGCAGTAAAGTACCCCAAGAGCTTGCCATGGTCTCCTGAGACGGGGACGATTAGCCTGATCCGGTGAAGAAAAATGCAGAAATTCACATAGTGGCTGGCTTGCTGCTCGGCAAGGCCGACTGTCCTGTGATGCACTTCTTTTTGAATCGCAAGCATCATAGCTCCAGCATGCTCGTGCTGATGTCGCAAGTCGGATTCATGCTGGAACTGCCGTCAGCCGAAAAATCAGATTTGATATAGACCCAGCAGCCTTCTCGCCTTGTTCAAAATGTCATCAAGTTGACCCGAGAGCTGAGCATCATGAGCTTTGGCTTTTATCTATAGTTTGCTCTACAACTCACTTGATCGCGGAGCTGGATTTCAGTACGTGTAAGGTAAGTCTCGACGAAAGACGTTGTTGACTCGGTCTGGGTACGGATAGCCAGCTCTAAGCTTTCCAGCAGATCGCGTTTGCCCACTTGAATGTCGGAGACGCTTGAATGAAGCAATTTTGACAGATGCTCGTGTTGTAACAGACTATATTGCACGGCTTCGGCGGCCGAATGCATCACCGATGCAGTGTGCTCGAGTTTCTGGTATCACCGCACTCCCTTGAGAAAGGTAACTCGAGTCAAGTTTAAATTGACTCACTGACTGTTGATCGCCTAATACGCCCTCAAATCTGGCGTCTCTATTCTTTCGAGCTTCGCTTTGTAGATCGAGCTTCCTCAAAAAAGACATCTGCCCCGATGTAGCGTTCACATAGAGCTGACGAACAAGCTCGTTGTCGTGCTCACCTCGCAGGGCGTGGCACAGCTGAGCTGAGGAACTTTTCAGCAAGCATTTGTGCGGTGAAAGTTGCGGTATACTCACAGGCATCGCTCAAGAACCCGTTATAGCTGGTCCAATCCTGAGGGCTGCGGTGAAGTGCGCTACAGAACCAAGCGAGTCAATCAATTGTAGCTGATCACGTCCACTCCCTACTCACCTCAAACAAGAACGTTGCTGATCTTCCTCCACTTCTGACCAGCGCCAAAACGTGTAGACAGTCGGTACTGATCCCGCTACGCCATCTTCGAACGACCACTTGGAGCATTCTGAAGGTATCGGTTGCAGGGCCGAACGCATCGAGCACGCAGTAAACGATATAGCGACTGAACCCATCAATCAGTTAGTCAGCCATCGAGTTCAACACTGAGCGAGTACACCCACTATCACGCTTATCTTTCTCTGCCAGATACTTCCCCTCGCTGGTGCCACAAGCGCTTGGGAGACTAGCCGCAATGTATGAATGGCATTCGGAGCGGGTGACGGAGCGATATAGAGCTGTTGTGATTGTCAACATAGAGACTCTTTGGGAGCCGGAGACGCGCTGACCTGTGTCTCCCAGCATTTGATGGATCATGAGCTCAGAGGGTTGCTCAGGCTTTATGTCTAGATGCGGGCGGCAAGCGCGTCAGTCGCTCTGCTCACAAAAAATGCGCCCAGGGAGTGGTTTACCTTGATGCCTGGCGTCGTATGCTTGGTGTGAGGGCACGGGATTCCGAGCTTGAGCCAGGACAGCGGCGGCCAGCGGCAGAGCGAGTAGCAGCAAGCAGCGCATGCTGTCCGTCTGCAGCGCGAGCATGTTGAGATGCAGAAGGAAGGTGGATGTGCAGCGCGACTTGAGAGACGCGTCGGAAACGCGGTGATCCGAGCGTCGTGTGGTTGACCGGACTTGCCCACAATACTTGCGCAGCGGCAGGAAGCTCGAGTCAAGGTGCTCCTAGAGGGCGGGATGGATGGCCGGCGATGCGTCTTGCATGACTCGGGCTCACTGGCAACCCGTCTCCTCTCCGGCCCACTACCCTACCTTTGCCTTTCGTTGACGTCTCTTCTTCGGCGCTGATCTTGGGGAGAGCTGCCGCGGGCACCAGAGTGCATTAAGGAGGACCATATTCGTTATAACCAAGATCGTCATATCATCTAAACAGATACGCCCAAGGGCCAATCCTTCTTCAGAAGCCACTCTCCATGCGGGCCGAAACGCGGATTGCTCTTGTAATGTTGTCCATCTCCAAGGGGCTTGCCTATAGGAACTGATGATGAATCAGCACATGCACACCAATGCTTTGACACGACAAGCTTACAAATCCACCCAAGAGGTCCTGGTCCCATCTCCTCTCGCCACATGTCCATCTTTCCCCCAAACTTCCATCTCTCATCCACCGCCGTCCCTCCCCACTCTTCCTTCCACCGTTTTCTCACCTTTCGCTTCTCCAGATTGTGCCACAGGTACCCATACTCTTTCTGCAAGAGGGAGTTCTCTCGCTCGAGCTGGTCTCTCGAGGCATAACTCTCAACTGTTGTGCGCCCACTCGTTATGAGCATCACATGGGTGATAAACATGGTGATAGTGAACAGCCCGAACAGGCCAGACCTGTACAGATATGTCAGACTGCTACACACTCGAAATGAGTCCTACACTGCTTACACGACTACCAGAGCAACTGTTTGTCCGTCAATGCCGCTAGTCTTGGAAGCAGTGATGATGAGCAAGAGCATGGTAAAGAGGCAATAGCAGCCTGTCCAGAAATTGAAGATGACAAAGAACTAGAGATGCGTGAGTGCATTTCTCATCGAGCACGGTTGGCTCCGCGCACCTTATGGTTGGCCCATCCGACGCATTGTCCGACCCACACACAGTGGTCTATCGACTGTGTCAGTGCTTTTCGAGATGTGGTCAAATTACTACAGACGATCGTACTGTTGAACGCATGTCCCACAGTGGCGACAGTGGTGAGTTCTAGACGGCTTGACGATCTCGCAGTAGCTGCACCACTTGGGGACATACTCCACGTACGGAAGCGGTCTTGGAACCTGCCGCCAATCCTTCACGCCTTTGGGTGGCATTTGCACCATCGGGGCCGAAGGTCTAGTGGTATCTGCAGAACCGTTATGCGATGTCCACCGATGGATCGTTTGGGAAGCCAGGTTGAACGTGGGTGCAAGCGTAGAGGGGTCTGGTGCATTGTTGTTGTCTGCGACGGGGACCGGGGAAGTGGAACGGGGTGGGGGGTAGTCGGCAGGATCCGGCGGCGGAGATCTATTGACCCGCTGAGAGGTGTCAGGAGTACTCTTGTTGAGCATGTTCCATGCTCACGTCTTTGGCAAATCCAGGCGGGGTGGTAATAATCTGTTTAAGGTTCAGCCCGGTTCCATGTAGACTACGATTGCACTGACCCGGAGATAAGTCCAGATGAACATGAGCCACAATACAACAAAGGCAGCAAGCGTTCCAGCTAGACAGCACGGTCAGCACTTATTCCCGGGTGAGAGGTATTTGACAAACCCCCGGGGCTACGTCCTATACCGGAAGACGACACCTCTCGAATCATCGGCGTGCACACCCGCCCGACCACGACATAGAAAGACCATATGGCCAGCCCAAACACGATACTACGAAAAGTGTTAGTCAATGGGATACCGAGCGAGTGAGAGCACATACAAGACGGCACATTTACGGGATATCCATGGACCCTTTTGGTCTGGTCTGGGATGGCACATCGCGTGCGTGGGTGTGCTGTTGCGGTGCTTGTGCTCTGTCATATCTGAATTGCTGGGAAGATGAAGAGGCGGGGCATGGCTATCGGCCGCCATGTATAGGTTGCAGCGCGTTCAAGGGATCAACAACACGACCACGATGCTTGACACGATTTGGACACGATGAAATGTAACAATTGATTACAAGTCGCAAGACTACACGTCACGACTTCATGACCACCACTTGGCCCTTGGGTGATTGGGTCAACCGTCACAGATTCCGTTGTTTCTTCGCTTGCATCTCGCATCCACCCACAAATCACTCAGTCAATGTCCGCAAAAGTATACCTCGGCCGCCTCCCCCCAGGTGGGCTCACAACATATTCCGGGCGTGCAGGCACTGACCCATCACCCCAGGCGTGCAAAAAGGCGATGTCGAAGACGTGTGTCTCGGTATGACAGCATCCCCAGGCCCAGCTCACATCTTGTAGTACTTTAGGGACTTCCGTATCAGGGACATTCGCCTCATGGATACGTTCGGATTTGTTGAGTTTGATCAGCCTCGAGTAAGTCACAACATCTTTGCAGGGCGTGTCATGTCGCTCAAGTCTGGCCCAGGACGCAGAAGACGCCATCCGAGACTTCAACGGCAGGCCTTTGCTCGGCACCAAGTCAGTCCCAGTCGGCTACTCGATATATCTGCTTGCTTACCAGCTGTAGTATTTCCGTGGAACCCACGCGTGAGAGGAGGCGCGAACCCTTCGACAAGTGAGTCGATCGCGAGCGCCAAGATGATGCGAGGTTGCTGATTTTGGCTCCAGTCGTAGTGCTCCTCGAGCTGCTCCCCGTCAAGGTGTCCGAATCAGCGTTACTGGGTTCACGGGAACTACCAGCTGGCAGGTGCGGTCGCTTTTATTTCTCTTTTGGATTTTCATGGCCGGCCGTCAATCGCGGGATTCCCATCTATGGCATCACTGGGAACAGACATCCTTCTGGAAAATCTCGTGATGGAATTTCGGGACGCCAAATAACGAAGCCGATTTTTTTGTACGAGCTCGATACACAGGCGACCGCAGATGGGCTTCACTTGTCGCAAGGAGATGCTTTTCGATCGATCGACGTCCTAACACCCCCTCCAGGACCTCAAGGACTATGGCCGTCTTGGCGGAAACAACATCATCTACGCCGACGTCGACAAGTACAACCCTGGTAAAGGGTGAGTCTGACCTATCACTGATTTGATGCCTCGTTGACTGACTTTTGTGCAGCGTGATTGAATATCCCACCATGGAGGAAGCCACAGAGGCTATCACCCGCCTTGCCGGCGTCGATATCAACGGCGCCCCTGTCACCCTCGAGATCGTAAGCAAGCACCCCTTCTGACCTCGCTGACAAATCAGATGTCTCCCGACTCTTATGAGCGCAGGCCTACCTACGACCGTCGACCCCCTCGCGAGCACTACGAGGACCGCCGCCCCCCTCGCGAGCACTACGACGACCGCCGCCCTCCCCGTGGCTACAACGACCGTCCTCCTGTTCGTGACTCGCGGGACTATTACGACCGCCCCCCTAGGGGCGACCCCTACGAAGACCGTCGACCTAGAGGCGACTACTACAATGACCGCAGGGAGGACCGTTATGCCAGAGAGCGGTCTCCCCGTCGGGACTATCCTTCCAGGGATGACTACACGGCCAGGGACAGCTATCCTGCCAGGGAAGACTATCCAGCAAGGGAGGACATTCCGGCTCGGAACGATGCCCGCAGGCGAGACGATGATAGGAGACACGATGATAGGAGACACGATGACGACAGGAGGCGAGAGGACGTGTAAGTGACGAATCTGCCATGGTTACTTGGCGCTATACTCACTATAGTCCAGGCGACCTGCAACGGATGCTTGAGGTAGATAGTTCTATGGGGCTGTTACATGCACTTGTCTTGAGACGTTGACATGAAGAGGGCATGCATCAATTGGATATAACTCATACAGTACTCGTACTCGTATCGAAAACCGACGGCCGACGTGCCTGGTCATACATACGTTGCGTTCGTGCGCTGCGCTCAGCTGCATATGTATCATTTCGAACTTGTCCTTGCTGGTTGCTCTTGTCCTTCGTCCCGTCCCCCACGCACCCCGGCCTGTGTCTCTCCACCTAGTAACATGCCCCCCCCACTCGCGGACCCCTTCTCGGCGTCCTCCAAGCCCATGCCCATGATTGATAGCCTCCCCCGCCTTCCCCTCCAATTCGCGGCCACGCTCCACCCCATCGATCCCAACACTTCCCTTCCGACTCGCGCATCTCCCCGCCCCCGACTTCAGAGAGATCCTCTGCCGCCTGCTCCACACATTCCGATGTATCACCAAAGCTTCTCACCGAAAGCGCCGCCCACGAGGGATCTGAGAAATCTCAAACTGGAAGAGGCAAGGGTGGGGAGCGACGCGTGGATTAGCAAGTGTATCGCTGGATGTATGGATAAATCATCACCGGTCCTAGAGTTCACGTGAGTGCCCAAGTCACCCGGCTCGCCGTTGTAGAGTATAGCTAAACACCGCCCCAGAGGTATCGGCCTAGAGACCTTGTCTACCAGGATAGTCGAGATGCGCGACATTGTCACCATTAAACTTGCCTATTTCGGACCCCGCTCTCCTGTCACTACATTGTCCAAAGACCACCAAGCGGCGCAGCAATCAATAGGCCACGGCCGGCCGGCTGGTTTTGGGCGGCCAGAGTTACGAATCAGTTCGGCACCAGCTGCGATGGGAATGCGCAATACACGCGCACCGCAAACGCCGCAACGAACTGGGGTTGTCCGATTTGATGGCCTACCTACACCAGCCGAAGAAGAGGGCGAGGATGCAGCGATCCCGCCCCAGCGATTTGCCAGACAAAGCCCTATATCTAGAAGTGTTACGACCATGAGCCCAGGTAGCAGCCAGCCCAACGCCGAGATATTTGCTGGTCAGAACAGGTTGACTCGGTACGTCCGGTAGCCATTGGGGTTGATCCAATTGCTTATTACTGGTCTCAAGATTGCCTTCGGCACTGTTCGAGGTTGTAAATATATCAGTACTATCCCTGCGGGGAAATCGACTGCAGGCCTTGCCAGCAGCTATCGGTAGCCTCATAAATCTCAAAGACCTCAATGTAGCCAACAACTGCATCGTACGTTTATCTGCTTTCCTCCAAACCACCATAGCTGAACAGCAATATAGACCGAGCTGCCACACACCGTCCTTTCTCTGGAAAGACTCGAACTCTTCTACGCCCACCCGAATCCATTCCTGGAAAAAGATTCAGCCGGCCTCATGTCACCTCTAGTGCGCCATTGTGAGGCGCCCGTCCGAAGCTTGCGGGACATGTGTTTATCTCTTCTGATTACACCGCGGAAACCGCATGACCTCCCTCCATTGCTAGACCGATACGACTGGGAAGAGTTTGGCCATAGCAAACCTCATCCCCTCCTTGACCCCGCGGCCCTCCAAGCGTCCATCCCGTGCATTTTAGAATCGACGCACAAACGCATTCTACAGCTCCTGCGCAGCTTTAGCAATCAATTTCATTACGCCAACGGACATCAGCGTTCGTGGGATCTGGACCGGATAGACCCCTTCCCCCGAGGCGGTGATGCTCCAGATGACGATGCTTCTACCAATCCCTATTATGATTTCTGCCCTTCTCCTCGCCATCTTGAGAGTGATCTTGTCCCCACTCGGCACTTAATCTTGCACCCGGCAGAGGAGAGGGTGGAGTGGAGGGATTTTGCCGGGCAAAAGAACCTGCCGATACGATGGAAAGGGTGTTCACCTGGATGTCTGGCCTTTCTCGAGCAGGAATGTGAAGAGATCGAGGATGGATTTGACGCGGCTGTCATCGGAGACGGGGACGTGATGTTCTGATGTGTATAGTTATATAAATGCTGCCCGTTTCGGAGTCTTTTCCTCCCTGGCTTGTGGGGATCCTGTATATCTATGCTATGCTTTCAGGAATATACGCACGAACGACTATGGCCGGAACTGACCGAGTGATGCTCAAATCTCGCAAATAGCCGAACAAGCTCACCTGTAAATAAGCAGGCGAAAGCCCGAAAGCAAGATAAGAGAATTGGCGATTTGATCCATTTCCCGGCGCGACTTCGTAAAAACGGTTCTGGAATTCACATCTTGATCTGCTGCATCAAAATTCAAATCTGCCACTCGGGGCCTCGGGTCACTCGGGTGCAATTGAATCTGCGGGTGCGTCGAGTCATGCGGCAGGATAGCGAGATAGCGAGAGAGCCGTGTTATCTTGTACATATCTTTCCAGCGAAGCCACAGCACGCGTACAACGGCTCATCACTTCGTCCCCGTCCAGTACAACAGGCCTCACCAACATTCCTCGGACTGTCTTTCCGACCACACATCAGCCAAGGTTACCTCGTTGAAAGGTCTTCGATTTGCTGTTGCAAATCACATATTAGGATCTGCGCCTTCGGTTCACAAGGATCGACTACCCCAGAGTGCTCGACGACTCGATGCCCAATAGAGAGCTGGATCACTTACTATCCGTACTCACCGCTCTCTAATCAAGATGGCGTTCTCAGCCGCAGGGGTCATGATATACAAGGGTTGGTCTGCCTTTCCCATGCCATGGGGTGCATACTTACCTTTTGTTCCAGCGTTTGCGCCAACCCTCAAGATGATCATATGCATCGCCGTCGGCTATATGATTACGAAACAGGGTATCTTTGCGCCAGCCAATGCTAAGGGTGTCAGTATCCTCAGTCTGGTAAGTTGGTGTTCAGCATCTCCGACCACCTTTTTACCTCCACTCTAGAACGTCGCCCTTCCGGCCTTGATCTTTGGCTCTATGGTCTCCGCTCTTTCAGTGGAGAACGCTCCTGCTATGGGGCCGCTTGTCCTTGTTGCTGTCATATATCAGATTCTTGGATTCATGTTTGCGTGGCTGATCAAAGAGCTCTTTTACGTTCCCGTCGACTTTCGATACGGTATCCTTGTCGTAAGTCTTGCTAGTATGAGCGCCTGTCGAGTCCGAGCTGACCTAGTCGCTGTAGATGGGAACAGTTTCCAATTGGGGTAGCGTCTTGCCGGCACAACAAATCATGGCAAAAAAAAAACTGATTATTCCATAGGCAATCTACCCACTGCGATCGTGCAGACCATGGCCAAGTCTGCGCCTTTCGACCCTGATACGGACACAGAGCTTGGAGTCGCATATATAGCGTACGTTCCCTCCTCCAAGCCAGGCCGTTGGCTGACTCTGTACACAGGGTCTTTGTCTTCATCATGAATCTGACCCTCTTTCCTCTGGGTCTCCACAAGGTGCGTGTATTCTACCTTGTGGCCAGCTCAGACTGATTCGGTTTCGCAGCTGTGTGCGTGGGATTTTCGCGAAGAAAACCTGACAGCCGGCCCCCCTCTGCCACGAAGAGAACGCTGGCGCCAACGTCTCCAGTTCATCAGAGGAGTGTTCAAGAAGGACCGCCCCACCAATAGCGACGCCGGGTCAAACAAAGGCAAAGTCAAACTATCAAATCAGTCAGCTGAACATCTCCACAACCAAAAGAGGGGATCACGAGACAGCGAGGTGTCTTCTGCAGATGATGAGGAGCGAGGCGAAAAGCTGGGAGAGATGGTCAATCGGGCTCGTTTTGCTGGCGGTGCGGAGTTTGCCCGAAAAAAGTCGCGCGCCTCGTCTTTCCACTCTATGATGGAAAGCACTCGACCCATCCCAGCCACTGCTCCTCTCGATGCTAGCGGTATCGCCCAACCATGCTTTTCGCCGTCGGGCGAGAATACTAATCAGCTCCTCCCCGTGTGTTCCACGCACGCAGAGACCTATCGCTATCACCACCCAGTCACACCTGCTGCCTCGACGCGTAGCCCAACGTGGGGTCAAAGGATCAAATCTCTCGCAATTGCCATCTTTACGCCCTTGACGTTGTCCATCATTTTGGGCATTATCTGCTCAGTTATCACGCCAGTAAAGGCCCTTTTTGTGGATGTGGACAACTGGTCGGGGAATGGCATACCCTATGCCCCCGATGGTAACCCTCCGCTGTCGTTCATCACCGATACCGCAACCTTTTTGGGTGGCATGTCAATTCCCGCGGGGCTAGTCCTACTTGGGGCTAGTTTTGCGAGGCTGAAGATGCCCAAAAAGTGGAGTGACCTCCCTATAGCTGCTATCGTGGTAAGTGGGCGTTTGCTATCAATGACAGAAGATACTGACGTTGTGCGTCATCAAAGGCCATGACCGTTTTCAAGAGTATCTTATTCACCTCGGGTTGATGACGTTTGCTGACAACATCAGTGATTCTTCTCCCTATATTTGGAGTGTGAGTCTGTTTAGCAATTCGCCTACCATCGTGACTGATCGCCTCACAGTTTTGTGGTTCAGGTCATGCGAGACAACACCACTATGTATCCTGCAAAAGACAAAAGTACTTGAAGCTGGGTGCCATCTGCCGACTGTCCCTGGCTGACCAGCGATAGTGCGAACCTTTGTATCCATACTGGTGGCTTCGACCCCCAGCTCTGTCAATCAGCTCGTGATCACTCAGCTTTACAACCCATTGGGATCAGCCGATACCCTCTCATGTTTCTTGGCGTTGCAATGTAAGCCCTGCTGTCTAAGGCCTGTCTTTCATCAGCCTAGGTCAAAATGTACTGATGTCATGTCCAGATGCGCTCATGCCTGTTCTATCTACGTGAGGCAATCGTCAGTATCGCTATCCTCTATCACTGACATTTATATAGCGGCTTGGCAGCTATAGCACTGTACATCACGGAGCAACAGTAAGCCTTGTCTGAGACAAGCACGCACAAGCTAGACACATAGATGGGTCATTGTTTACTCTACACATTGTCATAACAATATATCAAGTTGTCAAAGTACCTCTTCATAATCATATGCATACTCGAGTACATATAGGGTGGTTCATGCGCGGCGCAATCTTGCCCCCCCTTTTGTCCGGGGGCCGTCACGCTGTTTGGATCGAGTAGTGGCCTCGATCTTCTGCCAAACCTCGCAAACGCATCCAAAACCACCGACATGATGTCCTTCCGGGGCATGGGGGGCCCTGCCACAGCGCCGAGATCTGTGCGCCTCCAGCTTACAGCGCTGCGAGGAAAATCTTCCTCCGCCAAGTGCCACTTCCATCGCGCTATCACGACCACTGCCCTCCCTGCCGCCCCCTTCGCCCCGCATTATCGCCCTCTCGGCATCCGCCAGAAGCCCTTCTCTCTCCTCTCTCCTGTTTCTCTTCGACGCGGCTTACACGACTCCAAGCTTCGTCCCCTGTTGCCTCCCCGAGCGGCCAAGCGCGAGCGGCGTCTACCAAATCTCCGCAACCTCGCCGTCATTCTGGGGCTTCTGTCACTGCTTTACTACACCTATCCCCCCTTCCGCCACTCTCTCATTGCTGTGGTTCGATGCGCTCGCGTCATGGAAGCAGTGACGGCCGACGTCTTGGACTACAAGAAAGTCTTTGCGGTTGAAGATCAGCTTGCAGCTCTAGGCAGAGAGTTGACGGAGGAAGAAGTGGAGAAAAAGAGACAGGCGCGAAGAGAATGTCACACACGAAGTGCAAAGAGGATGCTGGCGGCGCTGGATAAAAACTCGGGCATCTACGTCAAACTCGGCCAGCATGTGGCGGCTGTCCAGGTTTTGCCAAAGGAGTGGACCGAGACGATGCGGCCCCTGCAAGATCAGTGCTTCCCTACGCCTTTGAACAAGACGAATGATATGCTTCGAGAAGACTTGGGAGAGGGTATCAATGACCTCTTCACCGATTTCGATCCCAACCCCATAGGGGTGGCCTCGCTCGCCCAAGTTCATCGGGCTGTCGACAAACGATCCGGCAAACCAGTCGCCGTCAAAGTACAACACGCCGCTCTGCAAGAGTTTGCGGCGGTGGACATGGCGACCGTCAACTTTGCCATTCGCTTTGTCAAATACGTCTTTCCCGAGTTCGAGTTCAGCTGGCTGGGGGGCGAGATGAACGAGATGCTTCCCCTGGAGATGGATTTCCGTCACGAGGCCGCAAATTCGTCAAGATGCAAGGGCGAGTTCTTGCATCTCCGGGGGAAAACCAGTCTCTATCTGCCGAACGTGCTGTGGGCCGAGAAGAGGTGTATGGTCATGGAATACATTGAGGGTGCCAGAGTCGACGATTTGGTCTATCTCAAAAAACACCATATCGACCGCAACCAAGTAGCCCAAGAGCTCTCTCGTATTTTCAGCCAAATGGTCTATTTGAACGGTCATTTCCATGCCGATCCCCATCACGGTAATATCCTTGTTCGGCCCAAAGCACCGGGGTCTACTTCCCCGTTCAATTTCGACATTTGTCTTTTGGATCATGGGCAGTACTTTGATATCCCAGATGATTTGAGAGTCAATTACGCCCATTTCTGGTTGTCCCTCATCAAGTCGAGCTCGGAGAAAACGATAGCGGAAAGGAGGCATTATGCCAAGCTTGTTGGAAACATTGATGGCGATATGGTACGTTCCGCCCAGTATCCTTCAAGGTACAGGCTAACAGACAGCACAGTACCCCATCCTCGAATCAGCGATCACTGGCCAGATCAACATGGCGGACGACACCAACACTCACGACTCTGCCAATGACCCCCGTCCTAAATCCCTTTTGGACGCCAAGACATTCGATAAAGATCAGATCAAAAAGCTCAGACAGGCGATGTTGGAGAAAGAGGGGCTGATTGCGTCTATATTCGAGCTTTTGCGAGTTGTCCCCAGGCAAGTGAATCGGAGGATTGCATTGGATTACGGCTAATCTCATATGCAGACGTATGTTGATGATTCTCAAGCTCTCCGATCTCCAAAGATCTCTGGATCAAAGCCTCCACACTACCCATGGTCAAAGCCGGGTCTTTGTCATTGTAGCTCAGTATTGCGCCAAGTCTAGTAAGTGCTGCTTTCATGTGGTATCGTCATTTGCCTGACAGACCGGTCAGTATGGCAAGGAGATTGTGCAACGTTCAAGCGATCCTTGTCTGTTGAAGGCTTTTCTTTCAAAGCTTTACGGTCTTTCCTGGGTGCATTCTTCAACTATGCCTACTGGAACACATCTTTAAGCATTGTCGAGATGGCGTTGGACATGAGGGCTAGGTCGGTGAAGGTGGGGCTGTGGTTGGATGGACTGGGGAAGGGTGGGTTGAAGGCTGCTGAAGATGAGATGGCCGGGTTGCCACTCAAAGCAACGCAAGCGGCCTAGTCATGGACAGTTGTTGTAGAAGGGAAGAATTGGTTGTCATAGATTAGTCTCTAGAAGTTGTCGAGCGTGGTTCGCTAGCAAGCATGATACACAAGCATTTGCTCCATCTTCAGCCTGGCAGCATGAGGGGTGATAATACATTTAAAGTGCTGTACTATACACTCGATACTCCCACTGTAGTCCCCTCCATCGTCCGACATCATCGAGGTACAATCTGCTCGACCCGCCTATCTGTTTACTTCTTTGTCTCTCCTTCATCTCTTAGAATCCAGGGGGAAGCACGCCTTGGGGCTGTCCGCCTTGCTGAGAAGAGCCGAGGAGCTGTGACGAGATGTATTAGCGTTGCAACCACTTTGATGATCGGATCAGCGCGCACCTGTTGCTGGCCAGCACTCTGCATCTGCATTTCCTTCTCCTGAGCGACGACACGAGCCTCGTCCTCGATGGCGAGCGCCAAAGGCAAGCCCACCAAGAGGGCGCTGGTGCTGACCCACCAAGCAAGGGTGCCGGCACTCTGAACGCTCCACCAAGCCCACTCGGCTGTTGAACGGTACTGTTTGTAGAGGCTCACTCGAGTCTCTGGGGGGACGATATCCTTGAGCGCGGTGACACGCTCGTAGAAGGTCTCGTCGGTGGGGTTGAAGTCATCATCGTCTGAAAAGATGGAGTCGGTTTCGGATTCGGTCTCGAAGTCGGATTCGTTCTCCTGGGGGGCGATGTGCTCGGCGGCTTCGTCACGGACTTCTTCGACGACGACGACCATTGTGGGTAGATGGATGGCTCGAAAAGAAGGTCGACGATTGCCGTGATGAAATGTTCGGCTCGCAAAGTGGGCGCTCGCTCCAAGGCGTTTTGCTTCCGTTGTCCTCGCTGCACCAGATGTCTAATGACTAATCTGAATGTGGCACATCCGAGCGTGTATTGCCCTGCCATCTGCTTCCCTGGGCGACAAGCTGGTCTACACAAACGACCCCTCCCCGTACTGGCCAACATCACCCGCTACTCTGGCACCTGTCGCGTATCAACATCCAGTAGCGGCTGCCTCCACCGCTATGTCCGCTGTCCATTCTGCCGTGCGTGAGCCAGACTTTTGCAAGCAAATGCTGACTCTATTGCCCGTGAAGATCACCGCCGTCACCCACCATATCCCATACTTCCTCAGAATCCCTGCCGAGGCGCTGATTGGGGAACAGTGTTACAGCACCCTCGTATATGACTTTGACATCACGGATGTCGATTGTTTAAAGTACTCCCTGTCCAAGGGCCTGGGTTTTGGCATCGTCGTCGGAGGAGGTATCATCAAGATTCCTCAAGTCAGTATCCAATATACACAAATCCGCAATTGATCCTCAATTTACGTGCTCTTAGATTGTCACAATCGTTTCCACTCGTTCCGCTAAAGGCCTTTCCTTGTCCGCCTATGTAAGTCCCACGCGTTTCGAAAATGGAACAACGGCTTCAACAGGTACACAGGCTCTAGAAACCGTTGCATACGCCATCAATCTTGCTTACAACTCCCGCAACAACTTTCCTTTTTCCACATATGGAGAAAACTTCTTCCTGACGATTCAAAATGTCATCATCACGCTCCTCGTCGTCTACTTTGCGCCACAGAGAGGTGCAGTCATTGGAGCGAATCCGTTAACTTCTAAAAAGAACCCAAATGGCGGGAAAGTATTCACTGGCATAGTGATTACGATTGCCACTGGATTGGCCCTTTGGTCGGAGCAACTCTGCCCATTGACCTTCCGTGCGTCTATGCTTTTCCCGAACCCTCATGGCTAGACGCTGATATGTTTATATGCCAGTCTCTCTTCTGCAAGCCGCCACCCTCCCCCTTTCCATCATTTCCAAAGCCCCACAGATCATTCAAAACCACAAATCCCGATCGACCGGTAATCTTTCTGCTTTCGCAGTCTTCAATGGACTCTTGGGATGTGTTGCCCGTCTGTTCACCACCAAGCAAGAGGTCAACGATCCCCTCATTTTCTGGGGCTTTGCTGCCGCAGCTGCCATGAATGCCATCCTCGCGCTCCAGGTATTCATCTACCGAAAGAGCGACGATGAGATCCTTGAGGACAGAAGACATAGTGCCAGCGAGCGAGGGGACCATGTTGTCCTGGAGAAGCCTGTCGTTCTGGAAGGAGGGAACGGAAAGAGGTGGGCCCGGAAGCTCGACTAGAAGTTGTTGTAATAGCACCTGCATGATGTACCAATGTTTGCGCACCTTCGACCATTATCTCGCTGCTCATCCAACAACACGGTCTTTGGGAAATACTGGAGACGCCTCGATCCTGCGTGTCGTCCACGTCCACGTTGGAGCTTCCTGCACTGAGCTGTTGCTGGTACCCGGGCTTCCCCTCGTGTCTCGAAAAGGAGATGAAGCAGTTGTACCTCACCCGTGTCCTCGGTGGTGACGCTTCTCGTCTGCTGCGGATCCCACGTTACGTCATCCCGTTTGGAATTTGGAACCAAATTAAACGCTCGGCTCCACCTTCTCTTGCGTCTGTTCATCGCTGACGGCCTCATCGACTGCCCAGCTGACGCTACAGATATGTCCTTCGACTATGTCCGCAAGCTCGTCTCGGGCAAGAAGGCCAGGTTCATAGACCCCGAGGCCGCTGTCAATCTCGATCTCGTATATGGTGCGTCAGTGCGCGCACGCCGTGCCATGCCAGAGCTGACCGTCTACGCCAGTTACTGACCGAATCATCATGTACGCTGGCCACACCCTGGCACATTGTTTCTGACAGTCATTAGCATGGGCTATCCCGCAACAGGATTTGCTGGACTGTACCGTAACAAACGTCGCGACGTGCTCAAGTTTATAACATCACGTCATGGGGAGAAATGGTGGATATGGAACCTGTAAGCTGGACGAATGTAAATGTGCTAGGCTCAAGACCGCCAGGTGTCCACTGTACGAAAATGCCTACTCTCCAGAGAGCATGCACAACCGTGTGTCGCGCTATCCGTTCCCCGATCATCACCCGCCACCCCTGCCCCTCTTGCCTCTGGCCGTGAGGGAGATGACCGCATGGCTAGAAGGTGATGAAGAGCGGATCGCCATCATCCACTGTAAGGCCGGGAAGGTAAGGTACTCTTTGAACCCTGGGACCAGCTCACATTCTTAACAGGGTCGCTCTGGAACGCTTCTCTGCTCTTATCTTCTCTCGCTCCCATCGCTCCCGCCTCCGCCCGAGATGGACCGATCTTATTCCTACAAAGAGCTCGCGAAGCGCCTGGCTCAGCGTGAGGAAACTGACAAGACTCAACAGGTATCTGCATCTTCCGGGGACGGCAAGGAGGGATGGGTCTACATTGGGGGAGGCAAAGACGCGGCCGGCTTTGATACCCGAGACTCTTTGGACAATGAAGGAGGGACGTCTACACCTGCGAGGTCGGAAAAGGTTGCTGTTGCTCCTGTGGGTACCCAGGACGGAGGGATCGCGAGCTCGGGGTCATCGACCACGACTGTGTCCCGCCCCTCGCTTGCCTCGTCCGAGATTGAGATCAGCTCCAACCCGCCTTATGATCCTATCGACATTGGTGACGAGGGCGAAGCTGGCGATCAGGGCCAGCAAGACCGTGTGGATGGACGAGTGGATGAAGTGTTCAAACTCCATTCGAGCAGACGTATGAAGCCTACCAGCACCGGGAGAGGTGTTTCCATCCCTAGTCGTGCGTCATCGCCAAGGTATCGAGCTTTCTATGCTGATGTGTGTAGAGCGACGATGGTGCCGATACATTCACCTTTTGTTCAACAACCAGGCGCCTCCCTCTTACCTTTCGCCGAAACCTCAGCGGCTCCGTCTCCTCTCGGTCACCCTGCTCATTACCCCCATGACAGGCTGGCAAAAGTCTGTGGCCTCTCTCGTTGTCGGTTCGGGCGGAACGGGACAAGGCCATGCATGGACGTCTGTCGCTCGGTACGATGACGAGTACGTCGAGGACCTCAAGATTCGCGGAGGAACCGGAGAAGGGGTCGCTGGAGACGTCACCTGGGGAGGTGTAGCGGGTGAAGGGAAACACGACACGCACAAGATGTTTAGAAGCTGTGGAAAGATGGTAGCGACCGACTTGGATGATGATATCAAGGCAGTTCTGCCTGCCGATCATGAGGTACGTCTTGTTGGCAAGCCGGTGTGAAGTATGCTAACATGTCACAGCAACACATTGTGCACCACCTCACCCCCAGCCACTCTCATCTTACTCTTGACCGTTCAAGAGAGTTTAGGTTGAAATTTCACCTCGCCAATCTGCCTCTCGGGTGGGCATGGCTGATCCCGGCGTTCCACCTGCCGGAAGCGTCAGCTGGGTCGCAGCGAGTGCACACCTTGACGTTCCCCCATTCACAGCTCGATTTCGCGGTCGGCCCTGGAGCAGCTCTGCAGAAAGTCTTGGTGAGGCTTGAAGAAGTGGCTGAAGGCGAGGAGGGGGCGCCGGCGAGGTTGCTGGATGATGAAGAAGAGAGGAGGGAGGGGGTTGATGATGGCGAGAAGGAGGACAAGGTCAAGGAGAGTGAGGATTAGAATACATATACCGATATATACATGCAACGGTTGGCGCGATTGAGCAGGATGGTGGTCGACTCTGTTGGTCACTCTTGTAGGGTGGTTCCAAGCTCTTGTTGTGGCTACTGGTCTTATGCAAATGCGAGAATACGGAGATGTATCGTCGGGCAGGAAAACCGATAGCGCCCTTGGTAGTGCGCACTGTCTTCCATGTTGTTGAAGAAGCATGGGGAAGGAGGTCGCAAACTCGCAACAGACTCGTAATGGATTGGAAAGAGCGAATTAATTCGGGGAGAAAAAATTGGTCAGAGGCTTCAAGGTTCAGCAGGTACGGGGCCTACGGTACGGGGGCTGCTGAACGGTTGATCGGGCGAATGAAATAATGAAACACGTACTACATATGAGTTGGAGCCTACCTGAAAGAAGCTTGTATGCTGCAGATGAATGCTACCTCGCTGAGCCGGATGGGGCGGGATGTGACTGATGACAACAAGAGTGGCGGAGAGGGCAAGGATATGGGCAGGCTATAGGCAGAGACACTTGGGCACCTTCGTGGAACAAGCTGCCTTGTCGTGTCAGCGAGTCTCAGATGCAGCTTGCTAGATGAGTCAGCATTCACCAGCAGCGGAGAGTTGAGTGAGGCACTCTGGGCTCCGTCGCGCGCCGGGGAATTGATCAAGCGGTTGCTAGCATGGTGGATTAATTACGGGAGCTGGTCCCGTATGGAGACTCCTGCGGGGTCTGCGGGGCATCTTGCGGCTGTCACCATTGCCAATGGGGTCTTTTGTGGGGGCGCTGGGTCTCGAAACACGGGTGACCGTCATGCACGGCGGACTGTATGCTGCAGGGCACGTAGATACGTAGATGTAGACACTCCCGCCAACCTGTCTTGAAGAATAAGCATCAGCAAGTTCCGGCCGGCTTGACAGAGAAACATTTTCGAATGTGGGCTTGTTTTCGAATTGGCTCGCCCAACGCTGAAACGCAAACAACACGTCGGGGCAGCCGTTCAGCTGGCTCTGGTCGCTGCAGAGGGCGAGTACATAGGCGGGGAGCACCTTGCGGCCATGCCCAAGCAGCAAGGGCGGCGAGGTACACATGCATAAGGCAAGAAGGACAAAGAAGGACAGGCTGCTGCGGAATGATGACGGCAGCTATTTTAACGGGTGGTGTGCCTGGGGGCGACCCTGAGAGCAGCGCGGGGCCTCCCTCGTCTTCTTGCCCCGCTTCTTTCTCATCCACATCTCGAACAGCAGAGTCAGAAGAGCGAGAAGAGTAAGCCGTTCTTCCTCCTCCCAGCCCCCCCCCCTTGCCCTCCTGCCTTCGCCCTACCACCCCCTCGCCACCGCCACTCCCTGCCGCCTTTTCTTCTCCGCCGTGTTGTCGCCGACGGTCGCCATCGCTCACACTACCGCTCTCAGCCCTCTGCATCCTCTCATCGCCTGCCCCCAGCTTCCACGCCCTCGACACCTCTAGCAATCAAGAAAAAGACACAATGGCCACCACCAAAACAGAGGGATTCTCGTGAGTCATACTCCTCCGCACACCTCGGCCATCCCCATTCGGCAATTGACACTTTTTTTTCTCGGCACAGTATCCCTGGCTCCAATCACCACCCAGCGAGACCCAGCATCGCGGCAATCCACAGGCCCTTCTCGGACGGCTCTATGACCGTCGATACCGACCTTCTCACCTCTCTCATGTCCTCGCCACACACGGCCAACCCCGAGTCCAGGGGTCACTACAACATGGCTTCCCCCTTCAACTTTTCCCAGTCGTTGCCCATCCGACAGCACTCGTTCGACTATAGCATGCCCTCTCCGCTGTCTACGAGCATCAACGTCGCAGAACACCTGCGCAACAGCTCCCTCTACGGCGCCCCCGTCAAATTCGGCAACGAGCACCCTGAACCGCCCATCAACCTCAATTCATCTTCCAACGACGTGCCCGACGGCCAGCGTTCCCGCTCCCAGTCGACGTCCAACGTCGGCAAGGCGCCTTCTTCGCGCTCGAGGCAGAGCCGCAAGTCCATGACCGACGTTCGACCGCCCCGCGGCTCTATTCAGCGTGGCCGCAGCCAAGGTCCCGGAACGGGCAAACCGATGGGCCTTGGAGTCGATCTCGACACTCACGTCGAAGGCGAGCTCACAGACTCAATCTCGCCGCCCGATTTTGGTGCCAATGCGACCTTTGGCCTCGCTATTCCTCGCCACGACAGTATCAACACTGACGCTGGCTCCTGGTCTGGCAGCGTGCCGAGCATGGTTCCCGGCTCGCTCGGCAGTTATGATAATGACGATGTCATTGTCGAGTCCCCCCTCACCCCTGTCAAGTCACTTCCCAACCTTCCGCCCGTAGATGACAGCTACAAGAAGCAGAGGCGAAGGGAGTGTCACAACCTCGTCGAAAAAAGGAGACGCGAGCACATCAATGCCAAGATTGAGGAGCTGAACACCCTGCTGCCCGAAAAGTATAATCAGGCCGTGGACCAGCCTGACGAGGAAGAGGAAGAGGAGAAGGCGGCCAAGAAGAAGGTAAATATTGACCAAAATACCTGGTACTCGCGCTAACGTCATCACAGAAGAAGAGGGGTGCCAACACTGTGTCAAAGGCACAGAAGGACGCTGCCCATTGCAAGGGGCGGATCCTTACCCAAAGTGTCAACTATATTCGGTACGTTCGTCACCCAAATGCCCCATTCACATACTCATGAGCTGCCAGCGAGTTGCGCGAGACTGCCGACACCCAAGCTGGTCGTATTGCGCACTTGGAAGCCGTCATCGCAGGCCTCGGCATCAGCGGCGAGACCATCCACGACGCACCCGCTCAAAACTTTGCCCAGAATCAAGATCCTCTCTTCTGGCTTAATGGCCAGCACAACGGCGGCACCTTTGAAAACTCTGGGCACCAGCTCCAGGCCATGCGTCCTTCCCCGGAACCCGCCGACCGGCCTTTTTCCTTTGATATCCCTGCCGAAAAGCCCTGGTCGGCGCATCAAGAGTACATGCCCTTCCATCCGTCCCCGTCGAGCACAGACCAGTCTTCTGCCACCTCTGCACACCCCGCCTACCCCTTCTCTTCCCTCCGCCGAATGAGCCACTCCACCAGCAGTGATATGTCCTCGCCGCTGGATGAGGGGGACAGAGGAAGACCAAAGGGCAGGGGGGTGAGGCAGGACTCACAGGCAGAGCTGCAGATGGGTATGTCCGGGCTCTTCTCTGGGCACGGCCAGGCCAGGGACGCGTCCACCGGGTCGATCTGGTAGCCCCCAATAACCCCGTGCCTCCTTCGCCATCACTTTCTTGTTCTGTTGACGATTGTGTATCTCTTCTTTTCCTTTGTCTCGAGACGTTATCATTCTGTGCTTGTAACTCGATTATCATGTAGGGCCCGCGAAACTTTTTATCTGCCGAAGGGTGAAGGGGTGTAATATCAACTCTTTCACATAGGGTGCATGGCGATTTTGTGATTCAAGCTACTGAGCACCATTTTGACCAACTTTGCTTGTCACCCCGTACATGGACTCTTCTTCTCTCCCTCTAGCTCAGTAGATTAGTACACGTTTGGTATACAGCTATAGTCTTATCTTTTGATTTATACAGGGGAGTGTACGAGTATAAATAGTCGTTTTCGTGATACATGACGAGTATCGGGGGCTTGGACTGTGTAATAATGGAATGGATGTACTGTACTCTTTGCAGGTGTTGACGGGTCCCCTGGCCGAAGTTGTGACCGACGACCGTTGAATGATTCACCGCAACGGGATCAATATTCCGATGACACGGATGTCTGCTTTCGAGCGCTCATCTCTCGCAACAGTCTTCTCCTCGACCCCCTTTTCCCTTTTTCTCTCTGCCCGTACCCTCGAGGCCCCATCCCCTGCCCCCCCTGCGCATTCAGACCCCCCTGCCTCGACTCTCCGGCAATGCAGCAGAACTACCAACATCCCAACGACTCCCACGGCTCTGGGCCCAACGCCCAAGCTGGCGGCGGCCCAGGAGGAGGACAACCGCAAGGCGGAGAACAGTGGGGTGGGCCGTTCCCTAGCTTGCATCTGTGGCCGCTGCAGGATACCTTCCAGATGAAGATGATTCACTTGCCAGAGGGCCAGCGCGTGAGTTGTTCCTTGCTAGATCCCAGGGGTCAGGTCACTTTTCCAGAGACGATGCTGATGCGGCTATCAAATGATAGATCAAGATCGGTCGACAGACCAACAACAAGACGGTGCCCGGCGAGAGGAACGCATACTTTGATTCGAAAGTGCTTTCTCGTCTTCATGCCGAAATATTCGAGCAGGGTGGTAAAGTGCGTTCGACCCGTTCCAAATCATGAAGTCGCATGGCTGACATTTTCGATCTAGGTATTCATCAGGGATATCAGATCGTCGAACGGTACCTTTATCAATGGCGAACGATTGAGCCCTGAAGGTATCGAGAGCGAGCCTGTAGAGGTCAAAAGTGAAGACCAGATTGTGCGTTCATCAGCTTGCTTGATGATGACTAGCTTACATCGTGGATGTAGGAATTTGGTATCGACATTGTCAGCGACGACAACAGGACGATCGTGCACCACAGAGTCGCTGCCAAGGCGTACTGTGTCTTCAATGACGAGGACGCCAGTAAAAGCGCTCGGTCAGTCTCGTCCACAAGTAGGAAGGACGGTGCTGACCTGACCCTAGAGAGTTCGCCAACTATCAGACGCACGATCCCCGTGTCCGACGTCTTCCAGAGATGCACCATCACCCCTCCTCCAACCCTCTATCCCACATGGGGCCGACTTCCATGTCTGGCGGCGGCAAACCTGGCGCTCAGTCAAATACCAACGGTAGCGGCTCAGGTCTCAGCTTTGAACATGTCTTGAACAAGCTCCAGGCAGAACTGGAAGCGAGCAAGGAGATGAGCGGGGAATTGCAGGGATTGGCGGGGGCATTTGGTGGAATTCAAGAAACTCTTAGTGGTGGTGTCGTACGTGCCTTTGATCTGCGCTCATATATATACGGTGTGCTGAGACGTAGGCAGGCTCCCAAGGAGAACGGATCGGCCGAGAAATTCATTCCTCCTCAATATCGATCTCCCTCTGCCGACCCTAACGCTCCTGCCCCTGCGGCAAACGGCGATAATCTCTCAGCTGCAGCTCAGTCCTTGCTCGCTGGACCTCATGGATCTGAAGCCGCCGCCTTTCTCTCCCTTCAATCGCAACTCTCTTCTACCCAATCCTCCATCTCCACACAACTCACCAAAATTCAAGAACTCGAAGCTCAGCTCAAGGAGCACGAGACTCTTCGCGGTGAAGTGGAACGCATGAGAGGTGAAATGGAAGAGAGAAGGCGTGAGATGGACATGCTCATTGCTGGGGGTGGGGCGAGGGGCAGGACAATGTACAGAGGAGGCCGAGACGAGGAGGACGACGATGACGACGATGATGATGCCCGAAGCGTGGCCACCATCATGGATGATGAGGAGTCCGAGAGGCGTGTCAGAGAGCGCCGTCGTGCCGAGCGCGACCGACCACGCACACCAGAGCCTACTGGCGAGGATGACGAATCCGATGCTGTCGAGGAGCAAACAGAATCGGCACCTGCCCCTACGGCTACCCTCGAACAAGGCGCTCTCACCATCCGAGAAAAGGAGATGCTTGAGCAAAACAACGCTCTCGTCTCTCAACTCAACACCCTTTCAACATCTATGACTGAAGCTCTTACTCTTTCCCACAACCTCCAATCACAGCACGCTGAAACGATATCTACCATCCAAGCTCTCTCTGCGCGGATCTCATCTTTGGAATCTTCTCTTGAAGAAAAGGTTCGAGAAGAGGTCGGCAGATCGGAAGAAAAGTGGGAGGGCTGGCGCGTCAGGATCGAAGAAGGCTGGAAGAAGGAGCGAGAGGGCTGGGAGCGAGAAAGGGAGAGATTGCGAGGCGTTGTCCGGGAGTGGGAAGAAGCCAGTCGGCGCGCCCATGAAGAGGAGGAAGAACGTCGCGAGAACGAGCTGCTCAGTGACGACGGTGAGTATGTGGACGATGAAGACATTGAAGAAGATGACGAGCTGGATGATGAAGAGGACAAGGAGCTCTGGGATCGAAGCGAGAAAATCAACTTGTCACCTTCAAGGAAACCTGCTGCGCGGAGGAGGAGACCGAGTCACAAAACTCTCTTGGCGGTGTCGGCATTGAAGGCTGTGGCGGACGGGGTAAACGGCAGCACTCTTGATGCTGGTGCTCTCACACCTACCTCTGGAGAAGCCACAGCTCGACCCAATCCTCGGAGCCTGAAAAACCGTCGATTGCACGAGATCGGGCGCAACAGCTCGTCGCAGACGGTCAAAGGTGGCAAATCGCGCTCCTCAGGATCATCATCAGATCCTAGCAAGCCTCGCTACGAGCGTGGAGACGGGGGCGATGATCAAGACGGGAGCAAAGAGTCCACAAGCGAGAGTGGAAGGGAGAGCGGCGACACGTTGAAAGAAGGTGAAAGGGAGGTGGGAAAGAAGAGGGATCTCAAGAACGGTGTACATGGCAGCATCCTCCAGGTTTGTCGTATCTTGTAATTCTCCGAACGTTTGCTGACGACCTTGTTAAGCCCCAGCAGGCAATCTTGGTGCTTGTAGTGGCGGTCGCGGTGGGAGCCATCTGGTACAAACATAAGGAGTAGCATATGGAATTGGTGAAAGAAGACTCGATGTGGATAGAAGTAATGGTCAAAATGCATGTATATATTACAGTATGTAGGCCAGGTAACACGGACTTGTCTATAATAGCCATCGGGTATGGCACGGATTTGTTCATAGCCATTGAGAATGCACAAACCAATATACAGCATCGAATTGATGATGGCTGTACGTATCTTTCCGAGTCTCCGTCTGACATGGTCATTGAGACTATCTTGCTGTTTCAAGCCTCCCGAGCCTGACTGGAGGAAAGAGTTCAGATTTGGCCCGCTTGCGTACTTGTTCGGTACACACTTCTCACCAGTAGGCGTGATCTCGCGTACCAAGGGTCATCTACCACAAGAGTGTCCAAGTACGGTACGTATTATTCGATCCATACATGCTGTATCGTATTGTACAATCGGATACAGTCTTCTTTACATCTCGCCGCATTCCGTTATCCGGACTGGCAGCCTCGGTCTTGCGGAGACAAGTCAGCACATATCCCTGATATCAAGTCGCGAAGATCATACCGGTTGTTCTGGCCTGTAGAAACATTCTCAATCTTTCTTACGGTCAATAACCCATCGATCACCCTGCCAAAAACCACATGTTTGCCATCCAAGAACTCTGCAGGCGCCGTAGTCACGAAGAACTTTTCATTTCAGTCAGCCCTCATGTTTGCGTCAGTCATGGGAAGAACTCACTTGACATCCGTTTGTCCCTGGCCCACTATTAGCCATACTCAGGAGCCCAGGTCCGGTGTGCTTGATCTTGAAATTCTCGTCTTCAAACTGAGCCCCGTAGATGGAGAAAGATCCGGTACCGTCGCCTCGAACAAAGTCACCTCCTTGGATCATAAATTGAGGAATCCTAAAGACACAGTGAGTACGAGCCACGCACATCTGCGCTGAGGTGCGAGGGGAAGACCAACACTCTGCGGGGTGCAAGTCAGCGAGAGCATGCAGGTCATGAACCTTGAAGAGACGCACCGATGAAATATAGATTTCTTGTAGCCTTGCGGGATAGAGTTGAGACTGAATCAGAAGGGTCAGATCATGGACCGAAAGGAGTAGGCATATTGACAGACCGATGCTCCCCCGTGCACAACTGTCTAAAGTTCTCAGCCGTTCTATCGAAGGTACCAGATCAGCAACAAGCTCAAGCATAAGCACCCTCAGACATACTTGGGCGTTATATCGTCAAAGAGCTCTGAATTGAAATTAGCGCCAGCAAGTACGCGGATGAGGACTGAGCAGGCGCTGAGACTCACCCATCTTGATACGTCCCGCCGGAGTCTCTCCTATGTGTATGTCGAAGAAGACGACGGGTCTTGTGTGTCCTGCAGGAGGGTCAAACGTAGACATTTCAGCTTGCGAAAGATGGCGGCAAAAGTTTGGCTTTCGTAAAGTCAAGGGTCAACATTCGGCAGAGATAGAGGGAATAGAAATGATGATGCTGGAGAGCGGACATGGCCGCTTCCCGAGAAAGCTCGAAGCGAAAATGATTGAGGACATCGGGTTGTAATTGTGTTTTGCATTACCACAGCAGTATCAACATGGCCCCAAAAGCGAAAGCCAGGTGTGCACCACACAGTGTCTGCTAGGGGAAATTATCTGACCGATTTTAGGCGAATCTTGGTCAAGCTCGTATCCACCGCCCTTACGGGCTCATTCTACACCACATCCAGAGTCAGGGTTGGTGACAAGCTCGCAAAGATCAAGTATGATCCCATCGGTGCGTAATTGGTTAGTGAGGCCTTAGCGTAAAAGCTGACTGTGTGATGCAGTGAAGAAACACGTCCTCTTTACCGAAGCAAAGATCAAATAGGCATCTACCCCTTCACCTGCATCCCATTCATACTCACGCATATCGCGTCCCTCCCCTCATGTCCCCACTCAATTGTGGATCTCTATTGTCACCGCCGGCGGAATAGAATTCGAGAAGAACGAGAGCAACACCTCTGCCGCCTGACGAATGAGGCTCAATACCATGCATCATTGATACCCGATCACATCTAATTTGAAGCGCCTTGCAACGTAATCCCGCTCGCAGCTGCACATACACGCAGCAGGCTGGCACCACCTTCAGATGTTGGAGGAGCCCGAGACGAGGACTATCAAGGAGCCTTCCACTAGGCCAGATGCTGGATGTGATAAGGTCAACGGTGTGACAGTGGGTTTGCCGCCTGGGGGCGTATACAATTGAGCAAGGGCCAGTCCCTGCATAGTGTTGAGCCCGCGTCATATAGGGTAGTCAGGCAGTGCGAGGCACTCACTTCGGCGGCGGAAAAAGGACGGGGCGTTCTACTTTGAGTGATCACGAGGTCCATGACCTTACCCAACGGCGTATCCTGCTCACCCATCAGCGCTTCATGGCTACTTTGGAGTACTCTACTCCACTTACTCGGTGTACCCATCCTCTCGAAGCTTTTCCCATCCATTTCCCTCCCTTCTCCCAACTCTCAACACCCTTCCCTTCGACGTCCACTGCCCACTCAAAGTACCTTTTCTCGTCTTGAGGTACTTCTCCTCCGGGTCCGAGACGCGTGGCAGACGAGCGGATCTTTCGGAGTTGGATGTCCCAAAGTTTTTCGGATTTTGTCTTGACCTTGCTGCTCTGAACAGCAGACTCTTCCTTCGATTCTTCAGGAGAGGCTTGCAAGCTCGGAGGTAGCTTCTCGCGCATTGGCGGTGCCTTCTCAACGTCTTTCTGTATCGGCATTTTCCCCCTAGCACTGTCCCGTTCCTTATGTCCAGGAAAGTTATGACTGATGAGATTAGCAGCCTGAGACCGCCGAGCGAGATATGCATCATGCCGGACGTTGTGCTGGAGAGGGCCGGAACAAGAGTGAGATGTTTGTGCTCGGTGACTGTAGATCCCGTCAGATCCTGCAGACCATGGAAAGTCACAGCTCTCACATTGTGCAGAAGGATCCCCTACAGCTCAGACATCTTATCTCCCTCGCGATCTCTTCCCCCGCCCCTTCCCCTTTTGCAAACCCCCCAACACTCTCTATGCTCTCCCTCTCACAACCTCTCACCTCGCAATTTCCCACTCCCCTCTCCAGCTTTCCGACTTTGACATTGAAACGCTCGGAAGAGATGGCCATTTGGGAAGCACAAGGTGAGTGAGAGTGAATATGGGCCTGGCAAAAGGGGAGGTGACATTGGGAGCAGAGGAGGGGAAGGAAGTCGACGGTGGTGCAAGAAGAGCAGCGGGTGCCAGGGGCAAGCAACGACATGGCGACGACAATGGGGCGCTGGGATGTTATCGAAGTTTCGAATTAGTTGTTGAAGGGTGAACCTTGGAGTTATGACAACAATTTAAGATCCTGGCCAGCGGATGGTCATTGAAAGTGGAGGTCTAAGGGGGGGTGATAGATAATAATAGGAGGTATACGAGTGGAAGACGATTGTATCGGATGGATGGTGCATGCATAGATCGAATGACCCGCAGTACTCGTACAATGATCCAATGCATAAATAAGGTGATGCATACATTGAGGTACAGAAGCCCACCCAAACCTCACTATATCATATCTACGCTACAAGCCACGCCGCTGCATTGGCTCAACATGCACTCCTTTGATGTGCATGCCAGATCTCAGAACAGCGTCGTCCAGAGTAGGCGATAGATCTAGTCAGGAGATCGGGGGATCAGAAAACATATAGTCGAGTCTAGGGATCTTCCATACGTAGTGTTCGCCGCTCCTCTCACACGTCTCAGCCGCACCTGCGACCTGGGAAATGGTCCGTATCGCAATAGTAGCTGATGAGCCGAAGAGTGTAAGGGCAGGATCGGACAAGACTGATGACCGGTATCTTGGGTCGGTGAAATGGAAAGAGACAAGTCAATCGTAGAGTCTATCAGTATGCATGGATGCCAGGATATGCTTTGCGGTCTCACTATGATATAAGTACAATAGGCCGTTTCTAAAAGAGTCACTTCAGATTTCGACCTCACCTAACTTCGCCCTGATCTCTTGTACGCCATCACCCTGCGGTATTCTCAAAACATCGACCTTTTCCCCAAGCCCGGGCCAAGGTTTCCCATTCTTACTACTCGCGCTCGAGCTGGAACGCCGGTGGATGAATTGCCGACGTTGAGGCGGAAGGGATGAGAGGGACTGCATTATTCGATAGACCCAATTGGGATCCGTCAACGGAGAAAGATCTGTTGGTTTCTCCAGGTGCTATTCCGTGTGAGTATCCGGGTTACATACAAGTCAAAGAGAAGACATACGCGCTTGACCTCGCCATACCCGGCTTCCATACCCTTGACTTCCCTGATAATTTCGGAGCTTCCAAAAGCGTGATACAACCGGACGTCGTACATTCTGAAGAGGACATTGTCTACACGGACAAATAAACGAGACAGGATAAAAAAGCAATGGGGCATCACTCGCTGTTTTTCATGGTCAACTTGGCGTTGCAATATATGAGATGGGGCTTACGATTCGAGTGTTCAGCATACTCTCACCATTGTCGTGAAGCTCATCTTCGTACAGCGGAACATCCTCATAATAGAGAATCTGGTCGAGCACCGGGTCCTGTCGGGCTAGAAGAGTCAAGGGCAAAGAGTGAGTAGGGGAAGGGATGAATGTCTGAGCTCTAGTCAATTTTGCGTCTGTTGGTAGACGTTCACAACATACACTGGTACCAGTAATAGAGCCAGCATAAAGGGTGGAATATGTCCAGTCGTGAGGCTTGACGGGCTTTGAGGGAACGGGGACGTCGAACAGGCCTCCAGAGCTCGCGGTCTGTCCTGGCGACGTAGTGGATGCTGTATTTTCGGAGGCCCATGACCTGTCACGAGTCAACATACACCCCCTTGTCGAGTCTCCAGGGGATCAACTCACTTATTTTGGCCCCATTTTTCGGCCATGCTAACTAGAACACCACCCCCGACTCTCTCCTCCCATCCCTCGCCTGTCGCAACACCGGACAAGGCATCAATAGTTTTGAACGATAATGTAAAACCTTGTGAGTTTCTCTCTGAATTGTGGCCGGTGGGAGCATTAGCTGATGCTAAAGGAGTCCGGGTGGACGAGGTGGGAGGTTCGTATGTAAGGGTGAGAGAGTTGTTGCCAAAGGTCATTTCTGGCAGAGGAAGATTGAGGGCCTTCTCAGAGCTAAGATAAAGTGTCAGATTTCTCCAATTGATATTTCATGGACCCACGCATCAATCTCCTTTCCGTTCAATATAGGTTTCTTTGTTGCGATGATCGTCCATGGACCGATGGTGATGGAGTGCTCGTGACGCTCAGTCTTGACAGAGAACGGCGGAGGCTGAATCTTGGATGCAGCCTGGGCTTCTTTTGGAAAGAGGGCAGGAGTGGCCATCGTTGGAGCACAAGCGAATGAGAATTGAGGGCATCAAGGTGAATTCAAAGGAGCCCAGGCAATGCTGGCCCATGACATTTTCCGGTGACATCACCCCCGCGCTCGTGTGTGTCGATTTTGTCGAGACCCCGAGTCAACATAAACTGCTTCTGAGCTGATACACTAAGTCGGCATGGTTATTGACTATAGCGCTGGCATATACCAGGTATGGTCTCAAGTGGACTCGCGACTGGTAGGACCCTGACATGTGGCATGGAACAGCATTTGGAAGGAGTCGTGTTCTCGCGAGCATTAGATGATTTTCTGGACCTTCACAATATTTACACGGATACAGAAAATACTTGCCAGCGTGAGAGATCCCCATTTGCGAGTCTCATCATGATAATACAGTCCGTACAAAGCCTGTACGATTGCTGATGGTCTACCATGACTTTCAACAAATGCTCCATACATGAGTCCACAATTATATAATCCGTTTTGAGAGGACATCTAGGATGTCCGGAAATGATTGAGAACTTGACTATAATAGTAACAGAAGACCAAAGAATCCAGAATGCTCTATGCTAAACACCAGTCGGCGCGCATCACTTGTACAGTGTCGCCATCATCCCATCACTTGGATGCCTGCTATCAACACCTATACAATATGCCTATTTTTGGTACAGAACCCTCAGCCTTTGGATCAACTTCTGCTGACCCTTGGGGGCACTTTCCTCACCAGCGGGAAAGGCCTCCGCCTCTGTCCTGTTTCCGTCGTCGACCACCACCTTCTCGCCGTCAAGCCCGGTACCGTTCACAGCGTTCTGCTGCTTTCCGAGATAGAAGTTGGGCATGTAGAAGGTGGCAATGAGAGGAATAGTAGCGAGACAAAGGGCAGCAATGGCAATGTGTCCATTGACGACCGCGTACGCTCGGATACAGCCCTGTCGGACGGGGTCGTCAAAGCTGTACTTGGTGATGGCGGTGATGGAACCGTAGAGCTTGGTACGGGTGGCAGCGGGGACATCGGGAAGCTGGCGGGCGAGTTCATCGGGCATCATGTCGGTCCAGATGGCGGCAGCGATAGCACCACCGATGGAAGAGCCGAGGGTAGACCAGAGGGAGATGATGGCGATGACGGAAGCCATGTCCTCGTGGGGAACGGAAGCTTGGGAGCCGACTCGGACACCAACCACATTACCATCATGTCAGCACAATATATGACATGTGAAGCATAGACACATACCTGAAGGAAGACAAACAGAACATGAGCTGAGCAACCGTGAGACGGGCGGTAGAACGGGTCATCTCGTTCGAGCCACCGACCACCAGAATACCGTAGGCAATGATTCGACAAGAGTTTCCAAACACCATGAGCGACTTGTATCGGTAGGTTCGTCGCTGAATCAGACCAACGATAGGCCCAACGAGACAGAGACCCGTGGTGGTGATACCAACAAAGATGGTTTGAGTGTAGGTGCTCCACGGGGTGATAACACTGATGTAGGAGTAGAAATAGGTGTTGCGCACAGCAGAAGCGAGTTGACTCAAGCTGCCGATGATGATAGACGCAATGACCGCTCGGTTGAACAGAATCTTTCGAGTCATGAGAGGCTTGGGAGCAAACCTCATCTCCCACAGGAGGAAGAGACCAAGGATGACGGGTCCGGTGACCAACATGGCGATCATGGAGGGGTTCTTCCATCCACCAACGGCGGCCTTGCGGAGGGTGAAGGGCAAGAGGAGCATACTGAATCCGAAACCAAGGAGGACGAGACCGAAAAGGTCGATCTCGATCAGGCCCTGCTTGAGCGACTGCCGCCAGGTGCGGGATTGACCATCGACCCCGGTACGCTCATTATTCGAGCCAGCCATGGTGACCTAAGACGCTACCTTAGCCAATATAGGCCAATATGAAGGGACGACATTTACCATACCGAGCTTCTTGCCACGGAATTGCATCACGTAGAGCGTAGCGATAGCCGGGAGAAGCAGGACAGGGACCATGATGGCAAACATGCCCATGCCCCATCGCCAGTTGTCTTGCAATCCTTCGGTGATGAAGCCGTTGATGGGGACAGTGACCAGGAAGGGGACAGACAAGACAGCCCCAAAGAACCCTCTCCACTCCAACACGGTCAAGTCACCTGTCATTACAATCAGTGGCATCCTCGATGACAACAGTTCTACGCACCAACAATGATATCGCTCAAGAGATCGAGACCGCTCTTTCCCGCGGCGGTGAAAGCCATGCCGACAGTGTATGCTGCGAAGGTTTGGGCCGAAGCAGCGACCACGAAACCAACAACGTAAAAGACCAACACGACAGCGTATGTCGTGGGTCGGGAAGTAATATCGGCAAGCTTGCCGATGAAGGGCTTGGAGATGGCGCGGATGATCTGACTGGCGGTGCTCACAGCAGCAAGGTTGGCGTGTTCACCGAAAGAAGAAGTGGCCCAAGGTGAGAAGATGGTGGTGGTAATTCCTTGATCAAAGGCGTAGACAAACATGGTGAGACCAATAGAGACGGCCAAGGACCAGAGCAGAAATTTTCCGGATCGACCTGAGCACGGTCAGCGCACGATGTTGGGTAGGAAGATGGCGACTCACCTGACTGGTAGAGGACCTTGTTGAATGTCTCTACTTTGCTCACACCAACGCTCTTCTCTTGCGCCGCTTCGGCGGATGAAGCATCGTCCCTGTGGAGAGAAGGGACGGTCTCAGGCTCGAGCGCCTTCTTGTCTTCGTGGCTGTCAAGCTGCGTTGGATGGGACATGGTGGGCAGTGGGACGAGGGACGCAGAGATGAGCTGCCCGTTATCTGATATATTTTACATCTCCCGAGTGGAGCGAAAGGTAATGTCCATGATATGATAGTTTTGGGTGCCTTGGTGGGTTATCGGCCGACGCCAAGCATAACGAAGATACCTCTAAGGCTCTAAATGGTGAGCCAGTGATAGCGAAGAAAGCGTTCCCGACTGCTGACGGGAGATAATCATTTTCCCGTTTGTTTTCCTTTTCTCGCCGTGATTAACGGTGCCTTTTGCTGATATGCGTCCGACCTCAAAACTGCTCTGGTATTCGACATCCTTCTGCCGTGTGCCATTTCCTTGCGTCCGAGTTCGCATGCACAAGTTGATCATCCATTCTGCGTATATGCACAGAGAGAGGCACCGCAAAGCACGGCCGAATCACTGAAATCAAGTAATAATAATTTGCACACCCCCTGTCCCGAAAGGACGCCGAACGCCGAACGGACTTTCCATTCCCCGCCGACTTCTCTTCGGGCCCTCCGGGGCTTCCGTGTCTGGCTCGCGTGTATGTATTCTCGTGTCACTCTCACCAGATCCTCTGCCAGGGCCAGGGCCTGTTGCTCTCCCCTGCATCGCCTGTCGCCTGCTCCACGCCTGGGATCACGCGGCTTGTGTCGAGCCAGGCTCCACGCTCGGCCTGCTCGTAGCTCTCGGCCTGTTGCTGGGCCTGGGTCGACTCGGAGATTTGGGCTCTCGTCGCGTCTGACGTTGACCCCCTAAGCCCCATGTGGTCTGGCCTCGGTGAGACTGGTGCGCATTGCAGGTGTGACTGGAATGAATGAGTATTGGCGAGATTCGTGGGGGCAAGTTGGAACAAAGCAATAATGAGGCAAACTGTAAGACTTGACTCCAGGTTCCAGGATCTCCTGCGCAAAGTTTTAACTCTGATACATAGTAGGACTCTGATGGAGTTGGTTCGGGAGGTCGTTAATTTCAATCATTTGACTGCAATGCCGCATTCGGCTGGTCAAGACAACCGGGGTCCACAGGCCGCAGGAGATAGTTGAAAGTTGAGCGAGAAGCTGACCATTCTATACTTACGTTGTTCAGCTGTCTTCAACGCAACTAACTCTATGACAGCACTTGAGCTGGTGCTGGAGCCTGATTCGTCCTTCTCCACTAGTGACCAGATCGATCTACTCTTACAAACGATACTTGTTACAGGGCAACGGAAAAAGAGTGCATAGTTGTGGTCGACTTGTCAACCATGGAACAACCTAAAGTAGTCTTCCCAATACAATGCCATTTCTACTTGAAGGTCATACAAATGAAGCTCCTCGATTCAATCCGCATGCGAACATACGAGGAGTCTGCCTCGAACGATATAATTCATGCAGGAATACGGACGAAGAATGAGATTGACATAAGCAAGGAGGACGCGAAGCGGGGACGCCGGGCGACGAGCACTGCTGCAAATTGCCACATATCTGCTCCCCACCTGGACAAGTCTGGCTCACCAGTCGTGTGCCGCCCTAAGCTCCATCCTCTGTCCGGCCTCGGGCCCATTCGATCCGAGGCCCCTCCTCTGAACTTGATACAAGCCCGTTCGATTTTCCTCTCCTTTCTTTTCACACCATGCGGATGCGGCGTATGTACTGTAGTAGGAGAGGAATAGGGATTCGCGGCCGCCGTACGAGTACGGTACATAACAGGGAGCCGTCAAGTGTCAACCCAGACCTGCCCATTACGAGGGCAATTTTGAAGCGAGCGAGAGAGGATGCTGGCATTTTCCCGCCAAGTGCCGAGTTTTCTGTGTACGCTTGGCAACCTATCCACTATACGTCGGTGGCCCGGCGGCCCCGGCGTTGAAGGCACTAACCTTCTCAGGATGGTTGCAGTGAGGATAATAAACAAGACATGCCCCAGAGCTCGCCCTCTACATCTCATCACGAGCCTTGGTGTTTCCTTCATGTAAACTTGTTGCATGTCGAAACTTGTGTCTTTTTCTCTTATATAGCTCTCACAGTCTCGGAAATCTCTCATTAAGAGTTCTTCTATTCCCATACTGATGGAAAAGTCAGTAACACGTCTGTGTGAGGGTGAGAGGCATACAACAAAGGCGGCGGACAGGTGAAAGAAGGAGATGATAATTGGGCGCAAGCGCGGGCGAAACGCGTCGACTCTTCTTTTCAAGCGTTTTTCTTTGGCTCGTGGATATGCCCGTAGTGGAGCGTGGCATACATGCACGATCCACGAGTCGCTGGCATGAGCACGTGTATCTTCGTACTCTCTTCAGAAGTTGTTCAGAAGAGGAAGAAGCTGGGAAGAAGAGAGAAAAAAACAGCGATGCAGGGCGGACACCGCCGCCTCTTACAAAAACCGGCGCGCGTCAAGCTCGTACATCCCAGGCGCGACTTGCTCATATCTTGTGAAGGCGGTACAGTAGGATCACAGCAGCAGCTTCAGAGGGTAGACGAGGGTGTAAAGAACATTCCCTGTAAGATTTGAACCATTTGAACTGATACAACACCGAAAGATTGTCCCTCAACACATATGGCAGCCCCCCATTTCCTCTGACGCGGCGAGGTCTGTTTTTCCTATGGGGGCGCGGCTGCGATTCGCGGGTGTTTTGCCATTTTTGGTTCCATTTTCTGCTCGAGGGTATTCCGCCACATGCATTATAACGCCGACTTTTATACAGACCGCCGGGCGATTCGTACTTTGGGAATGCATGCGGGGGAATATAACACCCATTTCCATTTCTCATCCTTCTTCATCCCTCAAGTCGTACATCACACACATCACAATGGGTAAGCCATCCATGCCCCGCCTCTGCCCCTCTAGCATACGCTGACCATACATCCACAGCCCGAACAAAGGTAAGCCTGCTTCTCGTCGGGAGGGATGTTTGCGCCACCCAGATGCGCGAACAAACAACGCTCCAATCCACCGTCATCCAGCCTTCACATTTCCATTCCATGCTTGCATGTGCATCCCATGGTTCGGACAGGGGCGTGTATCTCACCGATACATGCATATGTCACCGTCACCATCCGACTCGGGCAACATCCCTTCTCGCGCGTCCTTTCAACCGCGATCATCACTGACATCCTTTATAGCAAACCGCTCGAAAGTCTACCGGTGGTAAGGCTCCCCGAAAGCAGCGTGAGTCATATTCTTCTTCTTCCATCATGTCACTGACATCTTCTCAGTCGCCACCAAGGCCGCCCGAAAGCAGGCCCCTTCTCAGGTATCTGGTGGTGTCAAGAAGCCCCACAGGTACAGGCCCGGTACCGTCGCTCTCCGAGAGATCCGACGATACCAGAAGTCTACCGAGCTCCTCATCAGGAAGCTCCCCTTCCAGCGACTCGTCAGGGAGATTGCCCAGGACTTCAAGACTGACCGTGAGCATCAAGCCGTCCATTTGGGATTCAGCTGACGCGTCTTTTAGTCCGATTCCAGTCTTCTGCCATCGGTGCTCTCCAGGAGGCCTCTGAGGCTTACCTTGTTTCCCTTTTCGAGGACAGTGAGTCACTATTCTTCCCCGTCAATACTTTGACTGACTCTTTTTCTAGCCAACTTGGCCGCCATCCACGCCAAGCGAGTCACCATCCAGCCCAAGGATCTCCAGCTCGCCCGTCGTCTCCGTGGCGAGAGGTCTTAAATGACTTTTTCTCGACACCACCCCTCTCTCTCTCTTTGAGAGCTTCGATTATTCTCTTCTCTTGTCTTTACGGCGCCACCTTCGTTATAGCCACCCTTCGTTTTTCGCTGTGATTATCTTACAAGTTGAGACCCCTTTGTTTCGAGAATAGGTTGCGTTAATCAGACGACATCAATGTATTCGGTTTCCTTAACCAATCCGTTTGATTGGGCGATGATGTGTGCACATTCCTTGTCTCTGGAATCGATGCTCAACGTCAGACAGTGGGATGGTCGCGGAACCGAGCGCGTCGAGGTTGGTAAATACATTACTGTACAGGCTGTTGATACAACATCTCGACTGTGACACCCACTCCAGCGACTTATCCCTGCACTTGCCGTCCTTGCCCCACGGCTTCTTCGACCAAGGCCCTCACGGCCTTTCCCATATCGCTCAAGACTCTCGCTTCTATTCTGCTCGCATAGAGCCCTAGCTCAGCTACTTTAGTCGCCTCCTGTCTGTCATCTACGATATCTCCGCGCGTACCAGAAGGAGAAGAAGGAGAAGCGGGGGTAAGAGAAGGGATGGAAGAAGCGAAAGGGGTGGGAATATTGTTGGCAGGAGGTGGACAGAGGGTGTTGGGATTCGACTTGGTCTCCCGGAGGTAGTAGACCGTCTGTCGGAGGACGAATTGTATTTTCTATTACTTTTTCATCAGCTCGTCATAGGGATCGCGTGAGCAAGCCTTACGTCCAGCAAGTCGATATACTTTTCAACCCCTTGCCTGGCCTCCATTCCTCGACTCTCGTCGTCTCCTCCGGATCCTTCCGTGGGACTTGAGAGCTGAGTCAAAATGGGCTTGATTTGCAGCAAAATCTCGGGTATGGCCTTGCTATGATCAGCTTCCTCGTCAAGTCCGTACTACAGGAAAGAGCGCACCTTTTCCACGCCTGTGAGTGCACTAAACAACGAGTCGGCATCCAGCGACTCTAGGTCCAGAGGGTCGTGTTCTGCAGATTGGGCTGGGCTAGACATTCCTTGTGGTAAATAGACTAGACAGGAGAAAATAGGCCAATTGAAGATTGCAGACGGACGAAAGAGGACAAGGGCGCGACAAGTGGAGGTCGCAAATGTCCGGTTGTATCTCAATTGTATAAACTCACATCCCACAGAGCTCGCAGCATGCCAGACACCACGCCCGAGATCCTCGTTCTTGATGGCGGAATGGCAAGTCTTCTCCTTGGGCCACTCCCCACCATGTTGACCCCATCCTATAGGGGACTACCCTCGAAGCCCTTGGGCATGATACCAGCTCCGCCCTCTGGGGCTCTGAACTGTTGCTCTCTCAGCCTGGCGTGATTAAGGAGGTTCACAGACGGTATTGGGAGGCAGGAAGTGACCTCGTCGAGAGCGCTACGTATGCCACTGTAAAAGATAAGAAGGCTGGTAGCTGACCATTGATTAGATACCAGCTCACGCCACAAAACCTTCAAGACCACCTCTCCATATCTCCTTCCCAGGCGAGCAACATTCTTCAGACTGGCGTCAACATTGTCTCGGACTCTGCGCCTGCTCCATCCGGGCCAAGCAGACCAGGAAGGGGCGTCGTCCTCTCCATGGGACCTTTCGGCAGTACCCTCCAGCCAGGGCAAGAGTATGCTGGCATCTATCCAGCTCCCTTTGGCCCCGGGGGATCATCAAACAGCTTCTTGGAGGACCAAACCGAGCAGGAGGAGGCTGCGGTGGAAGCTCTCGCAGAGCATCACCTTTCCAAATTACTCGCTATCGCTGCCGACGAGCGAACATGGTCCAAAGTCGAATGGATAGCGTTCGAAACCATTCCCGTTCTTCACGAGGCCAGAGCGATTCGCCGGGCTATGGGAAGGCTAGAGAAGAAGCGGGGGGGTGGTAGGAAGAAATTCTGGATCGTGGCGCCTTTTCCTGATGGACTACATCCTCAGATCTTGACTTCGGGGAAGCATGCGCCCCTGTCGCTTTATCTGTCTACGCTCCTGGGCCTGTCACAGGAGGACTCTGTCCCGGACGGTATTGGGGTAAACTGCACTAACCCTTCTTATCTTCCTACTATTCTCGGCGAGCTCACTTCTCTTGTAACCGCCTATTCGACGTCAGTGACGAAACCCTGGCTCGTCTTTTACCCAGACGGAGGGCAGGTGTACGACGTCGTCTCTCGAACATGGACCGTAGCCCCTTCCAGCCCTGCCAATGCTCAAGATTGGGCTGAACGTATTGGCGACTTGGCCATACGCTATGGCCATGCGCACACAGAGGACCAGTCCGAGACGAGGATCTGGAGAGGTATCATCGTCGGGGGGTGCTGCAAGTCGTCTTTCGACGAGATAAAGGCGTTGCGAACAGTAATTGATAGAGCATAGAGCTCATCTTCATGCACAAGCTTTCAAGACCGATTCCAAATCCATAACTGGACCCCCATTCGCAACGTCTCTCCGATACACAATTTTGCTGCGAGAGTAAAGTTATCGCTGTGCTGACCTCCTGTTGAAGTCACAATTGCTTGTCATGCATCAGGGCAAACAGGTCAGTATAGTATATTCATAGGGGTATGCGCTACATTACAACAGGAGATCTGAAAGTGTGAATGACAGAGACGGATGCGAGCAAAGGTCAAGTTGGACTAATCACAGGCTCACGAAAAATGAAGAAGCAATGAAATGTATCGAGTACCAAAGATTCGATAATGCTAAGATGAATGATGATGCAATGTTGCAGCAAGAGAGAGTAAAGAGTCGTAGAAAGCGCGGAAGACCTCCTTGGAGGGCCTTCCACCTAGCGTCAAAGTCTAGTCGGTGGTGGGAGCCCGATGCCAGGCGGAGGCGGGGGTGCTGTAGTCCGCGGGTATGCCGAGTAGTACCCCATTGGCGGCGGCACGGCCTTGGGTGCTCCTGAACTTGAGCCCACCGGTCCACCTGCTGCTGGTGGTTGCCAGAAGTGATACCGACCCGTGGGCTCTGCTGTTCTGGGAGGGGGCTGATACGGTATAGCACCTGGAGGCGGTAATCTTTCTCTCTCCCTTTCCCTCTCTCTCTCTCTTTCCCTCTCTCTCTCTCTTTCCCTCTCTCTCTCTCTCTCCCTCTCTCTCTCCCTTTCCCTCTCTCTATCACGGTCTCTGCGCAGACTAGCCTCATAGTCGTGCGCCGCACGAGCACTATACGACGAAGGCTGGGGCGGAGGAGGAAGGGTGTGGTGATACATGCTCGAGGGACGATCCCACATCCCGCCGTTATGTGTCTGGGGCGGTAGAATGGGCGGTGGAGGAGGAGGCTGATACCTGTCTCTGTGCTGGGGCCACGGAGCAGTCTGGGCCTGTGGAGGCGGACGCTTCGCAGGGGCACTGCGGCCGTGATGTACAGGGTAATCGGGAGTGTGCCGTCTGGGAGGAGGAGAAGGTGATCGGTGTGCGAAGGAGCGGGTTTGAATTCCCATTTTACCGAGGTCGCTTCTGGCGTCGGCATGGGACAGCACCGTAATGTCTTTCGGTACAGAACGGCGTTGGCGAGTCTGACCGTCCGCTTCAAATGAGACCAAGGGCTGTTCGTCTTTGGAGAGCAAATGCTTGTTGGCAAGAGCCCATCCCCCGCCACCCCGGCCTGCACGCAGATTGGGAAGAGCGTCAGGGTTCCGTCTCAAAGCGACACGCTCTCCAGCAAGGCGGGCAATCATGAACCGGTTTGCGTGAGTCATGTCGTCCTGAATCTTCTCCACCTCGACCTGTGAGTACGTCAGCGTATGAGGTGAAGGCAACACAAGGTGAAACATACGTGAAAGTTGGTGATGGCTGAATCTCTCCAGTGATCTCTCATTTTTGTGACTTCCCGAACCGCTGCTTCTTCCCGAGCTTCCACCCAATGGAGTTGAGCGTCTTTGCGGCGTGCAACCTCTTGCCAAAGAAGTAGCAGTTGAGGGTGAGAACCATTGAGAAGTTCCTTCTCTTGTTGGTCAAGGTTGTCCAGAGCTCTGTCATTTGGTCAGTAATAGACTCGGAATCGAAAGCAACGTACTCGTCTATCAATCGGTGTTTAGCCTGTTGTCTAGCAACCGCGATCGAGTCATCGGGGTCGACTAGATTGATGTCAGCGCGCCCACAAAGTAAAACAACCAAAACTTGCCTTCTCCTTTTCTGAGCCACTTCCGCTTTTTCCTCGGAGCTCTTTTTGGCGCCTGCCCCCTGCTGCCCTTGTATTCATCATCCGCAGCCACCTCGCTTTCGGCCTTGTCGTACTTTTCTTCTACAGCCTCGACTCCCAGTACGAGGTCCCGCACCGGTTCCTCCTTGGCGTCATTTGCATCGACTCCTCCGTCTTCGTCCTCAAGTTCATCATTGTTCTCGTCCCCCTCAACGATGCCATCCTCTTGCTCTTGCTCATGCTCTTCCTTTTCGTCTTCATCATCTCCAAGATCATCTTCCGCTTCCCTTTTTCTTCCGATGACGGCCCCTGGGACATCCTCGGACCCCTCTTCCCTATCCTCCCATTCGTCTCTCCCTTCTCTGTCGTCTCTTTCGTCCCGCTCCTCTTTCTCGTCCCTCTTATCCTTCTCGTCCTCGCTCTCGCTCTGAAGTGCAGGGTCTATAGGAATATCATCGTCCTTCAGCCCATTGGCATACTGGTGGGGATTGTGAAGGGTCTCGTCATCGACAATCATGTCGGTAGGACCTGGTTTGGCGTCCAAATCATATGTAAGCGCGACAGCGGGGTGGGTGTGAGCGTCGACGTGTATCTCGGTACCGTTAGGCACATAGTCGCCATTTGCGTATGGCTGGTCGTCCATTCTACCGGTTGTGGTGGTTGGATTTGCTGAACTGGCAGAGACACAAATCAGCAACAAATTCCTTTAATCAGGAGCCAAACAAGCAAAAGAACACGTGCGGTGATTGCCGATGGCGAAGCTCGGAGCTCCGCGATCACTTTCTAATCACAATTACGTAACTGTGGCTATCCCGCTCATGCGCAGATCCATCCCAGATAAACGGAGGCAGGGGAGACGGGTGGAAGGAGAGGAAGAAAATGGGATGTGATAGATTGAGCCAAGGAGAAGAAAAGAGCTGGGGATACGTTGTGGGAGAAAACGAAGCTAGGGCGAAAAGAAACCGCGGTAGATTCAGGGGCGGATAAAGGGGCGAAGGACCGGTGTGACGGCAGATCCCAATGAGCTGGGCCATGCTTGACTGATATGGCATGGCCAGCCAGCCCTCACGTACAGGAAAAGCCATGTAGGGTATACGCACGTGAGAACCGGCGAGCAAAGAACGTCGCCCAGCGCAGATCGGCGGAGCGATTTTGACAGGTGGAGGCCACGCAGAGAAGGTAGAACGTCCCACACAACACAGGGCCCTATCTTTCGCCTCGCTCTTTGGGTCCGTGTTGTATAGCATAGCCGGGTAGGGACTATGGCCACGGGTGGCTCATCGTAGGGGACAAAGAGTTTGAATGGAAATCATCAAAGTATATTGGGATCGTTACAGCTCGTAGGCCATAAGGCGAGATGAGACAAGATGAAGAGCGGAGAACATGGATCAAAAGGAAAGACGGGGAATACAGAAGGAGACGGTTGCGCACTCACAGTAATTTGTGGGCGCTAGATGTGCAATGCTCGCGATGGGCGGCAACAACAGAGAGGTCTCTATATAACTCTTGTAAGCCTTCGATCACTTTTGAGGGGAAACTTGAAGAGCGGGGGTGGAAAAGACACCCATCCGCGAGACAACGCCGATGCTTTACAGGCATGTGTTCGGACACGCTCATGGAGTACCATTTCAGAGCATTGTAGCGCCGAAGTGGGTTCCGAAGACGACAAACATGGAATGTTGGCGGCACTGGCGGATTTACTCCTGAAGGCGATATCAATGGAAAGGCCACTCACAAGAATGAATCTATGCGTGGCCAGGTAGGGGGCGATGGGTAGTAGAGGGGATCCGTTCGGAGGATGGAGGTAGCAGGGAGGCCGTGGCTGCGACGGCGGGGTTGCGGTGGGCGGTGGAGAAAAGCAGTTGTGTAACCTGGAGCTGAGTGGTTGCAGCAGGCGTAGAGCCTTTGTCGGCCTCGGGAGAGGGCTCAGGCACGGGTTTGTCTTTTTTTTCTTCCCCCTCTTTCCTCGTTTCGGTGCAAGCTGGGCTTGCTGGCGGAATAGCGGGTGCATATCGGGCTAGAACACGCATTCTATTCAGGGAAAACGAGGTGGAGGTCGTCCAGCCAATTTACGTGCGGCCTGGCCTGCTGTCATCGGCGGAGAGGGCCGTCTGCCATGGCCCTCTGTGCATCTGGTATCTTGTACATGAGAGAGGGAGGGTGGGTGCAGCACAAGCCCATGCGCGCCCACATCTCTTTTCTCAAACATCCGCTGAGTTGACGCTCAGGCGACCTCTCTGAGCATGTATCTCAGCCAATCAAACTTCGGCCTAAGTGTCAGTGGCGCGTTGGAATCCGTTACGTACAAGTACGACTCCAACGAGTATCAAACCAGCTTTTGGTCCGAATTTTTGGGGGAACAGTAATATCTGACGGATTGAAGTCGCAGCAGTAGGAGAACACTCGGACGGATGATGTCAGCATCTGCGCGTTGTTTGTTTGTCTTCCTCGTGGGCGAATAACATATCCATACGCATAGAGAGTCCATGAGAGCAAGTCTTAGAGGATACAAGCAACATGGATCCAGAGCATTAAAAGAGTAGCAAAAGATACAGAACTAGTAGATCAAGGATGTGACTTTAAAGCCCCATATTGTCGACAAAAGCAGCAAAGTCAAACCCCAACGTCTCCGCCTCAGCCCCCCCTTCGTGTGTGATTTCCATCACCGCGCCCGTGTCCATACCGTGCTGCATCGACCCCGGCACATTCATCCCCATCATCCCAATATCAATACCTCTGACCAGAGGTTCGCCTGCTCCATAGTGGTGAATTGAGTGATTGTCCAAAGACATCCCCATGTGCATACCCGAGTTCATGCCGAACGCAGCAGAAATGTCCATCTCGGTGCTCGGGTCAAACTCGGGTGAGACGCCAGAGCCAGAAAAGTTTGAGGAGTCCACCGGCGGAGATGATGGAACCCAATTTGAAGACTGATGAGCCAGGAAATTAGGATCCTGCGGACGAGCTGCAAAGGACGGCGTCGGAGTCATGTCGGTCAAGAAAGGGCCCATCGGTTCGCCCGGGTGCCACGAACTGCCGGAACCAGACGCTGTTGTCCGCTGCTGATGGCTGTTTGCACTGGAAGGCAATATTCTGCTGGCAAGAGGCGTCTCAACAGGGGCAGGCGGTATTATACCTTCATACAAGCCGCTTTCCACCAGTGTCGAGGCTGTGCCAATTGAACCCCCTGATCCGGGTGATGGTGTGCCTTCCAGCCCGTTTCCTTGGGGCCCGCTGCCCCCCGACAGGCGCCTTTGATGCGGTACCTGAACTCGGCGAAGCTTGCCGCTGCCAGCAAGATGGCTAAGATCGTCGTCTTCACCAGAGCTACCATGCCCCTTGGCCGTCTGTGACCGGCTTTTGTGGGCGGCGGCAGCAGTAGCAGCAGCAAGGGCATCGTGCGCGCGTACGCGCAGGCGGAGAAGGATGGGGAGACCGCGTTTGGCGCGACAACCCTCCCGGGCAGCCGCCGAGATGTCGCACACCATGGACATGGCATGAAAGGAAGGGTTGGCGAATGCCGAGTAGGGTGCGCGTATAGTGATTGCCGACCTGCTCTGGGTCAGCCGGGAGACATCGAAATAGGAACACGTACAGGCAGACTGCGGCAGAAAAGGCGTGAAACCAAAAGAACCACCATCTTGCAATCAAGCTCGGGTGATAGATTACCAAATACTTTACCAACAGCACAATCTCTTGTGCACTCTCGAATAGCGCAACAAAGCTCTCTCCCAGCTTCGCAGAGTGAGACGGGTCGGTAGGTGAGTCCTGGAGGGCACGGACAAAGAGCGGGCGGTTGAGCAGAAGGCGGGTTTGAGCGATCTGGAGACGGATGCCGAAGCGGTGAATCACGAGGTGGGGGTGGATTTGTGAATCCAGCGGGAGGTCTTGGATCGGGACGTTGGGCATGAGGAGTTCCGGGAGGTTCTTCTTGACTGGTGAACTGTAAGCCAAGGACGACGTTGGAGAAAAATGGCGTACACTCTCGAACCTCTTGGTCCAGCTGCGCCACAGTGACAAAGGACACTGGGTCAACTTGCGTTTGTATTTCAATGACCCGCTCCATAAACTCCATGAACTGGTACTTTGCCCGGTGGACTGTGAACGTCAGCGTCACCGCCTAAAGCTGACATGCAGCACTCACACCCAGCTTCATCACCGATCAGCTCGGGAGTCTCTGGCAACTTGGTATCCGACCATTTGAAACTCGTAGAGCAAGGCCGGGCGAAACAAATGGCTTGTAATCGGTCATACGTCTGCCAGCTCGTCAGCAGGAGGCAGTCTATATCTGGGACCACTCACAACCACCTCCCACCAAGTCTGGCGTCGCTCTTCGATCTCGTACTGGGACAGGCCACCATAGTTGGATCCGTCACGATGCAGACCGAGCTGCAATACGATCAGCCTGGTTAAATTGAACAAATGTGGACGTACACCCTGAGCAATTTTCACTGCCGTCCCCAAGATCGGCCAAAATACCTCGCCGCCATTTCCACCTTTCCACGTTGTAAGCCAATCATCAAATGAACATGAACACAACGACTCACGCTTATCATTCAGGATGTACGTCCCCATCAAAAGCAACGCCTGCACAGTGGCAGGGCTAGCATGCTCAATGCCCACAGTCGAGATACACGCTCTGCCTAGTGAGAAGAGCTGCTCCCCTCTCGGGTCAACTATTCAAAAAGATCAGACAGCTGAAGTTGATTGATCGTAGACTTACAGGGTGGACGATGTAAATCGTACATGACGCCCAATGCCATGACAAGGAATACACATGCCAATTTGTGAGCATTGACGGGGGATGCAGTGTCGTAGGCATTGAGGATGTGGTCATTTTCAAACATCACCCGAGGGATCATTTGATACCTATATCTCTGTCAGTGATGTCTTGGGCTGCAAGGGGGGTACGCACTGCCAGTTTACATTCTCCCAGTACGCCGCTACCAGCACTCGGCCCTCAATTTCATAATCGGGCAGCTCTGCTCGCAAGCTGTTTAGATCCCACTTGACCTCGCCCCCGGCCATGAGAGAAGCATGGAGCCCGAGACTGGGCCAAAAGTCTTCTTCTCGTTCCTGCGGTGGTCGTGTCTGAGGTGCTGTTCGAGCAGTTGCAGGCGGCGTCCTCAACGGCCCCTCTGTAGCGCTTTTCTCGTCTTCGTCTACGGCCTCCTCTCTCAGATACTCACTTCCGGCAAAGCTTCCCACATAAGTAGCCTGACCCTCTTGCCCCATAGTCAAAGTCCCGACAGCTCCCTCTAGCCGGTCCTCACCTGGTAAAGACCCATGTCGCAGACCAGAGGCGCTCGGAGATGGCCGTGAACGAGAGGGTGACTCGCGCGGGGAAAAGAGGTAAGGAGAAGCAAGAAGCGGATGGGGCGCATCAGTCGTTTTGGCGTGGGCTTGAGAGAGGGCAAGCTCAAGCTCAGAGATGCGTTCGTGCAGCTTTCAAAGAGTCAGTCTCATTCTTGGTTCAAGGGTGAAGACATACTTCGGCGGTATCGGCAAGGATAAGACGCTTGCCTTTGCCTGTTTGCATCACACCTTGAGGACAAATCTGAGCGCACCCCCTTTTCTCACAAGAAGTGCATGGCCATTCTCTCGAGCATTTCAGCTTGAGCCTTTGTCGACCGTATCAGCGACCTATCCTGCAGTCCAGGATACCGACTCACCGCCTGCATTCGGCACAGCTGAAGCTCTGTCTCCCAGTCCCAGCCTTCTCTCCCTTGACTATCTTGACCCCGCCCTTCTTCCCGCCGCCCTCCCCGGGCGGTAGCGACGTCTTTTTCAGTGGCAAGGCCGGAGGCTGCATTGAACCGGGCTGCTGGGTATCTGGAGATGTTGAGGGGATAGGGTTCGAGTCTGGCATGTTTTATAGTATTGTAGCCAAGGTCCGGGCAGTGGGAAAGGTCAAGATTGTCGGGATCCGGTTAGATAGTTAACGACAACGTGTCTGGATTTACTACAACGACATGTGAGTTAGCGCAGCGTACCCAGTGCGAGTATCGATCTGGTGGGACGATTGTTTACAGAGCGGCGAAACAAGTCCGGGTGGGGAAAAGAGACGTACTTTTATACGGAGCGATCACAGAGTGGCAGCTGACAGTAGGGTCCAGGAGTCTTTTGTGCAAATTGTGCACTTGTTCGCTCGCACACACAGCCTGCGTTTTCCCTCGGGTCGAAGGGGTCAAGGTTACCCTGAAGGTGGCCGGCAAGTGGGTTCTGTGGGGTGGTATGGGAGCGAGTCCGACGTGGGTGAAACAGGGGGAGATTGTTACACACACAGCCAGGGATCAGTGGTGGAAGCGGAGACTGAATAGGGCTGAGAGGGCGAATCACGACCCCGCGATACGTGGCCCGAGGATAATAAATAATCTAGCCCGCTTCGCTATCAAGCACCACCAGGCACACGACGCCTGCTCCTGACTTTTCCACCCGGCCATGTCCTCAGCATCCACGACATGCATCCACTGCCAGCGACCACCGACCCAGACACGCTTTCTATGGCTGATGCATTTGATCGAACAAGGTTTAGAGTCACAACGAATATAAAAGGAAACACCCCGCTCCTCCCTTCGCCCCCTCTCGACTCACAGAGCCCCGCCGCCTCCGCGACACTCTCCTCTCTTCCCCCGCTAACCCTACGCCTATTGTGGGGGACGGAAGCTGCACCGAGTCAGGTCGACCTTCTCTGTGCTGTACAGAAAACTTACCCATGAGGGAATCCAGGCGGCATACCAGCAGGCGCCCCAGGGAACCCAGGTGGCCTGAATCCAGGCGGCATCCCAGGCGGCAGAACACCCGCCGGAGGGAAACCAGGAGGCATTCCAGGGGGCAATCCCGGCGCTCCAGGGAACCCGGGTGGTGGCCTAGCATACGCCATCGGCCTCGCGCCCATCGCTCCAGGGGCGCCAGCCCCCAACGGCATACCACGACCGGCGGCAGCTCCTTGACCAGGACCGGGGGCAAGAGACGGTTCGTCCTTTTGGACAGGGGGAGGGCCTTCGACAGAGACAGAGACAATTGTTTCGCCACGGAGGATGACGAGACCAAGCGTTCGTTTTTGTTGAGTGGGAGGGGCAGGTTCGTTGGTACCGGTCTTCTTCTTACTCTGCAGATGATAGTCAGGTCAGCTAGTATAGAACGGCCTTTTTGCCAACGTACCTTGACGGTTCGGAACTCTTCACACTCGGCCAGCACAAAGTTCATGTGCTTGTCATACGCCAACATCTGTCCAACGAGAGATCTGCCATCATTCCTGAGATACCTGTCAGTCATGCTCGCAAGCTCGACCCTCAGCCCGATATATGCACGTACAGGGTGACCTTGAGCCTGTAGTGAACAAGCGTCACCATTTTGGAGTGTTTGGCTTTGGGAGCTGCATTTCCGGTCAGCCAAGCTCGACAATCTGATACAGGTGAAACTTACGAGGCTATTTTTATGTCCAGAATCGACAAGAGAAGAAGAAGAACATGCGATGGTCAGCATACATTCCGTTTGAAACTCCTCACCACCATCCACTTCTAGCAACAGTCCTCCTCTCGCCATCCGTCCTTCATAACCAGCATCCGTCTTCATCGGTACTCTCCCCAGCACACCGCCCGTTCTCCTTCTTGCCTCTCCCCCCGAACGACCCCACGCGCCAATGCTTGACGTCGTTTCCTAATTGTTGAAATCCCTCGCGCTCTCCCTCACGCTCTGCTAATCCAGATTGTTCGGCCCGTTTTCCCAGCATCTGCCCCTCCTTCCATCACCCTGTCAGTGCAAGGCCGAGTCCGACTCACCATGATGGCGGTATCCCTTGCGTTGTGCTGTTTTGCATACCCTACTTGAGCTTGAAAGCCAAGGACGCAGCCATGAGCGGAATTATAGAGCATTTCCCGCATGTGGCGCGCGTCTCCATATAAGAATCGATTTTCCACAGTCAATTCTTCTTCTTGAATCAAATTGTATATGGTCCCGTTATTGTGGATCCTGGGCGTAACTCCGTCTCCTTTGGGGTCGGTGTTCAGTGTCCAGTGATCTCTACAGGAGGATCTAGAGCGAAATTCATAAGACAAGACGTCTAGCCGGGGCACTGTGATTTCTGTGGTGTATTTGGCCTGAGTTTTGACTACATATCAATGCATAATATTGTTCTTCTATACATCTGTGTCTGCTTTTCATGAGAGTCCGAGCTGCAACGGTGCAATCTGTCTAGTATGCAAGTTACATGAAATATGAATGACGATAAACTTTGCACCCCTTGACATCACATCTCGTGCTCTTTCTTGCATCTATATCTCTACACCCACACCCGCGATTAATTCACAATGGCCGCCCTCGACCGCAGACGTATTCCGGCCCCGGAAATCTCTCATGCCCCCACCTACGAGCCGCTTTCCTCCCAAGCAGGCCCCTCGAGAACAGATCGATCGGACCTCGAGTCCCGACCCATATGTCCGTCCTCCCTTTTCGTCCTGGATTCTGTCGCTAATACCCGCTGGATAGTTCTCAAGACGGGCTTGATCTCACAGGCAAACGGCTCCGCCTATATTGAAGCGGGCGGCACAAAAATTGCCTGCTCTGTCTACGGCCCTCGACCCAAGCAACCGCCTTATAGTCCCGAGGGGACATTAAGTCTGGAAGTCAAATTTGCGCCATTCGCCAGTGACCCAAGGCGAGCGCCATTACGAGCAAGTCTTCTTACTTTTGAGACCCGGTAGAATACTGACAAGGCCGTAGGACACTGAACCCCTCCCGTTATCGAATCTCTTGACCCAGCTTCTCCTTCCGTCTCTTCACCTCTCCGCCTTTCCCAAAGCTCAGCTCGACATTTTCCTCCTCGTTCTCGAATCGTCTTCCCCCGCGTCCGTACTGAGTGCGGGATTGACAGTGGCCAGTGCCGCGGTCGTAGACGCCGGCGTGGAGATGGGCGGTTTGGGCGTCGGCGCGGTCGTTGCAAAGCTCGAAGAGGGCAGGAACCTGGTCGACCCGAGTAAAGATGAGGAGGCGGAGAGCAGGGCGCGGGCTGTGGTTGGGGGCATGCCGGCCTTGGGAAAGATTACAAATATGTGGTTGGAGGGAGAAGTGCCCGTTTCGGAAGCGTGTGATGTGGGTCATCTTTCTACTTTTGGGGTCTTGTGGTGACTGACTTGCATTGCAGATGATAGAAACAGCTCTGGTGTCTACCCGCGAGACCCATACAGTCCTCGCCCAGGCCATCATTGAAGGAGTCGAGGAGCGAGGCCTGGGTTTATAGTCATAGTCGCTCTCGTCGTTCGACAAGAAGCTAATGATATATATCGCATCCGATGTGTAGCATGGCGATAGCTGTATGAATCTCGTCGGCATTGCGTTGATGAACTGATGAGTTTGTTGCGATCATGCTTCTATCCACATGCTTTTACCCACAACAATCACTTACAGTGCCAAGTATGTGATCCTCATGTTACGCCTAGTAGCCCGCCCGCTTCGTCGAGCCTTAGGGGCATCGCTTTTCTGATGTTTCCGGCAAACAAAGATGTAGACGTGCATTCTGCAGATTCTCTTTTGCATACCTTGATAGTGTGCAAGCTTTGCATGTGAAACTTGCCGATCAGGCGACTTTGTAGGCTCTGCTCGGGGAAGAGTTAGGTAGATAGATCCTGCAGGGCCTGATGTATCAAGCGCCCTTTCACCATACACCCAGTGCAGAGCGGTTCACGTGTACGGGTATAAAAGCTGACGACAAGTTAGTCAGATTGAAGACAAAGTATGCGAACAGGGCAGCAACGATAAGGCAGCTGATGTCACTTCTGGCCGTCATCAACTTGTCGCTGTCGTTCACTGATATTTTTCTGCTGCTGTAACATGCCTCCACTGGCGACAGGATGACAAGCTGCTAGTTAGAGCTCGGAGTAATGCACATTTGGCGAGTGAATCCCATTTATATGGCTGGGTACTGTCCTGGAGCAATAGTACTAATTCACTGTCATGTGCGCTCTTTGCCCCGTACCTTTGCAGCTAATAGCCCTGTGAAACTAGTCTTCGTCTCGGACAGAGAGAGATACTGGGTTTTGATTGATAGAGGTCATGAGAAGGTCCTGGAGGCTTCCGTTGCAGGACCAGACATGAGCTGCGAGTGCTTAGAGCGCTCGCTGTACTCCAACATCATCATGACATCTTGTTGTTGGAAGAAGACTTTGCGAAGTGCTTGCCACTTGGACTGCATTGACTAGAGGTTCTCACCTCCATATGTCTCCTCCCCCTCTTCCATATCAAAGAGAGAAACAAAAGGCTAACCTTGGCACAGAAGACTGCTCCTTTTCCTTCAGCGTCGACTCCGTAATCGTATCCCTCATTCTCGCTCTCTTCATGACCCGAACAGTTTACCCCGCCCTTCGTGGCCATTCCTGGGCAGCAAGGTGAAAGGGATCTTGCTCCTGAGGTAGTCTCAAAGTATGGCCTGAATGATTGTGAGGATATCGAGCATACTAATTGCGCGTTGTTGTTGGTACCGAGGGCAAGTACCTGCGCACATGAAACAAGATGCTTCATGCTTCGCTTCAATACGTCGAGCTATAGAATATGCAATTCCACCTCCAGTGTATGTGTCAAGCTAATTCATTATTTCGCACCATCAGAAAATATGAAAAAAATCTATCGGATCATGTTGCTGCAGGGCATGTCATTACGTTGAGTGAGAACGCAATATAAATATGGCGAGGAGGGATGCTGTGCCGTCCGTGGGATCTCTTCTGTGGTAGCAAGAGACCCCGAGAATGACATAAATTCTACTTGGGAGCTTAGGAACGACATGACAAAGGAATGTAGGAAGTGATGGGAGAGTATGGTCTCGGGCTCGGCTGCCTCGCGCGGGCATGATCGCGGACACTTGGCCGCCGCTCTCGTCATGCTCTTTCAGAGCCCCCCCATCACTGGACATCAGTATTGCACACTTGGCATGATGATATACCAAGTCCTACCATCCTGATGGGTTGCTACCACCTCTTGATGCTTAAAATGACTCGGAATTCGAAGGCTAGCAGGGAATGAAAAGTCTGCAACTGAATTCAACCTCATACAAAGTCGCCATGCACCCTGCCGTCTGTACATTTACACTTTGCACCGAACGTTAAATGATCAGAGTACCCATCATGATGAACTGATCGCATAGATGGATGACCCTTCCTTCTGACTTGGAATGCAGTATTATGTTACCGGCTACTGAAAGGCGACGACAGCCTTGACTGCATCGCTTCCCCTCGTGAACTTGCCGGCCTGGGGTAAGAAGGCCGCCACATATACAATCCCAAAGATACTCGGTCCCGAGACCACGACTGAACTGTTATTGAGGCTTGGGCAAATCGGATTGTCGTGTGCTGATGGCATGGTGATCAATAGAGGTGCATCGATAGACCCAAGCAACTGTATTTGTGTCCCCCCTTGTATGGCTTGGTACTTCATTTTCGATTCCTCCACGATGACATAGACGGTAGACGGCCAACACAAATGCTCTGGCCTCATCGCTGTCCATTTGTGCCAAGCTGACCAGACGCGCCACACGACGGGCGGCCAGACCTTGTCTGTGCTTCGATTGTTCCTTTCTAACATGATAATCACCCGAAGCACATCTCTTGGTCCTTTTTGACAAGAATGTACCCCCGCACTGTCTAACGGGGTATGTTTCGACGGCTAGATCTCGTTACAGAAAAGACTTGCTCCGCATAGTTGTCGTGTCTTGGCTGTTTCAATCAACGTAATAAACCCCATCACGTCGCAATGCTATGCGGTTCCTCGTCGCCAGGCCGACCAGCCTGATGGGTATTCTTATACCTGACACTGACTGTGGGTGTATAGCAAGGGGCATGGCGTTGAGCGACTCTCTATGCATGCATCGGGCCTCGCCGCCGGGTCATAGTTGGTAAGCGAGGCTAGTGCGGCGTGACAAGGATGAAACGCGCCCATGTCCCTGAGGGTCCGCGCGTTGTTGACTGTTTTATTTTCAAAGCGCCGCCCGCCGCCTGGAACAAAAGGGATGCGCTGAAAAGGGCCGCGCACGGTCCTTTGGTCCTTTCGATACGATCCATCCCAATCGCATCCCCATTTCTCTTTTGTCAATCAACCTTCCCGAGCTGCGCTCTCACCCACCCAGCTACCCAGCTACCCACACTCGTTTATCCCCCAGACGCAATGAAGCTCACCATCTCCGCCCTCACCGCCGCCGCCTACCTGGCCCTCTGCACCTCCGTTGTCGCTCGACAGGACATCCCGTACGCCCGTCGAGGCCCCGGCGGTGCCATCATCAAGATCCGCCAGGACGACTCGTTCGACTATTCCAATTCTACCTCCAACGACACGGGGGCTGTCGGCTTTGACAACTCTACCGCCGTCGACGTGGGCAACAGCACCACCAACGAGACCTCCTTTGGCGGCTCTGACAACTCTACCGCTGTTGACCTTGGCAATTCGACCGCCACCGCCACCGCCAGCTCGTCGGCTGTCTCCGCCACCGAGAGCGCGTCGGATGACGATGACTACGACTCTGATGAGGATGATGAAGACGATGAGGACTGTGAAGAGGAGGATGAGACTTCCAGCGTGGCCGGCTCCGCTGAGGCCACCCAGGCCGCGTCGAGCACTGTCTCTGACACCGTTTCCACCTCTCCCGTTACCAGCTCTGCTGCGCTCAACCAAGCTGCTGCGGCCACGGCTTCTGCCGAGGAGACTTGTGATGGCGTGAGTCTAGTGGAAATAATGCGATTTGTTTTGCTGACTTTTTCCAGTCTGTTAGCACCGTCTACGCGACCGTGACTGTCACTGCTACTGTGACTGCCGGTGCATCGGATGCTTCTACCACCAGCGGTGCTGCCGGAGTTGTTGCCGCTGCCGTCGACTCTACATCTTCTGTCACCGCCGACGCATCGACTTCCACCGAGAGCGCTACCTCTACCACTGATGACGAGGACGAGGAGGACGAGGAGGACGACGATGATGAGGATTACGTGAGTAGATCGCAACGCAGATTGGATCAGGCTGACTATTTGCCACAGCCCGACTGTGAAGACGAGGATGAGGACACTACTACCACTGTCTCGCAATCTCCTACTGCCGCTTCTTCCGCCGCGAGCTCGACATCGTCTGCCGTTGCGAGCGAGGAAGATGATGAGGAATGCGAGGACGAGGATGAAGAGGAGACTGACTCTTCCACCGTGTGAGTATGTTTTTTTCCTTTTCGAGACGCAAATTGACAAACGTCTCAGTGTATCTGCCACTGGTTCTTCTTCCGCCTCTTCCAGCGTTGTCTCTGCTACCGCCAGGTTAGTTGATTCAGCACACGTTTGGTTTCTCGCTGACCCATCATTCTAGCACCACTCCTGTCGAGGTCATTGATACCGATAGCCAGAGCGCCTCTCAGAACGTCACTCTTCCCACCGAGACTGATTCCTTTGCCAACGTGACTGAGAGCGCCACCTCTGTGCTTTCTTCTGAGACTGCTTCTGTCTCCGCCACGGCCTCTTCGAGCGCTGCTGAATTGCTTGCTTCTGGTTCCACCAGTGCCTCTTGGAGCGCCAGCGAGAGCGCATCCGAGTCTGCCTCCGAGTCTGCCTCCGTGTCTGCCTCCGAGTCTGTGTCTTCGACCGAGTCTGCGTCGAGCTCTTCCGAATATGCGTCCTCGAGCGAGACTGCCAGCGCCACCCCCACCCTCACCCCCACCGAGAGCGCTTCTGAGTCGGCCTCCTCTTCCGCCAACACATCTCCCGTGACTGTTGTGGCTGCCGATGCTTCGGCCGCTGCCGACGTTGCGGTCAAGCGACGAGTTGCCTTCTGGGCCTAAACCCAAGGATAACACATATCCGCCCTTATGACTTTTGATTCTTGAATGTTTCCTTTCCTACAAGTGTGTATATTACGTCTCGCCCCGGTAAAAGGGTGCTAGTCACCTTTTGATTTTGTCACGCCTCTCCTATACGTCTTGGTACGAAGTATTGATTGCTACGATCTCGTGATGTTAGGATGCTCTCCTGTCCTCCTTTGATTTCTACTCTTCTCTTTTTGTTTTGCTGTCATATACAATTGCATTGTGCATATACACGATTACCCTGATTAAATATATGGACCTTTACAAAACTATCCGCAGGTTGCACGACAACCGTCCACAGCTGGGGGGGTTAGTGAGGGCGAGGCTGTTGTAGTGAGGCGCTGCTTACTTTCTCCACCACGGATATCTCCCATGGTCATGAATCCACTCCCTCCGCCGCCCCCAGGCCGAGGCCCGTTGCCACCGCCTCCGCCTCCGGCTGATCTTCTAGCGGGTCTCTGAGCGCGCTGTGCGGGTCGCGCGGAAGGGTCAGTCCACGAGGCTGGGTTGGCAATAGGCTGTGGTGCAGTTGTCAGCGTCGTGATATCCTCGGGATGTACGCACGCTGATGAGCGTCTCAAAGAAGAGATAGACGATGGTCGCCATGTCGGAGGCCGAGTTGGAGATGCGATTATAGAGGGGCTGGGATGTGAGTGCCCCCGAGGAGGATACGTATGGTGTCTTGTCTGACATGGTGTTTGGGTAGACGATGTTGAGACGATGGATGGTAGAGAGATGTCCGGAACAGCGAGTGGCGTGGTGGAGGCGGCGCTGCCCGCCCTCCCGAGATCAAAACATCAACATCAATAGATACGACGATTCTTTCAAGAACCAAGCAACCGCCCTCTCTGTTCTCGTCCATTCCACCCCATATATCACTCCTGAATCTGTGACAAGGCATACTCGACTCCTCTTCCCGCAGACCCTGATAGACCGACGCTCGGCCCTCTTTCCGTCACTTTTTCCCGACCCCTCGGGCCCTCAGGCTCTCGTCAAGCAATCCCTCCGCTCGTATATATATCAAAGCACTATGGGCGCCAAACCAGTATGTCAAACTCGTATCCCATTACGCCTCGCTGACTGTTGGTCATCTGCAGATATCGCGCAAACTCGTCGTGCTCGGAGATGGTGCTTGCGGCAAGGTGTGCATCTTGTAATGAAGGTAGGCGCCAACTGACTTTTGGGTAGACTTCGCTATTGACGGTATTCACAAAAGGTGGGTCATTTGACTGGTATCGTGGGTGCATGCTGACTGTGGATAGGATACTTTCCCACAACATAGTGCGTAGATGAGCATCTGGTGGGCCTTTCTGACTAGGAGTGCAGCGAACCGACAGTATTTGAGAATTATGTAGAGATGATGGAAGTGGATGACCAGGTGGTAGAGCTGAGTCTGTGGGATACTGCTGGTGAGTGCTTGGATAATTGGCGTGACTGACGCCGGGCAGGACAAGAAGAGTTTGACCGCCTACGCTCGCTTTCCTATGCTGATACGCACTGTGTAATGCTTTGCTTTTCGGTAAGCATAGTCGTCCATTTTAAGCTGGTTGCTGATACAGTGGCAAGGTGGATTCACCGGTATCGCTGGAGAATACCGAGTCCAAGGTGAGCCCGCTGCCGTATGTATACGCGAGCACTGCTGACGGTACGCAGTGGATACACGAGATCAACGAGTTTTGCCCGGGTGTCAAGATTATTCTTATCGGTGAGTGTGCTGTTGGAGGGGCCACGGCTGACCGTCGTAGCTCTGAAATGCGACTTGCGAGACGACCAAGGCGTAAGAGATAAACTGGCCCGACGGAATCTGCATACAGTGACATACGACGAGGGGTTGGCCACTGCACGGACTATCCGCGCGAGCCGTTACTTGGGTACGCCATGCCGAGCCATACACGACCCTGCTGACCACCTTCAGAATGCTCTGCCAAGCACAACCGTGGGGTGCGTGAGGCTGTCTACGAGGCTGGGCGTGTGGCGGTCGGGAGCCGGGCGAAGGGTGGGGGTTCAGGGGGGCGACTGAAAGGGGAAGGATGGAAGGACAAGTGCGTGGTGATGTAGGTTGTGCACGCTGGGTGGTCTGTACGAGTACGATAGTAGAGTAATGCTTTGAAATGCTATGCCCTGTTGTGAATTGTGATGCGCCAGAGAGGGGCGGGGGGTGCCGCCGTGATAGCGCAGGGTCCCGCAGTAGGCTAAGTATTGAATATCTCTGCGACTTTCTTTCTTCTCTTCTTTCTTCTTCTTTTCTTTCTTCCTCTCTCCTCTCCCCTCTCCCCTCTCCCCCGTGATGCCCCCCTCCCCCCGCACCCTCGCCGTCCTCCTCGCATGGGCAGCCGCCGTCGCCCTCATCCACACCTTCGTCTTCCCCCTCCCCCTCCCCGCCTTCTCCCTCTCAAAGCCCACCGCACAGCAGCACTTTCTTTCAACCACCTTCCCCCAGCCCCCGCACCGGGTCGGCGACGACCAGGTCGACTCGGTAGACCCCAGATGGCGCCCCTTCGACCCCCTCCCGGCCCCCGAGCCGCCCTTCCCGAGGCTCAGGCCGACCCGCTTCCTCCCGCCAAAGTGTCTCGAGCAGTGGTTCATGGAGGGCGAGACCCTCTGCGGCCCCTCCGACTTTGGTGAGGAGGAAAAGCTCGACGCCACCTGGCTCTGGGTCAACGGCTCAGACCACAGGTGGCGAGACAGCATGGTCGCATGGCGAACCAAAGAGGACATCTACTCGCCCGAACATCACTTCCGGTATGTCTTGGCGTCGCACACGGCACTGCGCTGACCCCTCCCAGCGAACAGAACGAGCTCGTCCACTCGATGCGCTCCATCCTCGACGCCCTCCCCGGCCGCATGCGCACCTTCCACCTCATCCTCGCCGACTACCCCTTCAACTATCCGCAAGACCTCGACCTCGTCCCCGAGTCTGTGCTTCCGCAGCTCGAAACCGCTGCGGCGTCCAGAATCAAGGGCCGTACCCACGCCCGAGACATTCCTGCCGGTCCTTCTCACGGCGGCAACCTTACGGAGCGAGTCTCGACCGCCGACATCTCCCCCGCCCTCGCAGAGTATCTCAAGGACCAGTGGCGGGTCGTCCAGACACCCACCTGGCTCGACTTTTCCCGCAGAGACCCCTCCAGCCCGTCGCACCCATTCCACCCCTATTCCGTCACCAAGGAGGGCAAGAGCGCACAGCACTATGCAGAAGCCAACTATCCCACCTTTAGGTATGCTGCGCACTCGGAAATCTTCCACTTGCCTTCTGGCGACCGCGACGGACGACACTTGGGCGAGGCCGATTGGAGGGAGCAGGAATGGCGCAAAAAGGCCCTGCCGAGTTTCAACTCTATGGCCATTGAAGGCAGAATCGGATGGTTGCCCGGACTCGTGAGTTTTTCTTTTTTTGTATGATGCGCAGTACTGACTTGTCCAGGCCGATGCTGTGATTGCGCTCAACGACGATTTCTTCCTCCTCCGTCCCCACGCCGTCTCTGATTTCCACTCACCCCTCTACGGCTCCGTCATTCGATTCGACCACGGCTATGGCCAGCAAGTCAAGCCCGACATTGACCGCAACAATATCAACAATGCTGGTGAAATTGGCGGTCTCTACCACGCCAACGCTTTGCTTTCCCAGCGATTCCCCCACCGACTGCGTCCGTACTTTGCCCACGTCCCCAAGACCATCACCCGAGGCTTGCACCACGAGGCGAGCTTGATGTTCAAGGAAGCCATGGCGGACAGTGGCGAGAGGCGATTCAGAGAGATGAAGCTTGGTGACGGTGATGTGCAGATGCAGTGGCTGCTTACTGCTTTGAGAGTAAGCATACCGCTTGGCAAAGGGCTATGGCTGACTTTTACAGGTTGAAAGATGGCGAGAAGCACTCCTCTGGACTTGGGTCGTGACCAACATGGGAACCCGCGGATCCACCAAGGCCCACTGGGACGACAACACTCGATCTGAAATCAAGGACCTCTTTGGCTTCAACGACGGCGACGGCGATGTCGTCAAGATTCAAGTCCACCGAGGCGAGAGGTGGACGCTCGAGAATGGCAGGATGCACAAGGCGTTCGAGCAGGCTGGATGGGAGGCGCCCAAGGCCACCGAGTTCTTGTGGTGTATGTCTTCCCGCCCTACACCATACCCATGCTGACGTTATTCAGCTTCGATGGACGGCCCCATGCCCCACCTCCTCAAGAATGGCAAGGACCCGGAGGAAAACAACAAGTGCGTGCTCGACCTCAACCGCTGCTTTGGCTCCTTCTGGTCTCGCGGAGAACACTTTGCCTCCGACGACATGTTTAAGCGACTCACTTTCCAGTACCCCGAATGCGGCGACTGCTGTAAGTATCCAAGCACTTCGTAGACTATTGCTCACCATCTGTAGTGACAATGGCTCTGGTCACCGCCTCTGGCCCTCTCGGTCTCTCTGCATTCTTCCCTCCCAAGGACACCACCTTTACCGCCCCCAAGCTCAAGCCCAACGCCGAGTACCCCACATTCCTTCCCCCTCCCCATCTCCCCCTCACGCCCACCTGGCACGAGGCCGATTTCTCTCTCGAGAGCGTGATGGCCAGCACCGCCTTGCCCGAAGAAGAGGTCGATCTTCGACAATACTCTATGAAGTTGCTCTCGCGGTATCTGTATCTTGATGGTCCGTCTCTTTTTCCCCGCTCGCTATACCGCGCTAACCTATAACACAGCCAAATCCGTGTCACACTTTCACATGCTCAAGAATGCCGAACACGCCGGCCGCGTCTTCAAGCAGATCCAAGACACCCCCAGTGTATCGATATTAGGAATGAACGACGACATTGAAGCCGATTACGACGAAACCAAGCGTTTGATGAACGAATGGTTTGAGATGAGGTGGCCCAGGAAGGCGGTATGGGAGAGGGATTGGGATGCGGTCAAGGACCGATATGTGGACTAGATTACTGTTTCGACTGATACCCCCTAATAGATAGACATTCACACACTTGTATTTTTGGCATTAATTATACATACATGATTGAGCTGGTTCTCAATGTCATCATCTTCATGCAGTAGACATTGAACCTGTTGCCATGCAAAATCATTCATTTCATTCATACACATTCACGACGCACCAGGCATCGAGTCAAGAAAACTAGTGTTATCTTGTAAAACACAGATCAAGCGGGAGGGGAGGTGCATGACTAGAGATGAGGAGTCGTGAACGAGAAACACACCTGGCGTTGTGTGTGGGATAGGACATGATAGTATGAACAGGGTAAAAGATCAACGCGTGAATGAATACAGAATGTCCGTGAGAACTGAAGGGTATTTTTCGGGGTCGTTTACGAGATCGTTACAGGCGTACTGTTTAGCAGCTGGCAAGGTTGACTATGCAGAAGTTAGTAGCTATCCGATTGGGACAAGGCAAGACTCACGATAGGTACCCAAGTTGTAACCGCTCTTGCCCTGCATCCAGCCGTTGCAAAATTGGTGCAAGTAGTCGAGGTTGTTCTGAGCCGAGCACTGGCCAGTGGAGGCAGCCGCAGTACCGGCGGCCTGGGTAAGACCGCTGTACCAGCCGTTGTAAGAACCGATAGCCAAAAGGACGTTGCCGCCGTTAGAGCTGATGAGGTCGGCAAAGAGCTTGGTAGCACGCTGGATGTTGAAGTCGACATCGTAACAGCTGCGGATATCGATCAGCTGCGGCCATAGATAACGAGACCAGATTTAGACTTACTTTCCGTCGGGAGCGCCCTCACAGTTTGCGGCGGTCAACTGCATGAGACCAGCTTCGCCATTGCCACCAGTGATCGAGGGGTTACAGGTAGACTCTTGCATGGCGAAAGAAGCCAACATGACAGGCTTGACTGCATGAATGTCAGTGAGGCACAAGCACAACCGGATGCGACTTACCATTGTACTGGGCACCGTAGGTGTTGAACTTGTCAATGTAATCGGCACAGGCAGAGAAGGTTCCATCGGCGGAAAGCTCGACAGCGATAAGGTCGTCGACGGTGACCATGGGAGGGGTCCAACCGGCGCCAGTCAGACCACAGTTGAGCCAATCCTCGGAACCGTTGGGCGAGTCAGAGTCGGCGTTGCTGTAGCCACACGTGCTATCAAGAGTGTCAGAGAGTCGTGCATGAGGACAGGCACACACTCACGAATCAGTGATCTGGAGGAGGCCCGAGAGACCGGCGACAATAGAAGAGCTGGAGCTAGAAGAGCTGGGGGCAGCAGAGGAGGAAGAAGTGCTGGCAGCGCTGGAAGACCAAGCGTCAGAGGAAGACGAGGACCAGGAGGCGGAGGAGGAGGAAGATTCAGCCTGCACGTGTGGTCAGCGATGGAGCGGTGTGTGGGTGGTAGAGCAAGTCACACAGCCAAAAAAAAAACGCTTACCTGGGGGGCCAAAGCTTCGTTGTTGTTGAGGGTGGCAGGCGCAGACCAAGTGGGCTCGGCAGCAGCGCTCTCGGTCTGGGAAGCAGACGACGACCAGCTGTCAGTAGAGTCGGTATTGGCAGCAGCGACCTGAGCCGCTTCGGTGCTAGAGGCAGAAGCAGAGGCAGAGTCCCTGGGTCGGCAGGTGTTGCCCCTCTTTTTCATGTTCTTCTTGATAGCCCTCTTTGCGTTGGCGTGGGCAGTGTCCCTACCCTCGGGAGCGACAGCACGGGCACCAGGGTGCTCGACGGTGCGAAGAGAGTTTGCCATGCGGCGATGCCTCAAATGAGGGGGCTGGGCAGAGCCGGCGTCGACGAGTGCGACGAGGGGAAGAAGGGCGGTGAGGAGGGGGAGGGAGTTGGCGAGCATTGCAAAGAGCGTGGTGGTAGTTGGAGGCGCGAAGAGAGAAAGATGAGATGAGAAAGAGGAATGGAGATGGAAATGCGGAGAGGACAACGCCCAAAGGAAGGCCCGTGCAGTCTGAAACGCCGGGTGGCAGGGGGGTGGCATTAGGAATGTATTAGGAATGTATTAGGAATGTATTAGGAATGTATTAGAAAATGCATCAGCTCATTACAAACACGACTACAAGCCGCTAAGCCAAGCTTCCAGGAACACACAAACATCAGTCGCGCTCTTAGCCCGGCTAGCACAGGGTCACGCTGGGGTCATGACGAGATCATCCCGGGTATACCAGGGTGCATCGCATCCATCCACCCCAGCGCTGCCATTCAACAAAGGAGCATGCTCTGGCAGCCCCCTCGCCCCTCGAGGCAGAGGACAGAACACGCGCCTTACGCCCACACGCCACAGCCCCTTGTCTTGTCACGCTGACGCGCTTACCCTTGTTCCCCGCTTGCTGCCACAGATCACTCAACGTGGCGCCCGTGATCGGCATAAGTCATGTGTTGCATGGCAAGATGCTATTACTGACAGCAGTATCATATGCAGAGGTATATCTTCTATGATGAGCTATGATACAATGAGCCACAACCTTACACAACTATAATCTACAGCACAACATGTTTCTCGCCTCAATCCTGCTCATCCCCTCGTACCGTCCTCGCATGCAGCTTTCCATCATCTGCGTCTGCCCCATTGACGAGGGTTTCACGGGTAGGCGAAGGCGTCGACGGCCAGATCAGAGCCTCCATCCCCGCAAGCCCTTCAATCATCGGGCTAGGTGTGTGTGGCGACGGGCCATCTCGAAGGGGTGAGGTAGGAGTAGTCGCTCGAGGCGTACTCGATTCGACATACTCTACACCCTCCGCAAAGGAACTGTCAGACATTGACAGCGTCGACTGCGGCGGGGCGCTCAGCTTGTACACCTGAGTTGCGTCCGGATCCTCCAACGAGTCGTTACCGGCTTCTTCCGGGTCCTTGGCTTCGTCCATGCCATTCAAGACGTCGGCGCTCCACTCGGAAGAGTCAAAAGGCGATTTGAATGTCGTAGACAAGAGCCTCTGCGCCATCAACGCCTCGTACTCGGGTTCCATCCCGTACCCGCCTCCATCTCCCCCGTCCGCTCCGCCGCCAGAAGCTGCCAGCATCATCTTTTCCAGATCAACAGATTCAGACAGCGGGCTTGGAGGTGGGGCAAACTCGCGTTTCGTCCTCTCGCGCGGTATACGCGGAGTGCCGTTTTTGCGAAGTTTCGTAATGGTATCTTCAAAGTCGCCAGTAGACGAGGTGGTAGACATGCCGGTAGGCTGTGGGGTTAGGCCCATCTGTTTGCGTTCAAGTCTCCGTCGAGCGCGATCTTCGAGAGCAGCTTGTTCTTCTGCTCGTGCCCGGTTCTGAGCTTGGCAGAACTGTGAAAAGTTAGTTCGCCTCGCATACCTTAGGATTGTTCATACCTTGTAGGAAGACACAAAAGTCCTGAAAATCCCAAAGAACTCTTGACTCTGCATCCCTCTCCCCATATCATCACACTCTCCATAGAACGTCTGCACCTCTTTCAATTTGCGGTCTGCCGCAATGATGCCGTCTCTGACATTCCGCACCCGCTCAGACGAAATGGTGACGAAAATGTTCATCTTGCGTGTATACTGCGAGGTGTCGCCGTCGAATTGCTTGTCGAGGGCGTCGCGAATACGATAAATGTCGTCGAGCATGGTTTTCGATGTAGATTGCAGATCCGCATAGTTGACTACAACGAATCAGAACCGGCACATGAGCAGAAAATCATCTACGCACCTCGAGCAGCAGTAGCAGGAATCTCGAGCTCGTTCAAAAACTCGCCGATATTTTGAAAGTGCAGGGATACCGTCTTTTCCAAGAAGTGCAGCAAGTTTTGTCCACCGCTGGATTTGGTATCCACCAGCTGCGCCACATTGTCAGTCCCGCTTCTCATATATCGCCCACTCACTTTATTGATACTGGCAATCTTGAAGCCAAAAGCACCGCCAGCATAATTAGTACCGTTGATGTAATTGCCCATGGTCAGGATCAGTGCAAGCAGAGCCTGGAACTGTTTGGCATCCATCAAGGCATCGCACGCATCCTCAAGCACGGCAAGACTCTGTTTACAGAATGAGCTAGATCTCGACTCGAACCAGAGGCACGCACCTGTTCAAGAAGATCGATATTTTGGGGGAATCGGACCCGGTACAGCATTCCTTTGACACGCTCATTCAGATGAGAAAGCTGGATGAGACGGACCATGAGCCTATCGGCGGGATGCAATTTAGCGAATTGTTCAGGGTCGTCCGCCGAATGCGTGAGGAGTTTACCACGCTTTCATTCGTGTCAGCCACAGCCACTTGGAACCCAAGACCACTCACATCATCATCGTTGGGAAGTACACTCTGTAATTCATTCAAGAACGCCTCGACGCACAGCTCAGAGTCAAACTCGGAGATGGCATTGGCAAGACCCTCGGGATTGTCTTTGTAAGTCTTGGCGAATGGCCCCGAGATGAGAATCTCTGAAACGTCGTCAGGCCTGGTACAGTGTCAATCGAGGAAGCACTCACCGATACGCTTTCTGTGATCAGGAGCCAACACACTGATAATCTCTTGCTCCCTTCGCTTCTCTGTAAAATTGTCAGTTAGGCCTTGTCCGTTTACCATCAAGACTCACTGATCGCATCATACATGACTTCCTTTGCCTTGAACTCGTTCTCAATCTCATCCCAGATATTATGCGCCTTCATCATGTTGACCACTTCTTCCTCCATCTTGTCATCCTCTGCCTTTTTCCACACCGTCTTTCCCAATTGCGCCTTGCTGACCTTGTCCCACTGCAGCTGCTTCATTCGCTTACTAGCAATCATGCTAACATCTTTACGCGAGTCATTTACACCGTAAAGCAAAGAAGACACAGACTCCAGCGGCGCACGAGACGCAGGATTGGACGAGGGAGCTGCAGGAGGTGGGGGAGGCGGAGGAGGAGGAACGGTCGAGCCAGCGGTCTTTTTGAGCGAGTGACCACCCTTGATACCAGCAAAGACGTTGGACATGTCTGGCGCACCGGCTGGCACTGCTGCTGGCTTGCGGGGCATGCCTCCAGGCGGGGGCGGAGGAGGAGGAGGCGGGGGTGGGGGAGGAGGTGGAGGCGGTGCCATAGAAGAAGTCGGTCCTCGAGCGACGGCTGGACCCAAGAAACCGGGAGGGGGCAAAGGGGGCGGGGGAGGCGGTGGCGGTGGCGGCGGAGCAGCCATACTTTCCGACTCATCGGGAACCTGCGTGGCTAGCATCCGTCCACTCTTTTCCTCGTCTTCCGTCACCGTGGAAAGCGCATTGCCATCCTGTGAGAAATCCTTTTCCAGATCCAAATCATGTTTGACACTCTTGGCTTTTGACAGCACTTGCAACCTGAAACTATCTCTGCTTCCCGGAGTCTTGAGCACTTCAGACACGCCAGAGGTATACGCAGTATTACGCTCAGTGTATTGAGAGTCACGGTTGTCGGAATCATCATGGTCACTATTCGAGTCGAGATCGTTGAGCTGAGCGGGAGCTGAAGAACTTCGCGAGATCTGCTTGGCACGTAGCTCGGCCACGAATCGAGGAGGGAAAGCGGAAGGCTTCTTCTGGCCTCGCCAGACAGACTTTTCGCCAATGGGTGGAGCTGCAGGGTCAAAGTTGGCACGTGTGGGCGTGCCAGCGGTGATGACCTCTTGTAGGCGACCTGATCGTGAGGACTGCTGGCCATGGGTGCGCGGGACAGGGGAGACAGAGTCGGCCTCTTGCAACGAGTTCTCGATGTGTAAAAGGACGCTGTCGTCGCCGGCATCTTCGAATTGAGATACCGAGACGTGCTTGGCCTTTCCGCCCGGTGTCCTCGATTTCCTCTTTTTTAGGGATCGCCTTTGACCCCTGACGTTGGAAAGAGCCACTTTGGCAGCCTCCAAGACTTCTCCATCCTCGTGCTCCTCCTCCGACTCGTCATCGACGTCGGTCGAGTCATTTCTTCTGATCGCCCTCTTGAGAGAACTCGACCTCGATCCGTCCTTGCCATGGAACGAGGAGCCGGTGAGCTTCTCAAAGGTTTGGTCATGCGCCTTGTCTTTGTCAATCACCATCTTCCACTCGGTTTCCAACCGCGAAAAGTCGGGGATATTGGCCATCCCTTCCATACCCCTCGGAAGCTCCAGACCAGCCTCGCGGATGATGTTGTAAAGCCTCTGGAGCCAGAGACGGAGCTCATGCAAACGCTTTTCATAGTCTTTGCGCATACCCTCCTTCTCGTCAAGAGCGGCTTCCATAGCCACACGCGAATTGTAGAGCTTCTTCTCCAGCTCGGTAATCTGCGCCTTGAGGCGACCGACGAGGCCGTCGTTCCCCGCAGATATTTCGTCCTGAAGGTCCTCGCGCTCGTAGGTGAGTCTCTCATTGGTAGCCCTGAGCTCCTTGACTTCGGCCATGGCTTCGTCATAGGCCTTATTTTCGGCAAGTTTACCAAGGACATAGTTGATTGAGCGATGAAAAGCACTTTCAAACTCGCCATGCAAATCTGGCGAAGCTCCCATGACGATGGTCGAGGTCAGCTCGCTCAAGAGCTGGAAATATCTCGGTCTCTCGTCGCCCTCCGCATCGATGAGGACAAAGTGCCGCAAGATGTCTAGCAGGTAAAGACCCTCTGTCTTGCCCTTGGTCTTTTCGAGAAGCATCCCGATGATTTGCTCCGGGCTTCGCAGCTTTTTGAGATCAGACTCCTTCTTGCTATCTACGAGATTGGCCATGTCGTTTCGGGCATTCTCTTCGTAAATGTCGAGCTGCATATTGATTTCCGGATCCCGTAGTTGCCGTAAGCGAGCAACGACGAGGGGAGCGCCAGAAAGCTCGAGTTGCCAGCGGATAGATTCTCTGGTCTTGGCGTCGTTGGAAGAGGGTAAAGAGACAAGGAGAAGAACCATGGTACGGCAATACTCAAGCACGTCCAAGCCTTTGACGAGGGGGTGTGCGCGAACTTTGCTTCCCATCCGCCCTTGCTTTTCGAGGACTTCTGCCAATTGTGACATCCACAAGCTGAACCGCTCGACTTTTTTTCGAATGTCCAGCACACCCTGGTTGACTTTTTCTTTCAATTCGTCAAACGCCATGTAGACTACAGCAAGACCAGGTTTGTCTCCGTTGGATTCGCTGATCTGACAGAGGACCGTCAATATTTGGGCAGCCCACATTCGACAGTTCATGTTGGAACATGTGAGATAGAGGATGATCCGTTCGATGGTGCGTGGTTTGGTCACTGCGTCGTTGCAGCCAATCTGAAAAGTGTCAGCTATCGCCTGGAGGCTCGCGACAAGGCACTTACTCGGTGTTTACATATAGACCGACTGAGACAGTGCATTAGACCTTCGTCCTTGGCCGAGGGTTGTTCACAGACACCGTTGGTATAGGTCAATTTGGTCAGGACATTGCCTAGAGCTGCCTGGCCCTGGTGGTCCATAAAGTTTTGGATCCAACTACAACGCCGTCAGTCAAAATCCTCTCGTTCACAAGCAGACTCACTCTAAAGTCTCTGTTCTCAAGCTGATTTCCAACGAAGACAGCAAGGCAGGAGTCAAAGCGTCTCTGTTGAACAGCTGGCTCAAAAAGTATTCCACCGAGCCCTTATCTCCCTTGTCTCCTTTGGTAGCCCGTTTGCCAGCAACCCTAGGCGTCTCTTGCTTACGACCCCCGGGAGCATTAGGCCGTGATCTCCAATATTGCTGGACAAGCATCCACTTTGACTCTACAGGCACTTGTGCCGCAGACATGGCTGCTCTCGACGTTGAGGACGACACTGAAGATCTCAGGGAGGGGTTTGGTGAAGTGGTATGGTTTGATGAAGGGTCTAAATCGGTATTTTGGAGAAGATGGCGATACCACTCTTCAATGACCTGGTCGGATGGACGCTGCCACTCGTCTCTACCTTGTAAAGGCGCAGGAATGGTGAATGTTGTCACGTGGGGCTGGGGAGATTGTGTGGGGGTAGTACGCCCATCTGATTCTCTTTGCGTCGTGTACTGTTGCCGCGAAGGGCCTAGAGGATAGCCCAGTGGATACCGTCCCGGATCTGTGTCTTCGACATGGATACGGGACCTTTGACTTGCCATAGACGACACTGTATGCACACTGGCAGTCTCTGGGTTTCTCTGTCCCATTGCAGCGTAGGGATGGACATACGACCTGCCCCCAAACTCTTGTGTCGAGGTGTGACTACGCTGGATAGCCGAGGCGGCACCTGCGCTAGAGACAGAGTCGTAGTAGGGGCTCACTGAGCGCTGCAGCATTTCTTGATGCCCGTCCCCAGACCTCGAGCTATAGCTACTCTCATGTATCCCTGGGTCTGTCACGTTGGACATTCTCGGTCTATCCCCGCTGCCGCCCCCGGCACCAGCGCCCGCCATGTCGTCCCCTGTCCGCCGCCTCTTTGGGGTATCAGGGGGCGGCGCCGGGCGTGCCATGGCCCCATACGTCCTCGAGTTTGCATTCAGTGGTGTGCCATCGTCTGTGAGGGTGGGGTTGGTGTTGGGGGCGCTGACGAGCTTGGAGTTGTCCGACCTGGATGTGGACGGGCCTGCGATGGGCGGGGGTCCCGAGGTGAGCTGGCTGTAGGGGACGGCGACGAGGTTGGTGGGGGAGGTGGCTGAGGAGGAGTTGGATGACCTGTGGCGCTGTTTCTTGCCGAAGAGGGAGGCCATCGCGTGGACGAGGAGAAGAACAACAAGAGATGATAAAGAACGACGCGAAAACGCGGACCCGCGCGCATCTCCTCTTGCATCCACATAGCCATGTCCTTCTACCTCGCCATCGTGTCCCCCACCGACTCGCCGCTCTACCAGCTCTCCTTTTCCTCCTCAAGACCGCCAGCACCCTCCGCAGCCTCCCCGTCTTCCTCGTCATTCCCGTCATGGTCTACATTTACCGCCCCCAACGGCGCAGACAACGCAGCGGCCGTCGACGGTGCGCGAGGTAGATTAACGGGGGCTCTGCTCGAATCAAAGAGTGCGCCAGAGAGGGATAGGGCCATGTGCCAGATGATAGCGCATATGAGCCTGGATAGTGTGGAAGAGGTCATGGAAGGAACTGGGGCATTGTAGGTCGGGAGTTCCATATCGCCGGGTTACTGACATGGTGCAGGTATATAAAGAACGTGGACAGACATAACGAGTGGAGCGTCTCGGCCTTCTTGCCGACAGGAGGTAAGTTGAGCGCTGCAAAGACATGGCTGATGTATAGTGAAATTCATTCTCCTGCATGATGTCAAGAATGACGACGGCATTCGGACATTTTTTGTCGAGCTTTGGGAGATATATATCAAGGTGAGTATGATTCATGTGAGCTTGCCTAACCTTCCACAGGTTCTCATGAACCCTTTCCACACCGTCAACACTCCTATAACCAGTCCAGCATTTGAAGCGCGAATCAAGGCGATAGCAAAGAAGCACCTGTAGACACATTGTATGATGAAGGGATTCATGAGGTATACTCCAGTATATGCGATTACTTTTGACGTTGTAATTTTGCGAGTCTAGGCGAATTCCTCGGCTTTGCCGGACTAGAGGAGGGGTCAGCTCATGGCGCAAATGGTGACGGGCCAAGCTCACGACAAGGAGACCGACTGTAATCGATATTAGTAGACATTCTCTTCAAGCGCTGAATCCAAGACTCACCAATGAGACCGAACAGACCAAGGACAGAGCCAAAGATCTACAGACATTAGTACAGTGACGCATTCGTCGACGACCAGGCCTACCTCAACGATCAGAATCTTGACAAACAACTGAGGGTCGGCTGCGTCCGCCACAGCAGCAGTCGATCCAGTGATACCGACAGACACACCACACAGCAGATTGCATACACCAACAGCGAGGCCTCCCCAGAAGAGGGCAAACCCTGTCTCCGCGTTAGCTATGAGGACTCGATGTGGATCCGAGCGCACCAGTGTAATAGTTATTCGTGGTATGGATATCTTGCACGTCGCCAGTGATTTTGGCAGAAAAGACAATGGCCATGATGACACCTGTCCATATGTAAGTTGCGAAGCTTGCAGTCCCATGGCCAATACACACCGTAGATGGCGACGACCTCACAGAAGATGATACTAATCCTGGTCAGCACCGCCTCGATCGCCATGAGTAGCCACCCACGAGATCAAATTCTTGGTTCTGATCCTCGGTGCCCGCACACCACCTCCCAGGATGGAAGCACCGGTCACAAAGATACCCCTTTGCAATAATCAGCTCCTTTATCCCGTCCCCAGTCTACGATCTTTAACTCACCAAGCAGCACCAGACACACTCAGGCCAATACAGAGTCCGATGCCTACAAGAGCCCAAGCATATGGCGAGCTCTCTGCGAGGAAGCGGCCGACATTGAAGCTCTCGCCTTGGCCTGCAGAGGGGGTGAGCTGAGATGTGGGGGGGACGTAGACGCATACCGGTAAAGAGGAGGTAGAGGGCGATGAGGATGGCGGAGGAGGTGGCGAGGTAGAGGAGGGGATAGGGGATGGGCATGGTGGATGAGCTGGAGAAAGACGAGATGGGGCATATCGCTTGTCGTGGTGGGCGCTGCGGCGATCTCCGCCGAGCCCCTTCGCCTTGTTGTTGCCATCGCACTCTTCTCTTGCAATTGTGCACCACTCGCCATGCCCCCCGCCGCCTCAGGTATGCCCCCCGCCGCCCCCCGGCACCGCTCACCGCCCGCAGAACCCGCTTCTCTCAAGCGTATGAGGGAAGGCTCCCTCGTATGTCGCCTCCCTACCCCGCACCACCCTTCACTCACCTTCACTTAGGAGCCCGTTCACGTCGAAGAGACACCTTCTGCCTTGTCTGCAAAGAAGAATCGCGTGGCATCCTCAACTTCCGGCTTGGCTGAGGACTCGGCAGAGCAGATCCAGGAGGAAGACAATGAAGACAAGGACTCGGACAGGTCGGGCGATGAGAAGAATGTCGGAGAGGTCAGGAAGAAAGTGGAGAAGCTGAGTCACGAAGAGAAGATCAAGGCTTCCGAAGCCCCTAGCCCCGAACACCAGGACTCGGCAGTGCCGATCGAGGAGGAGGAGGAGGAGAAGGCAGCGGGAGGTGAGGTTGATGGGTCCAAGGGTGAGGGGTTGAAGCGGAAGGCCCTGGATCGGAATGAAACATCATTCTCACAGGTTCAAGACGATGTTTCCTCCAAACGACAAAAGGATACGCCTTCTGTAAGCTCCCCTCTATTGCCTTATCAGCTGCTGATCTCCAGTAGCCCAAGGAAGACAAACCGGCGCCGCCCAAGAAACAGCCCACCTTTACTTCCTTTGCCTCTTCCTCTTCCCCGTTCGCTTCCACTACCAAGACTGCTTCCCCTGCACCAGAGCTCGAGGGCGCCACACCTTCTGCTGTTGAGGACAGCGTCGCCGTTGCCCAGAAAAAGCCGGCTACTTTTGGCGATTTCGCCAACAAATCGCCATTTGGCTCAGCCAAACCTACGCCGTCTGCTACTCCCAAATCCGAGACTTCTCAATCAACATCTGATCCTGCCGTTGAACCTCCCAAGAAGCCTCAAAGCACTTTCTCCTCGTTCTCCGCTTCCTCCTCCCCCTTCGGCTCCAAACCAAAGCAGCCGTCTGCCTTCTCGGCTCCGCTTTCCAAAACCAGCGCCTTTGGTAACTACTCCACTACTGCCTCTGCTTTCGGAGGCGGCAACAAGGCAGACCACGAAAAGGTCTCGGAAGAAGGAAAGAAGAACTTTGGTGAGATTCTCAAAGACACCAAGGAGGATCTGGGTTTGACCAAGGAAAAGGTCAACATGCAAGAGCAAGATGGTAGGTTTCAAGATATTGACCTGTCAAACACGTGCTCATTCTGCCCCATAGTCACGACCGGAGAGGAAGATGAAGATACCGTGTTCCAAGTCCGGGCCAAGTTGTTTGTCAACGAAAAAGGGTGGAAGGAGCGCGGGATCGGACTTTTGAGAGTGAATGTGAGGAGAAATGACGGCGGTGGCGCGCGACTAGGTACTTTTTTCCGCCAAAGTCACCAGAGATTATGCTGACTGTACAGTGATGCGGGCGGACGGTGTATTGAGGTTGCTGTTGAATTCCAAGCTTTACAAAGGCCTGAATCCTACGGTCGAGGGCAAGACGGTGCTCATGACTTTGCCGAACGTTGGCGAGAACAAGATGGCCATCATCTGTCTTCGTGTGAGTCTACTGCAAACCTAGTTGACCTTGGCTCACGTTATTAAAGCTGTCTAACGCCAAGTCGGCAGAAGACCTCGCGGACCACATCCACGAGCATATCCCTCTCGACAACCCCTCTCCATCCAAATCACCACGACCCGAAGTCTAGATACTTTTTCCAGACGGCGTAGATCTATTTGATGACCATAATATGCACGGGTAGAGAGGCTCGGAGCTATACGACTTTTGATCTATGTCTTTGCATACTTTCTGATGTATTAGCGTACTATTAACATCTGGTTCAACGGTGGCGCGTCTTGCAAGCTCATCTGCAGGAGATATACAAAGCTGATACTATTACACTTCAAAGCACTATAATGAACACGCCAACGAGCACAATGATAGAAGAATCTATAGTCTAGATTCTGCCACCCTCGGCCGTCCTTGCACTGTCCCCAACTTCGCTATCTGAATGATGATGGCGTTCCTCCATCATCAGTGGCAGTGGCCTGAAAGACGCCAAGTCGGCAGGTGAGGCGTACAGAGAGGTGGGCCTCGAACGAGGGGAAGCGAAGCTACGTCTCATATCAATGCATGCTCAAGAAGAACATTGCGTTAGACGTACCCTTCTCCTGGCTCTACGCCCGTTCTCCCACGTCTCGTGCTCTCACCCAGCGCAGCTGGTGCACTTCTAAGTTCGTCTGTAAAGCTCTTCTTTTCCCAAGTCTTGCTCAACTTGGGCTTGTTCACCAACGCATGGAACAGCCTCTTTGAGAGAGGAATTTGCTCGCCACCCGAAGCCGGAGTAGTGGGCGCTGTGGCTGCCGTCGTTGGTGGTGGCGCAGGGGGCACGCTTGACTCGTCTTGAGGGACCATGGGCTCCTGAGTACGGGGGCGGGTAAGAGCAACAGGAGGCAACATTGGCTCTTTCTCCCTCTGCCTCTCTCCGTGCTCTGTACTCTCTCGCGCACCAAGCTGAGGTCCGTATTGCCCTCGGCCCCTGTTCATCACCATCTTGTCAGGAGAGGGCGGAGGGTGTCTGTGGTCTCTCGGAGATTGCGTTTGCGAGGGCGATCCAGAGGCGACAGTGAATCGCTCTGCAGAGTAGGGGCTGTTCGATGGCATATGGTGGGAGAGGCCAGTAACGTGCTGTTTATAGGGAGCGGCGAGAGAGGGCTGGGGGAGAGGATGGTGTGTTGTCATGCTGGGTACACTGACGTGGAGCGATGCAGGCAAAGATTTGCTGGGTGGACCAGAAAGGCCGGGCAATAACGCTGGTTGTTGATGCGAGACGACGGGGTGGCTTTGCGCTGTGTACGGGTCAGTGCTGTTCCGGCGCAGGTTGACTCGCCGTACAAGACCAACACGGATGGAGATGGGGAATCAGATGCGAATGAAGAAAAACACATGGTGCCAAGGTGGATGCGGCCTGGCGAATGAGAAGGACAAAAAGGCAGCTCCGTCAACGGTGTGTGATAAGATGGTGAGTGGCAAGTTGATTGATGCCCTTGCGGTTCTTTTCCCAGCCCCATCACTGCTTGTCCACTCTGGACAGAGGGTGTACACATTAGCCAGCTCATGCAGGGGTAAGGTATCCATGGAGTTTAAAATAACAGCTGCATGTAGACAGAGGAAAATCAACAGCATGTACCTTTCCTGTGCAAGAGGCGCAAGGCAACATCCGACAAGTGGATACGTGCGCGACGGCTCACCGCTCACGGGCTCACGGCTGGGCTCGCTACGGTAAAAGACGACGCTCTGATGATCGGCCATAAGATGCATAGTCCGAGACTCACGAGGGAAAGGAACAACAGGAAAGAGGGAAAAAAAAATGGCGAAAAAAAAAAGCCCAGCCATCTCAATCACCATCTTCTCAAGGAAGACAATGATCAAGATGACTGGGCAAATAATCGGCAACAAGCTGTCCTTGAAAAGGCCAAAAAGCTGTCGGCAAAAGAGGTAGATGATGGTATGATAGATGCGAGAGCGCGCAAGAAGAGAGGCAAAAGGGAAAAAGCCAGGTGTCAACGACTTCCAACTAGACATTTCGGCAACGCTTACGAACCCTTGTTTGTTGACACAAAGCGTCTTTCCCCCAGTTTCCAGCTTCTCTTGATGACAACGCTCGGCGTGCAAGACACCCGGAGGCGGGCGCGACGATACCTGAACCTGGCGTCAGGGTTAGGGTGTGGAACCAGCAACGAGACCGTCAAACACAAGTGAGAGCACCAATGGATGTCAGACACAGATGTCAGAGAGGGAGACGAGTGAACATGATACACGTTAGTGACAAGGATCCCAACGCCACTTGAATAACCTGGCTGCGTTCGCCAACAGCTAGCACTCCGAATGAACACCACAGGTGAACAAACATCAATGGAGCGTGCGTTGACGGGCACACACAGGCGGGGGAAGGCAATCCAGGTCGATGCAGTGCAACGATAGCAGCAGGCAATGTTCCGAGCAGACAGTGTTCCGAATCAGAATCGTCGTCCAATATGCAAGCTTTCCCACTCAATGGCAGCGTTGACGTGATCGTGGCGATCAGTGCGAAAAACCATGAGCTGATAGACGAGCACAAAGGACGGTGGCAAGTGGCAAGGACCGGGACAGGTTGCTGGCTGCTGCTGGGACATCGACAAATAATGTCGGCCGGCTGAAAAAAACACAGATGACAGTAACTGTGCTGGCGGGCAGTCCAAGATACCTCACCTGATAAAGAGAAGAAGCAAGACAGGTGTCAACACTCTGAATCCACAAGGACCGGAGGTCATGATAGGCTTACAGGAGGCGATCCCTATCCCGCTTCTGTGTTTCTCATGGGTTTTTGTCGAAGATGCGCACCGTGCGGGTCGAATGAGCGTTGAGGTGAGCCGTTTTGAAGTGGCGGCAGGAGTTGTCGAGAGTTGCGGATGGATGGGGAAAAGAGAAATGTGACGAGAATGCGGGGTGTTTATATCCAGCGGCCGCGATCGGTGGCAATTTCAAATTCAAACAGCGCCCTTTGTTTGCAATTGCCCCTTTGGGAACGGCGAAAGGCGATACAAATCAGAGTGGCACCCGCGGCGGCGATCTCCGAGTGTGGCACTTGTCGTTCATCACACATGCATGACCATCTACACTTTGCATGTCCCTTGGCACTAGCTGGGGAGCGCTGAGCATGGCCCTATATGTATTACATGTACATAAACACGTGCATGGCTGCGTGGATCTTGCGCCCCCCACGGATGAGAGCCCAGCTCATCGAAGCCAGATATGATCTGGGTGGAAGCAGTGATCTCACTTTTGGTTGCCCGCGGCAACGACAGAGTTTCGAGTTCTTGTACAGTCAGCTGGAATCCATATATTTCCGCAGCACTCACAGGTTCTCCACGTATAGACTGAGGGTCTCGTTCTCCTGGGCCAACTTGTCATTCTCTCCCTCCACCTCCGACACCCTGACCATAAGCCCTCTCAGACCGTCCCTCAAAGTCAAAATATCTTTGAGAATCTTCTCCTTCTCGAGAGCAGATTCAACGCTCGGTTCTGGAGCAGCCGAGGGTTCTGGTGTAGCCCATGGCTCTCCAATCCCTTCGCCGTAGTTTGCAAACGACATGAAACGACACGCTCTGGGTATTGGGCAGAGTTTACTGTAGCTGGCGAACAGAGTCCAGAGGGCTAAATGGTGGTGAAGGGATGTTGATGTTCGCAATAGGGTCGAAGAAACAGAGAGAAAACACTTCATGCAATATGATGGTGCATTTGTGGCCCGTGCATGATCGGATGGCCGCCGCGCGTTGCATATTTACGTAACCAGGTAATGGTGGAGGCGAGGGATAGCAGTCTCCTATTCGGATCACCACCGTGTTGTCAACTATCTCAGACCCACCCCGCCATGTCGACGACTGCGAGAAAGACATTCGAAGTCAACAATGATGTTCAAGTGCGCCCTTTTCTCCTTCAAGGGGGGAAACATGGCTGACCTGGACTCGCAGACTCTAGACCCGTCGGCGGCTATCTTCCAGTACGGCCGCGAAGAGGAGAGTGCCCTCGAGGACAATGCTCCTTGGAAGAATGAGTGCGTCGCCAGCTCCCTCTTCGTTTCTGAACTGACATGTGATATAGCCCACATTACTTTCACACTGTCAAGATATCTGCCATTTCTCTAATCAAAATGGCACGTGCTCCTATCCGTCTTGAGACACGCTGATGGCTGTCCAGGTGACTCACGCCCGCTCGGGAGGCCTCTACGAGATCATGGGAGTGATGTATGGCAAAGTACGAGATGGCACTTTCTGGATCATGGACGTCGCCGCTCTTCCCGTCCAGGGTACGGAAACCCGAGTGAACGCTGGTAACGAGGTATGTTCGCGTCATACGATTAATGACCGTTGTTCTGACTCTTGAACAGGCAATGGAGTACATGGTCAACTTTCAGGAGGCCAACAGGGAAGCTGGCAAGGGTGAGCTTCTACGAGGCTGGTATCATTCGTAAGTGTTTTCTACTCGCAGCCTTATACGTGTACTGACCTGCCATAGACATCCCGGCTACGGCTGCTGGCTTTCCGGTATCGACGTCAACACTCAAATGACGAATCAGACTTTCAACGATCCATACCTTGCCGTCGTGGTGAGTCTGATCGTGGCGTAGACGATGGCGGCTGACCTGCTCGCAGATCGACCCCAACAGGACTGTCTCTGCAGGGAAGGTTGAGATTGGCGCGTTCCGCACCTACCCCGAAGTGAGTAGTATCTCGCGCCACTAATCTATTACTAACTATCCTATTAGAACTACTCCCCGCCTTCCGCCGGCAAATCTCAATACCAGTCTATCCCGATGGACAAAATCGAAGACTTTGGTGTCCACGCCGCATCTTACTACCCTCTCAAGGTTGAAATCTACAAGAGCAGATTGGACGAAAAGATGCTTGATCTGTTGTGGAACAAGTATTGGGTCGCAACCCTCAGTTCCAATTCTCTGGTTTCGGTGGGCCACTTGCGCGATCAAAGTAGGCCTTATTTTGACGTTGTGATCAGAACCTCGAGTACAACACCTCCCAGGTCAAGGACCTCAATGCCAAACTCCAAGATGCTACCTCAAACCTCTCTACCTCTTCTGCAAAACTGAAGCTGAAACCCGCTGATGCTTCCAAATCGACGTCCGGCAAGGGCAAGGAGAAGGAACCAGAAGAAGTCGAAGAAGAGGAAACCCCTTTGAGCAAAGTGGCAAAGGATAGGTGAGTGCCCGGTTGATTTTCATGGCTGTAGCTAACGCCTTCCAGTACCCGCATCACTCAAGAAGCGCACAATGGCATTGTGTCTCAGCTTCTCAAAGAAAAGTTGTTCAACACACCGTTGTCGCGGCCAGTGGGCGAAGAAGCGGCATTGGCGGCGGTCCAGGGGAAGCAGGTGGTGCGCCTGTAGAACCAATATCACGAAAAAATAGACGAGCTGGCTAGACACTGCATGTATCATATCACGTTCGTTATACACATCAGCCAGACTTGAGCCAGACAGATAGGCGCAACCTCAGTGGACTTGGCCGCCGCCCCGCGTGTCACGCGGTCACGCCGCCAGGACAGTGCAGGGTTGTGAGTCCCACGCAGCAAGTGTCGAATTCCTCCGCACATCTCCTCTTTCGAGACTCCCAACGCCCTCGCCCCGACGCAACCCCCCTCGACCCCCCGCCCAGCTTCTCGCCCTTCCCGCCCAGCTCCACAGCGGCCAGTGCGCACGGTACTTATCTCCAGCTCCTGTCATTGCCAGCAAAATGGGCATTCGAGGCTTCGATGGTGAGTGCGCACCGCTGTCCGGCACCATTCTCACCATCAGCAGTCTATCTCAAGGAGAGAAAGTTCCTACAGAGCTGCCCCATCTCCCACCTCGCCAACACCCGAATCGGCATTGATGCCTCCTACTATATCAACCACCTCCTGACCGACCCCGCTACTCGAGAACCTCTCGTCGCTGCCACAGGTGGTATACCTCATTCGATCATCCAAAAGATTGAAAGTGATCTTCGCGCTCTCGAGCATCGATCCATCAAACCTGTCTTCGTCTTTGCGGGTCTTCCATTGGCCGCCAAGGAACCGGTCAAGTTACCCGACCAGAAGGCCGAGAGGGAGAATGTGGCAAAGAATGAAGCATGGTCTCTGTACGACCAAGGGGAACCTCTCCTCGCTGTTGACAAGCTCAACTCATTCAATGGAGGAAATTATGTCGATCAGAGAGATCAGTTAAGGTCAATCTTGCGGCTGTTTAGACATCGCTTCGTGGAGTATGTGATTGCGCCTTATTCAAGCCACGCACAGGTGAGTCATCTCCAAGGCGATCAGAGCTGATGTCAGCTTGCATACCTTTTGCAACACCCCAAAGGGTATATCCACGCCATCTATTCCTCCAGCGAGTGCCTCATGTGGCCAGTCGAGCGAGTGATAACGTCCAGCGACTGGTCAACAAGCTTCCAATTTGCCGACAAGGTGCGAATACTCAACGACATGAACTTGTCCAGCGAGCAATTCCTCGACATGGGCCTTCTTTGCGGCTCAACCTTGTTGCGCACCATGCCTCTCCCCACTCCCGAATTCTCCTTGAAGATGATTAGCGACTTTGTCCGTCACCACAAATCCGGGCTGGCCGTTTGTCAGAACCTCCCTCATATCCCATATAAGACCCAAACATATACCGAGTCCTTCTGGAAGGCACGCCTGGCAATCAAGTTTTCGCTCGTGTTGACGACCGAGGGACAATGTGTACCTTTGCCTACCGTGATAGCTCCTCAGCAACAGGCCTTCACCGTACAGGATGTCCCCGCCGACCTTGAAGATATATTCTCTCCAAAGCTCCCCGACGAGATCTATTTCTACATTTGTCGTGGTATCATCTCAACCCAAGTTGTCGGCTGGGTATCGAGCGGTACTATCGTCGAGCAGCAACCTCTTCTAGAGACCAACGAGTACAGGCGCTTCATCAAGGACGTCATCACCGAAGGGCCCACCTCACCTCGATGCACAACTATCGCTTTGATTTTGGACTGCATGCACCGGGAGTGGTCAAACAAGCGCATCGTGAGTAGATCATACTTGCGTGGAACAGTGCTGACAATGACAGAACGTCCAATACTGGTTTGACCCGTATGTCACAGGAAACAATCGCGGCAACAATCAAGTCCCGTACTCGGATCCCCTCACGCAATCGTTGATCGCCAGGTGCCAAGACTGGATGGTTCCCATGTTCAATTTGGAAATGGAGCTGAGGCGACAAAATGTAGGCGTGCCAGTCCCTAAGCTGTACTGAGCTGACAATACCACCTACAGTCATCTACCATCGACTTGAAACTCTGCCTTGGTGCTTTGGCCACTGAGGATCTGGTCAACAAGACTTTCAAGCCCAAAGGTGATCGGACACTGGACAAAAAGGATGAAGTAGTCGCCAACTCTGTCTGGAGATTCTTGGAGGTTCGAGGGTGAGTCGAGCTCTTTTCCCTCGAGCAAATGACTCACATTCTGTAGTTTCGTTCAGCAGAACCACACGCACTCTTCCATCGGCAAAGCCTTGCACGCTGCCTACGATAAATCAAAGATCAACGACCGTTTCCAAGAGCCTCTCTATCTAATCCTCGAGCTTCTACGATCAGGTGTTGTCCATGGCGAGAAGTGGGGAGGCCCGTCCGCTGCGCCTCTTCCTGGCGGGCCCAGCTTTGGTGAGAACGACGAACAGAATACCGTCAGGCTTGTCATGAGATGCATCAGCGTCCTGCCTTTGACCAACAGGGTAAGTCCGTAGGCGCGGTTGCAGACTTTTTGCTGACCATCTCAGCCTCAACAATGGGTGGGACCACTGTCGCAAGAGTTGTTGGCTTTCAATTCTTTTGTCAAGGCGCTGTCAAAGTCTCTTCGTCAGCTCTTCGAGTCTGTCAGCTGTCATCTTCTCCTCTCGGGGGATGGCAGGCGCAACCGGGATGACTTTAACGACATTATGATCAGTATGTTCTCGGTCACTTTTGCACCCATACGCGTGCTGACACGAGCCCAGGCCTTCCTTTCCAGACTGATGTAAACACTGGGTTCGGTATCCTGGCCAAGAGCTACCTTGATGCCACGGCTTACCACAACGACGGAGAGTTTGTTACAGAGGCAACTGCTGCGTCGGAAAAGTCCAAGACTGCCAAGCGCGAAGCCATCGCCTTTGTGGAAGCCAACTTTTCTAGCGTCAGGAATCCTGTCCAAGAGCTTGACCGTGGATTCCGCTTCTGGGACACGGTGAGTTTGACTTTTCGCTGCGTAGGGTTCACAAAGACATGTCGCTGATATCAAATAGGTCATGGTTGCCATTCGCACTCTTGCGCAGGCTCAAGGCCCCACCCCTACCCTGGCTCAGACGGTGGTTGGGAAGGATGTCATTGAACAATTCGAGAGAGCAGACAGATGGCTGAAGCCTATGCGACCGTAGATTGCAGTAGCGACGGGGCCGGATTACGGATGACTTGTGGTCTAGGTTGATGGGCTCGGTTGATGACCCTCACGGCTCGATTGTAACGAACATGCATTATCACAGTTATGTGTGTATGTATGTGCAAAGTTTCCTGTTTGGATTGCGGTGCCACAATGCTATCCATGATACGTACCCGCCGACCCGGAGATGTCACCCTCGTGCGATTTGAGTCAACATCGCGTTTCAATCAAATGGTTGTCACAACTCACAAGTGAGCGTCTATATTATGGGCTGGACTTCTTGTGGTGAGATTGCAATTATATTAGCAGGTAGCGGTGGGAGTCTGACATGTTGCATCTGGTCGAGTGGCAATGACGACACAGAGTGCTCTGGAGGCCGGATGCGAGACTTTTGTTCCTCGTGCGATGTTTACATACCTATTTGGGTCCACAGCGCCACACACTTGACACATTGGAGAAGAGAATCGATAGCAAGCGTCATACGTACTCTTGTTTTTCTGTGAGCGACGCTAAGAGTCCTGAAAACTATCCGCAGATAATTTTTGGTCCATGCTCATATTGCGCGTGGCGCGTCGCAAGGCAAGTCGTAGACCTGGCAGGTTGGTCGCAGGGATCGCAGACCTCGCAGGCCAAAGACCAAAAGAATGTGGATCCTGAATCTCTTTGGATACTCGGTTCTCGATAAATACGCCGATCCTCATCCGATTAGGGCACTAGACTTTCTTATCATCGGCGCTTTCCTCGTTCCTCAGACGGCCAAAGTTACTCATCTATGCTCAATATGTGAATTAGCTTGCTATTTGCTACTAGGTTGCCGGTTCCGAGCGGGCACCGGCAACTTTATCTGCGAGGTGGAAAGAACAGGAAAGAATGGTATAGTTGAAGAACTTCATCTCACGCCTTGTTGAGAAATTTTGGAGACTTTGCTCTGGCGGGCGCGGAAGATGGACAGATCGACTGTTGGCCATTTGGCCAGCCTGCTTGCGTGTACCGCGCGGCCCCTGTCAAATTTAGTGCGTGCGATACATTGCTTAGATGGTGTTTGGAAACTTTGGAGTATTGTTATCGAGAGCACAACTCATCCGCCACGTGGAGCGCCTCAAGTCTGACCTGCTGCCTCTTGCAAATCTGCATGCTCCTGTCAGCATCGCCCTGACCTGTGATACATATCTATATCCTGTGGCCTGGGGCCCCAGAGGTTTCTTGTACACTCTGTAAAGTTAAGACGCAACATGATGGAGCCGATTCGAGATAGGCGACCGACAAGACACCGATGATCGCTGTGTAAAACATCTGCGGTGGCGTTGATGCATCATTCCCTGTGGCCTAATGGGCCCTATGGGTGCTCTGAGCTCTGCTGCATCTGTATATCTGTTATATGTATCTTTCTACGCCAATGCTTCTATTCGTCGGCCGTCGGCCATGTCCTCTCTGTGTTCTGCTTCTAGCTTCTAGAGCTTCTGGCTTCGTTCTGGGTGGTGCTTGTGCTGTAGTCTTGTACCTGACCCTGTGCCACATGGGTCTCATTCTCATTGAAGCGAATTCAAGATGGAGGCAGGCAGTCGACAGTCGACACTCGACAAACTGGCCGGACATGCAAGACATGCATGCCCGGCCTCACAAATTGACTACCGGGGACAGCTTAGGGCGTATGAGGGGGCCGGAAATGCCCGAAAGGGAGTATCATCATCATCGCTGAAGAAGACTAGGCTATTGCAAGAGTTCAAGGACCAGGGTGGGTCGAACAAGTCTGTAATCTACCACCGCCCGTGGTACATGAATCTGTGGTTTCCAACGCAATACGCAAGAGGAGAGACGAAAGGCGTGCGACGCCCAAGTCTTACGAGGCCGCCACTGAGGCACAGCCGAAGCGAATAGGAAGCCCAAAGCTGACCCATTCTTCACAGACGCCGGACCGTATCATTCGCCGCGAAACCGAGCATAATGTCTGCAAAAGCTCCGTCCAACCGTCATCTCGCTCTCTGGCCTCTCTGGCATGACTTCTTGAGGCGCAACAGCAAGGCGGTTATGGGCGGCCATTTGTCCAGACACGCTCATTACTTCTTTCATTCGCCTAATGCAGACACTGCATATGATCGCTTTACGTACATTGATCCCCATGCTCTTCATTGACCTCTAGACGCAAAGGGCCAGCAGGAGTCTAGGAGACCGAGAGATCAAACGCCGCACCCTCTGCTGCCCAAGGAATCTCGATGAGAGCTCGATGCTTGCTTCTTGTGACCGAGGCCTTTTGCGCTACATGCTGCGAATGCCACATCAGCCCTGGCCTGTCACTGTCGTTTTGCACAGAACTACGTACTCCCCGTGGCCCGTAGCAATCTATACGGTGACTGTACAGGGCGCGCACCGGGTTCTTATTGCATGTTGCTGCAAGTCTGGAGACTGGGGACGTTTGATAGGCCGTCTGGGTCCCCACCCCCCAGCTCTGCTAGACGTTTTCCCACAGGCGTGACGGAAAATTAAGTTATTTGTTGATGCATATCAGCCGCTGGCCGCTGGAAGTGCTTGTTCGATAATGTTCTTCCGAGTGCGGCCGTATGTTCTGTTTCTGAGCTCCGTTGATTGAGCATGGTACATGCTACTGGATGAGATGGGCTTCAGACGAGCGTACTATCTATGCAGGGACCCTGGGAATGCCAGAAATCCCAGAGGCCAGAGACCAGAGACAGGTGGCCAGCTTGCAGCCATAGATAGCATTGCGGAGAGTATGTAAGCAACTAAGCATAGACGTCGTCGCTGGCTCTGGGCCAACGAACACGCACAAGTGCTCCCAAACGGCCAACACGGGGGACTTGTGCGCCAACAAACAAGGCGCCCAGCAAAGGGTGGTGGCCGTGGTCACTATACTGGAATCAAGGCCAGGAACGTCAGGTACACAAATGACCTGTGGGAACTGATGAGCAGTGGTTTAATCTATTACGTGTGACATCTGCGAAAATATTATAGGGCGTTGTGGTGGACTACTGAAATCGAGACGGCGAGTCACCCTAGCTGGAAAGAATGGGTCCTGTTTTGGCAGCCGGCTCGCGGACTACTCTAAGCCTCTATGTAGGGTGGCTAGAGGCCCTAGAGGGCAGTAGTGCCGCTGGCGCAGCTGGCCAAAGGTTGATAATGCAATAAGCTATTGGCATAATGCGCGGAATATCACTGTAATAATTGGTGCGCACGTTGTCAGGGGCGAAGATCTGCCGCCTGCACCGCCTGCCAAGCTATGGGATATGCGAGCAGCCACCGATGCACGGTTCGCGCTCCCTAGAGGCAACGTGAGCAGCCGCTCTCGTAATTCCAGCCGAGACAGGAGTGTTTCTTATCGTCCCTGGATTTTCCTCTTACTCACTCTCCTCATCTTTCTCGTCAATAATTACACCAACACGGCACCGCGGCTATCGGCCTCTCTTGGCGTGCAAGTGCGACGACAACGTACGTCCCTCAACATTTGCTACAGCCTAATAAAACACCCCTCCGCCTATATAAACACCCCACCCTTCTTCCTTACTTCCGACTCCCCCATCGTTCATCACATCAGCACCACACCGCCATGTCCACCGCCTCAGCACCCGTCCCCGTCCCCAACAGTGACAGCCAATCTTCCTCCAGCGACAGCTTTGGCTCTCCTGGCAGCGGCCCCCGCAGGCAGCGCATCTCCATGGCATGTGCCTACTGCCGACACAGGTAAGCCTTGTCTTCAGCACCGCCCAGTCTCTCCGCTGACCCCGTACACAGGAAAATCCGCTGCTGTGGTGGTGACCCTTGTCGCAACTGCCAACGCTCCAAACGCGAATGCGGCTACGCTCCTGTCCCCGAAGAGGTCAACCGCGCCACTCGTGAGAAGAAGGCCTTTGCCAAAGCCAACAAGATTGCCAGCCAGTTCCTTCCTCCAGCCACCACCACTTCGCCCTATTACGCCCCCCATGCCTCATATGATCACTCTGTCTACGGCTCTCCCCTCCACTCGGCGCCCTACTCCCACCGAAGGTCTTCATCACTGCCTTCTGCTGATGTCCCTTGGGGCTCTGCGCCTGTCTACGGGTCAGGCCAGTCATGGGTTTCCTACGCCAAGCCGGCGCCATACCACCACCGCCCCTCTGCTCCCACTCCCGTGTATGAGTCTTCCTATGGCTACCACCACCAAGACTCTTCCCAGGGGTACCATCACAACCAGCTCGGCGTTCACTTTGAGCACGGCGAGCCCCAGCATGTCCTCGACTCTCCCTCTCCCACGTCTACCAACATGTCTTCGACTACCTCTGCGGTCACACATTCTTCCCTCGAAGAGGAGCAACACGCCATGTGGATGACACCGGGACTTGTCACCCCTACGTATGGCCGGCCTGCTGCCTCGCGCTCGCTATCTCAGTCCGTCCATGGGGTGCCGCTACCCAGTGACAGCCCGGTGCAGAAAACCCACTCCCAAGGGACAGTCCCAATCACCCCGGCGTCCTCTACCTTTGCCCGCCCTCTCCCTTCCCCCACGGTCTACTCCTACTCCTCCCAGGGGTCTGCCCACTACGACAACCAAGCTCCCATCTTCTACTCTCCCGTCTCCAACAAGACTCGAGGTGACTACAGCTCGCCGATGATTGGCGGAGGCTTGTCAAAGGAGCCTATCGTCGGGTTGGGGCTGATAGATGGCCGTGGTGTCTACATGGGGGGACACTACTCGGGTGAAGAGTACATGGCTCCTCCCATGTACTATCAAAGTTGAGTGTGAAAGGCGCAGAAGGGCTTGGGGCAAGGGACTGGCTGTAATTGGTATCCACCTTACACGGATGTTGTTTCATATACGTTATTGAGCCTTTGTATAATTAGTGGCTTTGATTGATAGAGTGTTTCTTTGGCATGTATCTTGGTTTTCCTGCACCATCCTCAACGATCACAAAAGTCAAGTACTCGTACATTTGGGATTAGGCAAATTTCGGCGCGGAACAGAAAAGAGTAGTGATGCCGCCGTTAGCCGCTGCCCGCTCCACCGACTGCAGACTTCAGACTTGAGGTGATGTTGGCGAACCTCCGATTCTTCTAGCGCAGGGGAATTTGTTGGATGTGGAGCATCTGTGGATATGCATTGCATCTAGTAGATAAGTAGTCGTAAGCAAGCAATGGGACGATCACCTCCTCGCTGAAACATCTCGAACAGTCAAGGGCACAAGCCCCGCGCCATCAGCTTCAGCAGCAGACGGTGCGCCGTACATGGTGTGAAGCAGCGGATGAAGGCAAATAGGCATGTACGTATTGTATTATGGCCATATCATGGGACATGCATGTAACGTACTACGCAGCTTGTGCCGGTATCTGCGTACGTAATAATGCCCCCACTTCTGGTATCCGCCCGCCGCCGTCGCCGCCGCCGAGTCACGGTTGAACAGATGGGAATTAGGTCCGAGGTTGCCATAAGTCATGTCCTCATACAACGGCATGATTTAAGCAGCAGGCCGCAGGCCCAGCAGATGGGCACTTCGATCTATGTGGCCAGGGTCCCTAAGCCCCAGGCCCAAAGTCTCACCAAGGACTCTGAATTCTGTCAATCTGGCGCCAGCTCTGTTGCAGCTCTGGCGCCTAAAAGGAGTAACCGTGTACTCGGTGCTCGTACAGTCCTCGTTGGCGTCGCTTGTTTCCCGCATTGCCTGTCTTCTCATCATCTACACTTCAATTGGTATACGAAAGTGTGGCCTCGAAGTCCGGAAACAGCACATCCTAAGCTACGTATCTGGGGTCCACTTGTCAACATCACTTAGACCATGCTGCTCGGCAAGCCGGGAAGTCTGGCCTCTTGAAATTGAGGCCGCCGTAAATTATTACCCTTTTCTGGACTTCATGTATCACTGTCCCAGTTACTGAACATTGTAGCTCGTAATAAGTGAACGTATCATCATCATCATCATTCAGCCCATATCTGATGGTATCCAATCAATCTTACGCATGTATCCCACGATACAGTTAATACGTCTCTATACAGGGCGAGTGCTGGCCAAATGTATTTATTGAGAGCTCTGCAATCGCACGGCCCAGTAGATAGGAAACTTAATTGTTCCAATGCCCGGGGGGTGTATGATCTTTCTCGGAACCGCGCGTCCTTGCCTAAGGGGGAGCGGGTATATACACTTTACACTTGCCATGCGCTTCCCGTAGCAGGTAGTAGTATGTAGCAGATGGAGGCTGGAGGTAGCAGGTGCGTTGCCCCTTTGAGGCAAACCTGAAGCTGAGCGATACATTGGACTTGTATCCAGACTTGATTGACCTCAAGGACTACCTGAGACAGAAAGGGGATGCCTTCTCCAGGACTTTACTACATCATCGCCCTGCGCTTGTGCTTTGGTTGATGAAATGTAAATCCCGCCGCCGTTCGTGTCCTCCCATAAACCACAAACGGCCTCCAGGATGCCGGTGCTGTGCACCACGCTGCTTTATTGACCCAGGTTGCAAGTACTGCAGCGTTTCTGCTAGACATCAGTATTCCACAAGACGCTAGAAGTGTGCCCTTGACTCTCGTTTCCATACAGCCAACAATCACTCGCGTATCTTCTCAGAGACGCCGGCGGCTTTGCTTTGGTGTTTTTTGCCGCTGCTGCCATCCACGGGATATCGGCACTGGATCTCCGCCTGCTCTCGATCCTTGTCCGTGTCCTATAGTCCTCAATGGCTACGTACCTGAGACCCGAGCACGAGCAACTAAGATGTCGGAGCGGGATATCAACGTTGCTTGAAAGCCGGTACACGGGAGCGGACAAATAAGTGTCCACTATCCCGGATCCCGACTACAGAGCAGTACAATTTAGACTTACGGTACACCTTCATATAGAGTATGAGTACAAAAAATCAGTCTTAAACACAGCACACAGCGCATATGTACCGTATTATATGTCTACGAAATCTCTTTCGGATTAGACTTACGTTATGCCGTCTGCCGCGTGAGGTCCGTAAGCCCGAATGCAAAATGACGGCTCAACTATCGACATTAGGGGGTGTGCCGTTATGTAGGTGGAATGTTTTTGAGGTATATCTTATATCCTGCGCCTGCCAAGGTGAAGGACGGCACTCTCAAGATCACAGGCGACAGCGCCCACAGCATTGAGAGCTTTGTGACATCTCGGTCTCAGCAGGTCCTCGGGACTTTGTGCCTTTTCAAGCCTGAAGGCTCGTTGAAGACGATCACCACATCCTAGGCTCACGGGATGATTCTCGTCTGAGCCTCATAACTCATAAATGATAACATACCGAAACAACATATGGCCTGTGGTTTTATGTTTGCCTTACTCCCATGGTGGAAACAAAAGGGCCCAGAATAAGAACGAGAGAGGCTTTCATGCTGCGGGCGGAGAGATGAGAACAAGGCCAAAAGATATGTCGGGAAAGGACCGAATTAATAAAATTTACAAACGTATTGATCAAAGCTGAAGAAATGGTTAGCAGAGCACAAATGGGGGACCAGTGAGACTTGCCAGACTGTCCATCCTCCCAAAGATCTCAAACACCGTGGCCACCACCTCGAAACACAATTCTTCCTGATCCTCTTGCCCACCCCCAGCACCAGCAGCATTGCCCCCTTGCCCTGCCCCGCTCGCAGCCGCCATCTCCTTCCTCGCCTCCCTCACCAACTCCTGCACTGTCTCGCGCCCGGCCCCACCTGAACCACCTTCACGCCGTCGTCCCGACCCGGAGCCAATAGCTACCGGACCAGAAGATTGGGAAGTGGTTTGGCCAAAAGGCCAGGTGCAGAATTCGGCGAGGATATCGTCGCAGCGACCGAAGGCGGCTTCTCGGGCGTCGTAGGAAAGGCGTTGGAGAGCGTTCTCAAGGACGCTCGAAGCGTAGGCTGTCAAATCTTGTCAGCAACACGTCCTATATGGGAGCAGCATGAGCATACCAGCACAAACGAGAGCAACCGCCCGCATATATCTATACTTTACATTCTCCTTTTGCAGCGCCTGCGCAGGAATGGCCGCAGTCCTCGCAGTCAACAACGACAAGACCCGTCGCATGACGTCGTCTTTGGCGTTCATGTCCGCGATGGGATGGGTAGCCATGTCGAATAGGAGGAAATTGCGCTTCTCGGTGCGAAGAATGCCCTTGTCCACTAGGCCCTTGGCGAGGCGCTCACGGACTTGTTTCAGTTGGTAGCCGATCTTCATTACATTCCAAGTCTCGCCTATAGTCATGATCAGTACATGCCTCTGGCAACCCGAAAATTACTCACCGCTCATTAGATCTACCCACGCGCCTGCCCCATATTTCTCACTGCTCTTGATCATCTTCAAAGCCTCATCTAGAAGCGTCTCTCCTGTCTGCCTGTCATCAATGACTTCTATCAGCCTATCCGAGAGGGCCAAGCGGCGGCGCGAGGGATCTCGAACCATGGCGATACGACCGCGGAGGGCCAGCTCGATGAGGATACAGCCTCGGAGGGCGTAGGAGATGTTGTCGTTCCAGAAGGACAGATAGCCCTGAGGGACGTGTTAGTGGTCGTCCGTGCGTGTTTTGTCCAGACAAGGCTTGTCATTGGGCGAGGCTCTTTCACGACAAGACTGGAGTAATACAAGAGTGCTCCAGCGCCGAGGGCGTACACTCGGATGACTGGTCGTGATGTCTCACTTACCGCCTTGTCCTTGAGCCCCAACAGGAGGACCTCCTCCATGAGGGTCAACCTGGGCATCTGGTCCTTCTCGTCGACATTTTCAAAGTCCCTGGGGTCATATGCGATCTTGTGTCCCTCGTTGCCGTCTCTGCCCTGTGTGTTGGGGTTGGGGGAGGGGCCAGGGGAGGAGGAGCCGGGGAGGGTGGGGGACTCGAGCTGTGCGGTGGTCTGGGGGATGGCGGGGGAGTGTCCTGGGCGTCGGCGGGTGAGTCCTTGCGACATGGTGGCGGATGTGGATGGGATAGAGAAGAAGGCAGGACGCGGATATCCCTGTGCGACGCGAAATACCTTACGTAACACCGACGTGGCTTTCCTCGCGACGTCACCACTTCTATCTCTCCTCATCTTCCTCTCAACTTCCTCTCCATCCAGCCATGAGCAACCTGTGAGTACCCTGCCCCCCCGCGTCCTGTCCTGACCGCCCTGCAGATATGCCACAGAGGTAGGCCTCCTCACGCACCGCGAGTGGTACTGACGTCGTGCAGCCGGCGACAAACGGCAAGGTCATCTTTGACACCACAGCAGGAGAGATTGAAGTAGAACTATGGGGCAAAGAATGCCCCAAGGCAGTTAAGAACTTTCTCGCCCTCATTATGGAAGGCCAGTCTTCTTCTCATGTGCGCCCGACAAGTGATTGACGGGAAGCAGGCTACTACGACGGGGTCATCTTTCACCGTGTCGTCCCCGGTTTCATCATTCAAACCGGCGACCCTACCGGCACAGGCATGGGCGGCGAAAGTTTCTACGGTGAACCGTTTGGCGACGAGATACACGGCCGACTCAAGTTTAACCGTAGAGGGTTGCTGGGAGTTGCAAACAATGGGGAGAAAAACACCAATACATCGCAGTTCTTTATTACGCTCGACCAAGCGCCCGAGTTGACATCAAAGCACACTTTGTTTGGCAAGGTTGTTGGGAACACTATTTACAGTGAGTCCTTGCTCTTATGTAGGAGACGCTGCTGATCATGGGAAAGATGTTTTGAGTATTGGAAATATGGATATCGACGCTGAAGAACGACCTCTTGTGTGAGTCCTTCTCTTCACAGGATCTTGCATTCATCTGACTGTTTCAGACCTCCAAAGATTCGCCGTATTCGAATCATCGAAAACCCCTTCCCCGACATTCAACCCCGTATCACCGCAGAAGAACGCCGCGCGCAAAATTCTGCCCGAATAGAAGCCAAGAAGGAGCTCGAAAAGCGGGAGAAGAGATCCAAGGCCAAGAAGTGAGTGGTAATTGATGTTAGTTCATGAAAAACTGACGGTACATAGGAATACCAAGCTTTTGTCATTTGGTGAAGCCGAAGAGATTCCGGATGAGGATGAGGTGCCGAAAAAGTCCATGACGAGACAGGATCGTGAGTGTCCGTTGGCTTGCCGGGTAGATCCGACTGACACCAAGATAGTCATGGAAGGGGGACCACCAGTCAACGATTCCAAGCTTGGCAAGTCTGTTGACGTTCCTCCCTCTCTCAAAGACATTGGATCCGACGACCTGGTCAAGAAGAAGGAAGCCGAGAAAAAGGTCAGTCGCTCGTTATATCATGGGGCATTCCTCACGTCAGAGACAGGCTATCGATCTCAAATCCATTCGTGAACAGCACGCAAAAGACCAAGCCGGTGGCGCCAACGACCGCAAGGCCGAAATCGCCCGTATGGAAGCCGACCTCAAGCGGCTCAAGAAGCGCTCCGGTTCCATGTCATCGTCCTCTTCGTCTTCCTCGACGAGAGACCGTAGGCCCAAAGGACCATCAGTTCTGGAGCAAGAACTCGCAAAGTACGAAGCCAACCGAGGTCGGGCAGCACAAAAGACTGGCAAGAAGAGGGGAAGAAAAGAAGAAGAGGATGACTTGTTGGCGGAAATGAAAAAGTTTAGCCACAGGGTCGTCCAAGCCGGCGACTCTGACGGCGAAGAGGATGGCAGGGAAGAAGGCGAAACAGGGGAAAAGAAGGAAGAAAAGTACGGCCTGGGCTTGGGTGAGGATGATGAAGGAGTAGAGGTGGACGATGATGTGGGATGGATGAGGCATACATTGAAATTTGTCGTGGATGAGAAGGAGCTCACCAGAAGAGCGGAAGATGAATATGCTGTCAGTAGCTGAGGGCATGTGGTAAGGACGTGGCTGACAAGACCATAGGTGATTGATCCGAGAGCGAAGGCTAGGGATATTCAAAGCGCGAGTCACCCGAGCGCGAAACGGAGCAGGCAGGACGATAGGAGGCATGGGGGAAGGGGCCGGGACGGGGGGCGACGGTACTGAGGAGTGGGATGCATGTAAAGTACGAGTACTCTAAGGGATGTTGAGTGAGACGAGTGGCAAAGCGTGCCTGGCGCGAACTCGTACCACTTCTTTGCTGCATCTTGATCTTCCGCGCGCATTCATTTCTCGTCATCTCTCATTCTTTCTTCTCCCCATGTCCGCCTCCATCTACCGCCACGCCCCAGACGAGCTCAGCGCCGTCCTCGACGTCCCCTCCGCCCACCTACAACCCCACCACGACCTCTTAGCCCCAGACTTCAACAGTCCCTTTGCCGCCGACCAGCTTCTCTTCAACCCCGCCTCCCACCCCGCCTCCCTCTCATCCCAGGAAGGTGATTCGTCCTTCCTGCTGTCCCCCGCCGGCCCCCACTCCAGCTCCTCCCTCTCCCCAAGGCTGTCCCTCTCACCGTCTACGGGCGAGCCTTCCATCCGCCCCTCTTCTCTCTCCTCGTACGCCCACTCTCACGCCTCTGCGCTCTCGCCCAACAGAAGCTATGGCACTGCTTCACCACACTTTGATCCCATGAGCGGGAGCGAGTTGGATCTGTTCCTCCTCCCCGAGCTGGGTCTTAATTCCGATGCCAGCTCCACCTTGGACTTGCCGCAACATAACGAAAAGGCGGGCCACTCCCTCTACCTGCCTGGGAGACAGGAAGGAGCTATGAGTGATGACTGGATACAGGACTTGTTCAAAGATCCCACGTTCAATCTGGGACAGCAGCCTCAGCAGCCAAATGGACCTGTGCCTAGGACTGAAACGCCTTCGGGCAGCCAGAACATTCATTTGCAACAGCATCAGCATATTGGGCAGACTATCCAGCCGCATCAGATGGGGCAGCTGGGGGAAAGCCAACAAGGATGGCCAGGGACGAATGGTGATGTGCAGCTCAGTGAGGCTCATATATTCTGGCCCGGACTATACTGACACTCTAGAAGACATGCCGTACCAAGCTCCTCAGCCTCAATCCCATCCTCAACCCCACGTTCAGACTTCCAAACCACGGGCCGCCCCTGCCCACCGAACGCCTTCGGCCAAAGCCTCAGACAGCTCTGCCCCCGCCCCCACTGTCGGCAAACATAACAAAACCGAGCGTCGCTACCGTCAAAAAGTCCAGGCTGCTCAAGCCGACCTGCGCGATGCCATCCCTGCCCTTCGTGTATTATACGGCACCTCTACGCCGGAGCAAGCGGCTACGATCGATATCAAGGCCGCTGATGGTACCGTGGACGGGCTCGGGGAGGTGACGAGGCCCAATGCGAGTGCGAAGGCGACGATCTTGATCGGGGCGAGAATGTACATTGAGCTCCTTCAGAGGCGAAGCGCAAAGTTGCAGAGGATGACGGATGAACTCCAGGACTTTAGGAAGACTGTTGAGGGGGAAGCAGGCTTTGGTGCTTGGAAAGGCCAGTTCGATGCCAAAGAGGCAGAAATCGAGCGGTACGAGGCCGAGCAGTTGGCGATCAGGATTGCGCGGGAAGAAGAAGAAGAGAGTGATGAAGACGGCGGCGAAGAGGTAGATCAAGAGCCATCGAAGAAGAGAAAGAGGGCTGCACCAGCCCCCAAGAAGCCCAGAGCTCCAGCAAAGTCAAAAGTGCAAGCCACAGCTGCTGCTGGCGCCCGGGTATTTGCCGCCTTTGCTCTCTCATTCTCATTCGCTCCCTCCGCCTCTACCATCCTTCATCCTGTTTCACAGTCATCTACCTCTCAGCTGCTGGGACCCCTGACCAAGCGCCAGGTCCTCTCACGTGTACCCATTTTGACCGCCGAACATACTTCTCGCCTTCTCGCTCGAGCTCTACCGAGTACATTCGCGCCGGGTCCCGAAGCGTTGGTGGAATGGACATGGAAGTTGCTCATCGCCGCTCTTCTTGCCGTTCTTATGCGCTCGGTGATCTCCAGGTGGTCTGCCCAGGACAAGCGTCCTACCACACCGGGGAGTCTCAGGGGTGTGGTTGAGGATCTTGTTCAATTTGCAACAGACAAGAACGAGGGTCGTGATGGAGATGATTGGGAGCATCTTGCTGCTGCGATCGTGGGCAACTGTGAGTACCCCATCGCCTTCGTTGAGTCTTTTACTCATATGTGTTCAGCAGCACCCCTGCCAACAGCAGTCAAGTGGCATACCATCCTCCACCTCAATATGACCGCTTCCAGACCCTACCCTCTCGCTTTACTCGCTCTTCTCCAGCCCGAGGTTGTTCTTCTCCGCTCTCCTGCAAGCATCTGGACTTCTGCTCAGTCCCTTGTGGATAGCACTACCCCAGCAGCATTGGTTACAGTACTGCAGCTGCCCCTCCACGAGGTTCAAAAGTGCTTGACGGCAGTGTCCCCAACATCTGCTCCTCTACCTGCTTTGGCGGAGCAGATCACCCTCACTCACATACACGACCTCTACACCCGCTTCTTCATCCACATCGTGGACGCCTCTCTCCCACCGTCCGCCTCTTCATCCACGCTCCGCACTCTCCTTGCAGACCTCGAGGCTTACGGACTTGGTACCCATCTGCAAACGTCAAACTTTGACAAGGAGATTCGTGCCACCATCTCTGGCGTCCAAAAGGGAAGTGCTGCCCATGCGCTCGGATTGGTATTGATTGGGCTTTGGGGCGTATTTGTGAGGCAAAGGCCCGAGGGACAGGCGTCGTTGGTGGCTTCCTTGGCGGGACTCCAAGTTTCCGGGGGTGTACAGGGCTTGGAGAGCGTCGGCGCTCTTCTCGAACTTCTCTATCCCGGGTGCTCAGAATTTGCTCCAGCTCCTTCTCACGAGGAAAACCTTTCCAAGACCGCCCAAAAAGTCGATCATCTCGCCCTCTCCATTATCGAGTACATCTCTCTCCTCCTTTCCAATCCTTCCTCTTCCGCATCTGTATCTACCGAAAACAAGCCTAGAGGAAATAGGAAGGAGGAAAGCATGGATGTGCAGAAAAGGGTCGTCAGCCTGAGAGGCATTTTGAACAAGACCGGCTGGGTTGAGATCGAATCCTCCTGGGACGACGACGATTCTGACGATGAGCAAGCTTCCGCTGCTCCTTCACAGGAAGGACAGAGTCACCTTGAGACAGAGAGGACAAAGTATGAGCGGGCGAAAGAGAGGCTGGTAGACGTCTTGGTGAAGATTGGGCGACGGGCTGCAGGAAGAGCGAGGGGCCGGGATGAAGATTCTGGACTGGAAGGGGATTTGGACGAATTATAGAAGTGTTTCAGCAGTTTCATTGGCAGCGGCGCGGACTATGATCGTGTTAGTTTTTGTTGTTTAGATCCTCATGTGTTTATATGCAATGTATGGGAATGTGCATTGATAAGACGGAAAAGTGCAATTAAGTCAAAAGATGTCGCAAACATGGTTTCATTTCGTCAAGCAGTATGTCTTTTGAGTCATTATGCGTTCCATCCGCCCTCAAATCCTCGTGCTCCATGCCCGATCACTGCCTCAATTTTACTTCCCTTCATTGACTGAACTGATGCGTCAGCGACAATTGACAAGCAGTAGAGAAATGGCTTACCTGAGCTTCATTCATAAGACATTCTCTACGATCTGCCAGGAGGGGGAGGCCCAGCAAGCCTAGACCCCGGAGGCGGAGGTCTGACAGCTTTTTCTTGACCAGTCGCAGGCCTCGAAGGTGGCCTGGCGAACTGGGGAGGTGGTGGTCTCGCCTGACTCTGCCCCTGCTGACCGTACACCGCCTGTTGCCCCTGCTGAGCTCCGTAGATGTTAGGTGGTGACGTTACTCTGGCTGGATTCAACGGAGAGAGCACCCTTCCAGGTGGGGGAGGGCCTGCAAGTGTTCCGGGAGGAGGCCCAGCTCGAACTCCCGGAGGAGGGCGGGAAAGAGTGGAAGGTGGCGGGCCAGCTTGCGCCGGAGGGGGACGAGCAAAATGCTGCTGTTGCTGGGGTGGCGGTTGCTGATACAGCTGCTGATGTTGGGGAGGCTGTGAATACTGGGGCTGTGGTTGCGCCTGCTGTTGTTGGGCAGTGGGAGGAGGCTGGATCTTGGCCTTGGAAGCAGCACTGGGTGGTCTAGCACCCTTGGGCGGTGGTGCGATTCCAACCGGTGTTCTGGCACCACCCATCGGGGGCGGCGACATGACACCTGGACCACTAGGACCACCCAAGCCACCACCGGCAGCCGCGAGAGGATCAGGCGAGGCATTGGGGAAGGGGCTCATGATGGCGGCACTCTTCACTTCCTTGGCTGCGCTCTGTGGTCGCTTGGGTACCAGAGTGGGGGCGTCGTTCCAGCCAGGCACATCCCTTCGCTGAGATCCGGGGACAACAGGAGGAGAAGACGCGGAAGCAGAGATGGGTCCGCTAGCTTGCCCAACGCGGGGAGGAGGAGGGACAACCTGGGGTCGGTTGTAAGATTGCTGGGGCACACCGTAAGGAGTAGATCCGTAACCGTTGGGCGCGGAGGGATTCTGAGCGTTGGTTTGGTAAGAGGAAGGAGCAGGGGCATAAGGATTGTTCTCATAAGCCTGTGTGGGTTGAGCAGGAGGTGCGTAGGCGTTGGAAGGCTGATAGACGCTCCTGCTCGCGACAGGAGCTTGCTGGTACGTAGGCTGCTGGGCAGGGGCGCCATAAGGCCCGTTAGACTGACCATACGCTGAAGCAGCGAAAGCAGGCTGAGCAGGGATGTACCTGCCAGCACTCCTCGAAGGTCCAGCCTTGGAAGACTGGCCGATGCTAGAGCTGACAGCAGTCGTCTTTTCATCTGCAGCCCAGAGCACCCTCTCCCTTGCCTTGTCGAAACCACCGGTTCCACCAAAGCCTTTGTAGTCTACGGGCGTCTTCTTGACATACTTGGCAGCAATATCCACCAGGCCCTGAGTAGCGAGCAAGTCGGCGTACTCGTAGTACCTGTCGTACAGGCCAGCAAGCTTGTAAGTGCGAGCACCAGCCTCGGCGGCGGCGGCGGACTGGGTAGGGGTCGCAAGATCTTCGTCAACGTAGCCAGTAGCAGCGCTAAACACAGACACCTTTTCGATGAATGATTGAAGGGCCTGGGCGTGAGAGGTGTACTGGGTGGACTCGACAGCCTCTTCCTCCTCGGTCATCTCGTCAAGCCAGATTGAGATCACCTTTTCAAGCTTCTGGGCAGCCAAGTAGCACAAGGTGGCGTCCTGTCGGGCGACCTGAGCCCCCTCCTTTGCCTCTGGGCTGTCGGAGCCAGAGAGAACTCTCCACCTGAACTGCAACCTCTGACCAAGCTGTTCGGCAAGGTTTGCAAACTCTCCGTCCTTGGCAAAGGTGCAAAGCACGACGAAAGCAGCCTTCCACTCGCTCAAATCGGCATTCTGCACAATGTCAAGCAAGTCTTCCGTGACAATGGATTGGAAGACACGGAGGAAGGGGCGGGACGTTGTTTGCTGGGCAAAATAGGCGTTTTGCGTAGAGTGAAGGAGGTCGGGACCTCCTCGGACAGCCAAGAGGAGTGCGTCGGCGAATCGTTCAGAGGCAAGACACAAGTCGACGGCAGACTTGAAATCACCGACGACCAAAGCCTGAGTGACGAGTTTATCAACGTCACTCTCGCCTTCGGGGTAGATCTCAAACGTGTTCTCGGTATTGACAATCTCATCCCTGACAGAAGACGGTCGGCTACCAACCGTTGCAGCAACGGAAGAGTCGACAGTCACAGACTTGTGGGGAACAATGTTGTCAAGTTGGGGGTTTCGCAGAGAGCCAGAAGCCATGGAGGAGAAAAAGTCGGCAGCGGCAGCAGCAGCAGGTGTGCCAGGGCCAGCCTCATCGTTGAAGAAGCCCGATTCAGATTTTTCTTCAGCCTTTTGACTCTCGACACCAGCTTCTGATTTGACGCTTGCGTCGTCGAGGAGCTCGCTCTCGGTCTTTTCGGCAGTCGGCGTCTTGCCATCCTCTTCGACCGAGATCACAGGAGGGACGGGCTCTTCCTTGGGCTTTGAGAGTGTGACGGCATTGGGGAATTTGGCTACAGCCTCTTCCACCTTCTTGGCCACTTCCTCCTTGGAGAATCCGAGCAGCTGGATGAGCTCGTCCCGCGAGTTGGCCTTGAACAGAGTCTGGAGTGCTTTCCAAGCCTCGTCTTGCCCGCTGGCCCTGGTTGAGCAGAATTCGGCGAGTTTCTCTGTTTCGCCACTAGTCTTGTCAAGAGCCTCGGCGCGATCCAGCACGGCTTGTTCGGTGGTGATGGTTCGGAGATGGACAACACCAGACTGGTGCTTCCCATTGGCCCCCGAGAGGTTGGAGGTCGTCGTAAGAAGACCGCCAAAGCCGAACGTGGCAGAAACGGGTCGACGGAGCCATTTTGGGGCTTGCTTCAATGACAAGACATTCGAACACTCGCTGGAAGGCTGCTGGTTACTCAGAGCCCCAAAGATGTCGTCGGGCGTAGCGCCCTCTTCGAGCTGCTGGGTAATCGGCTGAGGCTCGCTAGTAGTTTGCAAAGAGTGGATACCGATATGACCATCAAAGGACGCGGTAGCGAGGAGGTCGGGATTACGAGGACACCAGGATGTTTGGAAAGTCCAATCGTTACTGACTGGAAGTTCGCCAATGACCTCACCAGACTCGGGATTCCAACACAGGGTGCGGTTGTCTTTACCACAAGACAGAAGGAGGTCGGCATCTTGTTTACACCAAGAGAGAGAGAGGACACCCTTTTGGTGTCCGCTGAGGATCTTTTCGGGCGCACGAGTGTTTCGCAGATCCCAAAGCATGATAATTGGGGACTCGTCGTCTTCAGAAGAAGTGATGAGGCGCGTAGGCTATTTGATGTTAGCACGAATCTCACTGGAGACAATGACCTTACATTCTCAGGGTGCCAGACGACATCACTCATACCCCTTCGCTTGCCCATCTGCAATCCAGCAATTCCACCAACAGTCTCCATACCCTTGGCAGCACCACCACCATACTGCAGGCTAACAATCTCCTTTTGTGCTTTCACATCCCACACGGATGCAAATCCAGAAGATGAAGACGCGGCAAAGACGCGAGCAACAGTGGGATTCCACTGCACCGAGGTGATCTCGCCCAACTTGGTGGAGACGGGGCCAGGAGTGATGGGTTCTTTGGCAATGTCGTTGAGGTCAAAGATGTAGATCTGGATCACGTCAGCAAAGTCGGAGAAGCAGCTGGATATCTCACTTGAGCATTGATTCCGCCAGTCAACAAAAGGTTCTTCTGTATGGGGTTCCAGTCAAGACCTCCCACCGCCCCAGCGTGCTTTTCACTCTTCAAGATGCGCGCCTCGTCCGCGCTGTAAGGTTGTTAAGACGCGTGTCAACTATATAGAAGAGACCTTACCTGGCGCCAGCAATGATCTTTGAGGGGTCGTACACGCTCACTTCACCAGTCTCCATTCCCGCTGCGAGCAGGCCCAGCTGATATGAACCAAAGGGCGCTGACCATCTCAGGCGATTGAAACTGTGCCCGTGTCAGCGAATCACAGGTAGCAGACAAGAAGGAATTGCTTACCGACTGTTGACGGTGATGCTTCCGAGAGGGGCCTTGTCTGCGAGTTTGAGGTGGTTGACGTTGTCAAAGTCGGGCTGCCAGATTTCGAGCTTGGACTCGTTGCTGAAGTTCTCGTCGAGCGCGCCTGCGACTGCGGCGGTGGCGAGGAGGGGGGTGTTGGAAGAGTTGGCGTCCCAGGCGAAGGTGGCTGTGCGGGAGATGTCCTTGAGCTTCATGGCGGATGGAGACATACTACAGCTACAGGGGATGACGGTCAAGTGCAGGTGGAACGTGGCGCACCGCACGCCTATCGCCAATCCCATCGCGGATAGGCACGCGGCCTCCACTGTCTTAACATTTTTGGACGAGCTCGGTTTGTGCAGTATCGATAGACCACCGACAATGCCCGACCCATTCTTCCAGTCCCAGAAGAAGCGCAAGAGGAACTCTCGCCCACGCCAGCGGGACGAGGACATCTCCGACAATGATGCCGACAACGGCCCTGCCGACCTCGACCTGATGGACTTTCAGCAGAGCAGGCAGGACGTTGCCATGGGAGACGAGGAGTACATTGACGAGAACGAGACCGCCCCTGAGAAGAGAGTGCGGCTGGCAAAGGGATATCTTTCCAAAGTGCGAGATGAAGTTGAGGCTGGTGAGTCGACCCAAAGCGTCCGGGCCCAGCTGACATTATACAGCCAACGCGGACCAGGACTACGATGCGGCTGACATTGACCGGGAGCTCATTGCTTCGCGGCTCCAAAAGGATGTAGTAAGTGACAAGCTATATGCATGGCACATGTTCTGACCCTTCTAGGCCGAAGCATCTGGCAAAATCCACCTCTTCTTGGCCGCCCACTTGACCTCCTTGACCTCCCGCCTGCTCCCCACCTCTTCCCACCTTCCGACCCACTCAGCCATGACATCGTCATACATATACACCTCCACCAAGCGCGGCTCTGTCATTCGCCATGCTACATCTTCATTACGCAAAGCCGGGCAGAACTTTGGGCGAGAATTGGAAGGGAAGGAGGGCGGACACAAGGGGGAGATCTTGTGTCTGGCCGCGAGCGAAGATGGAAAGTGGCTGGTCACTGGAGGCGTTGACAAGACTATCGGCTGCTGGAATGTCTCGGGAAGAGAGCCCACCTTTGTCACTGCGCTTAAAGGTCACAAAGACGCCGTCACAGTAAGTCTTCATCCATTTTGTCTTTGTTCAGAGCTAAGCAGACACAGTCCATAGCCTTCCCACCACTCAACAACCCTTCATACCACATTCTGTCATCATCTCTTTCTCGTCACCTTGCCCTCCACTCCCTCTCCACTCTTTCCGTTGTCGACACCTTCTTCGGTCATCAAGACTCTATATCCTCCGTTTCTTCTCTTCAGCCCACAACCGGCGTTACCGCTGGTTCTCGAGACCGCACATGTAGATGGTGGAAGGTGGAGGAAGAGGTTCAGCTTGTTTTCCGAGGTGGAGGCAAGACCAGGATAGGGTTGGACGGGCTGATGCCAGAGGAAAGAAAGGAGCGACTGGGAGGCGGATGGACGGAAGGCGTCGAGCCTGAAGCCCCGCAGGAGAAGAAGAACAAACCCAAAGAGTTTGTAGAGGGCTCCATTGACGTAGTTTGTCAGCTCGACAACTCGCACTTTATCTCTGGCGGCGACAGCGGCTCTCTCCTTCTTTGGTCAACAGGCAAGAAGAAGCCCATCTACACGCACGCTTTTGCGCATGGTATCGCCCCATCTCCGTCACCCGATGCCGAGAATCCTCTTCCCGAACCGCGATGGATCACTTCTGTAGCGGCTCTGAGAGGTACCAACCTCTTTGCGTCTGGTTCGTGGGACGGGGAGATTAGGTTGTGGGCTTTGGGCGAGGACATGAAGGGGTTCAAATCTGTCCCCTTCAGTGTCCCCGTGCGTGGATTCGTAAACTCTTTGCAGCTGTCTGCTCTTCCTTACGATACTGTCTCGCATGACGTCTTGACCGGGGAGGAGCAGGCAAAGAAGCCGCAAAGTGAGATCATTCTCACCGCCGCTGTCGGCCAAGAGCCGCGGATGGGCAGGTGGCTGAGGGAAAAGGATGTCAAGAATGGTGTCTTGATTGCCAGGCTAGAGTTGGACGACGCGGGGAAAGCGATGATGATTTAGATTGTACATTGTGATTGTCAATGCACTACAGACGCTATCCCAAAAAACCTTGATCAGATATCGTGATCAATTTCTGCTTCTTCTGCTTCGTCCGAGCTGTACGAGAGTCTCGTCTGACGCTGCTACAATATCCTCCACAATGCGAACCACTACTTCGGGATTGATTGTAATCTCACCCTACGTATGCGTGAGCTTGATTCTCACTTGAAGTGTCTCACTCACCTTGGGTCGTTCCCCGTTAGAGGGCCCCGCGATTTTCCATTCTTCCTCTGGTACGACCCTATCCCCGGCCACCGCCACATAGTTGTGATTCAGAGAAGAAGCCATCAGCTCAAAGTCGCCTGCTCTTGCAGTCAGCCATGGTCACCGACAGTGAGGGGAGTCTTACGCTGAAAACCGCCCGTCTCAAAGAGTTCAATGATCGTTGAGCCTTTGCTCGGGGGCATCCAAATGACATGAACGAGATCGTCCGAGTGCGAGCCAATCACCACCTGTACCAACATTAACAACCTCCCATTTATATGACTAGACTCACCAAAGCCCGACTCAAAAGCTCAACCTGACGGATTTTGGGCATACCGCCTACTTTCACTATATGCACTTCGGCAATACTCGTCAAACTTTTCAGTGCCGTGATCATTCCCGCATGATCTTCCGAACGGAGACGGGGAGGTTCTTTCTGGTGGGACAAGTAGACTACAACAGGCAGCCCTCTACTGCCGATCTTGCTCTTGCTTACACCGAATGATTGGATGGCATTATCCCTGTATTGTTGAAATATATCACCAGGAGCTGCAACTGTGGGAACCAGGACGTTCATCTGCTCTTCCGTCATTAATTGTTCGCGCTTTCGAAGAGAGAGCAGAACATACCTTGCCCCATTTGGCGATATCGCCCGTTATAGAATGCGCCGCCCAGCGATCAATGATGACCACCTTCTCCAGTTGCATGGTAACACCAGCGAGATTTCGGTCGGCGAAACCTGTAGAGTCTTCGATACTGGCAGAAGGTACAGCATGCGAGAGGAACCACACATCTGACAATGACATCAGCACGGAGAATCGCTCAAAGGTGAATCGGCGCACTTTCCCCACGGTCGTCCCGCCAGCTTGGAGTGGCGCCACAGCGTGGAAACCAGATACGTTTGGGGACGGGAATGCTAGCACTTGCAGGTAGAGTCGAAGCTAGAGACCGAACGGCGCCGAGGAAAGCTTCGGCGACAAAATGTCTGAAACGTGAGTTAGACGTGTTTAAATAACTGTGAAAACACATACTTGAAGAAGACTCGAGTGGTGGTCAGCTTGCACGTCGTCCCGTACGCGTCCGACACTCACCAAGATATCCCTCTAGAGAAGGACCAGATAATGGTCAGCATCGTCATTAGCTCTCTGTTCCGGACATACCGGGACCAGGCCCATCGTTGAAGATGAACTACTTTCAATGAGCACCATACACCGTTTGGATGAGTAGCTGACTTACAGTCAAACCGCCCAATCTATACCCTGTCTTTCCAAACTCCATTCGTCCCACTTCTGGTCCCTCAATCCTCCACCTGTCAGGCCCCGCCGTCACGCCTCTCTTGCTTGACGAGATGATGGATTTCGTCTCTGGGAATGGACTCTCTTGTACTCGGTCTGTCTCTTCCGCGTCGTCGCTCGCTAACGGAGACGGGGCTTGAGAAGGGGTGATAGCAGTCAGAGAAGCACCTGAAAGGTATAGATTTGTAAAGACTTGATAGCCTGGCACACCTGCATCCAGAGTCAGTCCAGATTTGGCGGAAGACGAGAGAATCCTGACCCCCTTCGTACTTTGTCCAATGGAGCCCTTCATCAAAGTCCACCCAGCCATCCTCCTCCACCTGTTCGACTTCCATCTGCTCAACTGTTTCGCGTCCGCTGCCCCACCCCAGGGAGGGCCACTTATCTCTCCAGTCACTGACCCCACCCCTGAGTCCCTCTCTCCATCCTTTGGCTTCGGTGGATTCGAAATCAAACGTCCTCGGCTCTCCGGGGGTGTGTGGGAACTCGGAAGTGGAGGGGGTGGAGGGCTTGACGAGGAAGAAGACGAGGAGGAAGAGGAGGGGTGAGGATATGAGGGCTGAGCGGATGATGTGCCGTGAGGATATGGCCATCGTTGATTAGGATATATACAAGATACAAGAGTATAGACAAGACACTCTTTCGAGAAACGCATCTGACCTGGATCCGACACTGGGAGCGCGTCAGGCACATCAGCGACATGATGATCATCGATGCCTCCTCGTAGATGGTAGTATTGTATTCAGAGTTCATTACGAGGGTACAGAGGTAGGATTAATCTACAGGCGAGTATCAAAATGGGGTCATTGCTCGAGTGGTTTGATGGTATACAGGCCCGCATCTGCTGTTACACTTTGGATCCTCGAAGTCTGTGAAGATAATAGCGAATCCTCCGTGTCCCCGCTTCCCGGCGAAGCCTCTACATGCGCCGCACAAAGCACTATTTGTACCCAATGACTAGCACCATTGAAGGTGCATTTCTGTGCAGACTCTCAAAAATCACTTTCATGTCTTGCAGGACCGACGCTTGCGACTCCCTACTCGCACAGATAGAAAGTTCAACGAGTAGCTAAATGGCATATATCATTATCAGTATAGTCCACTGTGCGCTCGCCTCTACCTGGGAGTTGCGCGATGGTTCGCTACGTAACATGAGTCCGAGGCCATCATTGTCGATAGACTGTAAAGTAGTCGCCATGCTACGCCCAAGCAATCCCATGCCACTCTTGATACCTCGCATGTGGAAGAGTTGTCAAGTGGGGTAGCGCTATCACTCACCCACTCTGTTGACTGTTGAGTAGGCCACAACCATCTGACCAAATCATGATCTTGCAGGCAGGAAAAACAGTTAGGTGATGGAACCAACCATGTTCTCTGAGACACGATGGTCAGCACTGAAGTGAGTGGTTCAGCGGATACTGAAAGACGATCGCAGAGCAGGTCAGCGTTCAGTCATGATGTCCGTGTCAAATGCCATTCTCTCGCTTGCCAATGCACACACACAGCGCAGGGTCGTAGCAGTGATCAAATGTCATGACCCAGGACGATTGCAGTAGCCATCTTAGCGTTCTACAAAAAGTCCAACACCCATCGTACACTCTCCCCTCCCTCTACTCAAGCACTAGGCGCTTAAGCAGAAGCCTTCTTCTCCTTGACGTAGGCCTTTCGGATAACGTCACGTCGAGCCCTCTTGGCGAGTTGGACCTGGAATCGGTCGAAGTCGGAGGTCTCCTGCTCGATCCATCAGTTCCCCGGTCTCTCGAGTCTTGACGAAAAAAAGCAAAACGCACCTTCCTGGATTGCCTGGCAGCCAACTTCTTGGACCATCCGCTCTCAGCCCACTTCTCGGCGACACCAGCCTTCTCGATGGCCTTCTTGAGGGGACCAGCAGAGATACCTCGGGGGAGGGAGGCGATGGTGTAGGGGGTGAGGATGAGGTGTCGGTAGGGGAAGGCCTGTCGGGGAACAGAGGTGGTGGGGCCGTCGATGAGAGCCTAATCCTGTCGTGAGTTTGTGTCCTCCTGTATTGTGGGGATGGACGTACCCTGTTGTGGTCAATGATCTCGACGATGACAGCGAGCTTGCCGGCGGAGGGACCCTCGTTGACGAGGACAACTCGGCCAACCTCAACGAAACGCTTGAAAGTAGACTGCTACAGAGCAAAAGTCAGCCTCTGTCTGTCTGCCCCATCTGCCCAGCCTTCCTATCCCTCAAAGCCAGCGTCCCATCATCCCCCTGCACGCGCATCACATGGCCGCCCGTCTCGTCCCACTCTTCCTCATCCTCCCTTCCCATGCATTTCCGTCCTCCTCTCTCCTCCGCTCGTATGCTTGATGATGCCGGGCCATGACTTACGACCATCTTGACCGGGGGAAGAGTGATTTTGGGGGATAGCTTGAAGGTTGAATGCTCACCAAAACAGCAAAGACACTGAACACGCCAAAACGAACGGAAACAATTTTTGTAACGCCGATAGTTTCGACCGGCGTTTCCAATTTCGGGTGGTTTACGTAACATTGTCAGTCACTTTGTTTGGTTCTGCATGCGCCATCGGTGTTGGCCTTGGGTGGCCGTCTCAAGCTGACTGTATGTTGCAAGGAAATATATGCTCTAGTGATCAGTATAATACCTTTCAAGACAATGCCATACACGCCAAGTTTGCCAGACGCCAGCGACCATCACACAGCACTGTACGACTCTATCCATTTCATCGAAGTAGAACTCCGATGCTAGACGACTAGACCCAGAAGACTTGGGATACTGCAAGACGAAGATCGCCAGGGGGCTTGCTAGTGGAAGGACCAGATACGGCACAACCACAAGAATGCCAGATTCGCCGATTTCCCCTATCGCAAGCCTTCTTGCACTTCTTGCTTGAGTTTTCAAGAAGGTCCCCCAATGCTCGATGTTTCAGTTCTCAGACTTTCGTGAACGGTTTGGTCTCTGAAGGACAAGGAAGTGAGACTATTTTGCTCGGCCACAGAGACTTAGTTTCTTCACATCAGCCAAGATGCTGTGATGCGATGCACATGGGCACGGTGGCGCTTCTAGGACATAGGTGCTGTCCGTACATTGCTGGAGGATGCAGCGAACACCTGATAGCAGTACTCAATTGTTGTGTAAGAAATGCAAGGACGTCAGACTTCTGCCAACTGAGTGCGCGTCAACGGACGTAATGGGAGCAGACTCTGTGTCTTGTAAGCCTCTCGCATATGACGAGGACTGCCAAGTACGAATGTTATTTACTTGATACACCAATCGCTGCAGCAGAGGGTTCAACCATCCCGTAGGTCTACACCACCGAAGCGAAGGTGCATTGAAGGAGGCCAGCCAGGGACATATTGCATCTGCACATTGACCGCAGGGGAGCATATAGACATGTAGCTCCATAGTTCTTTACTCAGACTTCAAAACCTATGTTTCAAAATCGAGATATCCCCTACTCTTCGAGCTCAAAGTCGTACGCGAGGACTTCTGCCAGCATCATCAGCATTTACTCGTTCCGAGCAGTCTTACTCACCGTCGACATTGGGGAGCACATTCTCCTTGACAACCTTCAGATGAGCCTCGGACGTGGCATACTCTTGAAGCGCTTTGGCGGAAGAGAACACAGAGTACAGACCTGCCAATGTTGATTTCAGCGCTGTGTACAAGCTCATTGAAGCAGACCAACCGTAGTCAAACCCCTTGGCTCTAGCGTCGATGAGGGGTCCACCAAGATGAAGCGTTTCAGGACCAGGTACACCCTTCAAAGCCGAGATGGCCTTCTTCGCTTCAGCAAATACTTGTTCAGTCGAAGTGCTTGTCAGCACGGATGGGCGCTTGAGCTTCCAAAGGACAATGTGGACGATCTCTGGACTGTGGGTGAGCTAACAGCCGGAGAACTGGGAGAAGCGTGGGATCTTACTGGGCATTGTGTGGTGACAGCGATAGACGTAGAGAGACGATCTCGACTTGGAGGCAGCCAGAATGAAGCACACCATCCCCATCTCAGCCCCGCCGGCCCTTCGGCTATCTCCTGCTCTGCATTTGCTTCCGTCCAGCTACATATGTTACATTTCAAGATCACTATTTCACGGCAATACATGTATTCCAACAGTGCTATTTACCCCAGAACATCGATTCAATTATGACTATGCGTCCACATCCATATTTTCCTCTTCTTCGACGGCAATTCTTCCCGTTTGTTCTCCGTACGCAGCCTCTACAGCTACTTCCACCGCATCCTTCATTCCCTGCGCCACTTCGAGCAGATCTGCCGACGCTTGATCTTGTTCGGCCATCATTTGTGACTCCTCTTTTTGCGCCTCCGAAACAGGAAGCGGGTAGGCTAAGGGTTCGTCTTGCATCACCAGCCCCTCATTGATTGCCTCCTCCTCCACCTCAAGCGGAAGTTCCGAATATTCTTGCTCGTCTTCTTCAACCTCTTCAATCTCATCTCTGTCCCACTCTCCCTTCTCATCGTCGCTAAGTTTCTCCCACCTATATCGCCCGACTTGACAAAGCATCCACCGCTCGTCCTGAGTCAACGCTGCGAGGCCTTCAGGCAAAAAGTAGACTGCTGAAGGGGGGCGAGGCGATAAGATTGTGGAATTGGGAATCCCAGGGGTAGACGAAAGTTGGGTCAAAGTGATCAGAGGGTAAGAGTAGGTTGCCTCTTGACTCATACTGAGGTGGTACCTGTGCACGCAAGTCAGCTGATTTTGTCCGTGTTATCGTGATGCAACTCACGTCTCTCCCCGCCCACTCAATACCAATCGATAATCCCATAAAGCCCTATCACTTCCGCCCCCCTCCTGCGGGAGGTTCAACCAGGCTCCCAGTGCTTCCGGTGTGTACTTGAAGCCCCCCGAGACGAGCAGTCCTTTCGCGTCTGGAGCTATCGACGAGGTAAAGATGATGGGTTCCGTGGGCAAAGAGGGTCGAAGCGTTGGCTCCTTTACGCTCACTTCCGCGCCAGTCTCTCTGTCGGGCGGAGGTAGTGCAGGGAGGGGATCGACAAGGGCACGTTGTTTGGCCCATTGCGCCATGCGCGTTTTGCGCTTCCTTGATGCGAGGTATTGTTTGTCAATCTTGGGCCAGTCAGCTCTGAGCACGAATCGAAGCTGAATGTACTCACCTTGACTCGTTCAACCCTTTCTACCACAATACTTCCTCCATCATGTCCATTGCCCCACCCCCGCGTTTGGATCCCATTCCTCTCCGTCCCTGTATAATGCACCAATGTTGGCACAAGTCTGACGGTCACATTGATGAATTCTTGCTCGTCCCTTTTTCTATCTTCCGCCGTGTACAGGCCGTCAGCAGGTACAGGAGACCAACGTATCCACCCCGCGTGGACCAAAATGAGACCAAGGTCAGAGTCGTCAGTGTAGACGTCTGTACCCCAGCATGCACGGTCGGACGATTCGGCGCCGCACACAACTCTACCAGAGCGTTTCGTGGTAGCCTCGTCCCATCCCGGCTCTCCTCTCACTTTCCACCCCCTACCCAAAAACCCTCCACCGACTCGAACAACGACCGTGCCACCCTCGTTGTCTCGTTTGTATAATCCCGTCTGTGAGATCAAGAACGGATTGCCCCCGTACTCTATCTTGCCCACCTCCCTTGCCAAAGTCGGCAGGGCTTTCAACCAGCTTTCTACAGGTGCAGAAGACACCTCGACACGTTTTGCAGGCGGCTGGGTAAGGGCAGCCCAATCGCGCTTCTCTGCGGGTGAGCTGCGAGGAGGAGCGGCGCCATGAGAGGCAGAGTGATGGTGATGTCCCATCGTTCGCTCTTCTTCCATCTTACGACGCTTGCTCTTGGCCTGGCTACTTCTTCTCTGCGCTTGTTGGGCTTGATGAGCAACCTGTGCGTCTTCTACGACGGCATCCATGCGGCTTCGTTTCTGAGCGGTAGAGGCGGGCATGGCGGGTGTCCCAGTCTGGGCAGAGTAAAAGTCGCGTTCACGTTCACGCTCACGCTCACGTGTGGATTCACGGGCAGAGGCAGCAGAGTTGAGACTCGCACTCTCCCTTGGTGAAGCTAGGGCAGCTTCCCGTGGGGTTGGTTCAGGCTTGTACCCATAAGGCCTTGGTTCCCTCGTTGGTGCCACCTGCTGTATCACGCTTGTCTCTCTCTCAAACGTGGATCCTTGGATGGGCGCAGAGACTGCAGGGTCAGGGTGATTGAGTACCTCGATGTGGCGGGAGTAGTTGGAGCTGGCTGGAGGCTTGCCCTCGAATGAACCAGTGTTCCTGCGGTAAGGGTCTCGCGGAGCAGGGATAGCTGCTTTATGGCCCTTGTCACCCGCATACTGTGCCATCGCCCGCTCTCTCTCCTGCTCTCGAATGAGTCTCCACTTTTCTCTCTCCCGGTCTGCTTCACTGAATTCTTTTGGCCTGCGCTGTTCGGCGCGTTCAGCTTCCCGACGTTTCTCTTCCTGTTCCTCTCGATCGGCTCTATCAGCGCGTTCAGCGCGTTCCCGGGCATCGCGCGCTTCACGTGCTTCACGCTCACGATCCTGGTCCCACCTAGGCCCACCAAAAGCACCATAGCCACCAAATCCAGTCAGCCCGAAACCGCCCGAAAAGCCTGAATATGCGGGGTTGTTGGGGTACGCATATGACGAGCCGTAGGGGGCCCGGGAAGAGGGTACGCCAGGCGCGGCGGCGTTTGCGGATGGTTTGGTAGGAGCGGGAATGGCGGAAGGGGAGATGGCATCGCGAGACGGTTCGCGGGGCGATGCAGCTGTTCGGGCGACAGGGGATCGCTGGGGTTCGCGGTCTCGGTTGACGCTACTTACAAGTGGCGGAGGGCCGCTTGCATAAAGCGAGCGGGCAGTACTGGGACCGGATGGTTTCGGCGGGCTGCGATCGCCCAAAGGCAGACCAGGAATGTCTCGAGAGCTTGAATTGCTCAAAGACTGTCTGTGTCCACTGACAGGCGGTGGGACCTCTTGCTGAGTCGCAGCGGGCGATGGCAGAGCGCTACCGCTGGTGGACCTTTCCTGGACGTCCCTCTCAAAAGGCGACGGAAGCGCGCGAGCCCCGAGTCCCGACCCATACCCGGGAAGCGGCAGGCTGGGACGCGGATTGGACGAGGGCGCGCTCTCACGAGGCGGCAGCTGTGGAGATATCGATGATTTGCTCTGGGGCGGGACGGGGAGATTGCGGGTGTTTGTAGGGGACGGTGGGAGGGAGGGGCGGGGATAGGGATTGGCAGGGGTGCGCTGGGTGGGGGAAGTAGGCGGCGGCTTGAGCTCTCTCTCCCTCTCCCTCTGCAGCCTCTCCTGCCTGTCCCGTTCTCGCAGTTCCTCCTGCCTGAATGGCCCGCTGCCGAAGAGGCCGTACCCGCCGCTGAGCCTGCCGAGGCCTGTGGGGAGGCCGCCGACGCCCATGAGGTCTGGCTTGCGGCCTGGGGGCGGGTTTGCGTACGGGCTGGGGCGGTCCTCGCGCGGGGGGGGGCGGTGGGGGTTGCTGCTGTCGGGGGGCCGCGGGAGCATTTCGGATGGATGAGGACACAACACCCTGCAGCGACAACAATGCAAAGAAGAAGAGGAAGGAGATGCATGCCGCGTTACGTAAGTTGACGCGCCACTCTTCTCTTACTTTCGCATCTCTGCTCATCTCTATACGCCATGGCGGACCCAGCCCCGCGTAGATTCGGCGCGCATTCCCAGGCCGCTCTTGTCCCGCCCCCGCCACAGCGTACCCGTTCAGCATCGTCTACCTCCTCTGCAACCCCCCCGGCATTCGACATCACGCTGGCAGCAGACAAGGCACAGCAATGGCTGTCTACCTGGGCCCCCAGGGGTGAGGGCAAGGGGAGAGATTTCATCATCAATGGGCTCAACGGGGTGGCTAGTGTCGCCAGCACCGTTTCAAGCGGCCTCAATACCAGACACGGGGATGGGGAGCTATCCCACTTTGCCAACCGGTCCACATCCAGCTTCCTCACTCCTTCCAACTCTTCCGCATCTCCCTCGACCAGCCCTGATGGACGATTCAGCATATCCCCACCACCGCTTGGGCCTCTGCATGCGCACTCTACCCCGCAATTGGGCTTCTCTCAAGCTGCGGGAAGTGGAAAGAGGCCACCCCAGCCTGCCAATCTCGCTCGTCTGGGTCACTCGGTAACTACTCCGGCAGCCCCGGTCATCTCTAATGGGCCGAGTGGTCTTGGCCAGCAACGCCCCAAAGCTGCTCAAAGCGGCAGTACATCTTCCCTCCCGACAGCCAGTCATCGCACTGCCCACGGTCCATCTCACCTCGGTCCCAACGTCCCAGCTCACCGCCGCACTTCCTCGAGTCACTCCTATAACCGTCCCGCGTCTCTCATTGCCATGCCTGGTACTGGAAGCAAATCGCCGAGCATGTCTCGTTCAAGCTCTATGACTGGCATCTCGGCCGGTCCGTCTTTGAAGAGCGCGGGGATGCCGTACAAGCCGGGCTTTCAGCCACAAGGGGTCAGGAGTGATAGAACAGAAGAGTTTATAAGTGCTAGAGAAGATGTGGGGGTTGAACGTGCCAAGGAAGAAGGACGCCTTGGGAGACGGTGGGCCAAGGCAAGTCGACTACCCACGTGTCGTTCTCACTGACGGTCCATGCAGCTCGTCGACCTTCATTTCAACCCCACAATCACACAAAGTATCAGCACCCTCCCCAGATCGTCATCATCCTCCTTCTCGTTCGCATCTGCCGCCTCGGACAAACGACGCTCGATAATGTCAATCGATGGCGCCTTGGAGGCCTTGAAACCCAAAGACATGTTCAAGGGCTTTAAAGCTGGATCTGGTCCAGGCGGGGACGAGGGAAGAAGGCGGGCTGCTGAGCAAACCATTGTCAAGTGGGAAGACGACTCGGAGGTCAAGAAATGCAGAATATGCTCGTAAGTTCATTTATCGATTTGCATAATCAAGTTGACGCCCGTAGCTCCTCCTTTTCGCTCTCCAACCGCAAGCACCACTGCCGCCTTTGCGGCCGCATAGTCTGCTCCCTTCCTCCGACGCCCGCAGCTCTTTTGGCCGTCGAGATTCAACTCTTCGCCCCTGCTGACCCGTCTGCGTCCAACCAAACCCAGGCGGGCCTTCCCATCGGCACTCGAAGGGAAAGGTGCTCTTTGCTTCTTGTCGCGGACTGGAAAACAGGCAGAGGCGAAGAGGTCGAAGAAGGTTTCGTTGGCTGGATGAAGACTGCAAACGGAGAAGACGGGGAAGATGGGGAAAGGACGCCGAGGCCGAACGAGACAGAAGATGCTGTACTAGAGTCAAAGTTGGTACCCCAACAACCGAAAGAAGTCCAAGTCAAGGGGATGCGCGTCTGTAGGGAATGCTGGTCTGTCGTATCGTAAGTCTGCTCCCGACACGCGACTTGGACTGACTGGTGTATACAGCCGGAAACAGACAATGCAAGATCGGCAACGCGTCTCGGGCTTTACGCGTCTCTACCAAGCTCTCCGCATGCTCCAAAGCGAAATCGAAGAGATCTCCATCGAACTGGATGACCTGCTCTCCGACTTTGCCTCATCCGCCGTCCAATCGTCTTCCTCGTCATTTGACCCTTCGCCGGAGCTTCTTGCTACTCATCGGCAACTCGTCTCTCTCTTTACGCAGTACGAGCACCTATCTAAACGCCTGTGCAGCCTTCCCTGCCTTGAGAATTCCGGATCGCAGGCGGTCGTGCAGGGTAATATAGCAAGGAGTGCAGCGGCTTTCATGGCTCATGAAATGGGGCGATTGCAAGCAATACCGCGCTTACAAAAGCGGGCGGCGGAGGCAAAAAAGAAGGGGATGGTGATCAACGAAGTGACGCTAGCGCAGCTGGATCTTGAAGACGAGGAAGAAGAGGAGAGTGGGGCAGACGATGTGGCTGTCTTGTTACAGCCCCTCCTGGAACAAGAAGCACAACTAGAGTCCGTCATTCCCCAGTCTCCGTTAGATACCTGCTGACAAGTCGCAGACTGTACATTTCAGACGCCAATGCCCAACGGAAATATGAAGATAGCAAAGCCCTACAGGAGGCCCTGAACGAAATCCGTGCAGAGATTGGCAGGGTCACCCTGGGGGCATCACAACGCCAAAGATGAAGCCAAGCACAGAGACGCTATATATAATGATTTTAGTAACAGTACCGATTATGTTTGGGATCAACAAGAATCTTTCCTCCCCATGAGCTGTATATTTGATTGTAGATACTTGTAGAAAGATGCATCTGGGCCTACGTGAGATAAAGCGAGAAGACTGACGAACGCCATGCCATAGTAGAAGATAGTTGTTTTGAGAACATGTTTCCAGCGGCACAGACGCTCCTCCATGTTGTCACCAGCTCATAGCGGTATGTAAATACAATGAGATTGAGACTGCATGTAATACATAGCAGTTGATCTAATTCTGACAAGTCAAAGCAACGCGCTCCCCGGCCTAGACGACTTTTTTCTATTCAGTTATAAGGTCTATGTTGAGCTTCTATCATGGTCTATACCTCACATAGCAGAGATGCGAGGTGATTTGTGGGGCGCCAAGGACAATTACAAGATGGGGCAAGTAGCTACTTCTCTGCGCCGACCTTCTCATCGTACTCTCCGATGATTTCCGTCAAAGCGCCAACTTCCAACAACTCTTCCTCTCTTGATTGGCTGGCTTCCCTGATTTCTCTTCGTATTCTTTCACTCTCTTTTATCGGGTCAACGCCGAGAATAAAAAACGCGTCAATCGACTCGAGAGGAACACCAGCCGTTTCGGGACAGAAAAAGTAGACAAAGGGGATGAAGCAGAGATTGAAACCGCCAAAGAGGATAAACATCCCGTAACCGATGTTTCCAATACCGATCGGTGTCACTGATAAATGGTCAGCGGACTGAAGCAGGACGAAAAATCGGTGACATTGTCCTCACCCATGAGCAGTACGAAGTCGAAAAGCCACTGTAACGCGACAGCAAGGCTGAAACTGGCGTCAGCCGCTCTGTTCATAGAAGCATATGTGTATGACTTACCCCATGCCTTTAGACCGCCAGCTGAGAGGGCAAATTTCGGAAGAGTAGACCCAAACGCCAGCCATCCACCCCCAGCTGAAGAATCTAGATTCCGTCATCAATCGCGTTTTTCCCGGGGATAAGCAGCAACATACCCCTGGTAGGCAAAGACCAGCACTGCTGCGGCGATACCTGTAGGCTTGGTGTTCTGCTTGACGAGGCCACCGATGGCGAACATCGAGACAGCCTGTCTCGGTTAGCCTTGTGACACCGCAGAGCCTGAACAAGACTCACCATGGCGAAAGCAGTGAGAAGGAACAACCGTCGTCGACCAGCATGTTCTGCATCATGTTAGGCAGGATAAACACACTTGCAGGGCAGATCTTACCAATGAGCCACCATGTCCTGTTGTATTCCAGTGGTCAGCCATGTCGTAAGGCTTCAAGTATAGGGCTTACCCAAAGCTGCAGATCAGAAAGAAGATTTGAAGAAACCCAGAGAGGAGCGTTGATGTATGAGAAGACATGCCGATGGCCTCTTGGCTGTGCAGAATGTCAGTGACATGCACAGATCTCAAAGACGCATGACTTGCAAGATAGTCGTGACATAGCTACAGTGATATGTCAGGATGAAACCGTGATTACTAGTCAATACGACTCACTATGAGAAGACTGTACTTCCAGAGAATGCTTGACAGCTAGAAAAAGAAGCTTCAGTCAGCATCACTGCAGAGGTTTCCAAACGTCCGCCTTACACTTGAATGATGACAGCCTTCAAGAGCATCAGCACAAGGCTCCACCGATATAGCCATAGACACTCACAGTCAACATTCTTCTCTTCTCGCGCTGAGAATCCTTCCCTCGGGTCAACAAATCCTTCCAGCTCTTTGCGCTCGAGTGCTCCAGCTCAATCGCCCTGACGATTTCATTCATCTGCGTAGTGATCACGGGGTCCTCGTCAGGTAGGTCTGCCAAAGCGGCAAGGACCTGCCGTGCTTCTTCCGGCCTGTCGTGCGAAAGCAAGAATCGAGGTGATTCTGGCATGAAAAGAAGGAGAGCGCCCATGATGACTCCGGCCATTCCTTGTAGGCTGAACATCACTCTCCAAGTCATGTCATTGTCGTATCGATCGAGGAGGCCATACGCAGTCCAATAAGCAATCAATTGACCGACCTGCACCTAGCATCAGCTATTGACAACACGAAAAGGTCGATACACACAACAAGCATGCTCAGCGTCGCACATATCAGAGTTCCACGCAAAGCCGCGGGACTCGTCTCGTTCTGCCAGACTGGCAAGGTCGCAGTGATCGCACCCATCGCAATTCCGGCTACCACTCGACCTACAGACAGCTGAGCTACAGAGTATGAAGCCACTTGAAGCACAGTGCCGATAAGAAGAGGGATGATAGCGATCAAGATGATGGTCCGTCTAGCTGCCCGTTCACCACAGACGGCAAAGAAAAGGGCTCCGAAGAAGCATCCGATTTCATAAGCACCAGTGACGGCCCCTTGCCCAGTAGTGTCGAGATGGTAGCGACGGTCGACTGAACGGCTGTCAGCAGGGGACAAACAACCACGTAATGCTTACATGGGACAGATGATATGACGCCTCCCAGGGACGCGTTATCAATGCCGAAGAGACAGAATCCCGTCCCTGCGGTGGCGGAGATGGCACCCAGGAGGGCCTTTCCTCGGAGGCCTAGGTATGGCATTTTGGGTGGTGGTAGACTGCTGCTCACTGGCGCATCGGAGGTCGACACAAAGACCGGAAGACTACGATGCGAGCCCGTACGAGTAGAGTACCGTACGAGTAATTGGAAACCGCGTCCAGTCGAATCGGTGATTATCTGCGTGATATCGCGCCTTCAAATTTCGACCGATGTGAATTTTAGACTCCCCGGAAATTAATAACCTCACTCGGATTCTTTCTCTACATACTCTATCGAAGATTGAACGCATATCAGAAGTTTCAACATCTAGTCTGGCAACAAATTCATTATTATACGCAAACTTCCACAGCTGCCATGTATCATATATGCTGTCTTGGTCTTCCACGGTCGTGACCTACTCGCGTAGCCCTATTCAACTAACATCCCCGGACCCGGCTCTACAAATATATGCCGAACTCGTTATCATCGGCAAAACCAAGATCCTTCTTCGCCTTCTCATTAAGATCGATCTCGACCGGCACCACGGTTACCGCTTCCGTTCTTGGCGGTGAGGGCGGAGGACGCATATTCTGGAGCCTCGGCTTCATCTTCTGATGCCTCGCCGGCAAGAGCCCCGCACTGTTTTCAAGAAGGTCCGGCGTGCTTCCGAACGAAGTCGCAAAGTGCGCGATATGGGTAGGGATAATAGGCCCTCGCTCTTTCTCGCTGCGGATGAACGGGTGGCCGTTGCTATCTTCGGAAAGCTCGTGGGGCTCTTCGCGCTTCTGAAACTCGTCTTGCAAGAGATGCTGGACATCATGGCGACTGACGAGCGAGTGGACAACTGCAAGAAAGTAGAGGGGGCCCACGATCCATGCCAGGGCTCGGGTAAAGTTGCCAAATGTGGCGTTTTCAACACCGCCGTAAATGAGCAGGACAAAGACGACGGTTGTGGAAGGGATCCTGCATGAGAGGTGATGAGCTCGCTGACGCTAGCGGTCGGGGGGCATACTGACATAGTCTCAAAAGTCAACATCATGAGCTTCCGCCATAACGAGGATGCTGCTGCCTCGATATCTCTTCTTGTCCTGGTCAATGCCCAGGTCACTGCGACAGGGTCAGCAAGCTCAAAGACGAGACAGGTGCACTCACTGGCCACACAAATAGACACGTCCGATATCACAGACATGGTCATCCAGGTCAGCACGTAGACGTCGATACGACTCAGCCAGGACATGATCTTGGTAGTGTCCCAGGGTATCAAGCAGCCAAAGATGACCGAACTTTGCGAAATTTGTCAACCGTTGCAGAGCTGGTCTTGGTGGTTGCCACTTACGTGAGACAGAGACCAAACGAAGCCACGCTGAAGGCGACCAAGGGAATACCAATATACCAAGAATGTCCGACAAGCTACATGCCAGTCAGCAGTGCTCTTCGCGGAAGGATGTCTCGACCCACTTTGATTGTCCTCCTGATGAAGAATAGAGAACCGGCCAGGTTATGAATCCCGATCAAGAGCAGCACAACCATATCTGCGTAAATATCCTTCTCCATCACCAGATAGAATGCTGTAGCGGCCTTGTCGATAAATCTGTATGTCTGCCAGAGGTTCAAGCCAAATTGTCCTCTGAGTGAGCCTTCAGAGTTGCCCTGATGCTGTGGTCGAAGTTGGAATGCTCACATGCAACTGGCGATACCCAGAGCGATCGCGCTCAATGTCAACCATGAATCATGTCGTCCAAAGTGTTCGTAGTAGCGATAGGACTGCAAGACGTGAGTATTACAGCGGCCAGGAGAGTAAGGACACCCACGACAGTCAAGACAGCTCCCAGCACCAGGCCCTCAAACGCCAGACCAAGCGCACTCCAGTACTAGACCGCAGTCAGCAATGCGCCCTTAGCTGGGGGCAGACTCACTGTGATATGGAGGGCATCAGTCCTCAGCGCCGAGAATATGGCTGCATCAATCAGCTGCTCAAGCTCGCTCGAAAGGGATGCGGTCGAGGAGGAAGAGACGACTGAGGAGGCCTCGCTCATCTCGTGGTAGGCTTCCTGGGGAGCGTAGGGTATGGCGTCGTGGTAGTCGGGGAGTGAGACGTCCTTCGGCGATATAGATAAGAGCTAAGGCTTCTGGTCGGAATGGTGAGATGCAAAGGCGATCAGAGTGGGCGAATCAACGTGGAAAAAGTAGAAGGACGAGATGATCTCAGTCTGATGATAAGTACCCCATTCTCTTCTCCCTTGGCTTCACCCGCACCCTCGCAGAACCACATCTCCCTTCGATGCAGAGTTTCTAGACTTCAGCCCCCTCGTCGTTTGACTCTGAGTACCTAGGAATAGTCACCAGGGCACCTGCTTGATTTGATGTGTCAAGATTTGTGCTAGCAAGAGAAGGGACGCGTTCAGGTACAGTGCTTGGAACTTTTGGCCGGGTGCCGGCGTCTGTCACCTCCGTCATTGAGGGTGATGGGGCTGGAGTGGAAGCTGGTCAAGCTGCACTGTGGGCTGAAGTATCACTCCGCGGAGAGGGAGTGGTCGTGGCAAGGCATATATAGGGAGAGCGCGTGCGCATGTCTGTTTCAGCGAAAGAGTTTCAGGTTTTAGTCCAAACCTCTGGGCCAGACGCCCTCGCGCTCTCTGCTCTGCTGTGCATGTCCGAGTCGTATCGGCATAGTCGTATCGGCATAGTCGTATCGGCATAGTCGTATCGGCATAGTCGTATCTTTCGATACCCCAGATTCCAGAATGCCAGACGCCTCTTCTGACTTCTGAAGCTTTTGGCCTCTCTGACTTTGTGTTCCTGCGAGCTCAGCCCTTCACCTTTCTGCCTCTCTGGCCTCTGGCCTCTGGTCTCTGATATCTCGCCTGCATCGCCTGTCTCCTATAGAGGACTCCCTTCACCGTACACCGTGGCCTCCGTTCCTCTTGCTCCGCCTTTTCCTGCATTGTAACTCTAAATCCAGTTTCGCCTCGGGGGCCCGATAGGTAACGGCAGCCGGCTACCGGCTGACAAAAGCGGCAGTGCGCTGCATCGTAACTACATAGCCACACCTGTCGACATGCATCCCACTGATGTGTTCCAACTGGACATCATATGCTATCCATTCATCTACTGTGATACAACATCTATAACAGTCCCGTGTCGGCTCATACCTGATCCTGTCCTCCGCCTGTGGGCGCTCCATCCCCAACGAGCGTTTGCTTGTCTACAATCGCCCCGCTGCTCTCCCTCTTGTAACTTTCCACTTTTTCACCATACTCTGATATTTGATATATCCTGACTCGGCGATCAAACTCGGCTTGGCCATAGCCAGAGAACGAAGAGCCTCCGTCGAAACACATCCTACAATCATGTCAGATTTGCCCAGACACCGAAGAGAGAGCTTGCCAGATGCCATCTACCCGCCGACACCTATCTGTAAGATGACAATGACCATGACTGAGCACCTTGACCTCCGCGGTTTTTGTCTTCCACGCCCCTTCCCCTTCTTCGCTCTCCATCGAGGCCTTGATGGCATTGTAAAAGAATCCCGAATTTCTTGGTGAACTACCATCCCCATCAATTTGTCTTCCAACGTCCAGCTCTCCAGAGTCAAGAGTGGAGTCGGCGGGAGCGTAGGCTTCGGGAAGGGGAATGTGGAACCACATCATGGCGTTGGGCTTCGCCAAGGTCTGCTCTGCACGGGGAAGGCGAGACGGCTGGGAACGGCGAGGCCAGATACCTGCAAGGTCGCTCGCTCCGTCGGGAGTAAAGGGTCGTTGAATCGGTTTGATAGACGATGAGACGTTACGATACCAGTCTATCTGAGACCTATACTGGTTGGTCAGCTTGTGCACATCTCGAAGCAAGAGATAGAGGTCCACACGTTTTGATATAGTCGTAATCAGGCTTGCTCCAAGGCAGCTTTCGCTTTTGGTAGTCGTGAGAGTCTAGAAAATAGAGTGTGAAGACGTGCATTTTGGACCTGAAGAATAATCGTCAGCTGGTCTTCTATCGGAGGTCGGGTGAGAGACTTGCGCATCACTTGAATGCAGTTTGATGTAGTCTTTGGCTAGTCAGCATATTCATCGGTGGGATGTGCACTCACAATTTCCAAAACCATCCACATCCTTTGGACCTGGGCGCGACAGCGAATACGGCATATTCTGAAGCGTTTTGATCTGTGCCTCCCTATCCCCAAGGATCTCACTGTCATGATTCCCAAAGACAGCCGCCCATGGTATTTTGCGGTCGATAACCGGTTTAGCAAACTTCGCCAGGACGGATCGGGAATCGTAAGAAGTCTCTTGTCCATTCAGCTGGTCACCGGAGAAGACCTGAAAGCTGTCAGTGGTGATAAAAAGCGGGGATGAAAGACTCACAACAAGGTCAGGCTGCTCGGCTTCGAGCGCTTCAGCGAGCCAGGTGGCAGTGTCGACATCACCGATGCAGCCTTCTTTGTCGGTGTCACGACATTCCCCAGTACCGACAGAATAGTGCAGGTCGGCAACTGTACAATGTCAGTGTGTGGTACCGAGACTCTGAGGTGATATTTTACTTTGCATGATCTTGAGGGAACCATCAGAGTGAAATGTGGGCACTATGGCCCTGGGGGCCACTGCCGATACTCAGCCCTGCTCCCGACATACGGTCATGTTGACTCACCAGGGTTGCCTTTCCGTAGAGCAATGTCTACACTATCCCATCGTCCCTTTTCAGCCCTCATCACCGGCCCCCCAGTGATCCGCCTGAAAGCAAAGAAAGGGTCGTCATCGCCATAGATGATATCAATCTCATTAATAAAGTCACCGTACGACCAGTCGACTTTGTCTCCTATCTCTTCCACTTGGCCCGAATCAGAGGATCCCTCGCCTTCCGATACTGGTGGAGAGTCTTCTTCGCCCGGCTGATCCAAATCTTGTTGGTCTTCAGACTCGGTATCGTCCTGTCTTTCCCGATGTCGCTTCCAATCGCCCCAGCTCTGATCTCCCAATTTGTACCAGATGCGCATCTCGTTCTGAGACGGCCAGACCCCATTGTGCAGATCTCCACTAGCAAGCACCCACTCCTCAGCGTCCAGAATGGCCTGGTCTTCAGCGGATGGTGGGTGTTCGAGGATACGGATGTCGGTGATGAGTTTGGTGTCGAGGCGGCGAGTGCGGCGATAGTATATGTTCAGGTACCTGTTCGCTTTCGCGATCAGCGACCAAATAGAATATCAATAGATAAAAGGTGCCGTACCAGATGCCTGTTCGAGCGTTCAAATCACGCTCGACGATCACCCATTTGCCCTTGGACTTGTCGAGCTGCGGTGTCGTTTCCGGGGCGCAATACGTGGGGAACAGCCAGGGCGGAAAGTAGCACGGCTTGACGGCGATCTCGGTCACTGCCAGTCATCAGGACCAGGCAAGATCAAGTCATGTATGCTCACATCCTGTCGTATGTAAAGCCAACGGGTCCTTGAAAGGGATCAGCCATGGTCAAGCTAGCTCTATGCGACGTACCCAATTATCCAGTGGTATGCTTGGAACAAACGTGGTATCATTACTCAAGCTGAGATCAGTGTCTTCTTCCGCACTGCCGCTTGCGGCCATGTCTACGAGATCCCATGCCTGCCATCCAAGGTGCTGCTTTGCTGCGGGGGACTTTGAATGGGACAGGAGGGAGTAGGAGGAGAGGGCGAAGGAGAGGAGGAGGACGAGGGCGACGACGGGGAGGAAGGACTTGAGATACTGGATGCGGGGGGGTCTGTACCCAGGATAGTCGGGGCTCAGTCGGGGCATCGCTGTTGTGCAGAAGAGAAATGGAGACGCATCATAGCAAGAATGCCGGACCGTCGGGCGCCGAGCCCCTTGGTGCGTTACGTAAGCCAGGGGCGCGAGTTGTTTTGACGCAAACAATAAAGGATCTGTGTTGATTCACAGCATTTCCATCTCCTCTTCCATCCGCATTTCTTCTTGTCCCCCTATATCCCACCCCGCTTCCGCCTGTACTACGATCCCGCCTTGGACCCTCGAGACACCCACGCCCACCCGGCCCATCTCCTCCCCATCCTCTTGATCCTTGACGACCCAGCCTGCTTGAGAGGCCCCTGTGCGTGCTCCCGCATCACTCCCTGGTCACACTGACCTGATCGCATCTAGAACATAGCATGGTCCGCACCTCTCAAGAACCCATCCCGACTACTCCCCAGCTCCGACGCTCCACATCCACACAGCCCCGCCCACGTCCCTCTGCAGTCAATGCTACGCCCCGACAGGGACAAAAGACGCGTCCCGTCCTTGGCGAAAAGCTTGAAAACTTTGCACGCCCCATTCCCCAATCTAGAGGCCTGAAGAACGCGGTCAAGAGCGTACCAATGTCCAAGCGACCGAGACCGACCGATTCGCCGATGCGCCCAAACTTGACGAGGTTTATCGCCAAATCGCCCACCGCTACGATGCGCTCCCCACCCTCTTCTTCCCCCTTCCACCTCAATACAGGCAACGCACCGAGGCCGTCTGCCATTATTCCATCGTATGGTGATGATTCACAGCTGTTGGACATGACTATGGGTGGCGGGATGGATGCTTTTGAAACCACCGACGAGAGCGAGGACGAGCTCGGTGTCTGGAGAGCGGGTGGAGCAAAGCACACAGGAATGTTGACTCCTGCTAATAGCCAAACTTTGATGGTACGTGTGATGTTGGTAGGCTCGATACTGACTGTCTATCAGGCTGAACAAAGCTCTCCTCAAACCCTCAAGAGGACCAGAAAGTCTACTGTTGGGCGACAACGTACCCCAGTACGCCTACCTTCCCCACCCGTATCACAAGCGACACAGGCTGAAGGAAATTCCTCGGGTTCCCGCATCGCCTTCACCTCCCACGTCCGAAACCGCCCCTCTCCCACACCCCCGAGACGTGTCTCCACCCTCTCTGCTTGCGTACTCGACGACACATTTCTCCAGAAATTGCCGTCGCCGAATCCGAGGGGAAAGAAGAAGGCGAGGTCCAGCGGCGGGTCAACAGGATCGACCAGCGGGAAAGTGGTCGAAGTCATTGTCCCCAGGAGGAGAACTACGCAGGAGCCGAGAGAAGTCAGCCCTCAAGCGCCTTCCCAATCTCTCCCGAGATCGACCAAGGGCAAAGGAAGATCTGCGGGTGCATCTCTCTCGCAATCGACATCCCGATTGCCCAGCGCTACGCTCTCACAATCCACAACCTCCAAACGTCGCACAAGCGGCGGCTCCCTCAAGAGTTCCACCTCTTCGACCAAAACCCCCGCTCCCTCTCGCAAGAAGTCTATTCCCTCCACTGCTCCTGCTCGTCGCCGGCAATCCAAACCACCAGCGACGGCTTCCGTCAAAGAAGCTGCCAAACGTCGAGCTTCGACAGGCACAGCTCTTTCAAAGTCGACAATCGGCAATCCCAAGAGCAGGCGCAGAAAGACATTGACGCCAGAGTTGGCTCAGGCGCTGAGCGGTATTCTGCCAGAACCAATTCATGGAAGTCCAGGAGATGATCCTCTGCTCCTGAAGGGGGAATTCAGACGGGCCAAGAAGTGGGATAGGCGAGTGAATGGAAGCGGTGAGAGGGGTAGTCAGGGATTGGGGTTGGAATTTGAAGGCGACTTTGGTTCCCCCGTCCGCAAACCAGAAGCACGACAGAGAACCAATTCTCCTATGCCTCGTCCAGCTGCCGTTTCTGAACCTCCCCGTGATCAATCCCCTGAACCCGAGCTAGAACCCCGGATCGAGGGTTACAACTACAACGAATTCGGTGAGATCGATCTTGGTCAGAACGACGCGTACTTTGACAACGCAGGGGGCTGGTCTGATGATGGAAGTGAGGCAGGAGACGATACTTTCGTGCATCTCAAAGAGAGAAACTCCAGAGATGGAGAAGAGGAGAGGGCGCAGGATGAGGAACAAGAGATACCGGCGAGTCCGTTCATCCGTAGACCTGTGTCTGTCAGACATGAGCTAGGGGAGGAAGCTGAAGTGCGAGGGCTTTCACCTGCTCCGCTGAGTGACCGTGTAACGACCGAAGAGGGAGAAGATCCCAAGGAACCGATCATGGAGCAGCACAGGGAGCAAGAGGCTGAAGCAGAGAACGTCCCCGATGACGACGGCGACATAACCTTCGAAGCAGTCCAAGGTGAATGGGACGAAGAGGACAGTGGAGAGACTGCTGTCCGGTACACCCCCGAGCGTTCACCGGAGCTTCCGGATCTGCGACATCTTCCAGGAACGTCAATGTCTCCAATGGGTGAGGCGTCCGAATGGTTGGCCGCTCCTTCTTCAAGGGCATTCTCTACGAGCGAAGTGGGATCGCCTATCAAACATCGGACGGCTTCTGCAACTCCGGTCCCCATTTCGCGCCGGCAGACGCCATCACACACCCCTCCTGGATCTCCTCGAAGACTGTCTCCTTCCCCCGAACCCACCCCAACCCGACGTCAATCCATACCTCTGTCGACCCCAACTGCGTCCACCTCCCTGCCTGTTCACTCCCATGACTTTGCTACAGACATATCAATCGAGCAGCCTGAGGAACATGTCTCCGCTGAGGCATCTCCTGTGCTGTCAGTCACCTCCCGGCAGACTGCGAGGACACCTACTCAGTCACCATCCGCTTCGGTTTTGCAGCGAAGTTTCCATGCCCTCGACTTTACGACCAGTGATCTTGCTCAGCTTCGAGAATCGTCTATGATGATGTCTTCGCCTTCCATGTCCGTGTCATCAGAGCGTACGGCAAGGATGGCTTCTCGATCTCCTCTTCCTCTTATGTCTTCTTCAGCCTTGCGGAGTAGCATCTGTGCTCCCGTCACCCCTCTTGCACGGATGGCCATCGAACCCAAGGCAGGAGAGGTCGACGTAGGCCAATCCTCGGCCCAGTCACTGGCTGTCCCAATCGGAAGCCAGTGTCTCACATCAGTATCTTTGGGGGCGGCAGACACACCACGCAAACTGGGGGAAAGTCTGACGAGATCGCCGTTCTCGTTGATCAAGTATCGAGGAGAGGTGCAGAGTAGTCCGATGGTGCCATTCAGCTTTAGTACGATCCCCTTCATCCCCATGTCATCATTACTGATCTTCTTTTACAGCACGGGAGCTTTCAGAGACGCCTACCGACTTTTCCGACACCAAGCCCGCCGAAGAAGACCGCAAAGACGACATCGTCGAGCAAGCTGAGCGAATGGTAGCTCGTTTATCGATGCCTCTCTCTCCTCGATTCGACTGCGCGGGATTACGAGAAAGCACGCCGTCTGTAGTGGTCCAAGAGGCCTCTTCGCCGAGAGAGACTCCTACCAAGGAGTTGACGCACGCGGCAGTCGAAAACACTAACAGTAGTGCTCTGGAAAGTCTTTCACCAATCATGGTATCGGTATCGAAGCGTCGAACTCCATCACTTTCACCCGCGCGGGAAAGAGTGCCACTCAGAGCTTCGTCCGTGATGTCTTCAGGCCAGGTCACGCCTGCTCTGGGATTGCTTTCTCCTTCAAGTATGTCTAGGTCACCTCATCGTGGAGAAATCTCTCAAAGGAATGAGACTCCTGGCCATGAGCCGAGTCCTACCCAGACGTCGTTACCAACTCTGAGAATACCCACTCCTGTGCGCGAGCCATCTTCGGCACGTGCGGCTACTCCTGTTGAAAAGGCAAATCCTACACGGAACAGGTCTTCCCCTTCGCCCTCGGCCGTATATGCTGTGGGAAACAATATGTCGTGTTCTCCTACAGGTCGCTCTCCCACCCCCGCACAGGCTCTTCGTTCTCCGACACTCCACGTTACCACTCCAAACATTGCCGAGCAGATTCCCCTGTCGCTTGACGGGCCCACCCCCAAGCCCATGCCTCGCTGCAGTAATGGCACTCCCCATCCTTCTGCGTCTTTTGACATGAGTAGCTCGCATCTCGATCTCAGCCCTAGTCTCAAAAGGCCTTTGTCCAACAAACAGTCCATGCTTGGGTCAGAAGGTTCGCCTCAGAGGACATTGACCCCTGAGCTCGAAAGTTATTCGACGCATTCATCGCCTAGACGATCTCCTCGGCTCAGCATTCACGCGCGCGCTGCCTCTTTGCCATCTGTCTCTTCACACTGGCCTGCACACCCTTCGCTTTTGGTGGAGGATCAGGGGGCCGCCGTTCGAGTCTTGGAAGACCAGGAAGCGGAGACTGTACCAGACGATCTCGGGTCTCAAAGTGTCACACCAACAAGTGGCCCCGAAATCAACGAGCCGCGCTCTCTCCACCCCGCCAGCGAGCATTCTGCACAATTGGGGGCAGTCTACGAAGACGAAAAGCTTGATTGGACCGAAGATGAAATCATCTCCAAGTACGTTTTCTTCCAAACGACCTCACTACGCCTGCTGACCAGACAACCATAGCGGGGATGCTTCATCGGACGAAGAGATGACCGAGGGCGAGAGTGTCCTGTCGAACATGACAGACAAGACTGCGGAGGCAGAGGCGGGTGCATGGGACGATTCCACGTCGTTTGATGACCAGTTGCCCATCATCAGCAAAGAAGCTCAAGTAGCAGCCAGGAAAGATGCCGACGGCGAGAAGAGTATCTCAGATGACGAATCCGAGAAGGGTATCCTCGAAGAGACTGAGTCGGATACTGAGCAAGAAATCTGCGACGAGAGCGTGAGCGGGGAGGCGTACCCTATCGACGGAGAACGCGAAGAAGACGGAGAAGAAGAAGACAGCGTGGGGGAAGAGGCAGAGGGGAAGATTGTTATCTCTGTGGTCCACAGGGGAATTGCCAAGATTGAGCCCGAAGAGGACGAGGAGATGGTCATCAACGACAATCCTGCGCAGCAAAGAGATGCCGTCCTCCCCGTGCCTCCCTCTCCTGCGAAAGAACACGCAGAAACTCCTGCACCGTCAACACCGACGAGGCCACAGCAGTCTCAGCTCACAACCACTCCTCAAGGTAGCCCTGGCCCTACTCGTGCCTGGCAAGCTACTACTGGAAGTATGGTGGCTCAAACAGGCGAGAGACCCTCATCTCAAGGCTTCACTTCGGGTCCTGGGCCGAGCACACCAGCCGCATTATCCGCTTGGCAAGCTGCTGCCGATAGCCCCGCCTCCCCTCTCTATCCTTCTCTTGAAAACCTCGCATCTCCTCTTGCTGCCGGTATGAGCTTTGTCACGTCAACCCCCGCCCAGCACCAGGCACCCAATCTCACAGTCAGCCTCAACACACCTGTTCAGACTCCAGCTCTACGAGTTGCTGCCAAAAACAACTCGGGTGAGGGAATATTGGCGCTTGAGAAGGTGTTTGCTCGAAGGCAGGTTGGCCAATCCAAGTTGTCTCGACAAGTGCTTCCTTCTAGTTCCCCTTCCCAAGCGGACGTTGATGGTATCATCGAAGCTCCGCTCACAGAGAAGACTGCTCTGCAGGAAGAAGGACCCTCGCATCTCAGTGGTACTGACTGTGACTCGTCAGCTGAGATGGAGGCTTCTCCCAAAGCAAAAGGAGACAAGGCCGACCAATCTATTCGAATCAAGAAGCCTCGAGAGTCGCTCTATGACGAGTTGACCGCCGCAGCTGTGGCCAAGGGCGGGGAGGATGCGGACAACAGTTTCAACTCAATAGTAGAAATCTCGAGTAAGGATCCACAAGCCGCTGCTCGAGCTGCTGCGCTTCTCAAGATGGTAAGTGACCTGGTTCATACCAGTGCAAAGCTGATTGTATGCAGAATCACAAGTACATTGAATACGGTATTCTCACGAGTGCCACTGAGCAAGCCAAAGAGGCCAGCTTTGCCTCCAGCAGCTCGCATCGCGTTGACAAACGTGATCTGCTGTACGAAGCCGAACTGGATCTTGTCTCTCAGCGTCGCAGTCGTAGTCGCTCTACAAGCTGCGCTCCATCCCTTGCACGAGAATGGGAGGGAACGAGAGGCGAGAGAGAGATGTCTGTCATGTCTTTCAGGACCGATGACTTCCCTGTACCCGGTGGCTTTGTCAAAACACCCATGAAACGTCCGCGATCACCTCTTCCCCCCTCAACTCTTACCCGGTATCACTCGAATACTGTCCAAGCCGATGCTTCTGTGGCCGCCAGGAGATCCAGGAGCAAGTCGAGCAAGGCGTGGGGTGTGCATGATTGGAAGCGGCTCGAAAAGGCGTTTGAATTGAACAAGGAGGCATGGTTGAAGGAGAGGGAAGTCAAGGCGTTACCTGGAGGACTCATCTCGTGGGCTAGGCGTTCCACATTCGGACAGTCCACTGTCGTGAATGAAGTCAAATCATGGGATGCTGAAGGATTCGTCGCCGAGTTCCTGGAAGGTGAAGGGGAGAGGGCTAAAAGGGAGGAATGGAATCCGTGAGTGATTTCCTGCAACTCGCTCCGCGCAAAATTGACAAGGTATACAGCGAGCAAATTCTTCTGAGAGTCCATGCGCTCGAGAGCAGGTCTGAGAGATCGAAGAACGGAAACGTCTCTACCTCCTCCTTGCTGGATCTTCAAACCCCCGCCAAGAAGTCTCGAGTGGAGCGAGACTCGTCCGTCTCGATCGAGGTCTCATCTGTAGACACTCCGGCCTCTACATCACAGGCTGCGGCGCCTTCCACTCTCAAGAAGATGTTTGGCTACGTCTGGGGACGCGGTGGCTCTTCCACCGAAACTACCCAGGAGAAGGGTAAAGGGTTGATGAAGGACTTTGAGGCTGTCAAGGGGAAGGCGAAGGAGGACTCGCAGATGAAGGTGATCGCTACGACCAAAACTCCTGTAATACCCACTACCTCTGCCAGCCGTGTGCCCGCGTCGATCTTCATCCCTCGCTCCACATCCACCCCTGCCCTCACCACCTCTGCGTCCTCTATTCCCAACACCTCTTACAACTCCAGCGCTTCGTACAACTCCGACTCTTACTCTTCTTCCCATGGCAACTCCTCTGGACGCTTGTTCCCGCCCCTCGAGCCTTCTCTTACACAGAGGACGTCGGCGATTGCCAAGCTGTTTCCTGACGGGGCCTCCCATATCAGGCCTCCTCCCCCCAAGGAGACTCAACCCATCAAACTTCCTAGTTCAGCGTGTGGCGTGAAGAGGTCGGGGAGCGTGAAGGACATGGCGAGGGCGTTGGAGGAGAGTTTTGAGAAACAGGCGTAAGATACTCCAATCGAGTACTCTATTGGAGTAGTATATTATTAGTGACGGTTTCCTATTCTGTAATTTTGATGCCGGTCTTCCCCTCTTCGCTTTAGTTTCTTCTTTTTGGCTGTCTATAGTTTCCACAGCAAGTACTTGAACATGAATGTGACGTTCTTGTCACTCTTGCCAAATGCATTTCAAGCTTTGGTTTATTATACTTCTGGTCGTGATCCACATTGATGAGTATCTACGAGTACTGGCTCCAGACCTTGGCCCAAGCTACCTTGCCTCCGGTCTCGATCACATCACCGTGGCAAGGGATGAGCCTGTCCCACTTGGCCGCGTTGATAGGTGCTAACTCTTTCTTGAGAAGCCTATCCATGAATTAGCACGGACTCTGAGATCTCTTGGTAACTCACTCCTTATCCTTTGCGATGCCGTTGGCCATTCTAGCGTGCACAATCCCACCGGGACTCAGACTAGTTCCACCCCCAAAGAGCCCAAACAGTTTGGGCAGTCCACCAGCCCTAGTATACTGCTCCTTGGGCGGCAAGTTGAACAGCATGTCTCCTTCGATGAACGTTCCTGATGGGTGATGAATCGCAGTCAACTCGTGGTTGACGTGCGCATATACCTCGTGCAGGCTGATTTCTGGCTCGAATCCATACTTCTTGGTGCTGCCGTCGCTATTCGGACCAAACAGGCCGGCCCACTGGATAGCGGGCTTCTCTTTAAGGTGACGCTCGACCCCAATAGCTCTGATAATGTATCAGCAATGTACCGGCTACCTACCCACCGACTTACTGAGCAGCAGGATAATAGTCCACATATTCCTGGATATACATTCCATGCTCGCCATCAGGCGTTACCAGCCACTTCACCGTCCCCATCTTTGCCAACGCTTCCTTTGTAGCAGCAGTCAGTGGGTGCGATGCGTATACGAACACGTCGTCCCCATCGCCGGATTGAGGAGAGGGTTGAATGGAATCGGCTGTTACTGTAGGTTTGGCAGGTCGGGAGAGACGGACAGCAGTAGTGCGTCCGCCGATTGGGAGAACGCCCATACGAGTCTGATATGAGTCAGTCTCGTTTCCAAGTCAACGGAAATTCACTTACGAAGGGGACAGAGAATGTGACAATGTCGGGAGTGAGCTGCCTGATGACGACCTTTTTGTCCCTTGGATCGGTCGAGTTGACACTGAGGGAAGCGAAATCTGTGGCTGTGGCCATAGTGCGAATGAATCTGGCGGGTGTTGGGACTGGGAGTGAGATGGGTCTGAGCAGCAACAGAATGGTGGCAAGATGTTTGAAGAACTGAGGAGATGGAAAGGAGGAATCTATTCGTTCGCCACTGATGACGACTGCAGAACACCGCAAGTAGTGACGCGGTCGCAGACAACGTTCACACTTTTGTGCTCATGTTCTCTTCCACCAGCCGCCCAGTCCTGTCCCACGCCCCAGGATCCATAACGCATTATAATGACCGCCCAAGTGGCTACCCAGGATGCGTCCCAGCCCCTAGTCTACTGCAGGTGAGTCGAGTCGCGTCAACCACCTTTTCCTCCTGACCCGTCTTTCCAGATGGGATTTTTGCAGCCAAGCGTTTACCGCCTATCATGACTGGGAGATCCACTTCGAGGTCGAGCATATGCCAAATGAGAAGGCACAAGACTTTTCGGGAAAGATGAGACGGCGGAGACGTGATGGGCAATGGGAACTGGTCGAACAGCGCTTCAGTGGTACGGCTGGTGAGTATAATCCTCAGCAGACCAACCGCTGTCGCTGAAACCTGCTACAGAAAATATGCCACTAAGTGGAGCCACAGGTGATACATCCCTGACCATGTCGCTGCCGCCCCTCAGCCAGAACATACCTAATGATACACAAGGCCATATGGACCCCCGAATGATATTTCCTCCACAACGGTCTCCAGATCTATACGATCATGACCAGCTCGTTGGCCCAGAGGACGAATATCTCAATCTTGATGGAGCCCTACCGCGCCAGCTTTCGACGTCTCTTCCCGAGGCTGAAACTGGCCTTTCACAACAGTCCGAAGGACAACATTTCCGTTTTTCGGAAGCCTCTCCATCCGAGGCTGCTCTGCATTCTTCCCAGCCTCAATCCACCAACCAGCTCTTTTGGGACCAAGACTCGTTGACAAAACCCCAATCGCCGAAATCCTCCCCCTCCGTTCCTCTCTCCACGCCTGCTCAAAGGCGATTAATGGAGCACAACCAGGATATACTTGTCCCGTCCAGCGAAAATCGCACCACACCAGGCGGGGCGAGGCAGACTAGCTCTGGGAAATTTGGAGGACAGTCATCCAGTTCCCATCTGTCCCCTGAGAAGAAGACCCCTTCGAGCTCATTAGAGTCCAAGTCCAATTCAGATTCGCCCAGGACGATTCAGTGGGGAGGGGCAGCGACGACAGCCGGTGGCAAGAAGGATACGCCGAGAGCGCAAGAACAGGGAATGGACCGAGGAGGTATAGGGTTCGGATTTGCAAACAAGTGAAGATCATGTTGTTTGTGCGCTCTTGGAGGAGCGCTTGTATGACTCATGTACTGTATAAGGGTCTTGCAAAGCTGTAGTCGTCATTCATATATACATAGCGTACTGTGCTCTTGCGGCTTGCCCTTGAGGGAAGCCTACTGTTCTACAGCCGATCCGCCAAAGTTCACCTTAATCATCGCCTCTTGCGCATCCAACAGCGCCTTCTGACGTGCCTTCTTCTCCAACTTGATCTTTTGGCTCGCAGCTATCGGCGCTGCCAAAGCCTTCCTCTGCTCAAACAACTCTTGGTACACCTTCTCTTTACCCCAGTAAGTCAACACCGCCGCGCCCACTTCATCGTACTCCGCCGGGTTGTCAATGTCGATGATTGACTGCATTTCGTCTGGGACCTGCTTCCGCTTCCTCTCGGAGACCTCTTCCGCGGAGGTCGTATTCTCCCACTCTTTCGACCATTTGGATCTCTCTAGGAGGTATTGGTAGAACTCTGACGAGAACCTATCCTTTTTGCCGAAAGACACGGGTGCGCCATCACGCTTCACCCTACGGATCATCTGCTTGTACGCAACAGCAGCAGGCGTCCCATCCTCTACATCCGTCAACCACTTCCAGAACTGCCAATCCCATCTCCATTGTAATCCCTCCGTTTTCCACACTTGATAGTCCAGCCCGAACCACTTGCAAAACTCGGCAGGGTCGTTGGTGATAGTGATGTCGATGGGCGGGATGCCAAAGAAGGGGGCATGTCGAAAGGCAAAGTGGGTAAGGTGGAGGACGACGGAAGGGGAATAGAAGCGGAGGCAGCGGCCGATGAGAAAGCTGGTGGCGCCATAGGATGTGAGAAAGGTGTTGAACTCGATATCGCCGGGTGCGACGAGGACGAGGTCGACTTGGTAGAACTGGGGTATGGTGTGACTTGTGAGCACTTTGCACCTGGGCGACCGGCGCCTCGGGAACTCACCTTCTCGCTGCTCGTCTCGGTGGCATTGAGTATCGAGAGGGGGACTTTATAGTTCAGATTGCTCCCATGTCGTCTCAACCCCACAGCCCCAATGGTGCCCATTAGTGTCACCGCCAGCGCCCTCAGCTCATCCGCCGGCTGCCCAGCAACAACCTTTCCACCCTTCAACGGGACCAGTGTCTTGCTCTCGGGATCCCATTCTTCCTGCCCTCCGCATTTCTCTCCAGCGTACCCACAGATGACATCCACGTCCCCGTGGGTCTGTTTGGACGCGGTGTTGCGCGGGGCAGAGGTGCCCTGGAAGAAGGGGGCAGCGAGGTCGGTGATGATGCGGGTGAGGCGGGCGTGTTCTACCTGGGTGAGACGGGATGCCTGCTGGTCGAAAGCACTGCCGCCCATGGTGTATCTGGTACTGCCCGAGCTGGTGGAACGAAACACAACGTTGTTCATGTCGTTCTCGTCGCGCAACAAGTTCGAAGAAGAAGAAGCCGGCAACCCGAACGAAGCTGACGTAACATGGGCTATCTTCTCGACCTTTTCTTTGTGTAAGCTATTCGGTTGAGTGACTCGTCTTTGGGGGTCTTCGTCTCTTCGCCCTTGACTAACCAAGCATAGGTGCGAGAAATGTACTATTTTCAATAATCCTGGGAGGAGTCGGTGCCAGGACTTTATTGGTGGTGGCTCATTAGTCTAGGAGGTCCCAGAGGCCCATAAGTATGAGGCAAGACGTTATGAGGGAAGACTCAAGATATATCCAAGGGATAGTGTCGAGGCTTACAGTATGGGTGCTGCCGTGCTAAACAACCATACGATATACGTTGAAGCAATGAGCCGCATGCTTTGATATGTTACATTGTTCTGTCGTAATCATCTAGTCCGCGTAGCACAGTGGTAGTGCGCTTGACTACGATTACCTAAAACTGGCGTATCAAGAGGTCGTGGTTTCGATCACCACCGTGGATTCTTTTTTGCTTTTTATTTTCTTTTGGCTCATGCTACTTAATTTGGTGCACTCTTGCTCTCATTTGTTCATATGATGCGAGCTACAGCCTTATCAGACGCAAAACCGAAGACTGTAGCGACAAAGGCGCTGTCGCATCAAACGAAGAAAAATCTTGCCAAGTCTTACACTTGACCTTGCGTAGTAACAGCGTCATAGACCCCATTTACACATGTGTGGTTGCATGAGAGCATTCCATAATTATAAGTATGTTAAGAATGGCTAGAGGGCATGACTAACGGCGCACCGGCCCTAAATGACTATGTTTCGACTGATGGACATCTAGGCGGTAGCCCTCTTGGACCTGCGCCTAACAGAAGCACCCTTGTAGTAGAAGAAGTACGGGATGGGGCCTATGACGACGGAGAAGAGGGCCAGGAAGAGCATGCCGTATTGGAATTGGAGATTGTGCTTGGGGTTTTGTCAGCTGAGAGGACTGGGTGAGAATGGGGCAACTCACAATCAACTGAGTGATCCAGAGAGGAACAGAAGCGCCAATGAGAGATCGCTGAGGGATGTCGGTCAGTATGGATACAGTATGGATAGAGACTGTAATCCTTACAGTCATGTTCTTGGCAGAAATGGCCGAGGCAGCATAGTTGGAGTAAGAATCAACAATGTACTGCACTTTGTTATACCGAGCCGGGCTGTTGATGAACGAAAGACTCACAGAGTTTCCAGAAATGTAGATGATAACCATGCTGAAACCAAAGATGATACCACCCATGCAGGGCCCGACCCAGGAAATGCCGGGGTAAGAGGTGAAAGCAATGATGAACATGGCGATGGGAAGGGTGCTATGCGACAGTCAGTGGAGTAGAAAGACACGGGCATGGAACACGTACATGGCACCGAGCATCATAGGGTAAAGACGAGCCTCGGGAACCGAGCCGTGCTTTTCACAGTGCCTCTTGTAAAGCTTCTCCCTACAGGAAATCAGATTGCAAGCTTTGACTGTGGGATGAAGCCACTTACTGGATGGGCATCAAGAGATTCGCGATGGCGATACCTATCTACTAGATGTCAGCAATGACGAGGATGTGACAGGGTGATACTTACGATGATGGAAACCAAAGAGACACCAGTCATACCCATGTTCCAGCCTCGAATCTCCTCAAAAGCGATGGGGAAGGCGAAGAAAGTGGCATAAAGCAAGGCGTAGATGAAGGACAGGTAGATAGTCTATCATGGTATCAGTGGCGTCCTTTCCGTGTGCTCAAAATTACTCACAAAGAAGATGATTATCATCTCTTGGAACATCAACTGGATCGGCCTGAGCAACGCAATCTTCATCGTCTCCGAGAAAGGAAGTCGGTTCAGGTCGTGTTCGGTCACGTAAACATCAGTGTTGTGCTCCTTGTTGAGCTTGTTCGCCTTCTTGCGGAGGAGCACAGGCGCAAGAGTCTCGGGAGTAAAGATGGACATGATGATACAAGCGCCGGTGATGATGAAGAGGACCCAGTAGATCCAGCGCCACTGTCGCGTTTCCAGAGCGATCCATCCTCCGAAGAGGGGACCGAGACAAGGGCCCATGCTGCGACCAGTGAGAAGATGCGTCTCTAGATGTGTACAATGTGGCTTACAAGAGAGTGGAACTGAATACGGCCATGGGGAATCCTCTCTCGTGGACGGCCCAGACGTCAGAAATGGTTCCTCCAACGTTGGTGAAAGGGGCAGACGAAGCAAGACCAGCGATCATGCGACCGGCAAGCATGGTAGCAATGTTCTATACACGAAGAGATCAGCTCAGACCCCACCAATTCGAAAGTAACTCACCGGAGCAAGACAGCTTGGAAGGGTGAACAAAAAGTAGAAGACCATGCTGACGCAGTAGATGGGTCGACGGCCAACAACTTCACTCACTAGACAATCATCAGATATAGTCGCGTGTCGCTCAGATTGCCAACGCACAAGGTGCAAACAAGAGGGGTCCAATACCGAAGCCGGCAACAAAGAGCGAGATGGATAGATATATAACTTCATTGGACACGTTGAGAGTCTCGGCAGTTCCGGGAAGGTCACCTGTGGGCATCGCACTTCCGAGGGCAACGGCGAGGCACAGTACTGATGCAGTAATAGTAGCCCACCTACATAGGTATTAGCAAGGGTCTAAGAGGCGAAGAAATGATATTCACCATCGACTACCCTTGGTCCATTCCTTGGGGTTCTCTCCCTCCGCAAACTCGACGATGATCCTGTCACCATGGCCTTTCTCAATGTCTGCCTTCTCAGGAAGTTGCTCTTCCGAACGATGGCCTTGAAGAGTGGTGGCTTCGGAGGGGATAGTGTCGGACTTGCGAGCAGTGACGGAAGGGTTTTCTTTGAATTTTGAGATGGTGTTTGACTCCTCGATATCTTCTTCGCGGAAGGCCTCTTCCTGGCGATCGTTGAAGATAGGAGGCTGGGCGAATTCGGCTTCTACCGGCTCGAGCATCTTGAGGTACTGTCTTAGTAGGCAGTCAAGGCGGGGAGTGGATTATAGAGGTTTTCTGGAAGAAACTGTCTGCCAGCCAAAAGAGTGTAATGTGAAGGAAACGAAGGGTTCATGATGGGCTTTATAGAGGGCTGTGGCCTTTTGTACTTGTCTCTGGGAGGAACAGAGCTGGGGAGCGAAAGGTGAGCTGACGGTTTTGCTTTTGAGTAATAACATATGTGGACGGGTCCAGAATCAAGTCAACATTGACCAGCTTTCACACTTATTACGGCCGTAGCGAGCACAAAACGACCGCGCGTCCGCGCCCGCTTTCGGATTCAGGGAAAAACAGTCTACATATGTGGACTGTGGACTGGAGGCACGGCTCAGGGTTTCTCCTCGGATTTAAGCGCATTTGAAGAAGGCGCGAGCCTGAATAGCAGTAGATCAGTAGATGTCAGGCGCGCTCGACTATTGGCCAATGCCTAATGGCATAAGGCACTACTGGTGCTCTTCTTGGGATTCCCGTTCGTTGCAAGTTCGTTGAGTTCTCGCAAGCTATACTTATTGAGCGGGACATGAAGTGCAGCATGAGGCGCCGAACAGAGAACAGCCTGTCGTCATAAGAATTTTTGGGATATCCGGACGGGGTAGCGGACACTGTCCCAGGGGCAACAGGTATGGTGAAGGTCTTGTTGAAAGAGAGGGTTGGGGCGCTCTCAGCGCTTTCCGACTGTACCGCTGGAGACACTGTGCGGTACGAAGCACAGAGATCGCAGATCATCTCTTGGACACTTCCTGATCCAGGATGCGCTATCATTAGAGTATTTGGGGCAACCAAAGTGATCGATGTGATCCTCTGCGTGCAGTGCTGACGTGAAAGTCGCGCGACGAAAGACTTGCAGGTGAGGGCATTGTATACACCACACCGAGGCACCCCTCTGGTATACACAAGCCGAGCTTCTCGCTCCTGGCGATTGGCCATCTCGCCCATGCATGCGCCTCGTCACGAAGGCCAAGAAGGGTGTCTGTGCGTGGATACGTAAGGTGGCACGTGGCTCGGGCAGCCTCCACCACCGACCGCGTCTGTCGTACTTGTACAGGCGGGCATTGACAGAAGTTGCACCTCTCGTCTGCATCTCCTCCGCCATGCCGTCTCAGGAGGGGACCATAGAGCACGCCCTCGCCATGGCAGACACCCAGCCCCGTCCGCAGCCCCGCTTCAAGCGGCTCGCATCCAAGCCCCTCAAGCTCGCAGCCAGCACCTTCAAGCAACGCAGCTCCAGAGCACCCTCTCCCGGCCCCTCTGCCACCCTCGCCCCTGACAACGCCTCTTCTGTCTCTGTCTCCTCTATCGCCACTGTAGGCGGCTGGAAGAAGAGGGGAGCAGGTCACCAGCGCCTTTCTCGGGCATCGGCCTCGGGGCTTACCCCCGCACAAGTCGCCTCTGCTGCAAGGGGCCCTAGTAAACCTCTCGAGGGCGAAGAGCCGGCCGCGTGGCTGCGAGTGAGAGTAGTGGAAGCGGCAAATCTGGTGGCAAAGGACAGGAGCGGTACGAGCGATCCGTGAGTCGGGTCCACGGGCAAATCTGTCTTGCTGATGCGGTATGCGCTTGCAGGTTTCTGAACCTCCTCATGCCCCCTGCCACACGTCACACCACCCCAGTCATCAAGAAAACACTGAATCCTAAGTTTCCCGCTGAAGGAAGCACCTTCGATTGCCCGCTGTATCTCAGCCTTGCCGGAGTCATCGGAGGTCGCGGCCTCGAGGGCGTTCTTTGGGATAAGGTATGTCTGAGGCATAAGGTTTGTACGAGTCTGACGCTGGTGTAGGATCTTATCAAGAAGGACTATATGGGCGAGCTTTCGATCCCCGTCGACAAGTGGTTTGCAGACGGTATAGCACGCCTCTGGGATGAGCAGTTACCGGTGCGCATTGGCTTTTTCGAAAAGACAACCGCTAATACCATGAACAGCTCCTGACGCAACGGATCTTGTCCACCAGACGGAGGCACAAGGTGTCTGGCAACATCTCTTTTCAGATCGGGTTCCTCCCACCCAAAGGGGTGACCACTAACGACGAAGCCTTACGCAGAATCAAGATTGTCTATGGATCTCTTGTCGAGCAGGGCAACCTGAGCAAAGGATCTGCTGGTGTTCTCGGTGTCCCTGCAGTACGTGGGAAGCGCTTGGAGACGACCAAGCTGACCTTTTGCAGTACAAGGGTATCGGTACCGTCAAAATGCGAGCCCGCGATGCTCAGACCGAAGAGAGGCCCCACGTTCATGGTGCTTTCAATGCCATCCAGGGTGCCGCCTCCGCTGTCGCTGGAGCGTGCTCTGGAGGTCACCGCATGTCGCCCGCTCTCAACCAGGATAGGAACGAGCTGGATGACGACGAAGACGCTGAAGACGACGACGAAGACCTCCTTTCAGACGACGGCATGTCTTCCAGCTCGTCGAACGACGAATATGAGGATGCGCAGGATGAGGATTACGGCGGCGTAGGTCTGCACAGGACCGAGTCGCCTTCTGCCGAGCTTCTCAGCGACCAGACGGCTGGCTTGACTATCCACCCCGTGGATCCTGACGACAAGGTCCCAAAGACTGCCGGATACCTCGACCCTCGGCGAAAGTACGAAACCCCTACGAGAAAGACATCGCTCCCTGCCCCGGGCTATTGGGAAGTTCCAAACATGGCAAAGTCTAGCTCCGCGGACTCTGCAGCATCCAGCTCGGGTGCGCTCACGCCCGGCGTTCCGGTCTCGGGCGCCGCTACTCCTGGCGGCACCAAGCTCAAGAGACCTTTGTTCGGAAGAGGCAAGAGCAGGACGTCCAGCGGCAACGAGGGGAAAATGGTGGTGAAGAAAAAGTCTAAAGGATTTGCGTTTGACGCCGAGCAGGGTAAGGATATGCTGGGTATTGTCATCCTGGAGATCCAGAGCGCCGAAGATTTGCCCAAGCTCAAGAATGGTGCGTATATCATGCTGTGCATCTGCTGTAACTAACACGCCATAGCTTTACGTGTGTCTTTCGACATGGACCCCTTCGTCGTCATCTCTTTTGGCAAAAAGGTTTTCCGTACCCGTGTCATCCGACACTCTCTCAACCCCGTCTGGGACGAAAAGCTTCTCTTCCATGTCCGCCGCCATGAAGCTGCCTATACCGCGCAGTTTGCGGTCCTGGACTGGGACAAGGTGTCTGGCAATGACATGGTCGGAACGTGTACATTACCACTGAGCGAGCTGGTTGAGGATGCTCCCAAACCTGACCCATCTACTGGGTTATATGACAAGGAGGTTGACGGGAAGCCCGCGATGAAAGAGTTTACTGTCAGTCTACCGGAGATCTGTTTGGATATCACTAATACCCCGGCAGTTGCCAATCTCCACCGACAAAGACATGGCTTGGGAAAGCAGACACTCTCCCAAGCTCACCATCCGTGCCAAATACGAGCCTTATGATGCTCTCCGCCAACGGTTCTGGCGTCAATACATCATGCAGTACGACGTCGACGAGACAGGCGCTCTATCCTACACTGAGCTCACTGCCATGCTCGACTCGCTCGGATCCACGTTGACTCGCAACACTCTCGAAGGATACTTTGTGGCGAGCGGCAAGTCGCCCGAAAGGGATGAGTTGACGGACGAAGAAGTCATCAGGTGTTTAGAGAGGGAAGTCAACAAGAGTCGATATGAAAAGGCAAAAGTCAGCCGGAACGGTGCTTCTGACGATGTGGCCACAACCGGCTCTAGTACGCCTGCTGCCCAATCTGGTAAAGACGGCTTGGGCTTTGTGGGTCCAGAGGGCAATGAGTCTTCGCCCGTCGACCCAGATGAGCTTGCACAGTCGATTCTCAAGAGCAAGCCTAGGAATCAGGAGGGCGCTGGGGATGATGATACCGCGGGCAACCAAACCAACATCGAGAGCACTGCCTCTCACCGTAAAGATTCTGAAGTTCCCGCGGTCAAGGTAGAACGAACTACTTCTTTCGATGGCAAGACTGTCCCTGCACCTGGCCAGCCTGGAGCCGACGGAAGCCTGACGCCCATGTCTGCCTCAGACGTCGATATGGATGAAAACGACGCATCACCTGCCGATGACCGCGAGCGAATTATCAATATCAAGACCTGTCCCCTCTGTCACCGCCCCCGATTGGGCAAAAAGACAGAGCAGGATATCGTCACGCATCTTGCTGTCTGTGCTTCAGCCGATTGGAGTCGTGTCGACAGGATTGTGACGGCCAATTATGTGACTAGCGGTCAGGCTCAGCGAAAGTTCCTGAGCAAGATTGTCAACAAGGTTGCTATCGGCAGCTACGCCTTGGGGGCCAACAGTGCCAACACCATCGTGCAGGATAGGATTACTGGGCAATTGCAGGAAGAGAAGATGGCTGTACGTTGCCTCCAGCGTCGACTGAAAAGTTGCTAATGATCTATAGGTTTACGTGAGAATGGGCATCCGGGTCCTCTACAAAGGTGCTAAAAGCAGCATGCACGGGGCTCGAGGTATGTGTACCGTGCAGTAACCAGGGGAAAGCTCACCGGTGATATAGCCCGCAAGCTTCTCAAGTCGCTGTCCATCAAGCAAGGTCTCAAGTACGACTCTCCTGCCTCCGCCCTCGACATTCCGGGCTTCATCGCGTTCCACAACCTCGACGTGAATGAGATTCTTGACCCCCTCGACTCTTTCAAGACCTTTAATGAATTCTTCTACCGCAAGCTCAAGGCCGACGCTCGACCTGTCGAAGAGCCCGACAACCCACACAGGCTCGTGTCGTGTGCAGACAGTCGGATGATGGCTTTCGAGACTGTCAACGAGGCAACCCAGATTTGGATCAAGGGAAGGGAGTTTTCCGTTGCCAAGCTGCTGGGACCAAACTACAAAGATGTGATCGACAGGTATGACGGAGGTGCACTGGCAATCTTCCGGTGAGTTGAGCTTTCGACAGAGTTTCTCCACTCTTGACCTATGTGATTCCTTTACTCACAATTGCTACAGCCTCGCCCCGCAAGATTTCCACCGCTATAAATCGTTGGTCGATGGGAAGATCGGCAAGGTGAGTCCGGTCCAACAAAGAGACAGACATAGACTGACTTTTGACACAGATGACTTCCATCGATGGAGAATACTACACTGTCAATCCACAGGCCATCAGGACGACTCTAGACGTCTATGGAGAGAATGTTAGGATGGTTGTGCCTATAGAAAGTCCTCAATTTGGTCTGGTCATGACTGTTTGGGTCGGGGCCATGATGGTGGGGTCTATATTGAGTTCTGTAGAGGAGGGACAGGAGGTCAAGAGAGGTGACGAGCTGGGGTATTTTGCCTTCGGTGAGCATTCTATCCCTTTCTGTTCTTTTGATCTCGCGCTAATGTTATACTCTAGGTGGGTCTACCATCGTCTGCCTGTTCGAGAAGGGGGCAGTCGAGTGGGACAATGACCTGTTGCAAAACGGGCGTGCCAGTATCGAGACGCTCGTGCGTGTCAACACGGGTATTGGCCACAGCACTAGACAAGCTTGAGGGATTCTTCTGTGCATTAAGAGAGCAGATTTTACCAACATGTAAAATAGACAATACGACAACTTTGAAACATGAATGTTATTTTACGAAGCACTGCCAAATGCCCCATCATAACACTGTCTCCATCAAACCGATATCCCAACGGCAGCTTGCCCATAACCCTGTAGAGATAGATGCAAGTGGGCGCAGGTGGATCGCGAAAGTGGAGGCCCGGCTACTGTGGTGCCGGCTCGCGACCTCCCCAGTTGATTCGAAGTTCATTGCACCAGGACAGCCAGCGGCAGACTGACCACCACACCATGGCCACAACGTCCCATCCCCCCCTGACCCCATTTGGCTCAGCTCTGGCAGGCGCACTGGGATCAGTCTTTGCAAACTCGTGCGCACCCCGGCTCACTCTCGATATGTGCTCACCCTAGCTGTAGCCTGGTGTACCCCCTAGACATCGCAAAGACCCGTCTCCAGGCCATTGACGACCCCCTAGCCGACCTTGAGCCTGACGCAGAACCCGACCCTGCGGCCACCCCATTCGAGGAGAAGACCCAGGAAGTCCAAGACCAGATCCTTGACGCAAAGGCCAAGAAGCAAAAGAAGAGGGAGCAGATCGAGCGACTTCGACGAGTTCTGGGGACGAGGTTGAGAAAGTGGGGAATGTTGACGATGTTGTTGAGGATTGTGCACACTGAGGGATGGAAGGGAGCTTTCCATGGATTTGGGGCGAGTATGATCGGGACATTCTCCATGCGTGGGTGCATTGCAACTGTTGAGGATATACAGCTGATATAATCAACAGAGTTTGCCTACTTCTTCTTCCACACATTCCTTCGAAAGACTTATTTGGCTCGCCTCTCCTCCTCTACCGCTCACCTTTCGACATCTACCGAGCTTCTCCTCGGCGCCCTCGCCGGTGCTCTCGCACAGGTATTCACCATCCCCGTTGCGGTCATCGCTACTCGTCAGCAATTATGGGAACCTCCTTCCCAGCCTGCCATCTCTGACAAGCAGGCGTGGCAAGACGACAGTCCGAGCTTGCTTGATACTGCCCGAGAGGTCATCCAGGAATCGGGAATCACGGGGCTGTGGACGGGACTCAAGCCTTCGCTGGTCCTCACCGTGAACCCGGCAATCACTTATGGTGTATTTGAAAGGTTAAAGACCTGGAGGCTGGCAGCGAATGCCAAGGCTGGGAGGGGCGGGCCCAAGTTGAGTGCCGCGGAAAGCTTTTGGCTTGGAGCGGCGAGCAAGACGTTGGCCACTGTTGTCACCTATCCCTACATCTTTGTGAGGTGACTTTACGTATCTGTGTAACAGCTGCTGACACGAACAGGCCAAGGTGAGGTTGCAGGCCAAGAGCGTCGAGACGGTCCCCCTCGCCAAAGAGATCCAGAAGGGTGTCGCGCCCTCGTACGCAGACATGGCCAAGAGCTCCCCCTCTGAAGGTTCTACCGTGCTTGTGGAACACCCTACGTCCCCTTCCCAAGTAGAAGAAGGCGAGAATCAAGCTATCAAACCCATCGAGGCAGTACGGGAGATTGAGGCCGAGCATCCCCATCCACACCCCCCTGCACACCATTACAGGGCTGCTATCCCACTTTTGAAGGCAGTCTATGCCGAGAAAGGTATCAAGGGACTGTACCAAGGCTTGGGTCCTCAGATATTCAAAGCTGTTCTTTGTCAAGGTGAATATCAGTATACTTTGACCGAGGAGCCTGCTAACCACCCATCAGGAATTCTTTTCGTGTCCAAGGACCATTTCGAGAGCTACGCTTGGATGTTGATCGTTTTGTTCTCCCAGCTTAGAGTCAAAGTAGGTAGTAGTAAGAGATAGTAGATTGTTTGTTTGATAGGACATGATGCATGTACGACTACACGCTCTCATCTTTTGCCTCCCCTGACCATGATCTTCTTTACCTTTGGCGCCTTGCCCTCACCTGGCGCAGCTCCTTCAACCTGACCATTCTTTTTCCTCTCCTTCTCTTGCTCCTTTTCCCTCTTGATTGCCGCCACAGCCACACCCGCGGGCACCACAGGGGAGTGCAGAGGTAATCTGTCGTCTAGGGCTGGGATGGTGGGAGGAAGGGGAGGCCGAGCAGGAAGCTTTGGTGGAGGGGGAGGGAGTTTGGCCTTGGGTGCTGCCTTGGCCTTGGACTTGCCCTTCTTGGGGGCAGCTTTGGTAGCAGGGGCGGGGGCAGCAGCCTTGTGGCGGCGAGAAGGGGTGGTAGAGGGGTTAAATGCGAGGTCGGGGTATCGCTGGCGGATTTGATCGGCAAGGTGTCGATACAAGTCGGTACCTGCTCAAGTCAGCAATGTCCCGAGACCCAAAAGTAGACGTACGGTTCTTGACGATGGGGTTGACAAACCTCCCATCCTTTTCGAATTGCACCTTGACTCTTCCCGGGTTCTCCCAATCCGCCGGGTGGCACCTTTCCGGTTCGAGTATACTCGGCAAGCCAAGGGCACTACAGGCCTGTGCAATATGGGTTGCGAGAGGCCACCAGACAGCAGAGGAGCGAGGAACTCGTCGTCCGGCGTTGACAGACGCCTTGGCATCGAAATAGATAGGATAGAGCGAGTTCCAGCTATAGACAATCAGTGTCTGAAACGTCAAAGCGGGAGGCGCTTACTCCTTGTAGAGACTGGGGTCACCGCCGACCGCAGCATTGCCAAACTGCCTTCTCAGCTTTACCAGCCTCTCCTCCTCGTCCGCCTGCAGTTTCATCATGTCGCCCATGAATCCTCCCATTGGCGTATTGGGATCAATTCTCGGCCCACTTTGACTCGTGGACGGTCTCAAGTCGTCGTCTCGCTGAGCCATCTTGCCCTTCCCATTCCCGCTAGGAGCCCTGGGAGGGGGCGCTGACGAGTTCTCTCCAAAGACGCCGCGGCCCTGCTCTGCGATCCTTTCAAAGTCCATGTCGCCGTCATCGTCTGTGATCTCTTCGAGGAGGGCGCCGCGTTCTCCGAGGTGGGGGAGGGGGCGGGGCTTTGAGGCTGATGCGGCGGGGAGGGGGATGTCTGTGTCGTCGTCAAAGTAGTCTTCTACGGTGGGCATGGTGGTGTGGTGGATGTGCTGACGTTGGCAGGAAACGCAGAGATAGAGAGGCGGCGATAGCCGGGAATTGCGGGCGTGGCGTCATCCAGTCATCCCATACACACCTGATTTCATCGACATTCAACATCCCTCTTCCCATCTCCATCTCCCCTGCCCCCTCCCCCTCCCTGTCCCCCTGTCCCCCACCATGGCGTCCCCCGGCACCCAAACAGCGAATGCCATCGCTGCCATCACTAATCGTTCCAACCTTGTCATCCCAGAGATAGACTTTACCCAGCACCAGCTCGAAAATGGAGAGATTGTCAGCACCGAGCAACGGGTCGTCAAAGACGTACGTATCTCGAGTGTCTCCCAGCTGTATCTCAGAGGCCTATGTGCTGTGGGGCGAGGTGCGGTGGCGTGTGCGGTGCCAGGTGGCGTCGCTGGAGCAACACAGTTTGCACACGTATCCGACTGCCAGAGGCTGCCAAGAGAATGCCAGCTGTACGATGAGGGTCCTGTATCTGCACGATACCCACGGCCACGTCTTATGAATCGCTTGCTGACAATCTCTCTACCAACCATAGGTCCAAGCACCAGCCATGTATGTCCCCACCGACGACCAATTCTTCTCCAAAACCGACAAGAGCAAACCCGATATCGCTTTCCTCAAGAACCACTTTTACCGAGAAGGAAGACTGACAGAAGAACAAGCACTCTACATTCTCGAAAAGTGCGTGGAGAGGGCGCGTCAGTCGAGATAGCAGTCTGACGACCATTACAGGGGTGGAGAGATCTTGCGATCAGAACCCAATCTACTCGAGGTCGATGCCCCCATCACTGGTCAGTGTGGCGCCGATGATCATGATGCAAATGCTAATGTCTTGCAACAGTTTGTGGTGACATTCACGGGCAATATGTGCGTTCATTGTGCGGCGATGAAACTGTAGCTGACCAAGTGCGCAGTATGACTTGATGAAGCTGTTTGAAGTTGGAGGTAACCCAGCAGACACCCGATATCTGTTCTTGGGTGATTATGTGGACCGAGGTTATTTCTCCATCGAGGCGAGTCATCACAAAGATCAGCGAGCGCGTGCTGACAATCTCGCAGTGTGTGCTCTACCTGTGGTCGCTCAAGATGTGGTATCCGGATACCCTCTTCCTTCTCAGAGGCAACCACGAATGTCGGCATTTGACCGACTACTTTACCTTCAAGCTCGAGTGCAAACACAAGTACTCTGAGACGGTGTACAACGCCTGCATGGAGAGCTTCTGCAACTTGCCGCTGGCGGCAGTTATGAACAAGCAGTTCCTCTGTATCCACGGTGGCTTGTCTCCAGAGCTCCACACTCTTGATGATCTGCGATCAGTACGTCTCGTCAATGACTGTTTGAACCGGGCTGACTGTGTGCAGATCAACAGGTTCCGCGAACCACCTACCCAAGGCCTCATGTGTGATATCCTCTGGGCCGACCCGCTGGAAGACTTTGGTTCGGAAAAGACCAACGAAAACTTTTTGCACAACCACGTTAGAGGTTGTAGTTACTTTTTCACCTACAATGCGGCATGTCAGTTCCTAGAGAGGAACAATTTGCTGTCTGTAATCCGAGCCCACGAAGCTCAAGATGCTGGGTAAGTGTATCTGGTGCAGACTGGACGGTCGCTGATCTGTACACAGTTATCGAATGTACCGAAAGACAAAAACAACAGGATTCCCTTCAGTCATGACCATCTTTTCAGCACCAAACTACCTTGATGTCTACTCCAACAAGGCTGCCGTGTTGAAGTATGAGTCCAACGTCATGAAGTGAGTTGCGTCTTGTCCCTCGAGAATAAAACTGACTTGCGTAGCATCCGACAATTCAACTGTACACCTCATCCTTACTGGTTGCCCAACTTTATGGACGTGTTTACTTGGAGTTTGCCGTTTGTGGGTGAAAAGAGTGGGTATATTTCCAATGACCGCGAATTGCGCTAACGAGATCAGTCACGGACATGTTGATTGCCATCCTCAACTGCTGCACCAAGGAGGAACTCGAGGAAGAAGAGGCCGAGCTGCCAATCGCCGCTCCCGAGACCCAGGTCTTGGACCCCGAGTCTGCCGCCGAGCGTCGCCAGATTATCAAAAACAAGATTCTCGCCGTTGGCCGAATGTCGCGTGTGTTTTCGCTCTTGCGTGAAGAGTCTGAACGAGTCTCGGAACTCAAGAGCATTTCCGGGTCCAGCACTCTCCCTGCCGGTATGCTGGCGAGCGGTGCCGAGGGTATCAAGGAGGCCATCCAAGGCTTTGAGGATGCGAGAAAGAGCGATATCGAGAATGAAAGGCTGCCTCCCGACATTGTCGACGTGCGTGCCTTGTGCTACTGATGTTTGCGATACTGACTTGACTGTAGCCTGATGAGGACAATCCTGCCTCCGCTTCTCAATCGCCCAGCATGCCTGCCACGCCCGAAGAGCTCCCTGCCGGGTTCCGCGATTCTCCCATCATCCCGCCATCTACCCCCGTGCACAAGGTTGCGTCGCCCGGTGGCGCCGGTTCTCCGGGCACACCTGGGACCCCTACCTCTCCCCACATGGACGTCTGGCGTCCCGGGCACGGCCGTCGTATCAGTCTGGGCACGACCAAGACGTCGCCGTCGACGAGAAGAAGGAGTCTGGAGAACACGATGCACCTTATCCGGGACGTGGTCGGAGGAAAGGATGCGGGGGGCGATGGTCAGTTGGAGAGGGTCGCAGAGGTCATCTCGAGCCCCAACAAGGAGAAGGGTGGAAAGTAGACTACGACTATGGGTGCCTGTGTCCTATATAAAGTATACCCTATATATAACGTTTCTACCCTCCCATATGATTACCACGAAATTATCCAGACTAGCAATGATTCCTTCCCGTATGGTCGTTTTTGTATGATACGTTGGTTTGCCCTCCGGCCGTTTCGGCACGGCGGAGGATGTGAATGCATATACGATTGGCACGCTGCTCTGTTGGCGAAAAGATGGCGGTGTTGTGTGGCGCCTAAAAGCTTGCGGGCAAACCGACATCGCAAAGAAGCGAGAATGAAGGGCTGATGACCGGGAATACCTCTGCGTTTATTGGCCCTCTGCCGTTTGCGCCCCCTCGGACCCTGGCAAGGAGGACAATGGCGAATGCAGAGGGAAGGCGAGACGAAGGCCGTGCACATCGGCTTTTCCGCGCCATGGCACCATCCATCCAATCACCAGTATTGTACGATTGTACCGTTCCCCACTCTGGCATTGATCATTGATTGGCATGGGCATAGTGGGCGTTGGGTAAGCCATCAATCAGCCATCAAGTAGAGCCCTTGACGCCATGCAAGCGCCTTGATCGAGCGTTCCATACGAGGATCGTCCTTGATCCCACCAAAAGCCCTCGTGGCTGCTGATAAATCTGCTCGTGCTCGCTCCTGATACTCTTGAGAGGCTGTTCTTGCTGATGGGCTGAGGGCATTGTGATGAGATGGGATACTTGACATTTGCATCGCCATCGCTACGCCTATACAAGACAACGGATAACTCCTGGTGGAGCTGTTTCACGGACGAGAAAAAAAAACTTTTGACAAACTTATATACTCTCGGGTAGTGAACTGGGGGGGTTACGAAAAAGCGAAATAGAATAGAAGCTCTAGAAAAGACACTTCACTTTGTTGAAAAAGCACAATGAGAAAAGAATAACACAACCCTGAAAAAAGCCCCCCGTCCGGCTACTAGATACAAAAGGTGATGGGAAAAGACGAAAACTACTGCTAGACACTCCGAGGCAAGGGGCTATTCGTCCCTCTTTCTCTTGCCCAGCGCGGCCAGAGCAGCCTGGAGCGACTCGTTCGCCGACACGTCCTGGGAACCAGTGCCGGCAGTCGCGAGGGCGGCGGCGGCGGGGTTGGAGCCGTTAAGGACGATGGCCTTGAGTAATCTGTTTTCGTTTTCGAGCGAGGTGTTTTCAGCGGCAAGGGCAGAGACCTGGTCCTCGAGTTCCTCTGCCAAAGATAGTCAGTTAAAAGTCGACGATGTACAAAGGGTGACGCGTACTGGCTCGACGCTCAAGGGCCTGCTCCCTCTCCTTCTTCTTGGCTCGGAACCGGGCAGACGCCTCGGTGTTTCGTCGTCGCTTGCTACAAGAACAGAGATACGACGTCAGTTGATTGTCTTTTCAACAGCAGGCAGGAAACTCACTCTTCTTCAATCTCGACCTGGTTGGCACCGAGAGACTTTAGCTTTTTAGCGCCGGAGGGCTTGTCGTCGTCCTCATCATACAGGCTGACACTCGCGGAACGGCCGCTGCTGACAGACGGCATCACGTCCTGGGTAGTGACGGCAGCCGGTGTTTGTGAGAGAGTCTGGGCGGGGGCGGCATAGGGGGCAGGGAGGGGCATGAGATAGTTGCTGATGGTCTGGGCGGTGGTCGCCTGCTGGCTGGCGCTGCCCGAGGAGTGGCCCATGTAGGCAGCGAGGAAGGACTCGAGGGTGGGCCTCTGCTCCTCCTTGGTCGAGGAGGCAGGGGTGGCGACGGTGGCTGGGGTGGGTGCCGGGGCAGGGGCCTGGAGCTGCTGCTTGCGCTTTTCGTCGTCGTGGTTCTCACTGGGCGAGGGGGCGCTGCCAAAGTTGCGGAAGAGCTCGTCGGCGTGGAGGAAGCCCCAGAAGGCCTCTTCCTGCTCTGCATTGATGGCAGCAGAGGGAGGGGAGTTGCCGGGGAGGGCGTTGAGGGCCTGGAGGTGTTCTGGGAGGTCTGGGAACATGGCGGCGGGGGGCTTTAGGGGGGTATATACTGTGAAGAGATGGATGCTCTTATGGGAGATGGGACCAAAGGGGGGGCTGATTAGATTCGGATTAGATTGTAGGAGGACATGGATCACTGACGGAGTTTTCAGCGCGCAGCACGCCATCCATTGCCAATCCCAACAATGCCACGTCACCCCTACCCCTGCTGACGTAAATGTGCCACGCTCTTCCAGCCAGAAGAAGAACATGCAATGTCCCAAACAACATTGCATCCCAGATCAATCCCAGTATATGATTGGTCCTTCCCGTTAGTCTACTCTAGAAGATGCGCGATACATTCTTTTACAAGATCCTGTTGATAATGTCCTTGGTGACATCAGTGGTAGAGGCGTTACCGCCGAGGTCGGCAGTCCTGACCTTGCCCTCTCGGACGAGGTCGTAGGTGGCACCGGCAATCAAGTTGGCCTGGGTTTCGAGACCGAGGTGACGGAGCATCATTGTGGCGGAGAGGATGAGGGCGACGGGGTTGGCCTTGTTGGCGCCCATAATGTCTTTACCGACGTGTCGGCATCCAGGCTCGAAAAGAGCGTACTCCTTTGACAACAGTCAGTCGTCTGTGCACACTAGAAGCCGGGGGATCTGCTTACTCGGCCAAAGTTACAACCGGGGGTGATACCGGGGCCGCCGACAAGGGCAGAGGCAATGTTGGAACAGATGGCACCGTAAAGCTGTAACAGTCAGTATAGTCCCATTCTTGACAATGCATTTCGCTCACGTTAGGCTAAATCATCGTCAGCACTGACCCTTTTTCACTTTCGACAAACTCACCATAACCATGACGTCAAACTGCTGGGGTCTAGAGACAAGCTGCATGGCAGTGTTGTCGACAATCATAGACTCAAACTTGATGCCAGTGTGTCCGTACTCTTGCTCGGCAATCCTCTTGCAGGTGTTGAGGAAAAGACCGTCACCAAGCTTCATAATGTTGGCCTTGTGGACACAGGTGACCTTCTACTCGTTCCCATTCTATGAGCGCCTATATTTTCACCCAAAAAGAGATACCATACCTTCCTGTTGTTCTTGATGGCAAAGTCGAAAGCGAATCGGGCGATTCGCTCGGCCTTGGCCCTAGTGGACACCTTCAAAGACTCTACGACACCGGGGAAAGACTGGTGCTCAAGACCAGAGTACTCGCCCTCAGTGTTTTCTCGGATAAGGGCAAGGTCCACATCGGCGTGTCGGGTGGGGAATCCAGGGAGAGACTTGCAAACAACAACGGAAGCGTAGATGTCGAGTTGTTGACGCATCGCGACGTTCCAAGAGTTGTGGCCGGTCTGGTCAATGGGGGTATAGAGGATACCTTTTGGGCGCGTCAGTACGCCCTCGCCATCTCTCCACCACACATACCCTTCAGTCCAACCTTGTTCCTCTTCAAGCTGTCCATGGCCTCCTGGAAGAGAGCCTCACCGCCGGTGGTCTCACCAGACACATCGTACTGCTCCCACTGGACAGGAGCCTTGATGGCCTCAAAGATCTCCTTGACAGAGTCGGCGACTTCCCGGCCAATACCGTCACCAGGGACAAGGGTGACGGTGTACTTGCCGCCAAACTTGGAAGGGAGCTACAGGCAGGGATCAGCGACGTGTCCCTTTGCGTAGCGAGTCCGGATTAGGGGGAGCCAATGATGATTCCGGCAATGGGTGGTGCGGAATGGCCGGCGGTGGGCGTGTCACTCACCCTCTTCTCGTCGACAAGAGTGGCCATGGATCGGACGGCAGGGACGCGCTGTTGGCAGAGGGAGGAGGGAGGGTGGCGTCAGCGGGGCTCTGTGTTGCTGGGGGGACTCACGGCAGCGCTGGCCCTGATGGCGGTGGTGGCGGAGGACCTGAGGGAGTGGGCGAGCATTTTTGGGTTGGTGCGAGGGATGAACAGAAAGGTTTCTTCTTCTTGTTTCTTGTCCTCGAGATGTAAAGTACGAGTAAAGTACGCCCGCCTACCACCGACTACCGCCGACCTAATCCCGTGCCTCCCATTACAAATATCCAACTACCTTTTCTAATCCTCCCCACCTCCATGCATCTATGCGCAGAGCTGCCCGCTGCATCCACACCTCCCGCCCCACCATGCCCGCCCCCACAGACCCCGCAGAGGCCATCAGGCAGACCGTCGCCGACAAGTGGCTCAAACCCAACGGTCCACCAGTCGGCACCACGTTTGGCGGCCGCCTCTTGAAGACAGAGGACGATGTCTTTAGCCAGAACGCGTGGTGCGCATCATGCAGCTTCCATATATGTGTTGAGAGCTGACGGCCTCTCAGGGATCATGCCGAGCTGCCATCAGACTTTAAAGAGCGAGCGGAACAAGTCATGGAGCTGCATAGGTCGAGCCCTGTCGCGCAAGACGTACGGGGTATGCCCTTTCTAATTTTTGCATTATTGGTTGTATCTGACTTTTGTCCCTTGACAAGACAAATACAACGAGAGACCTGCCGATTATTGGAACAAGTTTTACTCGCAGCACGAGGATGGGTTTTTCAAGGACAGAGGATGGTTACGGCTCGAATTTCCAGAGCTGGTCGCATGTAGCGAAGCGGACGTACGTTTGTCACTGTCATAAGACGACCGAGGGCTGATCGTATCATCAGGCTGGGCCCAAGACTGTACTCGAGGTCGGATGTGTAAGCTGCTGCACAACCATAGTAAGGCATTGCTGACTAGAACTGGTAGGGCGCCGGCAACACCGTGTTTCCTCTGATTCAACGAAATGAGAACCCTCATCTCACGATATTTGCGACCGACTACTCCGAGACAGCCGTCAAGGTAGTCAAGGTGTGTCTGTTCTAGTATCAGCCCCATGATTGCCTAACAATGTTGCAGGCCAACAAAATGTACCCCAAGGCAGACCACGGGCTGGGCGTGATGAACGCCTCCGTTTGGGACATCACCTCCAAACCCTCCTCACCCGACACTGCTGATTCTGCTGCCACTCAACCACCCGTGACCTACTCATTACCAGAAGGTATCGCTCCCGGCACAGTAGACGTCATCTCCGTCATCTTTGTCCTCTCCGCCCTTCATCCCCGTGAATGGAAACAGGCAATCCACAACCTCTACACCGCTCTGAAACCTGGAGGACTGCTCTTGATCAGGGACTACGGCAGGCATGATCTCGCACAATTGAGGATCAAGAAGAACCGTCTGCTCGATACGCCTAATCTGTATATCAGAGGGGATGGGACGAGGGTGTACTTTTTCGAAAAGGAAGAGTTGGAGGATATGTTGGTGGGCGCTCCTGCAGATGGGGCTGTCGATGAAAAGAAGATGTTTGAGATTCAACAGCTGGGAGAAGATAGGCGCTTGGTGAGCATTGCTGCGATGACTTTCATTTTCCGGCTGACCCAAAGTGTAGCTGGTGAACAGGAAGGAACGCTTGACAATGTATCGCATATGGATGCAAGTCAAGGCTAGGAAACTTGCTTAATGGAGCTCAGGTTCGGTCGGTAGAGGGATACATAGCATAGGGCATGAGCATCATCATATACCAAACGCATATCATAGACATAACTGCATTTCTAGAAATTCGATTCATGAAATCGTTTTGATTGTATATCTACTTTATGCTGGAAATCTTCATGACACAAGCATTCTTCTTCTTATCGACCAATTCCAAGCAAGCACCCCAAGCAGACACAGACACATGTTGAGTCAAACGATTCAAAGACGAGTGACAGCGAGCCTCTCGTAGATCTTGACCATGTCGGACTTTTTCTCTCGTCAGCATACTATCAAAGGCATAGAATTGTACTCACAGTAACGCCCATAGCGGTCACGTCGGCGCCAGCACCGGCACCCTGGATGATGAGAGGACGAGGAGAGTACCTCTTGGTGCTGAAAGAGATAATGTTGTCAGAGCCCTTGAGGGCGGTAGCGAAAGCATGGTCCACGGGGTACCTATATGCCGCGTCAGTCGATGCTCCTCACTATGGTCGAAACACTCACTTGGCCAACTTGGCCTCGACCTTGCCTTCCTTGACATCAAGCACACCCACATATCTCACGACCTTGCCTTCCTTCTGCGCCTCCTCCCTGAGGTTGGCAAAGAACGAGTCACCCTCCTCCAATCGCTCAAGGTACTCCTCCTTGGTAGAGGCATTGGAGAGGACGTCGGGCACAAGAGACTGGGTGGGGATTGAGGCGTAGCCTTCAGGAAGAGCAGGGGCAGTGGGCACAAGACGGGCGAGAATGGAGAGCTTTCGAGCAACGTCAGACCCAGAAAGGTCGTCCCTGGGGTCAGGCTCCTACATATCTTGGTTAGTAGTCGCCCAATAAACATAACATAGGACGTACAGTGTATCCCTTCTCCTTGGCAATCTTGACGACATCGGAAAACTTGACAGTGCTTCCCTCGGGCTTGCTAAACTCGTTGAAGATGTAGCTCAATGTGCCACTGAAGACACCTTCAACCTTTTCGATTTCATCGCCGGTCCCCACGAGGTCCTTCAAGGTCTGAATGATCGGCAGACCCGCGCCAACGGTGGACTCGCCATACACGGTCACAGGAGTGTTGGGGAAGGACTTTTCTGTGATAGACTTGTACAAAGCCTCGGAGCCAGAGAAACCCTTCTTGTTGGGGGTGACGATGTGGACGCCCATGGACAGGATTTGGGGGTACATGCCGGGGATGACATCAGACCCAGTCGAGTCGATAAAGATACCTGGCGCATCGGGATGGGTAGAGAGGACAGAGACGACAGAGGGGACATCGAGAGCAGTGCCGTACTTTTCAAGGATGGGCTGGTAGTTGGAGGGAGTGAGGGGCGAGGCGGGGAGGGGGAGGGACAAGGATTGGCGAGAGTTGGCAATCAGGACGAGCTGGAAGCGCGAGGCGAGAGGAGGCGAGAGGAGCTGAGAGAGGATGGCTTTACCAACACCGCCGAGACCGAGGAGGGCGACGGGGATGGGGCGGGGGGCGACTGGAGTGGACATGCTGCTGTTCTGTGTCTTGACGAGGAGGAATATGGAAGAACGCAGAGAGCTGTCGACTTTTCCGGCTCTGGTTGCTTTTCAAAACGCCGTCATCATCAACGTCACTACATTTTCATCTCCCCTTTCATCTGCCTTTCTTCCACAGCCCAGGCTCTACCACGATGAGGCCATGCCTCCAAAGATACCCCTGTTCAGTAAACAGCCTGCGATCGCTAGAAATATAGCAGCGCGCCACTTTTCATCTAAACCTCATTTGCTTCGCCATAGAGCAGAGCTCGACTACCTCGCACCCTTCCGACGCTCGGCTGTTCCACCCCCCTCGCGAGCAGACAATCAGCTTCAAAATGTGCTCAATACCTCAAAGCAGCCAGAGGCATACTCGGAGGGCCACCTTCCTTATGTGACTTCTTCCACGGCGCCTGTAGCCAACTCACTGCAGGAGGTTCCTGCTCATGGCACTGGCAGCCGAGTGGCGGATCCCGTCCCCGCTATGAAGGACACAAGCGGAGATAACAGCGCCAACAAGGACAGTGGGAAAGGGTTCAGGTCCAAACAAATGATCGTACAAGGCGTTGCTGTTCCTCCAAAGCCCATAGCACCAGGCGAAGAAGGTGAATACATTGCTTCACTTTTCATCTTGACAAGGCCTGAAGCTGACGTCGCCCGCAGAGTGCTGTATGTCAGGATGTGTCAACTGCGTTTACACCATCTACTCGGAAGAGCTCGAAGAGTATGTAGCAGCTCTGGACGCTGCACGGGATGCTCTTGAACGAGCACATGTACCCAAGAGTGACTGGCCTGCTGAAGTGGGAACGTCAGGACGTGGGGATGCTGCCAAAGGAGATGAAAAGGACAAGGCCGTGGAAGGGATCGACCCTGCGATGAGCGCTTTCTTGGCGTAAGTTGACATGAAGATGAGAAGGCTTGGGGCTGATGATTGGGTTTGAATACATAGGCTGGAGAACAAGCTCAAGAACAAGCAATAGCTGGGTATCAGAACTCATGTTGTTTTGGCTCAACATGTTTTTGAGAGATCGAAGCAGCTCGACATGAGACTGATGAGTTGCCATGGAATGTTGGCATGCCCGTTGCGCTCTTTCCACGGCAGTACATGCACAATCAATGCATAGTTGAATTGAGACAAATGTGTGCAAAAGATGTCAGACATAGGCACAGGACGGTGGCCCCGAAAGAGCAAGCCGTGTCCACTCATGTTCCTTATGAGAAGCTCTAGATTTTGATCACGCTTTATGTTGCTTGTATGTTGGAGCGTCCCCAAAACATTTTACTGGACAGCAGGGAAGCTGGGGTCATAGGTCGGAAGCCCACCAACGATTCCTGGCAGAACTGTTAACTAATCACCGCCATGCGTTTTCGAGAGACAACTCACCATCAATAAGCATATTCCAATACTGGGTATTGTTGCCTTCTACTGCTCCGAATCCAGGCGGCATTCCATTGATGACAGGTGGGGCCTCCAGCGACGCGACAGGCGTAGCAGAGAATAAGGACGGGTCCAGCCACCCCGACTGGCCTTGCTGAGGATACTGTGGCTGAGGCTGCATCGGCATGGATCTTGCAACTTGCTCCATGTGCGAGAAGGACTGGCCTCCGTATGAGTCTTGAAGCACAGGATCGACCGGGATGCCGCCTCCACCTGCGGGAGTGGGGTAGAGACTCATGTTGTACTGGTTCATAGTAGAGTCTGCCCCTGGACCAAAGAATTGATTCGTCACGAGCCAGTGGTCCAACCTAACCGATGTCAGCCCAGCGACTATACACGATGACCGCACACCTACAGTCTCTGAGGGTGATCATCCTCGGGGCTCCCTCCCATACCAGGGGGAGTCGGACCCACTCCAGCCCCGTAGGGACTACCTCTGAAATGTGCTTGAGCACTGCCCGAAGGCGAAGTCAGAGGCGCATTTCTCGACTGGTCACTCCGACCATTCTCACCACCGTCGTGGCTGCTCGTCGGTGCCAAAGGTGGCGCCATAGGCGGCCGGGGATCACGGGGAGAGCCACGCTCGTATGACATGTTATCAGTGGAAAGGCGGGGCTGGTATCGACGAAGCCTGCGTTCCTCCATTTCGACAGCCCTTTGGTGCAGAGTATGGATCTGAAAAAGAGTCAACAGGGGAGCATTGGTGTTAAAGATACCGCGTACGATGGCTGCCTCTTTCTGGGAGAAGTCGTCCGCCTTGGGATCATGAGGATAATGTTCCATGAAACTCTGGACGATCTGGCGCATATCGTTGGTGTGGCTTGATCGCTGGATGCAGAGTCAGCAATCCGCATACAAGGACAAGGTGGTGGCGAGCTTACGGGGTCTATAATCAAGCTGATACCAGCAATCATGGCAGCGTTCTAGAGCAGTAGATGATCAGCTCAGGAAGCAGTGTGTTCTCGCTGATACTCACAAATTCTCGGAAGGAGCTTCCCAGCAGAGTCTCAAAGAAGTCAGGGCAGTCAATCTTGAAAGCTTGTCGCTGTGTGGTATTTAGTGGTCGGTCATAGCAGATGTAGAGGAGAAGCAGCATACAATTTTATAATCGGTGATAGCGGCTTCGAAGCAAGCGTTTCTAGACAACACATATCGAGAGCTCCGTAATCGTCGCAGTAACCAAGGGCGCTGTCGTACTGTCAGTATAGCATTCCTTGTCATAATTACAATACTCACGTGGAGTATGATTGTGAAGTGTAGGATCTCGGTTTGGATATAATAACGGTGGATAGGTAAGAACCACAGCTCTGGAAGACGAACGGTCAATACGGAAAGCAGGTCGAATGTGGTCACTACTCACTGTCGTCCCACGATTTGTCTGGGTTGTGCATGGCAAAGGAAGGTGGCATGTTTGCCACAAGCTCCTTTAGCTCAGCATCGATAGCCTCTACATCTTTGTAGCCCGTTTGCCCTTGGAGGTGTTGGAATTGCTTGGTGATCTTGGCAACAATCTTACCCAAACCGCGACGGAGAATCAGGTACGTGCTGTAAGTCGGTTCTGACCACGGTTTGGGCTTGATCGCCTTGTTCTCCAATATGTCGGGCAGATCAGTATTCGAAGGCGGCCTAAATCTGGTCAGCGTCGTTCAGCGAAAGCAGAGTGTATATTACAGAGTGTCCACCGACTCCTCATCGATGGATGTCGGTCTTCCCAGCAGACAAGAGTAGGTGGCGTCCGCATGGACCAGGTAAGACCAAAGTCTGCGCCTGTACTCGGTGACATAGGGGTCAAGACCAAGTCTTTTGCCATCGCGATGCAGACCGATTGCCTGGCCAGTAGTCAACGCCGAGCGGAACTCGGACCATCCTTCAGCCAATCGTCGTTCGTGCATGAGCACGAGGTAAAGACCGGTCTATTCTCATCTTCAGCATATGCGCAATATAGGTCCGACGAGACTTACACATATCCGAGTCTCGACCAGCTGGATATTCTCAGCCTTCACAGCGGACGCAATGATGACAGCTGATTTGGAGCTCCAGTACATCCTCAGACTCATAGACCTTTTCTTCTCCTCCGATTCTATCAGGGCATCGGGGGCGATTCGCATAGAGATGGAAAGTACAATGAAGACCAGAGGAAGAGCGAGGACAGCAGAGGGGCTTGTGTCGTCGTTGTAGACCGATTCCAAAGCTACCATTTGGCGTAAGCAACAGATTTGCCAGGCTCGGAGCAATAATTGATACCTTTACGGAACGCGTGATCATCGATAGGATATCGTACAAAATTGAATTTTTGGAAGAACCAGTCGACAAGGGCATCGGCAAAGTCTTTGGCCGGCAGGTCCTTCATCAGGTCAGAGACCTTCGACATTGATCAGTACACGGTCAAGTTAGAGAATTTCATAAACTGACCTTCTCAGGACTAACACCACAGTCGCCAAAGAGCTTTTGGAGTTGTTCTCCCGGTGTTCCGTGATAGTCCAGCCCTCTGTATACCGGTTGAGAGGAGTGCATCATCTCGAAGGCGGTCAGCTTATATATACACGCGGCCCTCGACGTCACTCACAGACTGGGGTAAAGGATTCCTGCTGGAAGTGGCCCTGTCAAGGCCACCCACGCCCCCGTCCTCGCCCTCACTGTTTGCTCCCCACTCCGCAGAGTGCTCGTCTCTTCGGGACCTGACAGACGACGCGGTTGCAGGTCGCTCGATATCACCGCCTCTTGTTTCGGGCCGTGGACTCCCCTCAACATCTTCGTCTTGCTCATCTTCTTCGTCGTCGAATTCAGCGCCGAGGACTGGTGGGGAATCGGCAGGTGGATGATCTTGGGGACCAAAGTCAGCATAGGCTTTACTTGAAACTTCGGATTACTCACTTATTCTCCAGTCACTGTACGCCTTTGTGTCGTTGACCTCTGGTACCCTATTGACCATGGCATTGACGAGCGCCTCTAGTCTACCGACTCTAACACTGATCGTGGGGAGCATCGACGGCTTCATCTTGTCGGGCACGATAGCTCTGCCTTCTTCGGTTTTCACCTTGGGCCCGTCCTTGTCCTTCTTGCTACCGCCGGCTTTGTTGCCCTTTGATGGAGAGTCTGCTCTGCTGTATGGGACACACAGCTCTGGGACCCGTCTGGCGACGCAATGTTGGCATGGAGTCTCCCGATTGCACTTTTGTTTTCTTTTGGCACACTCGGCGCAAGACAAGGCCACTCTTCTCTTCTTTTTCTTCTGGGGCTGGTCGTCACCTTCGCCGTCATGGTTTGCCGGGTTTTGATGCTTTGATGAACTTTTCCTTGCCGTAGACGCTGGCGATTGGCCGTGAAAATCGACGATGCTTTCTCTATGCGAGATGTGCAAACCATGCCCCGGGGATGGGTCTTCATGCCCTGGAAGGTAGGAGAAGGACCCATTCGAGGACATTGGGGTAGCAAGAGGAGGTCTATGTCCACCCGCGGAATCCCTGTAGGTAGGCGCCCCAAAGGAGCCACTTCCCCGAGCATGGCTCAAGGCGAATGAACCTGGCGACGGAGCATCCCACGGGGTCGGAGGTGCCGATCTGTGGTGTGTATCTACACCTGGATGAGACAAGGGTGGAAGTCTGGTATACGAGCTGTCTCTCGGAGATTGAGCCCAACTACTTCGAGCTCTGGATCCAGGACGATCACTCGCCCATCCCTGTGGATCGGTATGGCCACCCGCCGGAGAGTGGGCGGGGGCATCCCGGTATCCAGGAGAAGCAAGGAAGTGACTCATAGGAGAGTTGGCTGAGGGAATAGGAGGGGGGAGGTGGTGATGGAAGCCACTGTAAGGGGGGCGAGGAACGCCGCCCGCAGTGGATGGAACATGGGGAGGAGGTGGGAGGGGCTGTCGATGATCGTCGTCGTCGTCTCTTCCGTGTTGCGGATGCATGGTGGCCTTTGTTGACGGATGCGCGGGTGGATGTGATGTTGAGGGATGGTGAGGAAGTTGAGATGGCGAAGCGGAGAGGATGATCCGCGAGGAGAGGATTGCCGCATCAGCCACTGCACTAGTCCTGACATACGTATGGCAACGTGACCCACCTCGAATGTCCAAGCCGTGTTGCAGTCGCCCTCGTTATTGCAGAGATGCAAGATGAGACAAAGTTGCAGTATCTACCGATGTACGAACGAAAACACGAGATGCGTGACTCAATGCAGCAATCTAACTATTAAGGCCCGCCTCCCGAAGCTCCCCAGCTTGTTAACCCATCCCTGCAGGTGTCAGTCACCTTTCGCCTGTGTACCGACTTGGATCATTTGTAGCTTCTTTGTCTGCGATCTTTCTCTCACATCGCCAGGGTATACGGTCCTACCTACGGCCTATGGAATGCACTCGTATATCTCTCAGCTATACACAGACATCGGGTTCAACCGCATTTCACTACGACGCTCGCCAGACAGCCTCAATATCGTCGAGCAAGAGTGTGGGCACGTATATTATGCCGCACTCTCTATCTGATCTATGTATAATTGTACGTACCCCAACTCCCAAGTCGTGCTCAGTGTCAAAACGATTACTTTAGTACGCCGTGTGCCTGATAATTGCCAAAAGGATCTACTGAGGAAATTATCGCGCTCCGCGTCTCGGCTCTAACGAGGGGTCCTGCGATTGCGACAGGGTATATTTGGTTACATACGGGGCATACGGAGAACGGAGAACGGAGAATGGTTCAGCTGACAGCTGGCAGAGATCAGATCCCTTTTCCCGGCTAGTCCTATGTACGACAGACAATTGCTTCCCCATTTCGGCTCTTGGCGCCACATGGTCCGCTTTAAAGGAAGGGGGATCTCAGAGGTTGTGTTGGCGGCGGCACAGAAGTTGCCCCTTCAAGCAGGAGGAGAGTAGCACCTGCATGCTCAAGCCATACCTGGACAGCCTGACATGCCTATGTATATCACGGCCCACGGCCACCAACTTACTGAACCCTTGCCGCTGCTGCTGCGCCACCGGCGGCCACCGTCCGCCATTTAATTATTTTGTGTGAGACATGCCGGCGTAGCTGAGCCCTGGCTCGACACAAGCCCCTCGTCCGGCGTACCTTGCCTCGAGCCAGGACGAAGCCCGACCTGAGCTTTGAACTTTGCGTATGCGGAGCTCAATCTCCTCCTGGGCCGGGCCATTTGGGTATCTTGGGTTCGTTCTCAACCAGTTCTCAACGTAGAGTACTCGTACTGTACTAATCCAATTTGCGTTCAGGAGGAACAAAAAAGGCATCATAATTCACAGAGGTACACTTACTCCTCTTATAGCTGCTTGGTGCGCGCGCTACTTTTAGTCGGCAGACAGATGAGAACAGATCGGGGCGCACCTGTTCTCCGCTTTTCATTTTTCTCCCTTCTTCCCTGCTGTATGTCATCAGACAAGGCGGCAGACGGCAGAGGGCGGAGAAGCAGGGAGAAAACTGAGCCTGAGGTGACTGGAGTGCCATTTTTCTACTGCCTGACTCGTTGCTTTACTGTCGACTGCAGCACGCCATAAACCGCAGGCTTTGGGCCGGGTTGATACACATGGATCCGAGTATATAGGTATCTCCATCTTCCCTATGAAGTTGTTCGCTGCATTTGTCATATACTTTGGTGTCTTCGAGCCGGACATGAGCTGCCATGGCATGTGCGAGTACAAAAGTAGGTAGAGAACTGTACGAGTACTCGACTACAGTACGTATGTGGTAAGCAAATGATATACCATACTCGTAATAATCTATAATCTGCAACAGGTAGACATCAAGGCTCTCATAGGAGAGAAGTTGATTTACAGTACTCAGCTTTTCTGACCTAAGTACCAGGAAAAGGTCTATATCAAACGCCAAACTAAGTTTTGAGAGTACACGGCATACCAGGCTCGTGACCACGACATCACTGCCTCCCACTATCTACCATTACCGACCGTTTCCTCGGACATGTCTGGCCAGCCCGTGGGATCTAGCACCGGGCCAGCGGTTTTCGTCTTCTTCGGTGTTTCGCCCTCTCTGTGGCGATGTCCGGAGACAGAGCACAAGCCATGGCCAGATAAGTCGGGGTTGAGTCCGGAGCAGTCTTCGTATCTCTTGGTGGTCGGCTTGGGCGAGTGCAGTGAGCGGGGCGCGAGCGGTACGAGGTGCAGCCGAAGAAGTAGAAGGATAAGGGAAGGATAGCCAGGAGGTTCTTCAATAGGGATAAAGAAGAGGAAGCTCCTGGGTCTCCGGCATGCATCAAGTTCTACTACGGACGGAAACGGAGACGGAACGGGAAAAGGGTATCGCCGTGGCGCAGAGAGTGTGGCGTCGGTGGATGCCATGTGGCGGTCATGCTACACTCTCAGACTTGGCAGACTTTGAGGCTACAGACTTGGTCCTCGCTACAGACTTGCCGCTGGGTACTGCTGATTTGAAGCTGGGTGCGACAGTTGTCCGGAAGGAACGAGTCTCGCCTTGTCGCAGAGAAGCACCTTGTCAGCATGCGTCACACTGCACACGCTTGTACTTGGTTACAGCAACTTACATCGACAATTGCGCCGTGTAAGACATCTGAGATCAGTGTCGGTGTGGGTGAAGTCACAGGCAAACCTCCGTTTCGAGTATTGGCATTGGAAGCTAACCTTGAAATTTGTCAGCCGTGACTCGGCTGCACGAGAAACCACGAGCTTACATGAGAAGCCACATATGTATCCACTGTCACCCTTACACTGCCCTCCCCTTCCTCATCGCACGGTTGTCCCTTGTAAGAGAAGCTCTTGAACATGCTGGAGCCTGTCATGTGTGAGACGGACAGCTTGTCCGCACCCTCAGTAGCTGTTTCGACAATGGCTTGGAGACAGCGTCTATAGTTTAAAGGACCGAGAACGGATATCAAAGCCAGTGCGGGTAGCGTTTGAAGTGTTGTACGGGAGGTGCCCCCTATGGCACATTGACAATCGTCAGCGTCTGTCCTTGTTAACAGTGTGAAACGGGGACATGCCTAGAGAGGGTGTGCTCGCGCAGAGCTGGACGAGAAGAGCGCACCCGACTATCACCGAGGGTAATCTGAAACACGATGTGAGCTTGGCACAGCAGTGATTATCACATAAACAAGCGTGGCGAGACTTGCAGGCTTCCAGACACCATCCTTCCCAATCCATGATACTGACCAAATCCCTTCCGTTGTTCCACGATTAAGGCAGCTACTAGATTGTTATGGTAACAAGGATCGATAAGCAATATAGTTCGATGACCTGCCACTGATCTCACTCACGCGCTGCCCAGATACAGATGTTGCCTCCAGCCAAAAGAGCGACCCAGCCTCTGTACAGATCGCCTTGGATTGGGAGCCATGTTTGGAAAGAATCGAGATTGCTGATCGACAAATTGGTGATATGCCGTGAGGCATAGTTCTGAGGGCCGACGCTTTGACAGTACTCGACTTGACAAATCAGATGAGATTCTCACTCACGCCCCGGTCATGCCTACAAACGCCAACACTATCAGAATCAAATGGCTGCAGAACCAGTGCCGTCTGCTTATTCCAGCCATCTCCCGTACCCTCCAGGTGTGGTGACCTGCTGCAGCCGTACACAGGATTCTTGCGATAGCGAACGTGGCTATATTGTCTTTCATGTCGGTCACAATGATACTGGCATAGTCGGACGATCCCGTGAGGAGACGATGCGCTTGCACTGCTGTGATGCCGACGTTGGTTCTATCGCGCAGGTCAGCTAACATTCGCTCTAGATGAGTGCCGGTACCTACATGACGCCCGCCAGCCCTAGCATCACGCCCACTACCAGGGACGCTGGGTCGGACATAGCATAATGCTCGAAATACCTCTTAGCTTGAGAAAGAGAAACTCCTAGCAGGAGACCTTGAAATAAAAGACCGAGGGAGGCACACCACCACAGTCCCATCAAATGTTAGTCCTCGATGATAATCTATGCTTGTTCGAGGCCCGCTCACAAGTATATGTGCCGAGCTTGAGCCTATCGTTTGCCAGATTAAGAGGTTGAGATAGCCTTCATCTGAGCTCATGCTTGTCGGACAAGAGGTCGGTGATGTGTTGGAATCGCGATTGCTGCTGGCTTTGACAGGCGGCTTCCACGGTTGGTCCAAGTTAAACGGCCAACTTGAAGTTATCAGCCACTGTTGTACTTGATCAGAAAGGACTCACCGGGAGGATGTCAATATGACCTAGCGAAGACAAGACAGTGATATGAATAAAAGATAGAATGGCCGCCCAATGATGATTTCATGCCGCGACGAGGAGGGCAGTCCACGCCATCCAAGGCTTGTTGGGGACATGTTAGGGATTTGAGGGATGCGGGACGTGTTTCGCTGTGTACAGATGCGACTGCGGTGCTGCTCAGCATAAATTCAATACGAGTTCATACAGGTATACCCCCTGTATACGTGTATCCATGCGGTCCCTTTTTTCAATTGTACAGCCATGATGGCGGAAAACACAGGTGTTCATGTGTTGCGTTCAGCGTTGTGTATTCGTGTCTGTGCGCCGCGCCGCCTTCTTCCCCGACCCAATCAAGCCGCCTCTTTTCTCGAGCCATGAATGGCAGGTACGATACGCCATGCATTGATACTTGAAGTCCGTTTAGTCCAGTTGATATGGGTTGCCGACTAGACTGAGAGCGGCTGTCGTTGGGGCCAGCGATCAGGCAAGTCTCGGTGCGGCATTCAAGGTCTGTCAACACTTGGAGCGATCGATATTGACCTATATGCCTCGGTATCGCTATACAGTTTCTAAATTTACTTGGGTGCATGCGGATTTGGCTCTCGATAAATGGTTCTGTCGCTTGTGGAAGATCACTACCCTTGATTTTGCTGAAAAAAAAAACGATTGAGCGTCAGACACTGTACTTTGTACACCACAGTTTCTCTGGGGAGGAAAGCACGAGGACGTACCAACATAGCCAGAAGAGAGCTGACATCTTGTACACCTGTCGGTCCATCAGGCGATGTGTTGTTTAGCACAGGAGGCGCTACGTGGGAGTTTGATGATGGCACGTAAGAGCTCGGAGGTGGAGCATTCGAACTTGGGGCAGCGAAAGAGGTCGGAGGAGATGGATAACTGCTGGGGCTTTGCCCATAGGGAGATGCGGCCGGGGGAGCTTTGAACACCTGGTTCTGATACGAGAGGTTGGTCGTGGTGGACGCCGAAGACGGTGAAGGATAAGGCGGGAAGGACTGCGTGGCGGCGGTGGTATAGAAAGAAGGTGAGGGAGGATACCCTGCTGCTGCTCCCATAGCGCGGTAAGGAGGATGGGTGGGCGGGGCCAACGCGGGTTGATATCTGGAGGTGGGATTTACTGCTGTAGACACAACGGAAGGCACATTGGAAAGGTTTTGTATCAGCTTGAAAACTCAGGTTAGTTTCAATTTACGCAAGGAGGCGGAAGGGCCTACCGCCTGCACCTTGCGAGCTTTCTCCAGAGCGTCTTCAGCAACCTATGTAGAGTCAGCAGAGCCGACTAGCATCCTCACGGAATCTTACAGGAGTGGGGAGCGAACGATCCCCGGGCCCAGAGGAAGTATGAAAGCCAGATGGGAACGAAGCTAAGGACGCCATTAGAGTCGTGTTACGGGGAAAAACCACAAGAGAAGATACCTCGTCTGTCACGAATTCCCGGCGACCTCTCTCTGCTGTATTCTCGGCTCCTGGCACTCGGGTATGAGTCTCTACGCAGCGGCTCGCGGGCTGGACGATCATGAACATGAGATGTCCGTGGAATCCTTTCCGAGACACTGCATCTATTATCAGTGTCAGTCCGAGGAGCTGCGCGCCACTTACGGAGGGGGAGGGACGTTGTTGCCTACTTTGTCCCAGATATGACGAAGTTCCAATTCGACTCCCATGAACACTTGACGGTTCATATGTTGCTGCAGGAGGATTGCGCCACGGCTGTCAAAGTATTCCACAACGACCTCTCTACATATGATCGATGAGCCGCCTCTCTACAGGACGTTTCGGATACACTGACAAGGGCTTGTGTCCGCGTTCCACGTCTTTGATATCCCCGTATCTCTCAGCCATGCGCCGTACATCGCTCAAGTTGAGAGGGCGAGGAGGGTGAGCGACAATGAGTATGGATCCCTAACATCGGTCAGTCTCATCGCACGTGAAGAAAATGGCCCGTACTTGATTTTTGTCCGCACTGCAAGCTGTGGCTATCTCCTCAGGTCGAGGCAGACTGTAATGAACATCGATCTTGCGAAAGAAGGTCAGCACTTTCATGAAGATTGCAACTTCAACTCACCGGTCGCCGGTTGACTTTCATACCGTGCATTCCATCTCTGGCGCGTTCGGCAGCTCTTGAGTCAAACTGCAGATAATCAGAGATGTAGCGAAGATATAGAACTCACAAAAGTGACAAATATCATTCCGCGTTTCTTGACCATCTCGAAAAAGTTTTGAATTGGCCCGTAGGCTTCAAATTGTTCGCGGAGGTCTTCAGGGTCGGAGTCGAAATGGATCGACCTGACAAACAGAGTTCTGCAGGGTCTCTCCTGTTGAATTCTTTCTTCAATGGAGCGAGGATCGCGGTCTTGACGGCGACGCCGAACTATTGAGAGGAGATGAATCCAAAGGTGAGCCTGAGTATCGTGGAGCAGGCGAAGTAATGCGAAGCAATCGCCGAGGTAAGGACTCATAAGAAGAGTCATTCAGAGAAGCCTGAATGGCGCATTCCGGCCCTCAAATCATTGATTTGTATGCCACACCCAGAAACAAGACCTCGATCGAAGTTCAAATGTCGGGATCAAGCGCACGATAGTCTCCCACTCTCCGTCACAGGCCCCATAGGTATCCGTCCGACACCTCATCCCGTGCTTGCGAGCATACGGCACGTCTTAATCCCCGAAAAATGGCAAGCTCGGAATATAACACTCTGATAGGCTCGACTTGGGAGTTGGAGGTATATGGGAAGAACAACTGCTTACTTTCGGGCGATCTCTGACGTGGATAGAACCCTGGGGAGCTTCTGAGGTCTCTATCTCTCTCATAGTCGTATCCTCCTCTATCGTATTGTCTGTCCTTACCACCATAAGCTGACTGCTCGAAGCGACCAACAGTTTGAGGCGGTTCGCGCCCAGATGGGTAAGGTCCACTGCCCAATCCTGAGGCTTGGTACATGGGAGACCCTTTAGTGGTTCCTCAGAGGCGTTGAAGATTAGTCTTAAACAAGACAGGAGATGCTGGTTGACGGACGTCGAGACAAAGTAGGTGTGAAGTTTCGGTAGTCGAGTAGCAGGAACGGGATCCCGTCTGTGTCCTGCTATAGGTATATGGAGACTGGAAGATTGGGGGTATATTGCTGCGGATCGACTAGCAGTGAGCTGCTCGTGGGTAGCTGTTTTGGGTATCACCCCGAGAACGAAAAGCTGGCGAGAAGGTGGAAAGTCCACGACACCTGCCTGTCACCTGCATACAAATAGTCGCGCGCCTGAAGTGAGCCGACCTCGATAGTTAAATAAAGTGTAACAATCAGAGTGGAGGCCATAAATAAGCGGAACCAATCATTCCCCCGGTGCAGCCCCGGTGGCAACTCATCATCGTCATATAGGGCGGAGACAAAGCGACCTGGCGTGTCTTCTCTATCTCCTCTGTCACCTCGTCTCTGGTAAAGCGAAACTATCAACAACAGGTCACACTCTACTGCCGTGGATAACCTCATCTCGAAGCCCGAAATCACGCACATCTCAAGTCTCCATGTCGAGGACAACATCTTTCAAACTCGTTCTGCTCGGTAGGTACATGAGGCCATTGCCCCCACCCTGCTGTCAGCGATGGCCGGTTGCTTACAGCTGCATGACAGGAGAGTCTGCTGTGGGAAAGAGCAGCTTAGTGCTCAGATTCGTATGTAGAGTTCTGGGAAGGCTACATGGTAATTGATCTAATTATCATTGCTTCACAGGTGCGGGATGAGTTCTCTGATTTCAGGTATGTGGAAACCTCTGCATACGACAACCTCTTCGCTAACATATAATCCAGGGAATCCACTATTGGTAAGGCCATTCTAAACACATGCGAGCTATAGCCCTGACGGCGTCCTTTGTTCGGCTCTCTCGCAGGAGGTGAGTTCACTTGTCAACCCTGTTGCAACGTATGATACTGATGAGAGACATGCCTAGCTGCATTTCTTACGCAGTCTGTCAAACTGGATGAGAATTCAACCATTAAATTTGAGATCTGGGACACGGCTGGCCAAGAGCGTGAGTGGAATGGTCGTTTGAGGACTCCCGTTGATATGATCACTCTGTCTTTCAGGATACAAGTCTTTGGCTCCCATCTACTTCAGAAATTCGAACGCCGCTGTGATTGTCTACGATATTACACAAGTAGGTTGTCCATCCACCTCCTGAGCGATCGTCATGCTGACCGCGTCTGGCCTTGTAGCCGCCCGAGGTACGTTGCCGTGTCTGATCAAGCCTACACAAGAGTACTCACTTAATTTGCAGACTTCCTTCGAGAAAGCGAAGCAATGGGTCAAAGAATTGAAGCGCAGCGCAGACCCATCCATCGTGATCATGCTGGTTGGAAACAAGATTGATATGGCATCTCAGCGAAAGACTCCCCGTGAGCTCGGACAACAGTTTGCGGACGAGGAAGGATTGCTGTTCACGGAGGCCAGCGCAAAAACTGGAGAAGAAGTGTGAGTCATCAAATCCCTTCCTATTATGAGACAAAGACCAGAATTGACAGGCCTTGAAGAGAAGAGTTGTTCCATGCAATTGGTCAGTCGCGGTGGTAACGTATCCCAGCTTTTCACTAATTTATCTTACTGCAATATAGCCAAGAAGCTTCCTCTCGCACCTCCACAACAGAGAAGTCAGAGTTCGAGCAAGGGTGTCAACGTGTCCGGACAAGAAGCTACGCCCCAGGCTTGCACTTGTTAGGTCATATGCCTTGTACGCCTGACATCATCACATAGATTCGTGTCTTCATGCGCTTGATTGGGATTTTACCAGTTGCGGTACAGTAATGTTAGTGTTGCTATGTATCATATAGATGTAGGCCAAGTGAATCGTTGGTCGATGAGACCGGCAAGTCCGGATTATTCAGGGGTGCGGACACCGCCGTTTAAATTTCGAGTTTGTCGACGATATTCTCTTCGTCGCACAATCGTCGCATCAAATCACATCGCATTGGATTGCCGTCTTTCTGCTTTACTCGTCAACCATCAACAATACCGCAATACCCGCGATCAGTCATGTCCGACACACCTCCCAAACGACGTGCTGCTGAAGCAGCGTCTTCCGTCCCTCCGGCCAAGACTTCGGCAATGTCAGCTACGGCACCCCCCTTCAATCCTACTCGCCCTTTGTCTGGTAAATCCAAGGCATCATTCCACAACATCGCCCAGGAGATGAAGCCACGTGTACAGACGGGCAGTGAGGAGAACGCCATGGAGGTCGACGGCGACAGAGAAGATTCTGCTCCGAGGGTCACGAAACCTTTGCCTGCAGGGAAGAGGAGCGTACCCAGAGCCGATTTTGTACCTCAACAGGCTTCAGTGCCCAAGTCAAATGAGGATAAGGAGAACACAAGGAGGTTGATTGTTGTCCTGTCTCAAGTACGTTTCGTCATATGCTTGCCACTATTGAACCAGGCATATACTCACAGCAGAGTATGATCACTGACTTCTCTTTCTGACAGGCTTGTTTGGAGGCCTACAAAATATCTTCAGGCTCCGGAGGCAAGAATGCTTCCGGTAAAGAGGCCAAATATGCTCTATTGAACTGTGATGATCATCAAGGTATCCTGGCGAAAACCGGACGGGATATTGCAGATGCGCGACCGGATATCACCCATCAAGTAAGTTTATCCATCACAGTATGCATTCTTTCATTGCTGATCGCTAACCGCTTCTAGTGTCTCCTTACTCTCCTTGATTCTCCCTTGAACAAAGCGGGATTACTCCAGGTGTATATCCATACAGCGAAAGGTGTTCTGATCGAGGTGAACCCCAGTGTGAGAATACCGCGAACGTTCAAGCGTTTCTCTGGCTTGATGGGTGAGTCTATCTGTACCCACCCACTATCTGAACTTCTCTGATCTGGCACACAGTGCAATTGTTACACAAACTGTCCATCAGGGGTGTGAATGGTAGTGAGAAGCTCCTGAGAGTCATCAAGAACCCTATCACGGATCATCTTCCCACGAACACTATCAAGCTCAGTGAGTCAAGTCGCCTAGAAGTGATACCATGGCACTGATCAAGTCTTCCCCTAGCCCTGTCAGCGGATGCGCCTACCATTCGATTGTCGAAATTCCTGCCTACTCTTCCTGAGACTCACTCCGTCTGTGTCTTTGTTGGTGCTATGGCTAGAGGGTTCGTATCTCATCTATTTTCATGCGATTCCAAGGCTTATATCACACTTCACAGCGACGATAACTTTGGAGACCAGTTTGTGGACCAGAAAATATCTATCAGTGATTACAGTCTTTCAGCTTCCGTGGCCTGTGGAAAGTTCTGCTGTGCTATGGTTGGTGGTTCCCATTCTCTGCCGACGTGCACGATAGCTAACAAGCTACACAGGAAGAGATCTGGGACATCGTCTGAACAGTGTAGTAGGGACTCAGATATAAGATAGCCTCAACGCAGTCTTTGGGTGAAGTAGAAAAAAAAACTGAAAGCGAGTAGTACGATCCTCTCGGCATATCACTCATCTGTATGCGTCTTGTTTGTATATTTTAATGCATTGGGGTTGTGACTGCATCATCTTGCATCTTCATGGCGATGGTCCAATGCTCTCGCTCTCACTCGTAAAGTCGTAATGGATGTTTATGCAGATAAGCAGGGCGGTATCGATCAGCGGCGACAGCCGAACATGCAGCCCCGCCGGCGTCGTTCTCTTCTGAAAGAGCCAGATATAACACTCCGATATCTACAGCGGAGTGTACTCTCCAGCTCAGTCCTCCTCACACTCGAGCATCGCCCCCCTCTCTCTCAACCCTAGAACTGTCATACTCAGACGCCCACAGCTTTGCACCAATTCTACCGAATTCTACCATCAGCAACCTCCATTGCAGCTGTCGCTGGCCTGCGCTAGCAATAACGCCGTTCAAGATATGGGCGTCCGGGGCCTGCAGTCTTTCGTAAAGGAGAATCGAGGGTCGCTTTGCCGCTCTGTCATATTGCCGGAGAAAGATGCGCGTGGGACTGAAAAAGGGGCGGTCCCTATCATAGTCGATGCTTGGGGGTAAGTGCTGCGCTATTGGTCTCGGTGCTATGCCTAACGATCCTCTCAGTGTGATTTTCAAGCTCTACCTCGATAGCTTACCCTGGGTATCAGGGGGGGAATATCTGCGGTTCTATCAGCTCGCTAAAAGACTGGTCACTTCATGGCGAAAAGTCAATTTGGAGCCGACATTCGTCTTTGATGGTAAGTTCTAGACACCATTGGGGTGGGCAAACGCTGACTCAACACAGGTGCAGCACCAGTAGAAAAGCATGCCACTACGCTCAAAAGAATGACTGAGAGCCTTGTCGCCCCGAAGTTGTTTTTCACTACTTCTGCCAAATCTCGCTCTGGTCCGTCTTTCGGCAAAGACTCTACAGGCAAGGTTGTTCTCCCTGGTTTTGCTTCTCATGTCTTCCTCTTTGCCCTCCATCGCCTTGGAGTAGCAACCCACCATGTACCCTACGGTGAAGCGGACGGTGTCTGCGTGAAAATGGCCGAGGCGGTCAATGGATATGTGCTTGGGCAGGACTCCGACTTTCTGATTCTCGTTGGGAAGTCTGAGAAGATGATAGGCTATGCGCCCCTGGATATGATGTCTTGGATTGAGGGGGAAGCTTCCGAGAAAGACGGAGACTCAGACTCCGACTGTACCCCGCCTTCTTCTGCCTTTCAAGAAGTCAATGGGCGCAGGAAGAAAAGTTACTATCCCAGACACTCCTCTCTTCTTCCACCGCCTTCACAAAATCACCCGACCCTCATCCTCACCGTGATCGCTCCTAGCTCTTTGCGGCAACGGCTGCGACTTTCGGCCAACTATATGGCTCTCTTTGCTTCCCTAATCGGTAACGACTATACGCCACCAGATGCCCTAAAGCGGTTCTATGAGCCCAGTCTCAACCCGTCCAAACGTATCGAGAAAGCTGCCTGGATTCTGCGTGAACAGCTGCAGGTTCTGTCTGCTAGCAAAGGCAAAAGCGTCAATCCAGGCGACTTTGTTGTCGAGCTCGTCCGACGAGTTGTCAAGAAGCTCTGTATCTGGCAATACGACACTGAGTCTGACCTGATGGGAGCTGTGAATGGAATAATCGAGGCTGCTCTGCAATATTCTATCCCACACTTCTCACAATGCTGTACGAGCTATCCTTTCTGCGGAGAGTTGGGACAGCTTGGCTGTCAAACACCCCTCAGTCGCCCCAGCATCCCTGCTTTATCCGACAATCACATCCCGAACAAGGAGACGACACAACAACAGAAGGCGCTCGAGGCATATGCCGCAACCCAGAGGAAAGGATGCCTCACATTCATCACCCATGCGTGGCTCTACCCTGACCGTATCTATTTGAGAAGCGGCATGGAGGACCCTTCGATTCCTAGCTCTCGAGGTTTGGAGACTAGTAGGGAAGTGAGACGAACAGCGTACGCTATCGCAGATGAAGGACTGGGGGGTTTCAAGTTTACCGCTGAGCCGGAGGATGATCGGAGGGCGTGGTCTCAAGAGCAAGCCGAAGACAGGAGAGATTTGTTTACCGAGGACGCGGCATCCAAGAAAGATGCTCAGGAATCACAAGACCATCCAGCGTCAGAGCATGGCGAGCATGATCGGACTGAAGCTCCATCTCATTCAGATGATCGAGTACGCATTATGGTCGAATATGTGCGGCAAGGCTCCGCTGGACGTGTCATCCCCTATGATCTCCGTCTCCCCCCCAAGGAGTCCTCCGAAAGCACTGCCCCTTCGTGTGTACAGCCTCTACCTGATCGTCTCAGGGCCTACCTTAGGCCGATGTGTTCGGACACCGCTGCCATTCGCGAGCTTCCTTCATCCTTACAACCCCTGATTGCCATTGTTCGGTATTGCGCTGTCGAGATGGCTGCAGTCAACAGCAGGGGGGAGTCTCCTCGGGCGATTGACCTTCGCTGGAGAAAGAGCGAAATATTGGCTGTCCTGAAATCCGGGATCGGTACATTCGGACAATGGCGGAGGGAATTGGACTACGAAGAGCTGTCTGTCAAGAGAAAATCCAAACCAGTGTCGAGCGAGGATGAGGTCAAAGAATGGCCCGTCCTTGAAAACCGCAACGCCCAGATCGTTGGTCAACTGAGCACTGCCATGCAGAACTCATTATCGTTGGCGGAATCGCTTCTGCTTCTATCCACCCAAACCCCGTACTTCACTCCTTTACAAATGGAGTCTCTGCCCCAGCCTCTCACTGGCGACCCTATCGGCGATTTCGGTCCAACCCACCTCTCCCCTTTCATATTTTTCAGCGGCGTCAACCTCCACACTGTATTGATGGGGCATCAACCGCCACCTCATTTGAAATGGAAGTGGACAGAAGAGGAAGACCGTATATTGGAGACCTGCTGGACAGCTCTACTTGCCGATCTCCAGGACGGCGTCATCCTGGGAGTGCAACAGGAGGTTGACGATACAGAAGGTGATGAGTATCATGGCAAAAATAAGAATAAGCGAGCCAAGAGGGACAGAAAGAAGAAGGCTGGCATGCAGAAGGCAAACGAGGGTACTGGGACAAGACTGGGAGAAAGACTGGGAGGAATGTTCGATCTTTTGGGCGATGATGCGGCCATGATATAGGTCAGGAGCCTCTTTTGCCAGTCATTATTCACTTTGCATTCTATTTTCAAGGTAAGCTCGCTTTTTATTGCCAACATCGTTCCTCTGCCATTCAATTAACCATGCCACTGTAGCTACCTCGGGTCACACCAGTAGGGTGCTTCACCCACCGACGATCATATGTACATACTGTACAATGCTTCCCTATCCGTTTCAGCATGTGTTCGGATCCCCTTCCCTGTAACTACAATGCATGAGTAAATTGCGGACCCCCAGCCCGCTGTCATGCCCCTTCATGTCCTTATGGGTGATGAACGCATCAGTACATAAGAATACGAATGATGCTGTACATACGGGTATCACAGGCAGTCCATCATATCATTGGCTAGGGATCTGGTCAGGCATGTCAGGAGGAGGGCAATAGACTTGGAGGGGCACATTGGGATAAGCGTTCATTGACAGGTCCAAAGTATTCATGGCTGCATATACTACTCGCAGCAAGCGACAGCGGTAATGGGCGGTGGTGCGTTTTGCTCTGCTCATGGCGCCCGCTGGCCGAAGACATCAGATCTGTGGAGAGAGATCTCGCGTGGCCAGCTCGCTTGAAGCCTGAGACATACTTTCCTGATGCCATGGGATGCATGGCCATGACTACACTCGGCAGTGGGAGCATGGGATTATATGCACGGGTCACTAGCTGTTTAAAAGAGCAGGAGCACTGCAGCAGAGGCGAGAAAGAGGGTGCAAAAGTGTACATCATCAGGGTGTCACCCGGGAAGCCGACGAGTTTAAACCGCTTCAGAGGTTACACACATAATAATTCTCCTAAGTATACGTATACACTATTTGTCTCGGCTTCTTTCTTGTTCCTCATCTATCAACGCAACACTTCGCTCGCCAGCCTACTGCCCTCCGGACCATCCTTCTGTCGGCTCTCAATCATCGTCGGGCGCCGCTGATTTGCCATCTCCATGCAGCAGCCCAACCAACATCATGGCTGGCAAGGCCACCAACCTGGCGGCCGCCCCCTGGATTCCACAGGATGGCCCTCAAATGACTTGTCTCGTCAGAATGACTGGCCCTCGCAGATGGCTCATATACCAGCTAGGAATCCAAGCGAAGGAGGTACCAAGAGGAAGGACGTGATGGGCTCGTCGGACCTCGAGATAGCGGCTACCGGGGCAGGTGCCGTCGGCGCTTCTTCAAGCACGATGCCTCACCAGCAAGGTATTGCATACATCTCGCAAGACGTACGGAATGAAGCTGATGTAGGAGGATACTACTTTGAAAGTGGGGCAGACTCGTATAGGTAAGCTGTCTACGAGATGAATAACGGCCCACTCTGACAGATCTACACAGCGAGAACAGAGGGCATTCTGGAACGGAGGGGGCCTCTTCCTCTGGCCTGTGTGAGCATGCGATGATTGCTATATTATGTTTGCTTACTTGGTCTCCCTCAACAGATACGGGCCACCTTCCGAAAGCACAGCCGACCGAACCATCATTGAGAAGAGGAATGTACGTAAAGAAAGTGTGATGCCTTGTCCAGACACTGATCGCTCTGTGTCACAAGGGCGTGCAAGTTCTGTCGCCGGCGCAAACTTGTAAGATTCACATCTGCTTAGATTGACCCAGCTAAAGTCATACAATGTAGCGATGCTCTGGCGAACGGCCGATTTGTTCCAGCTGCGTCAAATACAAACAGGTCTGTGAGTATCAGAGGCCGCCCAAGATTCCCAGGTCTCAGCCCGCGGAGAGCAGCACATGTAAGTTGCTCAGCAGGAATGTTCATCATTCGCCATCTGATGCCAGACCAATAGCAACCGGACTGTCAGACTTTGTCCACCAACCTGTCATCCCCTGTTTCCAGTCGGCCTTCAGTTCGCAACCTTTTGCCAATACCGAAAATGTGCCCTCGGCTACTCCTTTCCATCAGGATTTGCCGGGCCCATCCAGCTGCGCTCCGGCTTCAAACATCTACCAGCCTGATTATACGGTGACCCATCGACCATTCGACATCAGCATTATCAACATGCCCCCTAGCACTCTTCCATTCAGCCCCCCCGATCATTCCAGCATTGGTTCCACATCTGTCTTTGGTGCACCTGTGGACCCTACGTCAGACATTCACTTCCAGCAGTTCCCCCAATATGCAGCAGAGCCCTCCTCGTATTCCGCCACGAGGTTGAGTTCTTCGTCTCCATCGTCCTTCCTTCCACAGGGGCCGCAAGGACACAGCATCAATACTGTCCTTTCCGATGACTTTCCGTCTCCGACCGCCCCACGAAATAGCTACAGTGGGGCCAGGCCGTCATTACCAATGTCTCAGCCGGCGATACCAAGCAATTCCTGTGCTCCCGCGATGCCTGCTCCCACGCCAGACTTTTCATTTGTTGCCGACAATGCATTCACCGCAATGCCCCTGGTAGCGACTCAGCCATACAGAAGTAATACTGACTTTTCTAGTTTCACTCATTCCTCGGCTTCACCTAGGGTTACGAATATCCCTTCGTCAACGCCTTCTTCAACCACGTTGAACGCCGCTGTCCCGCCAGTCGGCGATGCCCCTGCCGAATATCCAGCAGGTGCCAGCATGCGTTTTGTCTCGGACGAGTCTGATCCTGTCGATAATATCACGGAGCGCCTGGGAGAGTTCTTATTCAGTCACAATGAGAGCCCTGTAACTACTGGAGACAACACAGCAGCCGGATCTCCCGAAGATCGGGACGCGCAAAAGAGAAGAAGGCTTTCCAAAGCGAAAGCTGGCCAAGGATGGGCTGGTAGTGGTCCGCAGAAGACATCGCTTCTACACAACAGGGTAGAGTCGGACGGTCTGCAAGACGAGCACAGGAATATGTTGTAAGTTTAATTCTGAGATTCGTGGTCGCCATGGCTAACCGTAAACAAGATTGGATTGCTTTTTGGAGCACGTCCGATTGTTCTTTGAAATGAGTATTCCTCGTTTCAGATATCGCATGACCTTCTTGGACAAACGAAGGCCCCATCTGACCCTATTGAATGCGATGGTAAGGTGCTACCGCCTGGCTGCAGTTTGAAATCAATCTTATATGCTCTTAGTATCTGTGGGCTTCTCGGCTATCGCAGGCGCCCAACCCAGTGGCACTCGAGCAGCATTTTTATGCCGAGGCTCTTCGCCACTTGGACGCGGCGGCGGCGAGTAACGATAGATTGGTAGACGCCATACGAGCGGCGATGCTCCTCAGTGCCTACACCTATACGAATGGGAGACACCACGAGGCAAGTGCTGCCTATCGTTGACACACACAATGTTTATGCTGATGAATCTGATCAGGGTTGGCTGGTCGCGGGAATTGCTGTCCGACTGGTGCTTTCAAGCGGCTTACATCGTATCCCGTCGCTCAGTCTGCAAGCAATTCCTAAAGATACGCTTTTTCTCCGGAACCGAGTCTTTCTTCTACATCCCCCAGAAGATGCAGTCGAATTAGCAGAAAGAGTCCACGCCTTGTAAGGATCTCTTGGACTTTCTACTCGCTCCTCCCAGTGCTGATCTATGCGAAGCTGGTGTGTGTATTCAATAGAAAGGTGTGGTGCATTAGCCACTGGATTCCCTTCGTCCCTCAATGATGGCGACATCATCACCCCATTCGGTCGACCTATAGACGAAATAGCATCTGTGAGCCCCTCGCTCGCAAGTACACTTACTCAGGCTGACACAGAAACAGCAAACGGTCACCTCTGCAGATGATACCTCCGTCCGTGATTTATACCGAGGTCACATACCGGCACATCCCCAGGGAGATAGCCCCTAGTCAGTTCATTTTGCAGTCATATTCGATCCCGGGCTGACAGTCGTCTCAGCGTGAGATGGGTAAAAGCTGTTACGGTCTTGGAACGTACATCGAAGCTCGCGTTCCTTGATCCCGATGATGACTCTGAGTACTCCCGGGTGTGGACAGAGTATGCCAACCTCTCGTCTTCGCCAAGCTCTGCCCCACCAGCTTCACTCCCTCCATCATGGCTCAATCAACCCAAATACAGAAACCCGAAAGATTACAACGAGTGTTCCTTTGCGCTCGAACAGCTCCGCAGAGAGCTCGGAGTGGATGGGATATTCCCTGTGGAGAGAAAGAACAGAGCAAATAATGAAGGGATTGAACTCGTTTTCGGAAGCAAGATAGTTTTATTGGTGGGTGTATTCAAGAGGATCAATTTTGCTATGCTGACGATGATCTAGCATCATCATTTTGCATCCATAGAGATGCTGCTGCACGATATAAATTCCATCGATGCCGACAACTCTGTGGCTGTCAGTGCTGCTCAACGAAGTGTCGCTCTGTTCAGACACCTTCCCGAGATAGTACGTCTGTTCATCTGCGACGTCAAACTATATGCCAACTCTGAATTGAAAAGTCCTTCTTTGAGGTCGACGCTGAAATTGTGCTGGTGTGGTGTATGACTGCCAAACTACTGATCAAGGAGCTCGACCGATTCGCCCGTCAGGGTGATCCCATATGTGGGTCCATGGCGTACCTCCGGACATACACTAACAGAAACTATAGCTTGTCAAAGTCTGGGTGACGATGTCGACTGTATCATCAACGAGCTCTATCGAGTCGGGTATGTAATGCACATGTCGTAAGTTTCCATGATCTCATGATGCTTGAGAAACTGAGACCCGCTTAGGCGAACCCAAGGCAAAGCGATGGAAGACCTCAAAAAGGCCGCCTTAGCAAACCTCAAACAGGTGTAACATCATCAGCACCCTAATACCTGGACATTAACATCATCGCATAGTATGGTCTGTATGGTCTGTTGACTTCGCGCCCTACGTATGACATGTACGAGTCCAGTGTCCTGTGTACATCGATGTGTGGCGCCAATACAACATACATACTTTGCCTATTGCCGTCAGTAATCAGCTTACCCTGAGCACACATCGTTATAGGCCTCGCTCCAGCCTGTAGCGCCAACTACCGCCAGCACCAAAATATGACCAAGCATTACACTACCCCCGATGTAGAACCATTTCCAGCCCCACCGCTTGATCACTGCTGCTTCAACCACAAACGTCGACACAGTACTCAGACAGCCACAAAACCCCTGCTGTATGGCATGCAGACCATTGCACCGTATCGCACCGTGATCTGTTCCCCCAGGTCTTCTCTGTGCAGCGAATGCGCTTGCTACTAGTAGAGTGGCTATCACATTCGCCAGGAATGTCCCAATCGGGAATTTGTTGACAAAGGGGCGCCGACTGTTGAGCTTCGAGAGGGCAAATCGAAGCATTGCACCTGGTGGAGAGAGGAGTAAAGGAAAGGTGACATCGTGTCGCCAGCTGTGAGGAGCAAGAAAGTAGAGAAGTAGGGCAACGAGGTATGCCAGGGCGGCTGTGAGAATTGTGAAGGAATCCCTGAGAGGGGTCCTGGCAGCAGTCGACGGGGAGGAAGGGAACGTCGCCGCCGACGACGACATGCTTCTTTTTTCTGTTGTATGATAGACAGAGGTAATCGACTTTCTGGATAAATGGGGCAGGGTACGACCGAGGTGCTCGCCAAATTTGAGCGATGCCATGGCAATAGCAAAAGTTGAGAGAGAGTATGCGACCCCGTCTACAGTCTGTGGAGCCATGATCAGTCATCCACGCTCGGTGTCGATTTGGAAAGAACTCACATCATGTAAGCCTTTGCGATCGTAATTCCCAAAGTTACTGAAAGCGAGATAGCCCTCCAACATCCAGGAAGAGAAGGTCGTTATTGATCCAGCAATGCCTGTCGTAAGGAATGTGAATAGAGGCGGATAACTGTAGGCCAGTCAGTCTTGGTCTATTTCACAGAGATTACTGACAGTGCAGATATGTCGTTTTTCAATCCGAGAGAAAGTCCCATGATACCACTCCCCACGCCTTGTGACCAGGCCAAAGGGTATATGAGAGCACCATCATCTGCCTCGGTTTAGAAAATGCTTTTATACGAGCGCAAATGGTGCTTTTACACTCACATTTACCCAAAGCGCTCAGCCCTAGTCTGACTAGACACCCCAGCATACTTGCCAGCACTAATCCTCCATAATGCGCCCCTAGACGCAAATGCGTGACTTCTTCCGCAGGCGGCGGCGCGTTCCCTTCTGGAGCAGGAGAGGGCGGGGACGGTGGTCCTCCGAGGTGCTCGGGGTCCGCTGACAATGATGAGCGCGAGCGGGACCGTCCCATCGGCGCTCGTGGTGCTTCTGGGGAGACGGGGGACGACGAGGACGCCATTAAACGGCAAGCCGTAAAGAAGTTGACAGGGCGGGCTGGGGATTGTCTAGTTCCATAGATTGTCTTTGTCGGCCATCTGATCCCAAGGAAGCAGCGAAATGATGAGAGAGTAGATGTCGGAATGGATGGAGATGGCGGGTAGAGATGATGGTATAGATGTTGATCGCAAAATACATACCGCGGCTGATAAGATTGCTACATGCGCCGCAGGTCGTGCCTCGCCTAATGACGACGGCTTCAATCCCGTCCCGACCTTCAGCTGGTCCATGGCTCGACAAAGCTCTAAACTGGCCACATATGTACTGGAGTGGTGATATACATTCCGAAGTCTACAGAGCACAGTTCTCAGTGGGCACCTTGGACTCCAAGATCCTCCAGCTCGTTCGGGCGACTCCATACATCATCTCCAACTTTTCATCTGCCTCCTTCCCAGGTCCATTCTGACCCTCCCTCAACTCCTTTGTCGCATCCTTGCCTACGCCCGCCGTCTGCAAGTCTAGCCCGTTCTCCTGCAAATGGATGGGCTTCCACTCCCACTCGGATTCAAAGCCATGGGGTATCTCGGGCGAGAGTAGACGTCGAGCGCAAAAGGAAACCACGCTGGGGGGGGTATTGGGGTGGGCGAGCGCAAGATGGGCCTTGAGAGGTATATGAAGGGAGTACGAGCAAGAATCAGGGGGCAAGGGATAGGATGTGATATCGATTGGGGAGTGAATTTTCACAGAGGAAGGTTTAGACTGTTTCGATGGAGAGAGTGAGATGGGGGGAGTCAGGGGAGGGGTCAAGGGCATAGAGCTGAAAGTCAGCAGTGGGAGCTTAGGACTGACCTTGAGGTCAAAGCTTTCAGTGAGGCGGGGAGAGGGGGACTCGGGGGTGGATGACATGGTTGATGAGTTGTGAGATTGGGAAAGTGAAGATGCGTTGACCTGCCACTTTAAACCTCTGTCTGCTTTCCAGGTCTCTCAAATGCACTCCATTGACACCCCTCGAGTCTTGACGCACATTCCACTAAACACGTTTGACGAATCCTTACAATTCTTGCATGACAACTCGAGTCACTGTGGTATCCTTTGTATATCGTCAATGCCCCACAGCGCTGTGGGATCCTTTCTCTGGTTCTACTCTTATGAGCGAGTCCTGAACGCCACACGATCAGACTAGACACCGAGGGACCTTCCCATGAATCTTGAAATACGCGTCAGGCAAGTTTCAGTCATGTTACGCTCCGTGACTCACCGCCTCTTTTGGAAAGACATCCACCACTTGCTTGGCTTGGTAGCCCTGGGACCCACTTGGCCTGTAGGTGCGCCATCAGGGCCGAGAACCTGCTCTTGAGGATAGAGCCTGTCACAAAGGCGGAGAACAAGCTCGGTCCTGGTCTGAGTGAGATATGATCGGAAATGGTCTGCAGTAGCTCAGCACCGATGATCAAAGGCGAACTCGATCAGCTCACCTGCGTCGACTCTAGAGGCAGGAGCATGGTACAAGCTATTCAAAGGGAATCCGGCTTCTCCTGGTAAAGAAAAGTTGTCGACAGCAAGGGTCTGAAGGACCTTGGTGGCTTCTTGATAAGACGGGGATGGTCTGCCAGCGGTGGGGGCAAGCTTGGTGAGACATTCCGAGATGAAGAGAATGAGATAGATTAAGAGACGGTCCGCAGGTCCTGCGGGACAGTCAGCAAGGTTCATATGTGTATCGGATACACCAACCCTTGATCTCAAAGTTACGGAAGAGACAGTTGGCTCTGAACCTGCAATTGAGTCAATAAGAGATCCACAGCCCAGCCACATTCCACGTACAAGTCTAGAGCCTCATCGATGATATCAGGTTCGCCAGGGGTAGCTGTTGGACTCATGAGCAACCCATAGTGAGCAAGCAAGTGAAGAACATACAAGATATGGGAGCTGGCCCTCTGATCTTTGTTGTGATAGGGAGGACGGCGGTGTTGCCGACTTGGCGGGCGGAGGTGTCGTGGTTGAAGGCGGAGTGGTAGGCCTGGGGGTGTCAGCTGGGCGATGGAGGCAGAGGATGCTTACGGGCATGGCGGTGATGGACAGAGCAGAGAACGATGTTGGAACGATGCAACAGAGCAGTCGTCACAAGTAAGCGCCCAGCCCCCCACATACCTACTTACGTAACAGTCGCGTCGCGCCAGTGAACATTATTGCATCACCAAAGATATCTTGTCCATCGATTCGACCTCGCATTGTATGCTCTCTAGGATCATTCGAAACATGGCTTTTACCTCGACATCAAGTAGACCGTCCCTCACGGCGATTGTTGCTGCTACCCAAGAGAACGGCATCGGCGTCAATGGCGGTCTCCCGTGGCGACTCCCTGGAGAGATCAAGTACTTTGCCCGTGGTACGTTCCTCCGACAGGAAACCATATAGCCTGCTCATTCGCCAAAGTCACAACTGGAGAAAATCCATCCAGCGCAGCTGTCAAGCAAAATGTACTCATCATGGGCCGCAAAACATGGGAAAGCATACCTCCCAAATTCAGGCCGCTGAAGAGTCGACAGAATCTGGTGATTTCCGGAAAAGGTGTAGACTTGTGAGCCTCACTCGCCTTTTGCATTGATCTCTTTCTGACGGATGGTGCAGGGGAGGCGCTGAGAATAGCACGGCCCATGAATCATTAGACTCTGCGCTCTCTGCCCTTCCGTCAGGACCTGAAGCCCCGAGGGCCTTCCTCATCGGTGGCTCCACTCTCTACACCACGGCCCTCCTCTCCCCCTCCTCTGAACGACCTCTGGTGGACAGGGTGCTTCTTACCCGCATACTCTCGCCATTCGAGTGCGATGCCCACCTCGAAGACTTTGCTTCCCATCAAACTCCATCAGGAGAGAAGCTATGGAAGAAGAGTTCTACGCAAGAGTTGAGGGAGTGGATCGGATGGGATGTAGAGGAAGAGCAGGAGGAAAAGGGGATCAAGTATAGATACGAGATGTGGGTCTTGAATCAGTCATGAGGTGTCTTGACTGCAGTGGAGATGCATCTCTGGGATCATCATGACAGTCATGCAGAACAAACAAATGCTATCGTATGTATGTATCATAACACCTCTCCTTCCTCTATCTCGCCGCCGACTAGTTGTAGATATTCCACGTACTCCTCCAGTCCCACCCATGGTGATCGTTGACCGACCCCCTGATCCCCAGAGCCAAATCCTTGAACCACCAGAAACTCAAAATCACACCGCCTGCCCAGAGAGCAAACCAGATTATCTTTTGTTTTTGAGACAGACGACGGGACGAGAAGAAAAAGTGGTCGAGGACATGGCCGGCGATGAGAACGGCAAAGTAGAGCGTGGGAAGGTAGTGATGCAAGTAGGTGACACGCCCCATGATTAAGAATGGGACTGTAGAGCGTCAACATGGATCCCGTATTGAAAGGGGGAGCACTTACGGAAATGCAACGCCCACCCAGAGAATCCGACTTGCCCAACCCACAACCAATGTTCCCATTCACCCTTGCCCCAGTCCTTGTACCCTCTCTGCGCCCTCACCACATACCACGCCGCCAACAACAATCCAATGCCCAAGCTAGCAGTGGAGAACCACCAGATGATTGGCGTACCAAGGAGGTAGAATTTTATCTGGTGGTCGCCCCAGCCACACATACGAAGACCGAGGTGAAGGAGCGGCCAGTCGAAAGGCTGGGATGCGAGAATGTCCTCCTTGTCAGGGTCGGGAACGAGGGCATTGTTGGAAGTCCACATGGCCACATTGAGGTGGATAAAGTCACGCCAGAAGGGCGACTTGTAGAGCTTGACATCACCCGCGGGCACTGATATTCGTTAGCACTTGCCATTCGTAGTCTTTGCTATACTCACACCTAGGGTTCCAATGCGACTCTACATTCCAATAGGTATGCGGGTCCTTTGGGTTGTTTTCCTTTGTGCACGTAACCTCAACCTGCTTGAAACCCCACTGCGGCAACACCCCATTGGCCGCTCTGAGATAACACTTCAAGTCCCGATGCTTGAATCGCATCCTCGTGGTCAACGAGTGAATCTTGCCGTCCTCCTTGGCCGACTTGGATGGGCGAGTATCATCGACGACCTCGACGACCCAGAGATCGTTGTCGTCGCCGATGGTCTGGTTTCCGTAACCAGCCACCTCGAGCGCTTCTTTGGATATAGGAGCAGCAATGTTGTGGGAGTGAAGGTTGCGGCCAGTCTGAGTATGAACGAGACGAATGACGTCGCCGTCCTTCAAGAAATGGATAGGCCCATCAGGGTCGATGGGGTCGGCGTACCAAGGAGGGATGATATCCCAGTTGTTATTCTCGTCCTTGTAATGGTAACAAGTGACCTGTTGTTGCAAACTTCCAACGGGGAAAGTCTGGACATGGGAGTGTAAAAGACCACCACCATAGCCATAGTTTTTCAGAGTCACTTTGGAGCCATAGGCAATTTCGAGGGGCGACTCGCCAAAGTCATTCCCACGGAGATGGGCCTGGAATAAGGACGACATTTGGGCATCGCCCGGCCCCGAGCGGTTGAGCACCATAAAGTGGGCTTTGAAGCAAGCAGCATAGACGAGGAAGGGAATGACCATCAACGCGCCGATTCGGGCGACCCAGTGCTTGACGTATGTGCGCTATAAACGTCAGTGATGGTCGGCCAGATTATGTCAGACTCACGAAAGGCATCGACAGGTCACCAAACTTGGCCCACAAATCTTGAATGGTATAGATACCTACGACGGCAGTGATAAACATCCCGACCCATTTGACACTGCAGACACAGCCGATAGACCAGCCGGTAAAGACGAGCCATATCCACCAGTCGTCGCTAAAGGCGTCGTGACGTTGGTTGTGGAATTTGACGAGACCGAGGGTGGTGGTGAACGTAAAGAATAAGAGCATAGAGTCGAGGAGGATGAATCGGGAGATACAGAGCCATCCGACGTCACAAAGGACACAGATGGTCACCCAATGTCTCGTAAATCTGCTCCATCCGAGCTCGCCTGCTGTAAACCAAGCCAGGGGTACCAGGGCCACTCCGAACGTCGCCAGGATGACTCGCATAGCCGTGTAAGGGACATCTGGGGGGTACTGCACACCTGATTTAAAGTCAAAGTTGCCAGTGTAGCCTGCGAGCAGACCCGCAAGACCGACGAGCATCTTGCCTAGAGGAGGGTGGACGTCGAAATAAAACTCGCGGTTGAGATAGCGAGAGGCAAAGCCGCCAAAATGCGCCTCGTCCCATACGACATAGTTGGCAGCGCCAATACGCCAGTACCGAGTGAGCATTGAAAGGAAGGTATAGATGCCTGCCCATACCCATTCTTCGTGCTCGATCGCAAAGCCCTTCTGCTCGGTGTCAGCTGGAATCGTACACACCGCAAAAAACCTACCCATCCTGGTATTCTTTGCTTTGGGGGCAGCCCCCGTCTTCCACCAAAGCCGGGGCCAGCCCCATGGCCTTTGGCCCACTTGCCCGAGTCGTCGTCTAGCGAGAGCTCGCCATGGGTGGGCTCATTGAGGGGCTGCTTTTCCGACAGCCGTCTTTTGAGATCTGTAGTGTCGTCCATGTGGAGGGGCAGGGCGGAGTGGAGCTGGTCTCCCGGGGAAGGGGGTGTGTCTGTGTATGGGTTGGGGTGTGAGGCCGAGCCGTATGCGCTGGGGGGCACGCGGTGGTTCCAGGGGGAGTAGTCTGGGGTGTGTCTGCGGGTGGTGGGGGGAGCCGTTCCCCTCTGCATCGGGACTGTTTTGTGGCGATGGGACTGCTTTGTGCAAATAAAGGAACGCGACGTGGAGGCAGGCGCGTAGTCCCATGCGTAATTACCATACTTAACACGCTATTAACTGCCACACGCCACGTGCACGCTAACGCCGGGGAAACTCCGTGCACCAACTTTAACTTTTCTCTCTTCTTGCAGGATCTCTACGCATCAAGCAAAAACAGCCATGGCTTCCCGACCCACCGTCACCGTCTTCTCTGCCGCCGGCGAGGCCTCCGGCTCCGTCCCCCTCCCCCAGGTCTTCACCGCCCCCATCAGGCTCGACGTCGTCCAGCAGGTCCACAGTGCGTCCCAGCTATACCAAAAGGGAAAAGCTTGCTCACCCGCTCCCAGAGTCCATTGCCAAGAACAAGAGGCAGCCTTACGCCGTCGCCGAGAACGCCGGTCACCAGACCTCCGCCGAGTCCTGGGGTACTGGTCGTGCCGTCGCCCGTATCCCCCGTGTCGGTGGTGGTGGTACCCAGCGATCCGGTCAGGCCGCTTTCGGTAACATGTGCCGAGGTGGTCGAATGTTCGCCCCCACCAAGACCTGGAGGAAGTGGCACGTCAAGGTCAACCAGAACCAGCGACGATACGCCGTTGCTTCTGCCCTTGCCGCCTCTGCCCTCCCCGCTCTTGTCCTCGCCCGAGGCCACAGGATCGAGCAGATCCAGGAGGTTCCCCTCGTCATCTCTTCCGACGTCGAGTCTGTCTCCAAGACCAAGGCCGCTGTCGAGCTTTTGAAGACTGTTGCCGCCTACCCCGACATTGCCAAGGTTTCCAACTCTAGGAAGCTCCGTGCCGGTAAGGGTAAGCTGAGGAACAGGAGGTACAGGCAGCGAAGGGGTCCCCTCGTCGTCTACTCCAAGGACGAGGGTATCGTCAGGGCTTTCAAGAACGTCCCCGGTGTCGAGACCTCTCCCGTCGAGTCCCTCAACCTCCTCCAGCTCGCCCCTGGTGGCCACGTCGGTCGATTCGTCATCTGGACCGAGAGCGCCATTGCCGCCCTCGACTCTATCTACGAGAAGAAGTCTGGCTTCAAGTGAGTATTGGTGGTGTTGGTTGACGCCATGACTAACGATCTTTAGCCTCCCCACCGCCAAGATTGCCACTTCCGACGTCACCCGTCTCATCAACTCTGACGAGATCCAGTCTGTCGTCCGACCCGCCGGCCAGGCCGTCCAGAAGAGTATGTACTATCACTACCGACTGGTATGTTTACTGACGATTCAACAGGGCCCTTCACCCAGAAGAAGAACCCCCTCCGAAACAAGGCTGTCCTCTTCCGACTCAACCCTTACGCCAAGACCCTCCGACGACAGGAGCTCCTCGCTTCCGAGCGAAAGGCCAACAAGAAGGGTTCCGTCAAGAAGTCTGCCCCTGGTTCCGCCGGCAAGGAGTTCCTCGAGATCCTCCACTCTGCTTAAGCGTCTCATGGGACGGTGCGGTTTTATATACTCTTTCGAGAGATGAATGGGTTTTTAGCTGTTCACTGTTTTGAGTTGCAGATATTACATTCAGCATGTGCATTGAGAATGGGCGACATGAGACGATTACAGGTCAATGACACAATGAAACGATGTGATTATTAGAAGATGCTGCGGTGTATATACAGGGATAGTCTATTTGGTGGCCGCTTGGGCCGCCGAGTGGCGATGGGACACTGAGCTGCTTCCGAGTCCCGTCCAGCCGGGCAGCGTGGCCAGCGCTATCTCGACCGGTGTGCCGCTGTGGGTAGTCCAGATGGATGTCGAGGAGGGATCAATATCGCTACAGCTGCGAGGTTGTATTAGGCCGAAGATGCAATCCGCCACTGGGACGACGCTACATGCATACGGTAGAAGTCTATAGGGTGCTTTCCATTGCTAGCTGCATGATGGTCCACTACACGCATGCATATGCCGGGCGATAAGACGACGAACGGAAGAGGAAAGAGGGAGTGAACGCACGGGAAGTCTCTTCTTGTGGCGCAACCTCGCTTCGTTCTCTATCTCATCTCTCATTTCCTTTACCTCGTCCACCCGCCCCAGTCCCCTCCCGGCCCATCTCCTCGGCAGCCCACGTCCTGCACATCTCCCGGGCTTGTCCTAGCAGCCATCCCTCGCCCCGCACGAGCCGAAAACCTTGCGAGCACATACCCTCTTCCACCCTCCACGCTGCTCCCATCTGTCCTCTCGCCTTATCGCCCCCCCTCCCTCCCACCCGCGTCCTTTCCGTATCCCGATCCTTTTACGCCCCCGCGAGACAGTGCAGCTGGTCGGATTTCAACTCACCTTGTGCTCCCAGTCAAGACACAACAGCCAAAGCGCATATAGGAGGAATCCAGGTGGAGCCATCCTAGTCGTTTGAACCCGATTTCATCTCCGTAACGACCAGGTGATTCGAGAGAGAACATACATCCTCCTTCTCTTTTCTTCTTGCCAAAGCAAGCCAAGATAACACGCCATACTTTGTGACCGAGAGCTGTATCGTCTCGACGTATTGTGCAGATAGGCAATCAAATAGTTCACCATGGTGCGTCCCTTCATGATCAACTCCTGCCTTTGCTGACAGTATCCCAGGCCCCACCTCGCATGCTCTTCAAGATCACCGTCCTCGGCGACGGTGGTGTAGGAAAGACGGCTATAACCGTACAAGTGCGTGACGGCTGCTCTCCCTTTTCCTCTACTGACCCCGCGGCATCAACAGTTCACCATGTCATCGTTTGTGGAAACTTATGACCCCACGATAGAAGATTGCTACCGGAAACAATGGGTCGTGGACGAACAAGCGTGTCTGCTGGAGGTCCTCGATACTGCGGGTCAAGGTACGTCTCGCTTGTTGCTAGTCGGCACGACAACGACTGAGCCCCCTGTGTAGAAGAGTACACGGCTCTCCGAGATCAATGGATCCGAGATGGCGAGGGATTCCTCATCGTCTATTCTATAACCTCCCGTCCCACCTTCGAACGCATCGAGCGTATAGTCGAGCGCGTCCTTCGTGTCAAGGACGAAGGATCTCTCCCGTACAACTCTCCTTATGGCGGATCGCCTTACGGCCATCAACAAACACATTTCTCTCCCACATCGCCTACAGGCCCATCAGCCGCCGGAGGTGTCGCAAGTCGCGTGCCGATTGTGATTGTGGGCAACAAGAAAGACATGTTTCATTCGAGAGAAGTGTCGACGGACGAAGGGGCCATGCTTGCCCGTGGTCTGGGGTGCGACTTTTTCGAAGCAAGTGCCAAGACCAACAGTAATGTAGAGGCGGCGTTCAAGTGTTTGGTAAAGAAGATCAAGGTGGTCAAGCAGGGAGGTGTGATGGCTCCTGTTGGGGGACAAACAAAGAAGAAGAAGCAAAAGTGTGTCATTCTTTAGATGGGGTCGTGTCGTGACAACCTGTCATTTTGGGCGTTTCATTTATTTTTCCTTGTGTATGGGCATTGTGATGAATCCACTTTGCGGATTCCTAGCCGAGATACCAATATATTCTTTCATACCCAAGTATACACACACAAAAGATTAAGCCTTGAACCCCAGATTCCCATACGAACAAGAGAAAAGGCATAGACTAGTCTCGAGCCCCATCAGAACTCTTCTCCCTTCCTGCAGCCCGACTAAGACTGCGCAAGACGTTTCCAAATACTCCTCCGCCCTTATTTGCACCTCTGCCTCGCTCCTCTCCCGCAGGCGAATGCTCGGACGCACGATGCATATTGCCAGCGCCGCTGTGACAACGTCAGCGGTAGATCATTTAAAACAGGTCAAACTCACCCTCGACCTGCAGGTATCCAATGGCGATTCTCTTCGGCCTGTAGCTTCTTGTGTGCCTCCCGCTCCTGCTTGTCCTCCAGACTCAATCCATTGAGATCTGGCTCTTCGTTTGGCCCGGGCTGGTAAATGTTGCCTGCACCACCCTTGCCAGTGGCACGCGCATGGGGGTGGGCGCTGTCGTTGGTGCGATGCTTGGCGAGCAGGTTGGCCTCGTACGCGTCTTCTCTAGACTCCTGTAGACTGGTGAGGATGTGTAAAGCTTGAGATCTGGCAAGCATACCTTGTTGGAATCTCCAGAAGGTCGCTCCTCTGTAATGTTGCCGAATCCACCCCTGCCGCTGTTATGGGGCGGCTCCCTCGTCCTGCTCCTCCCCAGACCGAGTGCACTCCCCTCCCTCCTCTTCTCCACGCTGTCCTTGGGTGTCCTTACCTTGGATCTACTCCTGCTTCGAGAAATGTTTCCGACACCACCCCGTCCGGTGGAGAACGCATTGTCGGCTTGACGGCCACGGGATTCAGCAATGAGCTTTTCCTGCAGCACATCCTCCTTGACATCTTGCTTCACCTCTGCACGGGTACGGGACTGGGAGGAGGGTCGAATGTTGCCGGCACCGCCTCGGCCGGAATGCACCTGTGAATACTGTCAGCGGTGGCGAAAAAAGGACGGCGGCAAGCGGCGTACAAGTTCTCCGTTGGGGTGTGGCGAGAGTTCACGGCCACGCTCTGCCCCGGGTTGAACGTCGTCGGGTACGGCGTGTGCGACGAGATTACCAGCGCCACCCCGTCCTGTCGAGACCTGCACCAAACAGTGAGTATTAGCCGAGATAAGGGAGGGGTTTGTGGACGCACGATGTGGCCTGGCTGCCTGCCTCGTTCTTCTGCAAAAGACATGCTTGCTGGTAGGGGTCAGCGGTGATGAGGCGAAAGACAGAGGAGATGGGGGCAGGGTGGGACTGGATTCTGGACGAGTTATCTCTTTGCGAGGGGCCCTGAATCCTATTTATTCCTGATTGGCCCCTCTTGATTCTTATCGCTCCATCCGTTCTGACTTCTGGGCCACGGCACGGCATAAGGTTATGGGCACAAAATACCCACCATGTAGTAAACAGTAGACGTAGAAACCACAGCAACGTACCTCCCCGCTCCTCCCCCAGCGCTTCTGCCCGGTTGGGGCTCAGCGCCCGCACCATCTTGTCTTTGAATGTCGTGAACGAGCTCGACGTGTCCCTGCTTGGCGTGCGCTGCAGGGGCGAGTACGCCGCTCCATCTGGACTGGCTGTCGACATGGTGGCTGAAATATACGAGTGGTAGAGAGGCGGAGGGGATGTAGAATGTACAGGGGTGACGATGAGTAGGACCGGCAACAAGTGCCAAGCAGTTTACCCGTCAGGTGATCCCACGCCACCGCACGTAATCTTCGCTTGTCTCCATTCCACAGCCGGACCTTTGCATCAAGAGTATAGACACAACGCTGACCAGCAAGCTATATAGATACCGTTCCAGTGCACTGACTATAGATACATCAAATCAAATCAATCGCCCTCAAATCAAACCGCCTTGCCGAAAGTAATCGTCGTGCTCGCCGTGGACATTGCACTCAGCCTCTTTCCATTCGTGTCGACACCCAACCCCTTCCTCCCCTTCTTGCCTCGCCCGGCAGTCATATCCGACCTCCCCGAGTCAGAGTCTGCGTCAGACTGGACCCCGACATGCGCAAGGACGATGCCCTCGGTAGCGGTGGCCGTCTTGGTAGGACGAGCCCTGCTCTTGACTTTGGTCGCCTTGGCCTTGTTGGTTGCGACAACTTTTTCGTCATCGGCAGCAGCAGTGGGCTTGACTACGACAAGCTTCTTGTCCTCTACAGACACAGTGCTCTTTGCAGTCTCACGTCGAGGTCGGATCTTGGTCTTGCCCCTGTCCAGACCGACAATGCCGACTGGAGCAATGGGAACAGGCGGGAAATCGCCCTTCAAGATGGCCTCTGCTTCGACGACAGAAGGAGGTCGACTCGCTCCATTTCGGCTACCCCTCTCGGTCTCGATATCGGTCTCTTCCCCTGAAGTGGCCTCGCCTCCAAGGTCAGACAGGCCAAGAGTACTCACGACCTCGGGGGGCTCGATGAGGGTCTTGTCGGGAGAGCTTCCATCGTCCTCTTCAACAGCAGTCTCGGTCGAAGTATTGGCGCTCGTCTCGGCGTCGTCGTCGGCATCCGCATACGCCTCCTCATCCTCCCCCTCAGACTCTTCGTTCGTGCGGTTGGTCATGGAGCTCGAAGCGCGCTGGGACGAAACGACATTGAGGGCCATCTCGAGCTTGATCTTTGCCGTCAGCCTGGGTCCTTCCACATGATGGTAAAGCGCACCTTGATCTGGATATTGGCCACCCTGTCTGCGATACTGCCTTCCAAGCTACCGGGAAGCCTGCCCTCTACAGTCTGCACCGTCTCGACCACACTCCCTTCCCTCCCGATCGGAATCTTTCCCCTCTCGCCCTTGGCATGTCCCAGTACACTTACACCCGTCATACCGCTCATCCCACTCCTCTGCGAATCAGCAGTGAAAGGTCGGTCGGCCTTTCTCCCGAGGGAACGGGTGACAGAGGTAATGTCTGGGGAGGCGCCATCGTGTCCTGGAGTACTCGGTCGCGAAGAAATGGACGGGGATGGAGGAGGGAGGTACTGGTTGAGAGCACCGGCGATCTGCATCTCGATAGAGTTCATAATCTCTTCGCGCTCACGTTCAAGCTCTTGGATGCTATCACAATGTCAGATGGGTACATCTTTGGAGAAAGACTTACGAAGAGTGCATGTCGGAAAGCTGTCGCATGGCCTGAGCTCGGGCACTCTCAGTGTTGTGAAGCTTTTCTTCAAGGTCTTGGTTTGCCTTGGTCTGCTCATTTGCGACTAATGGATGTCAGCGTCATCAAACGCACACGATAGACTCACTGCTTGACAACCTTCGTGCCTCCTTTCTCTCTCGCTCGATCTTGGTCTTGAGCTCGTTGGCTTCCACGGTAAGTCTGTCGGCATACTTTTCAAAGGTCTCGAACTGGCTCTTCCACTGACACCATGTCAGCGTCTTCCTCCAGTAGTGTACAAGTACCTACGTGTTCGCCTTCTTGGATGAGCCTGAGCAATCGCCTGTTGATCTTGGCGACCTTGACTTCGAGGTCATCTCGCGCTTCGACATAGTGGACTGTACAAGATCAGCTTGGACTTGACAGCGATGGAAGCAACTTGCGAGCTCGGCGACGCATCATGCCCTTGGCAAGCTGTTCACCAACTGTCAACTGCGCCTGGGCCCTGTTGACACCCGACCTCGTGAGTCTCTGGATCAGACTCGGCTTCTTGTGCTAACCATCCGTCAGTTAATTTGCCTCAAACGTTTACAACCCACCTTGTCGGCAAGAATCTTGTCAAAGACGACGACCACGCTCTCTGCCTTCCACCACCCAGGCACTCTCAACCTTTCACCCAGATAAGCCGGCTTTTCGCCCTTGGCCCACGTCATCTTGTTGAACGGGCGGAAACTGCCCTTTGGATAGGACACTTTGAACTCCATGGGGATGCTGCGGTCGGTGGGGTAGGAAGGGCCGAGGGCGGCGAGGAGTTTGTGCTTGGATTTCTCGCGTCGAGGGCGGGGCGTGATGACGTTTGGAGGGGGTGAGCGGCAGGAGAGCGAGCTGTGACATGATCAGTCGAGAGAATGAGGGTATGGTGATACTCACTTCGTGTCGATGTCAACAATGACCACCTGGGCTGGAGGAACGAGCAAGTATCGGCATTCCGTCGACATTCCCTGCAGGACGGTAAGTTGACGGTCAGATGTCAGCAAAAGGAGGCTTACGATGATATAAGGTCCAGGGTCCTCGATAACGAACGTTGCATCTCGCTGCAGTACCGTCAGCTTGGTCTTATCCTGGAGTACTCACCGCATGGATCACGGGGACAGTAATTCCGTTCCATCCTCGAAGCTCGACGAGATACTTGAGAGAGCTGACGGCAATGTTGAGCATGGCCGGGTGCTTGGAGCAGAATATGATCCTTCCCGAGTTGCTCAGGGCCACCTACTGCCGTCAGTATCATACCATTTTTGACTCGGTCACTCACTTCAGCACAAGTCAAGATGTGGTCCAAATCAAGGGCTTGGAACAATGGCCAGATTTGAAAGTCGACCTTGACAAGACCCTTGTCGAAATCGATCAATCCACCCGGCATGGAGACTTCGAGGACGACCTCGTCGTCGACGGATGTACCGACGGGGAGGAAGATGGCTTCACCGGGTCGGGGAGGAGTGGTGTTGAGAAGCCGACCAACTTGAGTCATGTGGACTCTAGCATTCTTGGAGAAACGGGCCCACTAAGTAATTGTCAGTGGGGAACAAGAAATAATACAACCTACACTGAGACGGAGATAGTCTTGAAGAGTGTCGTAGATGGGGAAACGCGACACTACCAATAGTCAGCAGTCTGGAAGCAGGTATATCTGGCTTACCAATGGTTATAGCATAGGGCATCCAAAAGACGTCATTCTGCTCGTCAAAGACCGCCCTCACGTCCTCCGGCACGCTCTCCACCACACTCAACCTATCACCTGCCCATCTCCTCCTCGAAAGGGGCCCTTCCATGTCTGAATCACTCACTCCGGTCTCGGTCTCACTTCCAAGCGTCACATCACCCTCGCTCTGGTTGCGCAACAGATTTCCGAGATGTCGCCTGCCCCTCTTTCGGTCAGACGTCGTGCTGGCTTTGCGAGTACCCGGAGGGTGGTAGTTGGGCGAAACGGGGTTCATCGAGTTGAGTGAGCTTTGTGTGCCAAGCTTGAGTCGCTCGGAGCGGGTCTTGATGACTTTGAGCTGGAGCGCTCTGTCCTTGTCGGCATGCGAGTAGACAGTGAGGGTGACGCCATAGTAGGTGAGCTCTGTGGCAGAGGTCATATCCTTGCTGGTCACCGGCGCGGGGCGGTCGAGGTCGGCGGCAGAGGCGTTGCGCATCCCAGAGACGGCCGAGCCGAGTCTCTCGCGAGCCACGGCAGCAAGAGTGTCTTGTCGAGGAATGGAAAAGCTGAACGCGTGGCACGTCGTAGGGGGCGCCAGCGCAGAGTTAACGACCTCGACTATAGACGTCAGTGATGAAGATTTGCTTTCGGCACATACCATCTCGAGGGTGAGCAAATTTGATGGCTTTGGATACCAGTCTTTGTGCTCCACCGGGCCCGGCGTCGGCGACGTGGCGACCTCGCAAGTCTTTGGACAAGCCGCCGTTGGTGAATGTACTCGACTTGGAGTCTTTGCGAGCCCTCGTCCCGTCTTCGGGAGCCGTGGATCCAGTTCGGTCTTGCTTGTCCCCACTAAAGCTGCTCCCGAGCATCTCGGGTCGCCAGAACAAGCCGAGCGAGTCTTCGAGGGGTTGAACACCGCGGGTAGCGTCTGTGTCCGCCAGAGACCATTCAGCGGTGCTCTATGATCTCGTCAGCGCGATTCATGCACTTTCATCACTCACCTTTCCGAGACCCGATACCATGTACATGCTCGCAAGTTTGGCATTAGGATCAAGTCCCAGCATCTTGTCGGCCTTGTGCCTCGATCCGACACTGAGGCTGGACTGGTTGAGTCCAAGGCCGCCTAGACCGAGCTTGCTTTCACTCCGCAGCCCTCGCACTTCGTCCTGCTCTTCCTCCTCCATGATACCGGGTGCGCGGGTATTGGCCGTGGCAGTGCGTCCCTTCATCCTTGTCGTGCGGATGGCCCCTCTGCTGGTGTAGGGGTGGTGGGAGACGGTCGAGTCTTCGGAAAAAACTTCAGAGGGGGCGTAGGAAGGAGATGGGGGAGCAGATTGAGATGCAAAAGAGGAATTGCGGCTGAGTGCACCCCGTGATGGCAAGTCCCCCTTGATTCCTGGGAGACTACTGGGAGGTGCGTGCTGAGTGGTGATGTAGTCGGCTGCGATGTCTACGACATGCTGGTCGACGTCTGGGTCGGATGGCCTGCGCTGCCTGTCGCGGTTCTCTGCGGCGCTGTTCTCTGCGGCAGCATGGAGGTAGGGGGTGGCTGGGAAGGGGGACTGTTTGTGGTGTTTCTTTGTGGCGGCCTTGCCCACCGAGCCGAATGTCATGCTGGAGATGGACAGTACTCGTACTCGTGTGTTCTGCATCGATGTATTATATAGCACCGCCCATCCTCCGAGGTCACAGCGTCGGTAGCGCACGCAAGGACCACCAACCATCGACGCACAGCCCGCCCAGGTCCTGTACCTCGAGACCCTCCTTCCTCCTTCGCCCGGCCTGATCGATGGACACATGATGCAGAGCGTAGCTCCTGAGCGGAACCATTCATGGGAGAGTGTGGCACAGCTTGACGTTGAATGTTGAATGAATGAATTCACGAGACGCAATTGTTTTTGTTTCTGTTTGTCTTTCAGCTAGCTCGTGCGATAGTTTGAGTTGTTTTGCGCTCGGCGATCTGACATAGAGTGCTTGCTCGCCCTGTTCCCAGTCTCCCATGCAGTTACAATGGGGTAACCACTTTTGGGTAAAGCTGGCAACCTTCAATCTCACTCCTGCCTCTTATGAATACTGCATACGGGGAGCCGGGTCAGTACAGAGTCTCAACAGAGGCAGACGGGATTCTTGTCTGGTTATCACTCTATGTACCGATTCTCCCGTGAGGAATGACGTCCTGTGCTGGGACTCAAGATACAGTGGAGACTGGAGACGATCATATCTATGCGAGGCAGATGTGCGGTTCGCTAGGCTTCTCCATGTCTATCCCCGCGGCGTCGCTGGTAGTCGGATTTGGGCGGGGTGAGACCCTGATACCAGAATACGAAGGGGCGTCTCTTATCTCGAGGGTACGCGCTCCGATTGGCGGTGGGGTGGATGGCTGCCGTAAGCTAATAAGCTTTGTGCGACATGTCGGATGCGGCAGGCGGCGAGGATCTGGGCAGGCACGCCCAGAACGGGGGAGAGATAAGGAAAGTGGGAGCCAATGAGGAGGGGGCATGCCCGTTGCGGTTGGCTCTGCATGCATTCCGGCCCCATAAAAAAATCACATCCTCCATCTCTCTTCCTCTTCTCTTCCTCCCCCAGAAACAAGTAAACAACACACCCCGCCCGCCCGCATCTCCCTATCGACATTGCCACCATGGTCAATGTCAACTACACAACAACCTCCTCAGACCTCGTCTGGACGGACGACGATGGTACAGAGTACATCTACAACCTCGGTGACATTGGTTTCGGTGAGTATCGCATGCATCCAGAGGCCCGCCCTGACGACTGCAGTCATCGCCTGTATGGCCCTTGTGTGGCTCATGGTGCCCGGAGTCGGGTTCTTCTACTCTGGTCTGCTGAGACGGAAAAATGCACTGTCAATGATCTTCTTGTCGGTGGTGGGTGTCGCAGTTGGGTCCTTCCAGTGGTTCTTCTGGGGTGAGTCAAACGCCATGCATGTGAAAATGACATGCTGACGAACTGATAAGGTTATTCCCTGGCCTTTTCGGATACTGGCTCCTCGTACGCGCCGCCCTTGACTCTCCTAGCCACCCACTAACATTCTACAGATTTATTGGTGACCTGCGATACTTTTGTCTCAAGGGCGTGCTGGCTCAACCTTCGGCGGGCTCTGACCGCGTGCCTGCGCTTGTCTTTGCCATTTACCAGTGCATGTTCTGCGTAAGTACTGCCTACCTCTTGGCAAGCCGCTTTCTAACACGCGCATAGTTGATCACCGGTGTCCTCGCCATTGGTGGTTTCGCCGAACGCTCTCGTATCGGCCCCGTCATGGTCTTTCTCTTCTGCTGGCTCACCATCGTCTACTGCCCTATCGCCAACTGGACTTGGAACTCTAACGGTTGGTCCTTTGTCATGGGTGGTCTCGACTTTGCTGGTGGTACCCCCGTCCACATTTCTTCTGGTACCGCCTCCCTCGCCATCGCCCTCTACCTTGGCAAGCGCCGCGGCTACGGCACCGAGCGACTCGCCTACAAGCCCCACAACACTGCCTTTGTCGTCCTCGGTACGGTCTTCCTCTGGTTCGGATGGTTCGGCTTCAACGGTGGATCCGCCCTCTCTGCCAACCTCCGAGCTGTCCAGGCTTGTATTGTCACCAACCTTGCCGCGAGCTGTGGTGGTTTGACCTGGATGATGTTGGATTACCGACTTGAGCGAAAGTGGTCTGCTGTCGGGTTCTGCTCTGGTGCCATCTCTGGTCTTGTCGGTGTGAGTCTGCTTTTTTTATTCATCTCTTGTGCTTTACTGACACTCTTGATAGATCACTCCCGCCGCTGGTTTCGTCGGTGCCCCTGCTGCCGTGGCTATCGGATTCGTCACTGCCGTCGCTTGTAACTTTGCCACCAAGCTCAAGTTCCTCATCCACGTCGACGAGACTCTTGATGTCTTTGCTTCCCACGGTATCGGAGGTATGGTCGGCAACATCATGACCGCCCTCTTTGCCCAGGCCTCTGTCGCTGGTTTCGACGGTATCACCGAGATTGACGGAGGTGAGTTATATCCCCTTTCAAAGAGATGGAAATGCTGACGCAACTCCTCAGGTTGGTTCGACCACAACTACGTCCAGCTTGGTTACCAGATTGCCGACCTCACTGCCGGTTTCGCCTACAGCTTTGTCATGACCACCATCATCTGCTGGATCCTCCACTTTATCCCCGGTCTCAGACTCCGCGCGAGCGAAGACGCTGAAATCGTTGGTATCGATGACGCCTACCTCGGAGAGTTTGCCTACGACTATGGTATGTTTCTTTTTCCAAGCCAAATGACCAAAAATGACGAATTATGCAGTGGGTACCGACCCCGAGCTCCGTCTCCACCGTGTCGACTCTCGACCCCACCTCACTTCTGGTGACGTGATCGCCGACAACGGCAGTAACGGACACGAGTCTTCATCAGAAAAGGTCGAGCCTCACACCGCCGGCAACGCTGCTGTTGGCGGTGGCCGGGTGGACGTATAAGAGGACATTTACAATCTGGGGGATGCTTTGGGAAAGAAGGATCAAGAGTTTAGAGATCAAAAAATCGTTGTTTTTGGGGCATTTTCGTTATAATCTTGGTTACTACATTTGGCGCAGAATTGTATATAAGCTTCTATGCAGTTGTTTTATCATCCCACGGCTTTTGTCATGAGGACATGGGGACACTGAGTGACAGATTAGCAGCGTACCAGTGGGTATTCCGTATCCGTTCCCGCCGAGTCTTCCCTGGTAGCTCTGCAACTCCTAAACAACGTCATGCGAGTACTGACTGGCAGTTGTGCCCCGCAAAAGACATCAGAGGTGTTCGCTCAACATGTGGATCGTGGACGGCAATAGCCGAAGGCCCTATACCCCGGAAAATGCGGGGGAATGTGATCCATCTCTTTCATCCGTCCCGTCTGCCAAAGAAGCCTCTAATCTACTAATCTACTAATCTTGTATCTTGCACGGAATTGTCTCATTCACATCGACATGCCCACCCTCTCCAAGTTTGTCCCTGGCCTTGCCCTCCGCCTCCGCCCCCAGCTTGCATCACCCCGAGCTACTCGTCTCGCGCGCCATCTCACCCAGCATGCTCTCCATCCCCACACTCACCAAGCCCACCATGCTCCCTCTCAAGGACCGTCTTTGTTCAAAAAGTGGGGAACCAGACTCCGTGAGTCCGAAACCTCGCTCTGTTGATATACCACTCACGCATCACCATCAGTCATCGCCCTTGCCTTGCCGGTAGTCTATGTCGCCGGTGCCGCCTTTCCCCCTTCCATCGTACTCATGATCCTCCCACGCTATGCTCCACCTGCGCCAGTGAAAGACAGTCCTAGTGGCAGAGCCCATACGGAGGATGTGGAAAGGAGTCTGCAAGAGCTCGAGGTGGTTCAGAATATGAGATATGAGATCAAGAAGGGTGCTGATTGGTACGAGACACGTGTGTACTTTTCGTCAAGCTCTGGGAATGTGCTGATGTAGAGTAGGACCGTACAACAATTACGACCCCCAAAAGATCCACAACTCTCTTACTGCTGGCTCTCTGCGCGGACCCGGTAAACTCGCCGTGCCCCCTATCTTGTTTGCCAAACATGACGAGTCTGAAGCCATCGGTGCGTTCTGATATCTGATGTATGGTCATGTACTGACACGCCCTAGCCATTGTCCACCTTGGGAGGTCGCTCTGTGGCCACGACGGCATCATCCACGGCGGCTTGCTCGCCACGGTCCTCGATGAAACGCTCGGCCGCAACGCTTTGCTCAACCTACCATCCCGCATTGGCGTTACGGCCAACCTCAACCTCAACTACCGATCTCCCTGTATGGCCGACCAATTTGTAATCGTGAGGACGAGCCTCAAAGAGTTGAAGGGGAGAAAGGCCGTTGTAGAGGCCAAGATGGAGACCTTGCACGGGGACAGGATTGTTGATGCCACGTAAGATTGTTATGATTGCATGAGAGGAAGCTGACCTGCTTCAAAGTGCGTTGTTCATTGAACCCAAGTGGGCACAATTCTTGGCCTCTTCGGGCGTCACAGAAGCTATGGGACGTCCAATCCCCCGGCCGGCCAACACCCCCGCTTTGATGGACGGTTCAGAGACTGAGAGGATTATATAAGCGAGATAAATCTGGCTCCCGTGGTGATCGGTTGAGGAAAGGAAAGACAGAACGGCCGACAAAGATGTCGGTGGCTGAAGTAGAATTGTACTCATAGATGTTTACATCATGCCCTTACAACATGCTTTCTTTTATTTTCCCGCTCACATCAAGCACAAATGACTTCTCTAGGCGGCTAGACCCCATTGCACTCCCATACATGACGCATACACATCTCCATCAACTTCTTCGAGCATAGTAGAGAGTGTGGCATTACGTAACACCCAAAACGCGGTGCAAGTGCTACTACTACGCCTGCCGCAATGCCGCGAAGAACGATGAAAAGAGTGTTTCTTGCAGTGCATTTACATCTGTCATACGCAGCCCGTCGCTCTCCCAATCTCCCCCCCTGGACCCAATCAACACTCCCAGCAGTCGGCTCCCGCTCCGACAATCTACAAAAGCCCCCAAAGCCGGCCGCCTCGACGCGTCGGAAGACAACAAGAACAAGCAATGTCTACTTTTGCAATGGGCAAGGGTCTGATAGACCCGCGGTACTGCTGTTGCGGTTAGTCCCAGCGATTGTGAAAGAATACCATGTACTGATTCCGCCCAGCTGTACCACTCGTCAACACTGGTATATATACAGTCTTGGGCGAACATGCGGTTTGTTGCCTGTCATTTGAGAGTCCGATATTCGACTGACAGCTTGCAGGTCATTGGCGCAGCTATTGGCATCATTGTGCTTGCTACTCCTGATGGTATGCTAGGCGTGCTTAGAATGTGGTGATAGTTGCTCATTCTCATGTAGTCGTGGGAGCATCCTTCCCTTCATTCGGAGGAGTCATATTCGCCATAATCTGCTTTGTCATCGCAGGGCTGCAACCGATAGGATTCATAGGAGTAGTCAGAGTACGCCAATTTGTGTGCTCTATCTCCTCGCGGAATCTGACGGTGTCATAGGAAAAATCATCGACGTTCAAGGTGTACACGCTGCTGAATGGTCTTGCCGTTGTAGCTGGCTTTGTGTGCTCGGCGGCACTCATCATCGCTTCCGCTCTCAAACATGATACCGCTGTCACCGCATGCGAGGTAATTCAGTTGCAATATGCCTTGGCGACTATACTGACTCGTTGACAGGAAAAGTTCTTTTCAGACACGACAAACACTTCGTCGTCTGCCAACTCTACACTGGCCAGCGAAGGGCAAACACTGTGTAGCGCTTTCGCTTGGGCGGATATAGGGATGATGGGAGGTCTCTGGGTGATCATGCTCATTGTTCAACTCTACTTTCTCTAGTACGCTCGACACTCTCCATTTGTAGCAGTGCTAACCTTTACAGCCTGACGCGGGTATATTCAACCTCCCAAGTCGACGATCATAAGCTCTACCATTCCGTCTACAACGAGAACCCGGAAGCATTCACAATGTCTGTTCTTCGTTCCAGTCGCTACAACCCCGGCTCGACTTACAACATGCCTGGTCCTCATGCCGATGCTTGGGATACTCGGGCGAGCATGGATTCTGTCCAAGACCAGGGTAATCAGAGGGCGTACCATGATGCGGGATATCAAGAAGATTACCAGCACGGGCAGTATGAGGATGCGTATGGAGAACCACAAGGTTACCCTCCAACCTATTCCGATGGACACGGGCAGCAATATCCATTCAGCACCCCGGGTGGTGGCTACGTGGATCACCCAGCCGAGGCGCGTATGAGGGATGAGGAGATTACGCCTGTCGCCAATCAATACCACGAAGGACAAGGGGTGGGGTACTCTGGAAATGCGGGTGTCGGGGCAGGCGCGGGAGGCATCTCGCGGCCAGAAGAAGCGCAATACCATCCAGGTGGGCATTAGTCCTCTTTGCGGTGCGTGCGAAATGTTGACCGATCTGGCAGCTGAGGGAATGTTTGGAAGAAAGACTCCAAGGAATGCTTATTAGATCAGGACGAAGGTCGAGCTGCTTGGAGGAGGATGTTCATACAGGTGTACAAATCTTGCTTTGAAGATTACGACTTGACGATTTATGTATTTGCTGATACCCCGTTGTGTGTGAGCGTGGTCAACCGATCTCCCACGTGCTCTGGGGCGCACCATGCGCCAGGACAGAATGAAGCAAAGTCCGTCTGAGAGCTTGCGGTGCTGCATTTGTTTACCATTTTCGTTCAACCTTTCCACCAAATGAGCGTTTCATCCCCAATTTCTCACCCATGGCATCCCCAACACCTGCCTGATACTTTATCTACCGCCCACTCATTGCCCTCGTGGTAACGAGCCTCCACCTTCATGCACTCCACTCAGACCATTCATTCGCAATCGGGAGAAGGTGTCTCGCACAGATCGGCCACCTCCGAGTTGCGTGTAGGAAAATCAGTTTTTGACAATCAGCTGGCGACACTACCCTAGCCACTACACCCTCAAATCGAGACACTCAGACGAGGACTCCCGATACAGACTGTTTTCTGATGGCTCTCAATGGCCAAAAAGACGACAGCTGGACGCAAAAAAATAACAATCCACGGTGGTGATCGAAACCACGACCTCTTGATACGCCAGTCTTACGTAATCGTAGTCAAGCGCACTACCACTGTGCTACGCGGACTTGATGTTGTCAGCTACAAGGCAGTATAACTATTAATTGTACAGCCAGCATTGAGACCAATAAACGCAAAAACATACCCAGTGGTGGACTGTCTATTGTCTGCGTGTATCATCAATGCATAGTTGGCAAGCCCCAGCACCCTCCAAGCCCTGCTACCATGCCACATAAGGGTGTCTGGTGAGTCTTGATCAAGTCAAAGCGCCGGCACGTCAACGCCGATAATCACGCCAATAATTGTAGACTTGATGCAGAGATGTTTCTCCAAGTGCTGGAGGCTGGAATGTGGGCTGTTTACAGCCAAGATGCCTAGTGTAAAAGAGACAATGAAAGCTCCATAGGCAGCAGTCACTCAACCAGACAATGTGGCGGGACCAAATGGAGTTACGTCAGCTGGGTGGCGGGAGTGGATAACGACGTGTGCTGCAACTTGAAGTTGACTTGAAGTGTTGTGCAAGTGACTTTACGGCCTCTCACTAAACTCCCACACTCCGCCCCGTCTTGCACCCAGCACGCAGCCTCGACACTCCAAGCGGTGCCATCGCCGCCCATACCCCCAGCAGAGCCTTGCTCGTACCTCGACACACATCCTCTGCCCCCTCTCCTCTCTGCCCGCTGCCCACATCTTCGCTTCGAGACATCCAAAGCCTCCTGAAAATAATCACCCAGAGGCTTCAAACTCTCGCCAGCAACCACCTCCTTTGATCCGCCCAACCATCCACTTTCCGACCATTGTGCTTGTAGTCAGGAAACAGCAGGCGTTTTAACCGCCCCGGAAACACGCTAGCCACATAATCTCGTTCGATTTCTGCCCTTTCGCCCTTTCATGGCTTCTAAACGTTTATATAGACGACAAAAGCTATCTCAAACTTTGCCATCGTCTTTATTCCCATCAAACGCCATGAAGATGGAAGATTCTTGGCGCGCCGTTCCCGAGATTCCCAACCCCTCCCAGCCGGATGGCGACAGCGATGGAGGGTACTCTACTGTCCTCCTGGTGTTCATACCAGTACTAGTCGTGGTACTCACTGTACTGCTGGGCCTCGTAGTCTTCATGGTGGCCGTCTTGTTTATGCGTCGTAGGAAAGGCATCAGGTGGGTATCTTGGGAATACATCGACCTCATTGCTGACATGGGTGCAGATTGTTAGAAGATGGCGGACCATTAGATCTTTCCAAAGGCGATGGAGTGTTTGGGGAAGGCGGAACAGAGGGCGTTGAAGCAAGGTGGCTAGAGACTGTCGACCCCGATATTCGAGAGGCATACAACCGCGCCAAAGGTGAGTCTTGTTTGCCGCCCTAGGGCTGTTCTTATTCTTTTGCAGACTGGCAAGCACAATTCCCGCCCACGTCTATACCCACCGACATCACACTATCACAATTTCTCTCTATCCAGGAAAAGGGCGTCTCTGCTTGGGCGTTTGAACCGAATTACGAGGAGAACCTCTCCCTCTATGTTCAATCCCGTACCGAGATCACCTTTCTTTCCGATGGTCCCGGCATGCCCGCTCGCGAGGGGGGAGGCAACTCTGTCATGGCGAACCTTCCCCTCCCCAAGCTCAACGAGGTCTATTACTGGGAAGTAAAGGTGTACGAAAAGAACCCCAATACGGAGATCGCCATTGGGCTCGCTACCAAGCCCTTCCCCTCCTTCCGGCTGCCTGGCTGGAACAAGCACTCGGTCGCGTACTTTGCGTCAGATGGATTCAAATCGCACGACTTTCCCTTCACTGCTTCCTCCTACGGCCCTCCACTAGCCGAAGGCGATGTGCTTGGTGTAGGATATCGTCCTCGGACTGGTACGGTCTTCTTCACCCGTAACGGTCGAAAGATGGACGATGCCTACACTGGTCTTCAACGATTGAACCTCTTCCCTACTGTCGGTGCCAACGGCCCTTGTACGCTTCACATTAATCTGGGACAAGCTGGATTTGTCTTTATTGAAGCAAATGTCAAGAAGTGGGGTTTGGCGCCCACGGTGGGAACCCTTGCGCCTCCTCCAGCTTATGGCAGTGAGCGAGGGTCGATCTTGCTTGAATCTGGATACGGCACCCCTGGAGCTGATTCCTCTGGAAGCCATGCGGGGATGGGGGCATTGCTGGAAGCTGCCAGAAACCGGGGTATCCCGAGTTATGCGTCCGGCTCGCCTGGACCATCCTCCTCGTCGGCCATGTATGCCTCTGGTGGGAGTGGGAGGACGAGGAGACATCGCCACCGCCGCCCTGGGCCTGAGAACCATGTCCCTAGTCCCCTACGGCCAGCTGACGAGAGTGCCGAAGACGTGCACTTGTCTCAGAGCTCGGGGTCTTCTGTTTCATCTCACGGGCTGAGCTACGAGTCGCCCACCGATGCTCCCGTTCCTCAAACTCGTGTTCCACCTCTAGCTGTCGAGTCCTCTTCCTCTGCGTCGCCTCAATCCGGATTGTCGGACGGTGGAATGAACACGCCGAGGCGCGATCTCGGGTGCGAACAATCTCCTATCGAACACAACCCTCCCACTCCCAACCTCCTCGACATTTCCATGCACAGCCTCCGTGGCGGGCACTATTTCCCTCCCGAATTCACCTCTGAAGACACCGACTCTGATACCACTCCTCAACCACGCTCTCCTGTCACACCCGCTGAAAGCGAAAGACGCGAGGGCCCGCCAATGGTGACGAGGCTTCCTGGGCCAGACTCGCCACCTCCACCTGGATATGCGCCTCTGGACCCGCACGTCTATGCAAACGGGCTGCCGGCGGATCTGCCCGAGGAGATGGTGACACAGGCTATTGCTGCTATGAGCGAGGCGTAAGTCGTCAGCTACATACAAGGAACTCGATCTGACTTGTTGTTCACAGTGAGAACAGGGAGCAAGCTCAGCAGCGAGCGCAACAAGGAGAGAGTGAAGGGGAGGATCATGGATCTAGATGGTTCACCTTTGGAAGGTCATGATGGAGCGGATCTTTGCAATCCTCTATAGGACTTTCCGTTTCGTATCGCTATTCATTCTTCATATTCTTAGCATCTTACGTACATCCATTATTTTTTACACTGTTGGTATATTATCTTTTCATCTCTCAGGATTGTATTTGGCACAATGATGCAGGTTGTGTGATTCCGCTGTTTGACTGTCATGAAAGAGCTGCATGAATAAAGTACAAATAGATGGATAACAGACCCGAATACACCCCAAGAAAAACAATCTATTGGTCGACGACTATCGACTCCTCGACCTTTGCCTGCACCGCCGCAACCGCCTCCTTCTCCATCTCCCGGCTCCTGTCTGCCCACTTATTCGGGTGACTCACACTCTCTCCATTGCCCAACCCTTCTCCCCTGTTCACCCCGTGCGTGACTTCAAAGACTCGCGTACAAGCCACGTGGAAATGGCTCCCCTTTACGCTATCGATAATCTCCTTCATGGCCGGGGAGGAGCGCGTAAAGTGATCCGGGTAGGTCGAGGAGAGGAAGGTGGTGAGATTGTCGGGGGAGAAGTGGCGGAAGGGGCAGCCGTGGTTCTCTTGAGATCCGTTGGGTTGGTTCTGGGTGAGGATGGTCTGGCAGCTTTGCGAGATCAGTCAAGAGTCACGAGAGAAAAGGTGGGGACGTACTCTTTGGGCGGATAATTGGCACGTTTACCTTCTTGACCGTAACTATGACGAATGTTGTACTTGTAATTCTTGTTGAAATCGTCATCCGTCATCTTGGGACCGTAGCCTCGCCGCCAGAAGATGATGGCTTGGTCGAGGGGTACACCAAGACCCTAGGCGATGTCAGATCCATCCTGCAACACCATCTGGGTACGCACCTTGATGAACAATGTCAATTGCAATCTTCCGTAATGCTTCAAGTGATTATCTCTCTTGAGCGAATCATACAAGTGGCGCATACAGGGCGGGAAATGCTTTCTCGCGACCTCGTCGATGGTATCGGCGGTGATGGTATCTCCGGCGTTCTCGGCGGGCTGGTAGTCGGCATCTCCAATACCAGACAAGAAAGACGCGACCAGGTGGTCAATAACCGGGCCAAGACGCTCGTCCTCGTCCAACCGGGGGAGATTTTTGGCGGTGAATTCGAGCGCCTTTTCGAGGCGGTCGCAGAACAGCTGAAGCACGAGCGAGAATTGGAGGGATTGGGGGACATAGGCGAAACCGCCCTTGATGAAGACCTTTCGGCTGCCGACAAGGTCCGGGACATTGTACCATGGAACCTTGTACCAGACGTCGTTTCTATGGTGCTCGCCCTTTACAGACGAGGTCATGGCTTTGAGCTGGGTGGCCAGCTCGGCCTTTTCAGCATCGTCGACCTTGTCGTAACCGAAAGACACCGAGTCCAAAAACGCCTCTCTCTCTTGCTTGTCATCCGATTCGAATCGCGACCTGAATAGCTGAGATTCAGCGCGAATGTAGCGTTGTCGAAGATCGGGGCTGTTTGGACAAAACGCGTCAATATTATTCGTCCCCTGGGAAGACGCGAACAGTGTAGCAAACTCACCTGCGACAGAACGCCAGCCTCAAGACCCAATGTCCTATTTCGTCTCGCCTTCTCTGATCATCCAAATTTTCATTCTTGGCAGTGCTGCTGGCGAGTGGTATGTGGGTTTTCGAGTACTTGTCGAGCTGGGACGCGAACTGGGTGTACTGTAATGACCGATGTGATAAAGATTCGATATATGAGAGGACGCGTAGTCGGGCAATAGCACACGCTTCAAACTCTTCAAGAGTGATATCGAGGGACGGCGGTCGCTCGTAACTGGCATACAGATCAGCACAAGACCCAGGCGCGTCGCGTAAACTCACAGATTGAGGCGGTAGGGGTAGGGGGAGTCGCGCCTGGTGTTGTGGCCGCGCTTGCTGAGTTTGACCTCTGGGGCGGCGTAGCTGGAGGAGGAGGACTGCCTGAGGGCGGGGCGGAACATGGCGGTGGGAGGAAAGAATGCAAAGACGCGTCTCGACATGAAGTTAAGTGTTTTGGCGCGTCTGGCTTATGTAAGCGGCGGGGATGTCCACTCCACGTCGTCTATAGTAGATGGGATGAGATGGATGTCTCCTCACTTGCACTCCAAAAGCAGCATGCGGCTCACGGCGTCCCCCCTGCCCCTCCTGCCCCTCCTCTCCCTCGCAGCCCTGGCCGCAGCAAAGTCCGCCACCGGCGACCGTGTCCTCGTCGTCCTCGAGTCCGCAGTTGCCAGAGACGACTACTCTCATTTCTGGGCATCCCTAGAGCGTCAGTGGAAGCAGGCGTACCCAGAGAGGGGCTGACAATAGTTGCAGAGCGAGGGTTTCAGCTCACATTTAGAGACACAAAGGCTAGAGACGCCGAGCTCATCAAGTATGGTGAAGCGCAGTATGACCACTTGATCCTCTTTGCACCCTCATCAAAAAGCAAGTCCCATCTAGTTGACTTTGTCGCAGCGCTAACAACCTTGTAGCAATTGCCCCAGGATTTGCTCCCAAGGCGGCCCTCGAAGCTCAGCTCAAGGGCCTCAACACTCTCTACCTCCTGTCGTCCGACATTCCCGAATCCCAACGCGAGTTCTTTAGAGAATACGACCTCGAATTCGTCTCTCCTGAAAACACCCTCATCGACGCCTTTGCTCATCCCTCAGACCAAAGCCTCTCTACCGTCCTCCTCTCCCCCACGGAAACCGCCATCCGAAATGGCCCGATCCTCTCCAACTCTACCCTCACCGGCGGACCCATCATCTTCCCTCAGGGCACTGTCCACACTACTGGACAGAACCCCTACCTGATCGACGTCCTCCACGCTCCCAAGACTGCCTACATTGGACAAGTCAAGGCCGTTACTGGAGACGAGGCCGAGGTAGAGAAGGCTGTTGGCGGAAAGAAGGGCAAGGATGCGTTGCAGACTGGAAAGAAGGCCACGTTGGTCAGTGCTTTGCAGACCAGGGACAATGCCCGAGCTGGTTTCGTGGGCAGCGGTGCTTTGTTGAGTGACAAGTACTGGGGCAAGACTGTCAAGACCCTCGATGGCAAGACGTGAGTGAGCAATGATCTCGCCGTGGCTATGCTGACGCAAAAGTAGTGTTGAGACTGGTAACGCTGCTTTCGCGACCGACTTTACCAAATGGGTCTTCCAGGAGACTGGTGTCGTCAAGATTGTCTCTTCAACCCACTGTCGTGAAGGAGAGTCTGAGCCCCGAACATTGTACACCAAGAAGGACGATATTGTATGTGCTTACCTGTCCATCTGTCGTTCAAGCTGACCCATACTGAAGACCTACTCCCTTACTCTTGCCCAACACGCCACTCTCCCCGACGGCACCACCGCTTGGAGCCCGTTCCTCGCCGACGACATTCAGATGGATTTCACCATGCTCGACCCCTTTATCCGCACCGCTATGGTCGAGGACAAGAATACCACATCTGCCGAGTCTACGACTTATCAGGCTAGGTTCATCGCTCCTGATAGGCACGGTGTCTTCAAGTTTGTCGTTGAATACTGGAGGCCAGGGTGAGTCTTGAGCCATGTAGAGCGAGATCCAGCTGACGGTCTGCAGATGGAGCTACATCCGCACTTCGACAACCGCCTCTGTCGTCCCGCTCCGACACGACCAGTATCCCCGGTTCATTACTGGCGCCTGGCCCTACTACATTGCTGCCATCAGCACTAGTGTCACTTTCTTGGCGTTCTGCGCTATCTGGGTGTCGCTCGGTGAAGCCGACAGGGATGTAAAGGGGAAGAAGAAGGCCGAGTAGAGAGTAGAAGGACAAGAAAATGCATTGAATCCGTTTGCGACTTGCTGCAATCCCCATCAGAGTTTTTCGGATCGACTTCGCAGACGACGTGTTAGCAACAAGACAGTACATGAGACAAGATATATCCCTAAGCAGCCCAATCCTTCCCCTTCAGCGCCATATCATCTCCCTTCCTCCACCTATCCAAGACAAATTCCAGCTTATCCAGTGCCATCCCACCATCTCCCTTCAATCCTCCTCCCTGCAGACCCTCTCTCTCCAAAACTTCCCTGATCTTGTCCGTCTGAATTCTGCCATAGACAGAGATGCACTCTGCCAACGCAATCTCCAGCCAAGTAGTCACGAGCGTAGCTATAGGTGGCGAAGCAGGCATTGGGTCTCTCAATGCCAGCGCCATCCACGTCCACGCGTAGCTCAGCCTCATTGGCACTGGTATGAGCTGCTCTAGTTGTTGTGGCGTTGGTAGTGGGGTGGGGAGGGTGGATATGAGTGATGGGATGGGCGTTTGAAGGATGGCAAAGAAGAGGGTGGAGAGGGAAGACATGCGGGAGATGTACTCGTGCGACGATTCGTCGGTACCACGGCCTGTGGACTGTTCGTACTCTTCGCGGGATTGATTCTTGTACAATGTCAGCTTTGCACGGATATACAGAAAGCGCGCTTACAGGCTGTCTGGCAGGGTAGAAGGGCACAACCCAAGGACACTTTTTCACAAATCTTGCAAACAAGATGTCGCCTAGCGCCGCGTGGCCCCTCAACATCAAGCCATACACAATCTTGCCCAGTGGATAAGCTGATGCAGGCTTTGAAGTGATTTCTGACTGGGCCTGCGATATGAGGACTTTGGAGATGTGGGATAGGAGATAGGCGTAGGGTCTAGGGATGTCGTTATTGAGGACGATGGGGGAGGCGGTGGTGGGCAAGGTGGGTAAATGTTGTACGAGGATGTCGTGAATGTCGTTCGTCTATTGTAAAGTCAGTGACTGCGCTCAAAAGACAAGACGCAGACTTACGATCTTGGTGACCGACTCTTTCGTATTCAGCGTTTGCCCCAACCACCTGGTCATCATTCTCTTGCTCTTGTTCAGAGCAGTCATGGTCGGCTTGTCCGCCTTGACAGCTTCGATGACTTCACTCTTCATCCACTGCTGCTTTTCCACGTATTGCCTCCACATGGCACCCGCCTCGCCCTTCTTATCTCTTCTGCGAGACTCCAACTGAGCCTTCTCCTCTGCTTCTTGTCGCTGCCTCTCTTCAGCTTCCTTTGCAGAACGCGCCTGTTGCTCCTTGAGGGCGAGTTCTTTGGCGCGCCGTTCGACTTCGGCTTTTTGGGCAAGAGCGAGTCTCTCAGCAGCGGCAATCTTAGCGTCTTGCTCTTCCTTCTCCTTTTTTGCTACAGCTTGGGCGTCTGCAGCAGCTCTCGCTTCGGCCTCGGCGTACTGCTTCTCGGCAGCCTTGATAACACCATCGATATCCTCCCACAACGCCTTCTCCCGCTCTTTGAATGTCCTCTGCAGCTCTTCCTCTTCTTTCCGATGCCGTATGACGAGTCCCTCCAGCATCTGGCTCATTTCTTCCGCTTCGCGGGACATTTGCACTTGTTGGAGAGATTGGATCTTTTGCCGGGCATTGGAGGAGATGTCTCGGATTTGGGAGCGTTGCAGAGCGACTCGCCGTTGGTTATCGCGCTGTCAAGTATTAGCTTTGTGCTAATTGAAGAAGTGATATCATACCCAGGCGTCCAGCTCGGTCTTCTTGACCCAACCCTCATACCCATCTTCGTCCCGCAGAGCGTCCGCCAGGTCGGTTTTGGTCTTTGATGGAATACTGGTCGCAGAGCGTGTCAATAGCGAGTTGCGGAGTAAGGCAGGGGCGTGGGATCGTGAGACTGATTTCTTCTGCGAAGAGCTAATGAGAGGTTAGAGAGACGTGGGCGGATCAAGGAATACCACGCACCTGCCAAAAACGTTCCAAGGCTGGCTTTTGCTCGATGATTTGCTCGAGCTCATGCCTGACCTAGGACGACTCGGTCCGGGGCCGAACCCCATAAATTCGACCTCATCCTCCGAGTCCAGCTCTGCGTCTAGCTCGTGGTCTGTTTCCCTTTGCTTGCCTTTGCCGGAGCGACCGCCGAATCCGATGAACTCGATGCTACCATCCGAGGCTGTGGTTTCGTCGTCACTAGAGTCGAGTGCTGCGCGAAGGGATCTTCCTAGGGATGAGCGGGGTTGTGTGTTGACCCTGCAAAGTGTCAGCGTGGCGGGTGCAAGGGGAATACAGGACGGACCACTCGAGGCCATCTAGACTATCGTCGTCGTCGTCAGAGTAGACTGAGGCATGGACTGGTGCGAGGATGTCGTAGTCCGAGTCCGAGTCGACGTCTTCCAGGGCAAAGCGCATTGTGTGGGAGTATAGTTGTGGAAGGAAGATCAAGATGCAGCCATTCTGTGCGTGTTGACGGAAACAGTTGCGGCGGTCGCCACTCAGGTGCTGCCCTCTAACATCATCATATTCATGCAGCATCTGATGTCTCTCTCCATGCACCAGCCATGGCAGCATCCCTCCTCAGCACCGCACAGGCAGCCTGGGCGCTGCACCTCCTCCTCGCAGTATTCTCCGCCGTCGCCATCGCATCCTGCGCCCCAGCAGCCGCAGGGGGTAAGCACTCGTCTCATACCATCTCTCTGCTGACACCCGACAGGCTCAGAGATGTATGCCGGAAGTCCCGGGGATATCCGTGGCGTCGTCGTCGTCCTTGGATCGTCGGGCCTTATAGGCGTGGCTATACTGTAACTAGAGACTGTACGAACAAGATCGCGCTCATCTGGTACAGACGCATTGCATATATCACGCTCCCAAAAACATGGAGGCTGTATCTGGATCGCATAGAATTCAGTCTCATTGCCATGCTGTGGATATGCTGGACCTGTGCGTTACAACCCTCCCCATTTGACATGACTGACTGTCGACTCAGCCGCCACCATGGCATTCTCCGCATTCACGCTTGAGCAAGGAGTATGCTCCCCGACGCTACCCGAAGTCCTCTTCCCCACCTGCCCTCTCCTGACATTCGACCTCTCCCTCCTTCACCTTTTATCTCTCTGCACATTCGCGCTCTTGCTCGTCATACTCTCGAACGCGCTGTCGCCGGGGTATTACGCGAGTTTGCTGGAGGATGAGGAGGTTGCTGAAGCGGCGGGGGTGGGAAAGACTACTGGGGGGCAGGGATTTGTAATGTGGGAGCTCGCGGTGGGGTCGGAGACGGGTTCTCCAATCCTCGGACCGAGTAGAGCAGAAGACAGACCGAATACTGCCTCAACATCAGTCTCTTACGGCACCCTATCCCCTACAACTGCTCTTCGCAATCCTTACGCACCAGAACACGCGGAAGCGCAAGATACATCAGACCCTCTTTTTCCCGCACCAACCAAGAGAGACAAATTCCCCGAGGGCAGGCTGTGGACATACCTTCCGATGGCCTTGTGTTCGATAGGCGTGGCATTTGCGGGGGTGGTGGCGTTGAATGTCGGGGTCATGTCGTCGAGTGTCGTGTTTGTGCTTGTGATTGCTATCCTGAGCTTGATTTTCTCCGCCGTCTGGTGAGTCTTTATATGCTACACCGAGCACGACTGACCGTTCATAGCATCAAAGCACACTTTTCCCGAGATCAAAAGCCTCTCGATGGCGACTCTTTCATCAGCCGCCGTCAAATGCGAGCCATAGAAGTGGCAGCGGCCTCGACCTTCTTCATCCTTTGGCCCCTTGCTGCCATCATATACACCCTCCATCCTTCTACCCCATATCTTCCCTGCTCCAACCCTGCTTCGTCCGCCGTCCCCTCGCCCCGTGAAGACGCCGACCTGGAAGAGTCTGCGGCTCTGTGTACGGCGAGTGTAGTAGTCGTGACGCTAGCATGGGCTGCAGGGTGGATAGGGCTCAAACGGATCATGGGATTGGTCTTTCCGTTGGCCGATATCAAGCCATCTGTGGTTGGTGATGCCGAAGGTGCAAGGGGGGCGGGTGAAGAAGCTGTCAGCCTCTTGAGTAAGAAGCGGACGCAGTCGAATGAGAATGAAATCCGGCGGCCCCAGGTGGGCTGGGGAAGGATCGTTGCAGGTGAAGCATTTGAGCTTGGAGAAGACGAGGATTGTGAAGTGATACAACTGTAAATGTTTTACTGGCGTGTTTTGTAGTCATAGAGCCTTTTAATCGGTTATTTCTTTTGTCTGTAGCTACCCTGTCTGGTTGTAACCAAAGTGAAATTTGATAGAGTCATCCCTCGGTATAGATTGTGTGTTGATATATACAAGCAGCAATAATACAATGAAGTTGCTCTCAAAGCTCATCTCTCACCCTTTGTTCTCCTTCCGACTCTTCGTCATCATCTTCAGAGCCTTTGAGGTACTGGCGCAGGATCTGCTGCAACAACTCTCTCTCCCCTCCCTTGATACCAACCTTTTTCTCCTCCTCTCCATCGCGCACCAGCATGTCTGCCTCCACCAACACTGCCCCACCTTCGTCATCTTCATCCCACGCGAGTAGCAGTACCTCGCCCTCGTTCTCTTGCTGCCCTTCATCAACACTCTCACGCCTCGCTTCTTGAGCCAGTGCGCCCAGAGCTTTTTTGAGTGCAGCTTTGATGTCTTCGTCCTTGTCGACGCCAAAAACGACTTGTTCCAGGATAACGCCCTGCTTGATTTTGTTTGGTTCGGCTGAATCTTTTGAAGCCTCGTCTGCTTTGGGCTTTTCCCGAGCAGCGGCGAGACCAAAGCGGAGATTGGGAAGTTCTTTGCCTGGCTTGGCAGAGAATGACTGTTGCTCTTCGCTCTTTGCCTCTTTGTCGCTCTTCACCGCACCAGCCAAGCTCCTCTCCTTCTCCCACTCTTCCCACTCGTGGTCCCCCACAACCTCCCGGCACATCACTCCGGCACCTCCCACCTCGGCCTCTCTGGCCCTGAACCCTGGCAGCCCACACAAGTGCGGACTATGTATGATCATGACATACTGGCAGATGGCAACCTCCTTGATCATGTAGATGGTATCGGAGGAGGTCATTGAGCAGTGGACTTGCAATTCGGTAGAGCGGGGACGAGATGTTTTGTCACAACGAGTGCCGTCCGACCAGCGCTGGATGAGGTACCGTGAGGAGGCGCCATGGCCGAATGAGACGGAAGGAGAAGTCGACGTCTGTCCAGAGGTGGAATCGACAGACTTTTTGGCTTCGTGCGCTGGAGAACCGGGCTTGGCACCCTTCACTTTGGATCTCGAGAATTTGCTCTGCGACCTTTCGTAGGAAGAGTCGAATTGAGCGCGGCCGAGCGTGTAGCCTTCGTAGTTGGGGTCTTCTTGCGGCACGTACCCCTGTGTCGGATGGGCATGGGGGTGGGCGGCAGCCCTGAATTGACGGATGTAAGAGTTGTGGCAGTATCTAGAGAGCTTCAGTTATGTCTAGGCATAGATCGAGAGCCTACTCACGCGTATGTAAACCACCCCTGTTTGGAGTATAGACACTTGCCGTCGAGATGCGACAGCGCGGCCCACCCCTGGGCAGGGTCGAGCTCGTCTTCGACTTCTTCCAGCTGATCAAGGGTGGCGAGTTGAGATCGGGTCGTATTCTGGGAGGGCATGAGGCAGAGGTATTGGTGTGGCGCCTCGCTTGGATCTGTATCTCTGGGAGAAAAGTTCATCGGTATCAGATCCAGCTTCTCCTGCGCAGGTATCAGTAACAGCACTGTACAAACACTGGCAATCGTACCGTGGGATCATCTCCCAATCTTTTTCCTCGGCCCGGTATCAGCTGTTCCCATTCACTTTGACTCCCCAGCCCTACCTCCCGCACGAGTTTGGCCACGCTCTCGGAGATGGGATAGTCGTTGAGGAACTGGACTTGGTATTTGGGGTAGGCGTAGAGGTCGCGGAGGTGGTGGGGGCCTTGGGTGAATGCGAGGGCGAGCGGAGGGAGGAGGAGGAGGAGGGAGGTGGGGAGGGAGGGCATGACGTTGTTGTACAGAACGTCGCTATATGTCCAACTTGATTCAAGTGCCACGGTGACGACTGACGCTCTTCAATTTGGTTCCGCTTCGCCGGCGGGCACCCAGTATGTGGTCCCTTTCCATCCCATTCTCTCTCTATGTACTATGATCTCACACGTTCGAATCCTTACATCCCTCAGTTCTTTTCAGCACACCGCAGAGTCTCAGGCCGCGCAACAGCCCTTGGACACTCCAGGGAGTCCAGACTCAGGATATGCAAGGCTGATCCTGGGCTGATCATCATACGTCGCTGCTATAGTCTGTGGTCTTAGTCTTCTACTCAAGCACATTGAGAGCGCCATCTGCCAGGGAATATCCTCAGGTGCACTGCATAGCGCGTCGCGTCCTCCATCCTATTCCTCGGCGTCCCTTTGTTCTGGAGCGGTGCCTGGGCCATTGTTCGTTGTTGACAAGTCAAGGGACAATGAACCGATTGCTTGGATACAGCCCAGTATCTACAGCACCCCTTGCTTCTACATCCATCTCTTCTGTCTTTCTTTCCTCATTGACATACCAACATCCATCCCGGCACCCAACGTTCAACTACACCGCCACAACGCCAGACACCATCGTCCTGTCAACAGCTCGTCATGCCCGACACGCCGCGCACCTACTCTGAGCCCCTCGTGACCCCGGGTACCACTCAGAGCACCACCTTGTCCCCATCCATTCTTCGTACCAGTCTGGACAATCAAGGGCCACAAGACAGCGTCGAAGAGCTGGTTCGTCCAGTAGAGATGCCCGTGGGATTACTCGACACGTCCTCTCTAACGCCCGTTGATGTCAAGGCAGATCTGGTTTTGAAGTCTATTGCGCAAAAGCAAGAGCCTGCCAGGGTAAAGCCCTCATCGGCCGGGACTGGGTTCGTAGCTCGTCCGGCGCCAGTGAAGAGGGAGAATGTGGGACCGAGAATGACCAAGGCGGCGGCTCTTCGCCAAGGTCTAGCCTGGGATGAAGTCAAGCCGAAGCGGGACGCACAAGCCAAGAGTGAAAAGGAAGAGAAAGAGAAAGGGGTGCCGGGGTACAAGAGAACGGGACTGAATATCGTGAGTGCTACGAGGTGTGACGAGATGTTGACGGAGGTTAGAATGTGGCTTCACTAGGCACTCCGAGCATCGTCCCCAGACAGACAAAGTCGTCGCAGTTGAGGACAGGCCAAGCGGGGACGCCTCAGAGTGTTGTCAAGAGAGATCCTGAAGCGATTGCGGCTGCCAACAAAGCCAGGCAGCAGGATGAAAAGGAGCGCAGGCGGACGAGTATCATGACGCCTGCTAGCTTGGGCGCGCCGAGCATCGTGAGTGATGGTCAACCAATAAGGGGATACGCTACTCACGATAAATCAAGGCGCCGAGGCAGACCAAGTCGTCAATGCTTCGCACGGGTGTCATGCCTCCAGACTCGGTATCGAGCGGTTCTTCGATAACAAGGGCAATGTCTTCCCTCAGTGTCGAGCGTACACCTGTTGCAAGCAGAACCCACAGCAGTGTAGATCTGCCGAGAGAGACAGAGGCAGAAGCAAAAGCGCGCAGAAGGTCCAGCGTCCAGGGAGTCAGAAGCCTAGGAGCGCCGAGCATTGTCAGTGGGCAAACGATCGTCGTTGATGAGACTAATCGTATCACCAGACGCCACGTCTGAACAGATCGGCGATGCTTCGCGCTCCCCACACCTCTCACGCATCTATATCACACCCGCCGTCGTCGTTCACCTCGCAGAGCGACTATGCCGCCTCGCCGCAGCTTCGTCCCCGGCCGTCATCTTCAGCGTCCGGGGTGCAGAGTACGAGTACGGTTTCCATGCGACGGGCGGCGCCCTCCCCGGGCCCCAGGCCTACAAAGTCGAGTCTGCTGCGTGCGGCACAGAAGGCGTTGTCTTCCGAGAAGTAGATGCTGTGTAGAGTGGGGTGATTTGATGCCGGAACTGGTTTGTAGTGTTGTAGAGGAATCATGTGGCAGAGGGGGATGCGTGGCAAGGCCGACGACTGGGCATGTGACTTGTTTCGAGAGCCCTTCCTGTGCCACATTCTGGCCACATTGAGAGGCCTTCCATCGCGGTGCCTGGACATCTAGGAACTATCTCGGGCAACGGACGTCATGAGACGTCATCTTATCAGATGCTGTTGTCGCTCCGGATATGCTCCCGTCCCGCTGCATGTTACTTTTCTGCTGACAAAGCAGACCCTAACCTATATAACTGTAGCAGCAGCCAGCCCCCAGTAACACCCCCACCGCCATATCATGTCCGCCATATTCACCCTCCCCCATAGACGCCCCTCCGAGCAGGACGACGCAGCCTGGAGCATCAGCCGCGAGATCGAGACAGGCCTCCGCGGCACACCACAGCCCACCGTCCCGGGATCGACCCCCGAAGACAGCAAGTGGGCATTCAAGAGAAGCGTCCCCACGGTCGTCCTCTATGACGAAGAGGGTCTGCGGTATGTCTCCGCCTTCGTCACGCCGCACATGCTCATCGCTCCACAGGCTGTACGACAAGATCACTTCTGATGCCCCGGAGTACTACCTCTTCAACGACGAGCTCAACCTGCTAAAAGACCATGGCAAAGAGATCGCTCGGTACATGGGCTTCCAGGGCGGTAAAGAAGAGCATGGTCACCAAGAGACCGGCTACCAATCCGGGCCAGAACCGAATTGGAAGCCCGGACGATGGGGAGATGCAGCCGTGGGCAAGCACAACATTGGGGTAAATGGCGAGCAAGGCCTTGGTGGAGGGTGGAAGCCGGGATGGGACGTCGTCGAGCTGGGCGCAGGGTGAGTCTCTCAACACAAATAGTGCCAAGTCTGACACCGCATAGTGCTTTGCGCAAAACGGCCCACCTCCTCACCGCCTTGACCGACTCTCTACCCCCAGCACCCTCCGATGCCGCTTCCATACCCGCACCCATCACATACCACCCGCTCGATCTGTCTTACCCCGAGCTCGATCGGGTCCTCAAAGAGATGAACGACGCCATCGGCGACAAGATTGACGGCAAAGTCGCCTGTGTCGGTCTTCATGGCGACTATGAGGCTGGCCTGCAGTATATTCGAGAGGGTAGACTTGCAGAGTTGCGAGAATGTCTCGCGGGCGGTACTGGCCTCTTTGAGGGGACTGCTCCTCAGGCGATCCCTGCCAGAGAGACCGTCGCAGAAAGCCCCACTGCCAGTCCTCTGTCGTCATACATCATGACCCCCCGAGAAGGCACCTCTTGCCTTCCCCCTCTTGACGACGACAGCATCAGCCATAAACGCTCCTCCTCCGCTCACAGCACATCTTCCGAGTCTGCTGAAGAGCGTTTCAAGATTTATATGGGCAACGCCCAGACCCAGCAGCAAGTCCGCGAGGAAGCCTCCCCCGGCGGCGGCAAAAACACACCTTCAGAAAGCACCAGGCCTTTGCACTATGTCTTCCTCGGGTCGTCCTTGGGCAACTTTGATCGTCCCTCGGCGGCACCTTTCCTCAAGTCGCTTCCTCTCCGACCTGGAGACACCCTTCTCCTGGGTCTAGATGGCAGGCCTGCGCCAGGCCCTGAGGGCAACGAAAAGGTCAGAGTGGCTTACAATGATCCGTCCGGCCATACTAGGCGATTCGAAGAGCACGGATGGGATGTCGTCAAGCAAGAGCTCGGTATCAAAGGTAATGTCGAGTTCGTGGGACGATACAATGAAAAACTAGGTAAACTTTGATCTATCAGAAGCATGGACTTGGACTGACCTTTGTATTCAGGGCGACACGAGGCGTATTATCGATCAAAAGAACTCCAAACGATACATCTGGCGACCTACAACGAGGACATTACGTTGGAAAAGGGCGAACTCCTGAACATTGAATGGTCTTACAAGGTGAGTGGTCCGTGTTTCGTCTTTTTGTCATGCCATCGCCAGGCTCCTTTCATGCCTGATTCTGCTGCTTCCAGATTCGTTCTACTTGATGATGACTCAATACTCACACTTCCCCCCAGTATTCGCATAAAGAGGCGATGGACCTCTTCACCCAAGCCGATCTTCGCGTCATCAACTCCTGGAAAGCTCCCTCCAGCGACTACCACCTCTACCTCCTCGAACGTCCTTCCGTCAGGTTCATCGCTCCACCCACAAACGATATCGCTCAAGACAAAATGGTGGCACTCAGCATGCATGATAGTGTGAGTGGCGGATGTTTGGAAAAGGTCAAGGGGATTCCCAAGTGGGAAGAGTGGATTGGGCTTTGGGGACTATGGGACCAGTAGGTCATTCATGCGAGGTTATGGAGATGTGGCTGACGGCATTCAAGTATCACGCTGCAGATGATTCCCAAGGAGCTTTTGCACAAGAAACCTATTGACTTGAGGCACGTCTGTCTCTTCTACTTGGGCCACATGTAAGTACCACCGCAGACTATGGGCCATCTGCTGACCCTACTCAGTCCGACCTTCTTGGACATTCATCTGACTCGGATGACCAAGGGTAAACACACCGAGCCCGAGTACTTCAAAACAATCTTTGAGCGAGGCATCGACCCTGACGTCGATGACCCCACGCAATGTCACGTAAGCACCTATCGTCAACATTGATTGACCTACTGCTGACTCGAGTAGGATCACTCTGAAGTTCCCATGTCGAAAGAAGACTGGCCCGCTCTTGCCGAGATCCTTGTTTTCCGAGACCGCGTCCGCCAACGGCTCCTGAGCATCTACACCGATTACGCTACTGGCAAACGAACTCTGTCTCGGCATGAAGGTCGGGTGATCTTCATGGGCTTTGAGCACGAGGCCATGCACGCCGAGACCTTGCTCTACATGCTCGCTCAGAGCCCCATCACCCGAGCACCGACAGCTGTCAAGGCCCCAGAATGGGACATTTTGGCAAAGCAATGGAAGAGCGAAAAGGCGGAGAACAAGGTACTCAGCATTTCCGCTGGGGACGTGGTGATGGGCCATGATGATGCCGAGGCGGACGATGCCAAGTATCCCACCACCGACGGCTGGGAGAACCACGGGTTTGGTTGGGACAATGAGCATCCTCACGTGTTTCAGCATGTCAAGGCCTTCAAAGCCGACTCATTGCCAGTGACCAACAATGACTATCTCGCTTTCCTCACAGCTACTGGCGCCCTCAATGGTCTCAGTGACGAGAATGCGCCCGCTATGTGGACCAACGTCAGCGAACAAGGTGCATCGCCCGAGTGGCACATCAAGTCGTTCTACGGCCCCGTTTCATTCGAGGTCGGAGGCGACTGGCCGATGATGGGCAGCAAGCTCGAGCTGGAGGCTTTTGCAAAGTGTAAAGGAGGTAGGCTGCCCACTGAGGGGGAGATGAGGCGGCTCTGGGAGAGTGAAGAGGGGCCCAGAGTGGCTGGCACGGTCAACAACATCGGTGCTCAGAACTGGCACCCTGTCCCGTAAATTTTGATGTCGTCTCCTTTAGTTCGCGCACTGACAAGTCTTCAGCCCTACCAACACAGTCACTGACAATGCCGGGAACGTCATCCACGGCCACAACGGCGGAGTTTGGGAATGGACCGACACGCCTTTCCAAGGGCTGGATGGCTTTGTCACCTCTGAGCTTTATCCCGGCTACTCTTCCGACTTTTTCGACGGCAAGCACTTTGTTGTGGTGAGTCTGGCAGTCCTGTTATTGGAGTGGGGCTGACCAGGAGCGCGCAGATTGGTGGGTCATATGCGACCATCCCTCAGATTGCAGGCCGCAAAACTTTCCGAAATTGGTACCAGTCCAACTACAAGTACTCCTTTGTCGGCGGTCGAGTTGTGTACGATATCTGAACCGAAGGGTATTGAAATAAGACCAGTTTGTGTAAGCATTGTATTGCAGGAAAAGAAAGCAAGCAAAGATAAAGTCAGAAGTAACATGTAACAAGAAGAAAAGAAGGAAATAAATCATGGGGTTGAAGTACAATGTTGACAAGTATGCATCATCATGCTCTGTGCGCATCTTGTTGTCATATATCATTTTGCATAGAAAGAACAATCAATTAAACAGCCCGTATGGTTATACTGGATCCCCGCTTTCCTCTTCCCAGGCCTACTGCAAAGAAGCGCTCCAGAGGGCGCCGACGAAAGTAAGGATCAGTCGTGGGCGAACGTCGACAATGTCTGGAACGATACTGTCAGCTGTGTCGTCTGGAGAGCTACCGGTGGACTTGCCTTCGGGAACCAAAAAGATCAAAGCACCCAACTTTCGCGCAATAGAGATGGCCAACTTGGCTGCGATATGATCAGCACTCGGCACCGGAACATGTCTTTTGATCTCACCGTTCATCCTCTTTTCTTCCTCATTCGTGCCCGGTGTGACTAGACTGTAGTCCACAATACCAGGCCTCACACCGTTCAACAGATCCAAAAAGAAGACAGCGGTCGAAAGACTGGGGTCCTTGAAGCTTCTCATGGCACTGCTCTTGCCGCTACTCTTGACAGTCTCATTCGCCCACTTGATGATATCCTGATCGGTCACTCCCTTGCCGTTCTTTGAGATGCTCGCCAAAGTCTGGTTGATGCTCAACCTCATCAACTGCCAGACCAGACCAAGCACCAAAGTACGAGTACCGTCGACAATGTCGGAACCCTGAATACCGACCATGTGCATGCCGTTGGCAGAGGCGAGATCGACAGAGTAGTTTGTGTTTTCGACAGCCTTGAAGCGGGACAGTTCTTGACCCTCGCGAGGCTTGGAGACTCGGCGCCAGATGACAGAGCCGGGAATGACCTTGTCAAAGCCTTGTAGGAGGATAGTACCGTCCTTGAGGTCTTCAAACAAGTTGTAAACTCCCGGCTCGACATCCAAAGAGTTGAGCCAGAGCGTAAAGACTCGGGCTTCCCTCTCGCCTTCGGCGTCAAAGTCCTCGATGGGAGGAGGAGCTTCAGTCTCTTCAAGAGGGGCGAGGCCTGGCCAGGTGTTGAAGAGGTTGGCGACAAAGGCCAAGTTCAACTTGGGGTTACCGTTGACGAGAGAGTTGGGGGTAAGGAATCTACGACATCCAATCTTGTCGGCGTTCTGCAACACTTGCTCGGCCCGCTGGTGAAGGTCAGAGGTCTGGAGAGGGGCTCGAGAACACTCGTCGGGCTTGAGCTGGTTGAGAAGGACAGTGTAGTTTTCGGCGTCAGAAACGTCACGAGAAAAGTTCTCAACCCTGATCACACTTCAGCTACTCTTCTGATGGGAATGTATCACGACTCACCGTCTGTGCCACCCAGCGGCCTTGAGGTGGTAGTTGAACCATCTCAGCAAGATCTGATCGGGGGGCAACCTCAAAAACTCCTCCAGGGTCTCATCGTCTTCCAACAATCTATAGAGCTCGGGGTGAATCTTGATATCAATCTTGCTCAAAAGACCCCTCCTGATGACCTGCCAGATCAAGCCCAAGATCAAATGCTCTCTTCCTTCGATCAAATCTTGAGGACCAATGTTGACGACTGAACATCCGATACCCTTGGCAGAGGTAATCACAATGTTGTTGTTTTCCGTCATCTGGAAAGCGTTGAGAGGACGGGCCTTGCCAGCCTTGACGGCGGGCTTGTTGAGGACCCGCTCATCGATGGTTTCGGGCACAGAGTCGTTGATGAGTTTACAGAGAATGAGACCGTCTAAAGAAGAATTAGCGTGGTCATCTCCAGTACAATAAATACACACCTCGCACTTCGTCAAAGAGCTGCATCGTGTTGGTGGGGATGGGGAGAAGGTGGCCGATGTCTCGGTCTGCGGCGAGCGACTGATTGCAATCGTGTTAGCGTACGTCTCCGGTTTTCTACTCGTTGCGTACAGTGTTGATATGGTCGGTGAATGATGCTCTCTCATCTTCATTCATAGAGTGCTGGGCATTGGTACCGGCAGTGCCCTTGACAGAGATTCGGCCCTTGTTGTGTTCAAGCCTACCCAAGTTAGTCACCTATCTAGCAACAGGAAATGTATACGCACACAGGGTTAGTCTTTGCGGCTTTCAGAAGAGAGTGCAGCTGGACCCAATCCTCTAGCTCGACTTTGCCTGAAGAATCAACATTGACGTTCTTGAGGGTCTCTCGGGCCTGTTGTATCATCCTAAGGTCAGCCTTCGTGCTCCATATCACCATTGTGCCCCGGGCGCAGAGGAGGGCGGTAGCACTCACAGAGTCGTAGTCGGCATCACCAGAAGATTGAAGCGATGCAATGACAGTCGCCTTGTCCAAGCTCCCCTTGTCGTCCACGTCAATCTGCCTGAGGGGAGTCAGTTGGCGATACGCGCAGTCGGGGCAGGCAGACCCACTTGAACTTGTTGATGAGGTCGAATATCTCGTCCTGCTTGAGGTCTGGGTACTTCTTTCCGAGCTTGATGGCCTGCATGGTGGATTGTGGAGATGCAGATGCAGGATGGATGCAATAAGACGACAACATGTACTGTGTGCCACTGCTGTTTACGTAAGAGCGAGTGACGTCAGGTCTTTCGGAGGGCCGCCATGAAAAGTGTTCGTTGTGATCTTTTTCTCTGCAGCACCATGGGTCTCCTTACAGCCCACGGGCCATCCTACGCCGAAGAGCAGCTCACAGCCCAGCTCGCAAACATCGCCACCCTCCCCGTCCATCTCCCCCCCACCGCCCAGCGCTTCTCCGCCTCAGCCCAGCCCTCGCACCACATCCAGACAGCCCTCTCAGACCTCTCAGACCCCAAGCAGCTCACAAGTCAGAAGCTTGTCCAGGTCTTGGAGGGACTTGTCGAGTCCAGGGAGCAGCAAGTGCACACCCAGGAGCAGACAAGTGAGCTCGATGAGCTTTTCGAGAAAGAGGTCGTAGGAAGAGCCGTCACTGTCCTCTGGAAGGAGATTCTAGACGAGTTTGTCCAGGGCGCACTGAAGCTCGAGAATGAGCGGGCATGGTGGGATTCGGTGCTCAACAGCCGGAGAGGGGTCAGCTACTATCTGATCCAGAGTGAGCCCATCTCCATCGCGACGACGTCAACCTCTAATTCTGGATAGCTATGCCCCATCGACTCTGGAGCGCCATCCCTCCGAGATCCCAATTCACTCTTTCAGCAATCAGAGACATTCGATTCCCTTCCAAAGACCTTCTCTTCAAACCCCTGCAGTCAACCACCTCTGCCGCCCTCACCTCCATCACTTCGCCCTGGACCTTGACCCGGCGAGAAATTCTCTCCTCGCGCACCGAGCTCACTCAAGCGCGAGATCGCGCTGCCCACAAGATTGGCGTACTTGCATCGCAAGGCCCGAGATGGGGGCAAGAACAAGAAGGCGTCCAGGCATTCGGCGATGTCGGGTCAGAGACGCAGCGAATTTACACAGCTCTGTGCTCAATCCTCGACGTCCCCTTACCCAAGCCCCGCAAATCGCGATCAGCGACACCCCCGCAGTCCATAGCTACCCCAACTACTCTTCTGGCTCTTCTCAAGACCCACCTCCCGTCATCAAAAGCTGTGCTTGAGCGCACTGTCACCAAAAATGGTAGACCTGGCTCCCTTACAAGACTATGGTTCCCGCTTCTCTTCCTGCCCCCCACGCTCTACATTGTTGTCACCAGCATTGCGAGAAACAAAGAATGGATGAAGGAGCAGGTGCAGAATGGGAAAGAGACTGTAAAAGGCTTCTTTGTCCAGTGGGTCTGGGAGCCATTGGAAGGAATTGGAAAGACTTTGAGGGGCGGTGGAGAGGGCCTAGGCGTTGCTCCTACCACTGTCAAATCTGATCAGGAGGTGAGTTGCTCAACCAGAGTACGATACATTTGTTGACACTTTTGCAGTCGCTGGAGAGAATGGTTTTGGATCTCGGTAAAGACTACTATCACCTGTCCGGCCCTGCTCTCGAGGCTTTGGGCGAAAAAGTAAAGACTGGTAACATGGAAGAGGTCTTGCGCGTCTATGAGAAGGAGCTTCAAGTAAGCAACGCAAATGGTAGAAGAGAGCGGATGTTGACCATATCTTTAGAGCCCCGTCAAGAACGCTCTTATGGGCAGCCTTATCAGGACCCTACTGATCCAAGTCCAAAAGACAAAGGTAAGCCCCGCCGCTTACTTTCACTCCATGGCTGACGCCCGGCTTCCAGACCGACCTCTCCCTCTCGCTTCTCTCACTAGACCACCTGCTCCGCTCCCAGCAGCTCACATTCGCCTTTGTCGGTCTTGCCCCTTCTTTACTCGTCCTCTACGCCACCGGCGGCTGGCTTCAAGGCATCTGGAAGGGCGAAAAACGAGGAAAGGGACGCAGACGGCAGTATTGGAGTTCTCTTCGGGACATTGAGCGGCTGTTGATCACGGCCCCCCATCATCAGAGTGAGATGAGTCCTCTCGGTCAGGGCCTGTTGATTGTTGGCGTCTCAAATTTGAGGGATTGGGCAAAGGGAATGGCAGGGGGCAAGAGGGAGGCGTTCATGGATGACTTGAGGATGTTGGAGAACCCCAGTTTGGGGAGGGGTGATAAGCTTCGAGTGGTGGAAAGGATTTGGAGATGCTGGGGCGTGGACGGACGGGGTAAGGTTTAGTAGAATGAACAAGTATGAGGCCTGGCCTCACGACAATAGCTGTACTCATGAATACAACTTGCATATGGTTCAGATACAGATTCCATGCCATCACACCAGACCTGCGCGAAGCATGATTTTGCCAAAATCGTCAAATGTCAAGCCACGACCTTCATGCTGACTGGAAAACAATGAGACCATGTCTGTGATCTACAGACTGTGTCAGTGCGACGCAGATTGTGGAGTCGAAACGAGCACTCACCTCTTCGTCACTCCACATCTCGCCCAGCACCCTGACCCATTCCTTGACCTCATCTCGCCCCAATATGTCTGCTCCTCTGCCAGTCTGCCTCCCCGGTGGCTTGAGCATATCCCATATAGTGCGCGCCATAGCTTTCTGGTTTGAAGACAGCTTGGCCACTTCCATCTTGCCCCTTCTCTTGGGTTTTGCAGGCCCTTTTCCCTTTTGTGTTGTAGCCGTTTTCGTGCCGCCAAATGCAGACCCAGACCACGAAGCCGAAGAAAAGTCGGATTCGGCCTCGGAGGGCTGGAAGGTATCTTGTCCCTCGTCCGAATCATCGCTGTCTATCTCGACATCCCGACTCTCACCCGCTTCTTCCTCAGGCCCCATCAACGCCGCACATACAGCTCTAAAGTCTTTCAATTCTACGCCGCCAGTCTCCAGACCATCGTCTTCCTGATCTCGCCGGTTACTCCTGGGGTCGTTCCAACCAGAGGCGGAGGCTCTAAAGACTTGTAGAACGTCGTCATCCGAAGGCAAGCCGAGCGACGTTAGGAGGGATGGGAGAAGATATACAGGGACTCTGGCAGCAGACGCCGAGGGAGAAGAAGGTCCTTGCGATACTGGTATTGACGAGGGGCCTTGGTCGGGGACATCCTCATCAAAGAAGCCTCCACCGCCATCGTCATCAGGCATGAAACCCCCGGCCCCACCGTCCGGTAAGAAGCCTCCAGCATTGTCATCCGGTAGGAAACCCCCCGCATCGTCGTCCGGCATAAATCCTCCAGCATCCTCCTCTGGAAAGAATCCCCCACCTCCTTGGTCGCCCCCAACATCTTCTTCTGCGCCACCAACAGAGACGGCTTGGCCATCCGCGACCTTTCTCCGCTTTCTTTTCTGTGACTTGGCACCCGTAGATCGGATACCCTTGTTGAATGTCTTGTCGATCAGTCGGCGCTGTTTGACACTGAGCGCAAGGTATTCTGGGTCGCCTTCAGGTTCGATGGCTGGTCTCGAGTCGGCTGGGTAGCGGGAGGAGGATGCAGCGGCTCTTCTTGAACGGGAGGACTGTGGGTTTTTAGCTTGTTTTTTTTCAGCTTGTGACGGTGGTAACTGGGGAACTTACCATGGCTGCGGTATTCCAGCGGGGGTTGTTTAGAAGACGATGCTGTTTCTGATAGTTGTCGGAGACCAAACGGTGATCGGCGGTGGTGGCTCGAAAGTGGAGGCCAACCGCTGACGTAACTACTTCTTGGGGGAATCGGCGGCCGGGGGTAACTACGATCTCGATCAATGAGTGACGATCATCTCTATCTCTTGTTCTTCACGCAGACATAATGACGACTACTAAACCAGTCTGGGTGGGCATCCTGGAGCATCAGCTCAAAGAGAATCCAAAGGCTCTCGGTGAGTGGCTCGCTTGAACGGGACTATAGACTGACTGTCGTCCACAGCGTACGCCTTCTCAACCTTGTCCCAGGATGGCAGTCCCAAAGTCAGACATGTGATTCACCGAGGAAGCAAGCGCTACCCATCTGCACACTAGGATTGTGCTGACTTACCTTGCAGTCACTCCTTCAAGCATTCTGCTCACCACAACAGACACCCGCATGTCCAAACCAGCCCAGCTCCACCACTCTCCCAAGTTTGAAATCGCCTGGTGGCTGCCAGAGACCAATGTCCAGTTCCGCATCACCGGACAGGCGTATGCAATCCCTCCTACTTTCGCACAAGATGACAATGCGGGCCATATCATCAAAGAGCTGGGTCTGGAGGGGAAAGAAGAAGCGTCGGCAGAGTGGTGGCAGGGGAAGCGGGAAGAGCTTTGGGAGAACGTCAGTGGCCACTTGAGGGCTGGGTTTGGGAGGCCGGCTCCTGGGACTGAATTGAGAGACGCCGAAGACTCTAGCAAGTGGCCAGAGACGATGCCGGCTCAGTCGGTATGTCGTATCCATACATCGAGAGACGTGCCGCTCATGACTATCACCAGGATGACGAGAAGGAGAAGGAACTGGTCAAGACTGCCCTCAATCACTTTGCATTAATCGCCCTCCGACCGACTGGTGTAGAGTTTTTGGAGCTAAAGCCGGTTCCCAACCGCCGTACTCAATGGAAGTCACAGGATGACAAAGCGTGGACCGAGATCAAAGTTGTACCATAGATACATTTCTCTTGTTGACAGGATGTATTCTAGATGATTGTTGCCACATCAGTGTTGACGAACGTTTCAATATCCAGCTTCTCGGCTTCAGGCTTTACAACGCCTGCTTTTCCCAGCACCCTCAACGTCTCTCTGACGACATCTTCCTTCACCTCCAACAGCTGGTCCTCCCATCTCACACTCTTCAGCCACTCTATAACATCCTCCTTCTTCTGTCCGAAAAAGTTGTGCACAAAGTCGACGTCTTCGCTTTCGCGGGCGGCAGGCGAGTTGAAATGTTGAACGTAGGGTTGCAGCGAGGTGAGGAAGGTCTTGATGGCTGCCGAGTCGGCGGCAGGAGAGGCAGCAATGTGCCAGCAAGGCCAAGGTGCTGCAGAGCAAGTCAGCATCTACGACACTGTTTAGATAAGCTTCTTACTGTAGACAGAACCGATGAAGCGAACTTCTCCAGAGTCCACGCAGGGTTTCGTCGTGAACCACTCCCAAAGGAAAACAGAAGCTTCATAGTTCGATCAGTGCTGAAGGATGGACTAGATGGGAGTGCACGCACTTTCTTCTGAATTGACAGAGTCGCGGAGAGGCTTGAACTGGCCATTGACTGTAGTCAGGTGTAAGCGGTGATCACAGCGATAAAGCGAGACGGACCTTTAAACTTGGGTTGATCCTCCTCGGTCCAACCTTCTTGGAGAGATAGTACGGAAGCCATCACCTATTCCTGCGCATCAGCTTTAGAACTCGTTCATGGAAAAGTCACTCATACTTGAGAACCACTGGAATGATAGTCAGCCTTGACACTAATTGCCGTACAGTCATACCCACCTTCCAAGCCTCGAGATACCGAAAGTAGTACCCTTGAGCTGATCGACAGAATTGTACTTGCTGTCTTTGCCTGTGATGATGGCCCATCGAAGAGGACTGGCGATATATCGCCCGACAAGCTTGTACGAAGTTTGACCATTCGCCAGACCCGCGATAAGAGCATCGGTCAAAGCTACGCATCATTCTATCAGACCATTATACACACTAGAGTTGATAGGTGCTCACCAATGCACAAGTCGATTTCACCCTCCTTGAGCTTGACCTGCATCTCTCCTGTACCACCTGGGCATTCTACAAGCTCGATAGTCTCTCCGTTGTCCTTCTCCACAAGCTGGAGGAGAGGGGACAGGAAGTGCTCGCGATGCCAGCCGACTCTGATCTTGGACGGCATTATGATAGATGGTTGTGAATGGGCAGATGGAAAGTGATAGGAGCATCGTTGCGCCGCGACGTGGTTCTGCCTTCCGCCTTCCGCATTTCTCTCATCTCTATCCATCGACGGACTCTGCGCCATGATCAACTAAGATATGTCACACGTCCTCTCGCCACCAGCTCTCTCCCAAGCATCCCACAACCCCTCCACCGTCACTCCCTACCCATCCCCATCGCCCTTCTCGCCCATCTCCCCAGCCGAGACTCGGCAGCAGCAGCAGGCAAATAGCCTACTTGTACCGACAGATCGAGAAATAGATGAGCTGGAAACAAAGTGGCTCCCAAATCTAGGAAGACTTAGGGTAGAAAGAGAGGTGGTATTGAAGGGATATGCGCTGTATAGTCTCAGAAACTGGTCAGTCGTCAGTTTGAACGTCAACCATCACTTCTCACTTTCTTTCAGGTTTCTGTCCAGATCGCATTTCTCGCATACCATTGTCACCCAGACAGGAAAACCAAGCGAGCAGGCGAGTTTCAGCCAAGATGTAGAGACATATACTCATCCTCGAGCAGATATCCGCATACCTTCTGGTCCCCTCCTTAGAATTGTCAGAGCAAGAAGGGGCTCGCGAAATTGCCAATGCTGTACAGGTCCTAGCAGCTGAGACCCGCTCCCAGCCACGCAAAGTAGGCTAAAGTCCACAAGTAAGGAGTCACCGTGCTGACATTGTGATTTCAACCAAGACTGAGCTGGGCACTTTGTTGGTGACGACTCCTTCCGCATTCGGTCCAGACATGTGAGCAGTATTTCCAGATCTAGACAACTCCATCTGAACAGGTTACAGAAACCCAGTTCCAGGTGGCGACTTTCGGATAGCCAAGCCTTATATTATTGTCAATACAGGCCTGCGTCGACTAGGATGCGGTGGTCGCGCGATCTTGGGGCTCGAGTCGCCCATGTACGTGCATCCAGCTCTTTGGGAATATGACTAACGTTCTATCAGACCAGCTTTACGAAGAAAGTTTCATGATCTCTACAGGATTCCCACTCTCTCCCCCCAGCCAACACAAGCTACCGCCTCCTCGCCAACTCGATCAATGTCCATCTCCGGCTCGCCACAACGCCATCGCCAACTGGCCTCTCCTACAAGCCCCATACCCAACGGCGACGGACCGGCGCACGATGCGATCAGCTCTGATCCATTCATGTACCTCATTGTCGAGCTGGTCAAAGTGATACAGGCGGCCCTGGCGTTGTGGGGTATGTTTGAGGATGTGGGAGAAGATGCGCATGGGCGGGCGGTAGGGCCAGGTATGGAGATTGATGGACTCTTCTGTGACGAGACGAAGGGGGCTATATTCAGGTGGCGAAGATCTATGGGCATGGAGCACGAAGAGAGCTTGAAGATTGAGGTGAGTCGCCTGCATCCATCAGAGATGGGCGCTGACCAAAATGCAGAAAGAGACTTCAGGCGGTTGCATCGACCCAAAGACCCTGACCGCCCTCCTAAGCTCAATCACAAGCCTCCACTACCAGCTCGAGGTCCTTGATGTTGAACGGGTAAGGCACCGCACATGGCCACGTTACTTCATCACGCACTAAGCTCATGTATACATACAGCTCCCCAAGGATCCATTCACGAGCATTCGCCGCACGCTCAAAACGTGGCTGAATTTTCAGACCATGATGAAGTCGCCTCTTCCCTCTCCTTTTCTGACTGTTCCGTCTGTCCGCGCATTGTTCCAGCATTATCTTCTGGACAGACGTCATACGGGGGACTCTTTACGCGTACAACGATTGTTGTCAGAAGTCGCCCATACTGCCAGCAGTCTCTCGGCAAACCTCAAAGGTGTTGGGGAAGATCCTTCTCTCCGACGTCGGGAGCACCATCTACGCCATCGCATGGATGAGCAAGACCTTTGGGATCCCGGCGTGCTCATGATTATCCCCGAAGGCGACGTAGGCTCGGTGGCTCCGCCGGACGTCATCACTAGCGATCTTGAAGCCTACGTGAAAGGTGTTCTGAGGAGCCGAGAGAAGGATTGGGATGTCATGGGCGCTAGACGCCTTGCGGACCTATGGAATGGTACCTTTGGGGCATCGGTGGAGGGGCGAAAACGAAGGCGGGGAAGCGTGAGCATGGGTCTTGCCGGGGGCAGAGAGAGGCACGTCTTGAGGAAGAGGACGACCAGCAGGGATGACACTATTCGAGAGGAGGAAGGCGATTTGCGAGGAACATTCAAAGAGTTATCGGGGAGAGCAGGACAGGCTCTCAGAGACGGACTTGGCATCATGTCCCGGAAGGGCCATGCTTATGAAACGTCAGATTCTGAGACTGGCGCGGGGCCAGGTCCAAGTACGTTGCGCGCGTCTCTGCTGAAGAAGAAGCAAGCTGCCGTGCCGGTGCTCATCGAGCCGTGAGTTGACATACGTACCTGGGATCCGCGGATCACTGACGCGTATTGCAGAGGGGTCGTTGACAACGACGCTCATCCTGACCTCCAATCTACTTCACCATCCCCTTCCAAGTCCCATCGCCATCTCAACGCCCCAGGGATGAACTTTCCCACCTTACCCTCATTTCTAAATACAGCATCGAGAACCAACAGTCGTGCGCCGAACGCTCGTCCTCCCACGATCAACATTCCCTCGGGTAACGAGTCTGATGTGTGGTCTAGGGCGGACTACAATCAGGGAAGGAGCCCAGGGGAAGAACAGTCTGATTTGGACTGGGGCCAGGCCGGAGGCAACAAACGTGCGAGCTTTGTTAGCTCTTCTGGTGCTAACGCTGCAGGTGCTGGTACTTCTCAGGTATCTGACCGAGCTGTGGCTTGGAGGAACAAGGGCCGGTCAACAGTCATGTTGAGGTCGAGCAGCGATGGCGCCGATGTGGTATTGGATGATAGTGGGATGGAATGGGAGGTGATGAACCCTCGGGGCACTGGAAAAAGAGGCGATGGTGACCTGTTTGCCAGCACTATGCGGAGGCAAGTAACGATCTTGTTGGGCATGAATCTATCGTTAAGCCTCTCCTAGACACTCATTCGACAATTTCGAAGAACTTGAAGGGGTTCGGATGCTATCAGCGTACGTGGCTCGGGCCGAAAAAAGTCTCAGCTGACACTATCATAGCCAGCATCTGCAAGTCGACGTTGAGATGTGCTCTGTGGTCCTCGAACTTCGTTTGAAAGAGCGCATATTGTCGCAAAAGGTCAAAGATGCCAAAGTGAGTTGTGTACTTGCATGCCCGGACAGATGCTAAGATATGCGGTGAATCAAAGATGCTAGAAAAGGCACTCTTCACTGGAGCGACACAGTTCGTCGAGTCGGCCAATGCCCGCCGTCGGCAGGTCGACGCTCTAATGGCGCAATCTGCTGCCTTGGTAAGCAGTCTCAGAAGCCTCGAGACAGATGAGGACCCCGAAGAGGAGTTGCCATACGACAGATTCCACTACTACTTGAGCGAAGAGACTCATCGGCCAGAATTGTTGGATGATCTGGGAAGGTTGAAGGAGATGTGGGAGCAGGTGAGGAAGGAGGGCGAAGATAGAAGGAAGAGCGTGGAGCAGGAGGGTCATAGAAAGGGTTGGTGGTTTTGGTAGATTGCATGGACATCAAACTTGCCGCGATTGTGATGCGGGGGGTGGCTGGACAGGAGATTGTGGGACGTGCGTTGGATTGGGCGGAGGAGACTCGGGATCTCTCACATCACCCAATCCAAGGTTATCCATGCTATCTCTTTGCATCAAGCCGCTGGTTCAGATTAGCACTGTGCCAGACCGAGTGGACGAAACACTCACTTGTCCATTCGACATTCCAGATACTTTTTCGATTGGAGGCGGCACTTGCCATTGTCATTGGCGTTCTCCTTCATGCACTTCATGTATGCAATCATGGCACTCTTGCATTCGCCTGCAGCCGTGTAAGCACGAACACCCTCGAGCACCTGAATGAGTTTTGCTCACCGTCATGGTCGAGAGGGAAGGAGCCTCGAGCAGGGGGGCTCGGCTTGAAAGCGTCGGTGAATCCTGGTCGTCCAAATGACATGGTCTGTGGCTATGAGCGAGTGGAGCCTGGAGAATGGTGAAAGCTCAAAATCCAGTCGAAATCACCCCCGAGGGCGAAAGGCGCGGGGATGTCGAACGCGTGCCTAACGTCCTCGGTGAAGACCACCGCGCCGGTCATCCGAAGGTCGTCATCACCGACTTGTCACCGACGGTGGTGCGCGTCACTAGGGGATGACGTTGAACGACGCAAAAGTCGAGCTTCCTGATACATAAAAGACTCCACAACCCCATCTTCCAAAGCCAGCCACCCCACCATGTCTTCCAGCCAGTCTTGCAGAATTCACCGACTCACCTGTGTTCCCAACGACTACCCTTGTAAGCCGACGAGTCGTCAGCTTCGCTCGCCTCCCTTCTGACTTAGCATGCAGGGGGCGAAGTGGGCAATGACAGCTTGGCCGCTCGACTAACGAAGAATGCCTCAAAGTCCTTCAAGGTCAAGCCCGATCAGCCCTACGCCGAGCTCTGGATGGGCACCCATCCCAACAACCCCGCTCACCTGTACTCTTCCCCCGAAACGCTCCTTTCCAGCTATTTGAACGACCACCCTGAACTTTTGGGATCAGTGAAGAAGTTCGAAACACCATTCACTGGTGCCAAAGGATCTGGGACAGAGGGGCAGGAAGAAGGACATGTGTCGTTCTTGTTCAAAGTCTTGACGTGCAAGCAGGCTTTACCTCTCCAGATCCATCCGAACAAGGATCTAGCGCAAAAACTCCATGAAGAGAATCCCGAGCAGTTCGGAGAGTGGGTAGATTTGTACCCCAGAGATATATTGGAAGCTTACAGGACTCCAAAGTGTCAATCACAAACCCGAAATCGCGGTCTGCCTGTCGGACCGTTTTTTGGGCTTCGCCTCTTTCCGGCCTTTCGCCAAGATCGTTTCCTTACTGCAAAACGTTCCTGAGGTCTCTCAGCTTTCAGCAAGCCTCCGATCTGCTGTCGAGGCCTTTATCTCATCACCGAGCGGCAAAGCGCTTCAAAAAACATGGGGAGAGTTCTTAAAGCTAGGCGATAGTGAAGAGGCTGTTAAAGTCTTCAGCCAGCGGGTGCTTGACCAAGGCCCCAGCGCCTTCAGTGGCGTGGACATCGAAGATGACGACAAGAAGAGACTGGTACGAGCGGTAGAACTTGGAAACAAGTACAATCCTGGTGATGGGGGTCTTTTCTCAAGTCTGCAAGTTTCAAATTGTCTCGGTGATAGAACACGACGCTCATACAATCATTAGCCTATTCTTGAATTTGGTAGAACTGAAGAAAGGGCAAGGGATGTATGTCGGTGCAGACGGGCCGCACGCATGGATGGAAGGCGGTATGTTCAAGCCTGAAGCGTGTCTAACAAGGTTGCTGATACTACTTGCAGAGATTGTGGAGCTCATGGCCATCTCTGACAATGTGATCAACGTTGGCTTCACCGAGGATGACGCCAAAGACGATCCTTCGCTTGTCGCAGAAGTTGTCACCTGCACGCCGAAAGCCATCAAAGACTTGATCCTCGACTCCCAAATCTTTTCCAAGGGCAAGAATGGCAACACGAGAGTGTACTCGGTGCCGTTTGAAGAATTTTCCATCATGAAGATTGATGGAGATGAAGTACTGGAAGCGCTCGACGGTGCAGGTATCGCAGTCGTCATCGACGGGGAATATGCTCTCGAGGAAGAGGAAGGAGTGAAGCACGGTGGACAAGGGCCGGATGGCGAAGGTGGTCAGGGAACGGTATGGTTTATCGGGTCGCACACAGAGACAAAGTGGACAGCTCGAGACGGTAAGGGCGAAGTCTGGATAGCTTTCTATGACAAGAAGGCCCCTCACGACGAAGTTGGGCTCAAGTAGAGTATACATATCGTCAGTATTTGCATGCACCTCAATGTAGCGCTTGACAATGGCATCTCTAATGCCGCCAAACTACCAGGCACTCGACAGCAATGTGCAGCATTGTCCATTACCAGACCAGAGCCACCAGTGCGTGATAAAAGATACATTTATAAGAGTGCTACACACAGGATCTAAAGGTCACAACGTTGTTCGAAATGAGGATAAGGGTTGTTGTTACGGAACTGTCCACAGAGACTCTCAAAGTCGGCTTTATGAAATGAAAATGATGAAAGTATGTAATGAACTGAATGTCCAGGTGACGAATGGTAATGTCCAGAGATTAAACCGATAAAGTCCTCTATATCTAAAAGCTCTCTCTTCGTCCGGTGTCAACCTTGTCGCTCTTCTTGAACACTTTGGACAACCTCTTGAAAAGTCCGCCACCACTCTTCTTGCCCGTCTTGACATACTTCATCGACCCGCTATCCACACTCGCGTCGCCGTCGGATTTGGTGCAAGACATACCCATCATCTCTTGCTCCTGCATCTCGTCCTCGCGCGCCTGACGGATGTGTACATCCGGCTCTGTCTCTTCTGTGATGGGCTCGCACGAGTCGAGAGACGAGGTATGCGCCGATGAGCCGCTGGTCATACTGCCCATGGATGTGAAAGAGTCGTTGGAGCTGATAGACGACGCTGAACTGACGCGGCGCATAAAGGCAGGACGGGGAAGTAGGAGGGATGGAGAGACGCCAGAACCCTCCCCGTTGAGCTCCTGCATGGAAGTCTCCGCGAGGGATTCCAGGCGGTCTTGGGAGGAAAAGTGCGAAAGACGGGAGAAGGACGGGGTACGAGGTTGCGAGGGTCGACGGACGGTCTTGTCTGAGCCATTGGAAGATGATGACGCGAGGGAGGACGACGACCCATTGGGAGACGAGAACATGTTTCCAGAGAGGGATAGCGACGAGGAAGACCTCTTTGCAGATACGGGCATGACGACACCCGATTTCTTCAACGCCGAGCGAGAAAACTTGGGAGCGGTCGAGTCGACAAAGTCTGGTTGGGGCACAGTGGCAGCTCTGACGGGCGTCGGTGGCTGGGGGATAGAGTCTGCCCACAGTCCAGAAGTTGCGTTGGTGCTCGCCCTTCTCGAAGCAGTTGGTTTCTGGGGCGAGTTCGGAGGCGACCTGAGACCGGTGAGACCCAGGGCAGATTGGGGTGCAGACGAAAAATCCCGATGGCCCCTGGATGACCAGGGACCGGAATCGTTGGCGTTTCGTCGAGTGGTCGGCCTTTCCCTATCCATCACGGACCCTGCCAATATCTTTTCATCACCCTCTGGCGAATGGGGCGGGCTGAGGAGTCCGCCAACGCCGACAAAGCTGGCGGCTCTCATCATGGTGGACCTTCTGCCCTCGCTCGAGCCAGACTCTTGACTGCTGACCTCATCCTCATCGTCCACCTGCTGCCTCAATGGGCTCGAGATGCGGACCATGCTATTGCGATAGGAGGATCTGGATACGGAACCCTGCCGCAGGGTAGAGATTGAGGTATCGAGCCGAAGCGATCCGAGCTCGGACGGCGTTGATAAGAGTCGAGCATGGTAAGATTGTCGCCTAGGTGATGCGGGCGACTGCGCGTTGACTGATCCTGGGAAAGACATGGCAAGATGATCGCGCAGAGGTCGAGGCGTGGAAGACTTGAGGATGGATCAGCGTTGAGTGAAGCCAGCCAGGCGATAAGACTTACAGGTAATGAATGACGCCCGGCGCCGTCCCAGCCAGCAACGTATGCCTCAGCTGCAAGCTTGGAAGAAAAGGTTTTGAGAGCGGGATCGGGGTGGTTCTGTGGGTATGGTGAGTACATGTGTAATGGGTGGGAGGAGCGACTCACGACGACCTGGGTGGTTGCCTCGTTCCAGCTGGTGTACACGCCTGGCACTGTGCCCCGTCTGACGCCAAAGTAGAGGAAACGCTGGGGAGAGGTAGAGGGGCCGGAGAGGGGGATGGAGGGCGGGGGAGGCAGGCAGGAGACGCGGTAGGGAGAAGAAGAAGAAGAAGAAGAAGAAGAAGAAGAAGAAGAAGAAGAAGAAGACATGTTGATTTATACAGCGGACGATAGGAGAGGGGCACCGTGCGTCACCAAAGGAAGGCGTTTCGAACACGTCGCAACCTTGAGCACTGCGCGTGGAAGGGTGAGGCCGCAAGCGTTGACTGATCACTGGCGGGCGCGGGGCAATCAATGCCTGGCGAGGGCCAATCTGTCAAAGGACGAGGAGTGGGGAGTGCGCGTAGCAAGGGCGGGGCGGCGGGGCAGTGGACAGCGGATTGCAGCAGGGGGCGGCACAGTGGCGTCTGAGCTGATGGCGGTGGGAGAGGCGGAGGCTGTCGCTGGGATACTCGGTGAAGAGGGTCGGGGCGTCGGGGGGCGAGAAGAGGGCGGACAATAGAGAAGAGGAATGTACGGGGGATAGAGAGGATGGAGAAGAAGAGAGAAGATATGCATGGAGAGGATCCTGCTGTCTCTGGCCTCTGGCTGAGGAGGACGAGGGAGCTGCCCTGTTTCCTGTCGAGCCGTTAAGTCTCCGCGCTCGCTCTCCCGCCGCCAGCCGCGCCGCGGGGATTTTGAATTTCCCAAAGAGGTACACCCCAGAACAGAAATTGCAGAAACAGCCTTAAGGGTCCCGAATCGACAGCCCGGTGCCCGGTGCCAAGGCACTGCTCGCCCTGACAGTACTCCCAGATCCAATTATTTTAGCCACTTTCTAATGAACACACGTCTCATAAGGGAGCTCAATTAGCTACTTGTTCATCATCCTGGGTATGTAACTATGTACAGTACTCTACTGTAGTAGACCTATATCTGTACTCTCTTGTCTAAGATCTGGTGTCTCACAGCGTAGTCTGAGTACTGCAGAGTGCAGACAGCAAAGGTCTCCCGTTACCCCGCTGACGAATTCCCGCAGGGAGTCTCCAAATACTCTGTAACAGATCTATCTCCCTCTCCCTTGCTCCATGCTTCCTGTGCTTACGCGTAGCTGCACTCTTTCGGCGTCAGCTGACGATTAAACGAGCCTTTGCCTTTTGGAGACACGCAGAGTACGAGTATACCTATGTACTCTACAGTACATACGTCGTGCAAGTGACTTCCCGCGACTCTGGCTTCTTTTTGATCTCTGGCTCCGAGATCGTTGGCATATAACCTGATATCCTCCTACATCTTCAGCTTCCAGCTCTCTATCGTTTTCGCACGTAGCACCGAGCCCTTCCCTGTCTTCGGCCCTTTGGACCTTCTGTCCCCTTTCCTACTTCCGCAATCTTTACGCGAACATACGTCTTCCCTGCCCGGCCTGTGGGAGGTCTGGCCTCCATTCTCGCACTCCATTAGTCGTCATCTATCAGCTCCCGTCTGCAGTCTGCAGGTTTACTTGCACATGGACTCTCTGCACATGTACGCAGGTGATGAAAAACGTGCTATAGATGCCGCATGCTTCACGTACACAGTACATTAAATTGGAAGTGCCGACAGCTCCTGGACAGCTCTGAGCTCTTGGCTATTTTACGGTATTTATTGCGGATACTTCTCGACAGCAGCCTGGGCCAGGCTTCGGCGACTCGCAGATTAAGACCCTTGTCAAATGTGAATCATCGACTTTCAATCATCGATCGTCTTCGGAAGAGCGAGCTTTGAAAGATTTTTCTGCGGCCTCATTACCTTTTACCTAAAAGGAAGGATGGTCCGATTCCAGGAAAGCAGATCCCCCTTGTCGGCCCCTTGGCCCTCTTTCTTTTTGACAATTACCTGGAAGTTGACAGCCGAGGGGGCCGAGGGGGACGATCAGTCTGAACTCTGAACCCACATATGTACGCGACGCGCATGAACATGTCCGTCGGCCTTGCAAGCGGTGACTGCAAAATTTGATAGACAACAAAGACATATCATTACACTGTCGATTTGTGAACCGACTACCTGGAAAGAGGCAAATAAAACCAGGTCTAGAAAAGATACCCTCGGAAAAGGTGAAGAAGAAGCTCGTCAATTCGCAAATGATGTCGTTAGATCCGTCAATGATAAAATACACTCCCTCTATAAAACACCACCTCTATCCCCTTCCAGCTCCCTGGCCGCAGCTCGCTCACGCTTTCATCCGCTTCGCCCCCCGCTTCGCCACGGCTTTTCCTATCTTGCTATCCTCAAACGTCCAGTTGGGATCTCGATCCCTGATAAACTCATGTTCGAGCAGATCGCGCGCCATGGGCCGGTCACGGGGGTCCGTCTGAAGACACTTTTCATTGAGAAAGTCGAGCGCCACGGCGGAGATGATACAGTCCGCCGGAAGAGGTGGGCGGCGTTTGTTGAACAGCTGTACGGGATGTCAGTCATGCTTTCTCTCTGGTTCTTGCTGGACATACTTCAAACATCGCTGCAATCTGCTCCATCTCGCCCCAAGGTCTCTTTCCAGTCCACATCTCCAGCACAACACATCCCAGACTCCAAATATCCACTTTCCCAGAATAGGACCGCTCAGAGTAGGCATGCATCACTTCGGGGGCCATCCAGAAGACAGATCCTTTCATGTTGGTGGCTTGCCCGAAAGAGTCATAGGCGTCGGCTAAGTCCAATGTCAAAATCGTCCTTGCGAAAAGATTGAATACTCACAAGTTTGCTTCGAGATACCAAAGTCTGAAATCTTGCAAATACCTTGACCGTCAACCAGAATGTTGTCTCCCTTCAGATCCTGAGAATGATTGTCAGCACATATACCACAAAGGTCAAAGCACGTACTCTATGCCAAATGTTCTTCGAGTGAAGATATGCCAGACCTTCCAAGATCTGCTCAGTAAAAGACCTGACCAGCTGAGGCTCAAATCGAGCCTGGTTGAGCGAACGGTAGATGGAGGCGATCGTCCCACCAGGAACATATTCCAGGAAACTACAGATCATCAGCTACTGACAGAACAACTCGAATGGCTACACTTACATAGACAAGTATTCTGGAGAGGTCTCGTACCCCAAGTATGCAACAATGTTGGTATGCTCGAGACCCTTCAACAGCTCGATCTCGTCTCTCAACGCCTTGACCATCCCTTGCTGCCTCTGGTCATGTCGATCAATCTCTGTCGCTGGCAGCTCGACCTGCTTGACAGCCATCATGTCGCCAGTTGTCGCATTCAAGGCAATGTAGACACGGCCATAAGAACCCTTGCCGATAAGTTCACCCTTGACCCATCTCACGACTCCCGGCTGGCTGTCCGCAGGAGATTCGAGGATGGTGTCGCCCTTGACCTGCGCGAACCGGGTGACTTCAACGAGTTTGTGATCCCACATGCTCGAGCTACGCCTATTATCCTTCTTGAGCTGCTCTTCCGTCTTTTCCACTCCGGCATACTCTCGAGTAGGTATCTCGGGGACTTCAGCCTCGCCAAAGTCGTAAGCTGGAGGGGGGCCATGTCGAGAGATACGGCGTTGAAGATCGAGATGTTTGTCTCGAGCAATGTAACGGAGAGAGCGGCGCTTGTCTGCCTTGTTGAATTTGCTTTGGTTGAACCCACCAGGAGAGAGGTGAACACTGCTAGAACTGGGCGGACCTTGCTGGCCTTGCCACTGTCGTGACCCGGTCCCGGCTTGAGGGCCGCCTTGTCTCCCTGGAGCAGCGCCGACTGGTAAGAGCATTCCACCCACCATCTCCACACGGCTAGGAGATTCAGCACCAGGTGTTGACGGTTGCGACTCGGAGCCCTGCACAAGAGGGCGATCCAGGTCGATCTGAGGAAAGACAGTGTCCAGGTTCTCATACAGCTGCTCTGGATCAGGACGGAAGCTCCATTGGTTGGGATCCTTAGGACGGGCAAACGATTTGCCGCGCTTGATTCTCGAGCCCTCAAAGTCACCCGTCCCTTCGGATTCGGTGGCACTGTCAGAGGGTGTGCCAGTGTTTCGGTCGCGAGAAGTTCGCTGATCTGTTGCCTCGTCGAGAGAGGCAGTATCGACGATGAGATTGGGTTTTGACGGGGATGGCCTGACAGCACCAGACCTGCTTAGAGTTGGGGCAGGAGTGGAAGATTGAGTCGGAGGGGCGGAGATGAACAGTGTAGCCTCATCCTCGTCATCTTTTCTTGGCATAAAGGTTTGATCTCCGTCACCCACGTTCCTCGCCATCATATCTCGCAGATGCTTATCCCATTGTCCTGCCTTGGCCGTGTCGCTAGAGTCATTATCTTCAGACGGTCTCACCGTCGACTCGCTGCTGACAGTACCTGCCAGAGACGACGCATCGGTGTCACTCCTCCCCTTACCACTCTTGGTAGCTGGAAGCCACAAAGACTCCGATCTCGGGTCGTGAGCATAAGGAAGCTGGGATTCGTCGCTGTCGTGTGCAGTCTGGCTCGGGCGACGGTATCCTCCTGTGGGGCTCGGCGAGGACGTTCTGTAGGCCGAAAAACTGCCGCTTCTGGATCGATGGTCGAGAGGGAAAGAAGACGTAGCATGGCGCTGGTGGTATTGTCCATCCATACCAGCTGTCTGCGTGCCATCGGCAGGATAGACCTCATCATATAGCGTAGATGGACGACGAGGAGGGATAGTCGTCTCGGGTGACGTTGGAGGAGGAGGCGACCGATCATAATGAACTGTGTTGGGCCTACTGCTAGTATCAAATGTGGACCCGCGAGAAGATCGAGGAGCGGAGCTGCTGAAAGGATGTGATGACCCTTGCCAAGAAGCGGTTTTTGGACTTGCGCTGCTAGGATGCGGCGACGGGAATGGTACCAAGCCCGTGTCAATGTTCGATAGAGGAAACGTCGAGCCAGACCTGATTGGTACGCTACCTGGATATCGAGAGTCGCCGGCACGCTCCGACGTGGGGCTTCGATACGCAGGCTCCGCAGCAACTGGCTGGAGATTTCTCCTTTCCCCATACACTGCAGAGACAGGCGTAATGGATGTTCGGGAGGGAGGTCCACTGTATCCGGCATTCTGGCGGGAAGATGCTAAACCCTGCGGACCCGACATGATTCGCAGATTGTCCATTGAACGAGCGCCTTGTAACGCAGGGGTCTGTAAATGATCGTTGCTCTGTTCATGAGGCACGTAGCTGAAGGGGTGACGAGATCGCTGGGATTCCGGGCGCGGAAGAGTTGCAGTCTGCGACCTTTGCCCGGGAGCGGTGGTCCGCCCGGTGGATTGTTGTAATCGGGGGTCACTCAACCGATCGTAGGGCGGTTCAGGATAAGGTGAGGATGTGAATGCCGAAGGCCGTCGAGACGGAGGGTAAAGGCCTTCAGTGGGATAAGGAGAAGGAGGTATGGGATAGACAGGTTGACTGTTCTGGCGCGCAGGCATTGGAGTCTGGGAGGGGCGCGGTGTGGGCGTAGAAATCAGCGGTGCCCTACCATCTGACGGCCGTCTTGCGCCCAATATGGGGTCAGTGGAAGCACCAGCGCCGGTCCATGTGGCATCGCGTGTCGTGTCCTCGATAGACATCCCATTCCTTGCTTGGTCCATGAAGAACTTTTTCCGTTGCCGCCGGTCCTGTTCAAACGTGTGGAATCGGTTCTCTTGGTGTTCTCTTTGTTCAGCCTCCCAGGCCGCCCGTACAGCTTCCTGGGCTTGTCTCTCCTCTTCTTCTCGTCTTTGCTCTGCTTCAAATTGTCTCTGAGGAAAAAAGTCAGCGTTGCTTGCTCTTGAATATGACGGACATACAGCTCGAGCTTCGTCATCGGCGATCTGAGCTTGCTCTCTTTGCCTCTTCTCCCTCTGCATCTGCTGCATCATCTCCCATAGCTCTCTCTCGCTCTGCTGCTCCCTGATGGCCAGCTCTTCGTCTTTTCTCTTCCGCTCATCCTCTTCCCGTTGGGCATCTAGCTCTTCTCTCTGCAGCTGCTCGATCAGAGCTCTCGTCTCGGGGTCCATGTCATCGTCCAAGCTGAGACCAAGACCCTGCTGGTCCATTCTCGAGCGGTTGCTAGGACCAGCCGAAGCGTTGCCGGAATAAATGTTTTCGTTGGAAGGGCCAGAGTGGACCAGGATCGGAGTAGACTTGGAGTGGTCAATAGGGGATGTCGCATCATAGTTGTTGCTAGATGGTCGGCTGGATGGGGATGAAGACAATATAGATGGTTCTCGTATTTGTAGTGGGATGCCTTGGAGCACTACAGGAGGTGTCGGTATAGCTGGAGAGCTTGTGCCCACAGAGTTTGAATGTTCGGTGATGGGCGACTTTGAGCCCCCCGTGGAGTTTGATAGCCGTACTCCAGCGTTTGAGACACTCGGCTTTCTCGCACTTCTCGAAATCCCCCACTCGTCCGCATCTGCCCCCAAATCACTCCACTCGCTCGCGCTCAGCCCACCTCTGTCGAGTAGCTCTCCGCTGCTAGCACTGCCTTCCTTTGAATGCCGGCTCGTGACACGGTCGAGGAGGGGATTGGGAAGATCTGTAGTGATAGGAGTCATGCCTGATCGCCGGCTGTAGGAGTAATCATTCTGGGGGGCGACAGGTGGAATGACCGAGGCAGCTGTGGACGGAGGAACATCGGTCTGCTTGACGAGGAACTTGAGGCTGGCTCTCGAATCACCAAGGGTACTGCAGAGACTGAGAAGGGCAGCGGGCAGAATAGGCGTCTCGTCTGCTGCCTCGCCGATCTCTGTCCTGTACATGGACAGCGTAGGATAGTCATCGTCACGTATCCGTAGCTACAAGGCATCAGCTTTTACTTTCCACACGGACCACACAACTCACCTTTGAGAAGACTTTTTCGCGTATCCCTTCTGCCGTGTTCATGCCCGTGATATCCACCAGATGAAACGCCTCATTGTCCGTGGTCACTTGCAGACGCACCTGCTGCCCCTGCACCGACCCGGACCGATTCCTATGAGCCATATTCACACTCATAATACTTCCTCCACCCTCACTCCCAGTCGCAGGGCTAATCAGATCGTCAGGGCTCGACACACGCCCTTGAAAATATGGTGGGTGATGGCTCTGTGGAGATGGGAGTGTGGTTTGGCGATTGGCAGCTCTAGGAGAAGGCAGCGGGGGCAGGGCGCGAGATGGTGAGCTCGGAGGGTAGACGCCGGCGCTAGCTGAATGTTCAGCATGCGGTCGGGGTACGGGCTCAGGTATAGGTGTCGTAAAAGCACGTTGTAGATGTCGCTGCGGTTGTGGTGGAGGCTGCGGGGGGGCTGGAGATAGATCTGGAGGCCCGTACGCCGATTGCGAGGGCAATAAGGTAGGAATGAGCGGCTGGGGGCTGGGGAATGCCGATATCGTAGGTAGCGGTGATGATTGAGGGGCTGGTATTGAAGGGTAGGGAAGATTGCCCCGGTCCTTGACGCTTAGCGACGGGGATGGCGGCTGGGGGATGGGGACATTTCCCCTGCCCGAGCTCGAGGCTACGCTGACGGGGGAAGCCCCTGCACCAGACGGTGACCGCTGGGTATTCGTTTTTGGAGGAGAATCGCCGTCCTCATCTGAGTTGTCTGGGTTGGCAATGACGAGGCTGGGGAGGCCGCGACGACGAGCACCTTGTGGGCGCCGAGTGAGAGATGCGGAGGGGGTGGATGGCCCAGCGCCGGATGACCCATACGGCATGGGTGTTGGGCGGGAGACGAGGGGTATTAAAGGGAAGATGAGGGAGATGGAGAGGGGCGCGGTCGACAAATGATGGTGTTCCGAGAGACTCCTGCTGCCCACCACAAGTTATTAGTTCCGGCCTCTTCACGCGCGCAAGTCACGTTTATTCATCTTGTAATTCTCCAACAGTCTTCCATAAATCTTACGAGGGAGTATGGCTTGACCCTATAACCATCTGCAAAGCGTGTCTCCTCGCTTCTCATGAGACCCAGGCTGGTAGTCAGGCTGGCGTTGCGCGGTGACCCGACCAGGACGTCTTAAGGGCATAAGCGAGGCCCGGGGATAAGGATGCCGAGGACGCTGTCAAATGTGGACACCATGCAGCAATCAGCCAGGAGCGTATGTACATCGATAATATGCATCAGCTGGCCAGAACCCGTCAAGGATCATGGTCATAGTACTTGCCTTTCTCTCCATTTCTATACACTTGACCACCGTCTCAAAGTCTCAACTACTGACTACTACTGTTGCCACTTCAAACTTTATGCGACCGACTGATGATCTGATTGCTTCTTCATCCATTGTCCTTTATCATTAGTGTATTGACCTTTGTATATTCTAATATTCTAATATGGATGATTCTATGAGCAGAAATGATGCTGCCCTCTATATTCTAATATCTATATACAATCTTCGACTTAGAGCCAGCCTTACGCCTCTGGATTCCAAGTCTTGGCCGCCAAGGTGGCATAATACAGCTGCGTCTCGGCGCCAATGACCATCTTCCCATCGCCAGCAAAGGCAAAATTGGCCGAAGTTTCTCCCAGATAGATCTTTCCGATGAGTAGACCGGAGGGATTGAAAACATGGATACCATCGCCGACTCCAGCATAAACGTTTCCTGAGACCGAGTTAGTGGTATCCTCGTCTTGGTCCGATGTGGCCTACCATTGGAGTCGGTCTTCAAACCTGTCGAATCATCAGCCGCGCCATGAAGAACATACAAGGAAGGCAACTCACCGTCTGCATTACCGACATGAGTAAACACAAAGACCTTGCGGTTCTCAAAGCTCCCATCATCTTGGACATCGTATCGGTAGCTACATGGTGTCAGCCATAGACTGACGTGTAGCGACAACACTCACATGGTAGCAGGATAGGTATAGTTCGTGCCGAAGTTGCCAGCAGAGATACCAGTGTCAGAGATATACGCGTACTGGCCACCGGGAGAGAACGTAACACCTTTGGGGAAATCAGCTTGAGCATTCAGCAGACAGTACCATACCATTGGGCATGTTAATCCCATCTGCCACCACCTGGACGACGCCGGTATCGACGTTGAACCTATAGACCTGATTGGCAATGATGGGAGCCGGTCGGAACCCTGAAAGCCACCCGTACGTGACATCAGAGAAGTAGAGCTCTTTGTTGCGAGGGTTCACAGAGATATCGTTCAAGCTGCTGAATTGTCGACCGAAGAAATTGTTGAGGATGACTTGTGTGCTTGTTAGTGCCATGTGTCTCACAGCGCCATTTTAACCTACCAGTAGTCTTGTAGGGTTCATTAGGGTCGAGCTCGTAAAGCGCAGATGTGACATTGGAACCTTGTCCCTGTCCAGTGAAGATGATCTTTCCTCTGTAGGCAGTGCCGCCTTAGACTTCTGTTAGCACTTGCACTAAACAAATTGAACATTTGACTCACCGTTGGGATTGACAACTTGAGTAGTGCTGTTCACCACAGTGACATCCGTCGAGTTTCTGGTCCCTTCTTGGACGTCTTGAGCCTGAGAGAGAGAGATTTTCTGCACCACCGCCGACTTGTTGAGCCCAAATCCAAGATCCATAGCAGCGGCTTGCGCAAAGAACACCTCGTCCGTTTCATTATGCCTACTCCATGTCAGCTCTGCCCGGGTCATCTGAAGATGTATCCGTACCATACGACAGCCTCGTGAAACAGTGGATTGTCACCGCCGTCAGCGAGAAGGGTGAGGCTGGGGCTGTCGCCAATGATGTCGTAAAAGGACTCGTCGTAGATATGGAAGGGCTTCTCCTTCAGAGAGTCTTCGGTGGCGCCAGGGGGGACAAATAGCTGATACTGTGGTCAGCATATTTGTAAAAAAAGTTTGAGTGGAACGCACGGAAAAGCCGTTGAATTCGGTACCAGGTTGGACATAGTCCAACACCGCAAAGTCTTTCGGGTTGATCACTTGTGCAGCGTCCGGAATCTCCCGGGAATCCCGGCCCTTGAAAGAGTGCAAGCGAGAGATGGCCGTCTGGGGCCCCGAGTGCCAGTGCGAGCTGGTCAGACCGAGGACACCGAGAGCACCAAAGGGAATGCCGAGAAGGACGAGCATGCTCCCCCAAGAGCGCTTCTTGGAGGGCTGCCTACCTGGGCTGCCGAGAGGTGCTGGGAGTGCTTCACTCTTCAAGTCTTTTACGCGCGGATCGCTGGTATGAACAACCATGTTGCTTTGAAGAAATAAGTCTTGATTGATTTGGTGACGGTTGGGAGAGGGGGCCACATGCTGGAGCAGGTGTCTATATATGTACAAGTCCGCTGGGCGGTGCTCAGAACGGAAAAACAAATATGTAGTACATGGCTAAAATAAAGGGTCATGATCATCGAGGGTCGTGAAAAGCGAGCTAGCTAAGGGGGCAGCACATTTGTTCGCGCTCTCGAGTCTCGATAGAAGGGGCCTCACGAACGAGATGGTTATTTTCGGTTCGCTCATTTGTGTTGATCTTGTTCTGCATGCTACTGGAGGCTGAGATACTGCATGTGTACAGATATCTCTCTTGCCTCCTAACCGCCTTTGCCATCGGATTTGAAAGCCGAACGCCCGGCAGTGGACCGTCGATGAAAGTTGTCGTTTGCCCTACCGTTTGTAATTCGTTGCCAAGCCCTGTCATAGCAAGCCTTTCTTACGATATGTCGATCTGCTCTTTCCAAATGTATATTTGTTGATACATGTCTGAGTTGATTATATCCGACCTAGTACTTCCAGTCTCATTCCTCTGTCGTTCTGCACCACCTCGATTTCTTTTCACTCTCACGCTTCCGGATCCCAAGTCTTGGCAGCCAAAGTAGCATAGAACAGATGCGTCTCGGCACATATCACCAGCTTTCCATCACCAGCAAAAGCGAAATTAGCGGAGGTCTCCCCCAGATAGATCTTGCCGATGAGTAACCCTGAGGGGTTGAAGACATGAATACCATCCCCAACTCCGGCGTAAACGTTCCCTATGACCGAGTTAGTGACGGGCTATTTTGTTCAGATACGGGCCTACCGTTGGAATCGGTCTTTATACCTGTCAAATCGTCAGTTGCATTCAAAGAGCCACCCAAGGCAGACGACTCACCGTCGGCATTTCCGACGTGAGTGAACGCAAAGACCTTGCGGTTCTCAAAGCTCCCGTCGTCCTGGACGTTATATCGATAGCTGTACTGCGTTAGCAGTGAAGCTTGAGGCGACCAAGGGACTCACATGGCGGCAGAGTCTGTGTAGTTGTTGCCCCAGAATCCGCCAGAGATACCAGTGTCAGAGATGTACGCATACTGTCCCCCGGGAGAGAACGCGATGCCTTGAAGAGTCAGCATACGGACCATCAGCAGGTGAACATGTGCTTACCATTGGGTTTTTGGATCCCATCAGCCACCACTTGGATCGCACCGGTATCCACATTGAACCTGTACGCCTGATTGGCGATGATGGGCGCTGGGCGGAAGTCCTGCAAGTACCCATACGTGACATCTGTAAAGTACAGCTCTTTGTTACGCGGGTTGACAGCAATGTCGTTCAGACTGTTGAATTGGCGTCCAAAAAAGTTGTTGAGGATGACTTTGTGATAGATGAGTATTATGGACATCGCAAGAAGGGCATTGTAACTTACCAGTAGTGTCATAGGGCTCGTTGGGGTCCATTTCATAGAGAGCGGGTGCGATATCGGAACCCTGGCCCTCACCAGCGAAGATGATCTTGCCTCTGTAAGCAGTACCACCTACAAGGCACTTAGCTCTGCCATTTGTCTCTGTATCTGCTCACCGTTCGGGTTCACGACCTGGACAGTGCTGTTGATGGTGGTGATATCCGTCGAGTTTCGACTCCCTTGCTGGACATTTGCGGCCTCCGAAAGAGAAATTTTCTGGACGATAGCCGACTTGTTCATCCCAGTACCGGCAGCCTTGGCGCCAGCGTTCTGTGCGAAGAACACTTCGTCTGTATCCTTGTTCCTACTCTCCGAGTTAGTCCTTGTCCTCTGAGTGACATGGGTGCATACCAAACGACAGCCTCGTGAAAGAGTGGGTCGGTGCCGCTGTCAGCGAGGAGGGTGAGGCTGGGATCGTCGCCAATGATATCGTAGAAGGAATCGTCGAGGATATGAAAGGGTTTGGCCTTGAGGGAATCTTCGGTGTATCCAGGAGGGACAAACAGCTGACATTATTGTTAGCAACGGAATGCAGTAAGGTCGAGAGATGCTCACGGAGAAACCGTTAAATTCGGTACCAGGTTGGACCTTGTCAAGTACCGCGAAACTCTTGGGGCTGATGACTTGCGCAGTGTCCGGGATGCCTTGATTGTCCCGACGCCTGTAAGAGTTCATGCGAGGGCCGGAGATTTGGGACCCAGGATACCAGTATGAACTAGTGAGACCCAAGACAGCCAGAGCGCCGAGGGGAATACCGAGGAGGACGAGCTTGCTTCCCCAGGAGGACTTCTTTCTGGAGGGTGCGTTGACCGGGCTTCCGAGAGGTGCCGGGAGAGTCTCCTCGCGCTTCGTGCCTCGTTCTTGTAGACCACTGGTATTGACAGACATTCTTGCCGTAGAGGTTGCCTTGGATTTCGAGTCGGTGGCCATGGGGGGCGAGATCTCTCTGCTGTGAGCACTTTATATATTCGGGAGGCAGCTGACCGCAGCAGAAGGTGCCGGCAGAACGAAGCGCTAAACAGCCGAAACGAGAGATGTGTCCGATAGGAATCGGACGCCAAGTATGTAGCCTGGGAAACAACTGGGAAAAGCGGGCTAATCTAATCAGTCGGCTGGAGCCGGCTATCGACGGTCATTACATCGCTGCTTTCGTCATGTCATGAGACAACCTGTGATGGCCTGCAGCAGACAGCAACGATGATGTGCTACTGTACTCGTTCTGCCGTTGAGGAGATCTCGCCGGGAACAACGGGATATCAGGTGCATATCGCCGGATCTTTCCCGGTTTCACTTCGTGATGGACAAGCTGATGACCTTCGGATCCCATGATGATATGTCTGACTGTCCCAGTGCAGAAATCGAAGGACGATGACTGTCGAGCGCGGCAGTGGACGTCTCGGTAAAAGACATGCATGTCGACTGCATCTACGTACTGTCCTGTCGACTTTGTCACACTATTTTCAGCCATCCGCCCCGGCCCCTACTTGTTGAATGTATTAGGTACGATGCATGCAATTGGGTATGTAGTTGTAGTAAAAGCCTAGTAAGCCCGTGGCCCTCGGACCTGTAGTGTATATGCATGTTCAATACTTGGCATGTTCGGCGGTGTTCGGAACCAGAGCACCGACTGCAACATCAAGCACGCGGGCGATAAGTTGAAAAAGGGAGTTCATATGTTATGCTCGAAAATGTATCTGCGCTTTGCTTTGAGGATGCCCGTGCTTGAAATTCGATATTCGTTCGTGAAACAGACAAGTAATCTGCACATATCAGTCCCAATTAACCCCCGGCATCTAGACGACCTTACTCCTTTTCGGTCCATCATCGTCGTTCAACATCAGGCATTCTCCCGCGGTGCGGTTGAACCAAATCCTTGTCCTCGGGGTACCAGTAGAAACTTACCATGTACTCAGATGGTATGGAAAATCACCGCCTCCGCCAACTTCTCTCCCATGGCCTTTTCCAAGTCCTCGCGAGCAGCGGGGGACAAGCCATAGATGGTCAATGTCTGGAGGTATCCGGCGCGCAGCTCCTTGATCATCGGGTCATAGAAGCCTTCGCAAGGGATAGCTGAAGGCAAATGCAAGACGACATCCTTGAGCTCGGGAAAGACAGAAGTCAGACTGAGAAGAGACTTCCATTTAATCTCATCCTTCGACGCATCCTTGGCAATATCCTCGCGATATATGACGATCTCTTCCACCTCTTGAAACAGGGGAGCCTCCAGACGCTTCTTGATTTCGGGCGTCTTGAAGACACAACGGCGAACGTAGTTGACAAAAGAGTGATAATGGGATACGGAAACGATAGTCTTCTGAAGAGCGGCCGAGTCACAGATCGTCAACGTCTCGGCGTGCTGAAGGCATAAGAGCTTGCGGAGCAGAGGCGCGAGGCGGTAGTAGTCGTGGAGCTCAGCTTCATAAGTCGTCACCGCCTGGCGGTGAAAGTAGAATTCAATCACACCGTAGTCATCCTCAAAGTCCTCATCATTCGACAGCCCGAACAGGTGGCCGTAGAAGGCCTCGACGTTGCCTTCATCCAATCTCGGGTGGGTGTGAAGGTGCGGGAGGCTTTGATTGTAGAGGGTGCGGGAAGCGCATAAAGTGTCAATGGTGGGGGACAGGGCGAGCCAATCAATGATGTTTATGACCAGTTCAGGAGGAAGCGCTTGGAGGGTTTGCTCGACAGAGGCGACAGCAGACTGAGTGCTGATGGCCGGAGTTTGATCTACCATCGTGCGGGAGGCGGGGAAAGAAGACGGGTGTTGGGTAAAGGAATGATGGGCTCGCAAGGAAGGGCCTCGCGTAGTGTATACAGTGGCTGGAATGATGGCGGCTTCTGGGGTACACACGTTCTTGACTTCTGCAATGTGGGAGGCAAGCAAGAGGCAAGAGACGACACCGATCCTGGCTCGGTGGTTGCGGTGAGGGCCGCCTGGCCGCTGATCATCGCGGATGCCCGACCTGCATGTTCCGGATCCACTTTCTTGTTGTTGCGCGCTCTGTCCGACTGCTAGCCACATCCCATGTCCTCTCTAGAAGCCATTCTGCCACCCCTCAAATCAGAGTCGCTCCAGTATGTTGTGTGGCTTTTGAACTCCATCACTGACCCCAGCTGCAGATGTATCCGGCGCCTGGCCCGTTACAATCCGCCGCCAAAAAGAGGCCGCTTACCCAAACGGAGATGTGCTGCTGTGGCGATCATGTCTGTATTTTGTTGCGGGCTAGTCGCTGGAACTGACAACCTCACAGGCTCTTTGTAGGGCGGCTTGGTGACCTCCATGTCCTTCTCTCTACGTATGTCCAGCATGCGCAAGCGCAATTCCTAAAGACATATTGACAGGCTGCACGTAGGAGGGCGGGGAACATGCGGACATTTGCGCATGATACTGCCCTGCCTGGTGGCAAATATGAACCAGGAGATGTGGATCAAGAGGGCACAGCCGTAAGCCTTCTCTCATCGATACATACCCACCAGAGCTCTAACCTTGGCGCAAATAGAGACGAGAAGCATTTGAAGAAGTAAGCTTGCCTCTGAGCAACAGAGTCACCCCTGAACATCTCAGATCGGCGTCCCCATCGATCAAGAAAGGATCAGAAAGCTTTGCTTGCTCGATCCGTTCCTCACTGGCAATGCGCTCATCGTTACCCCGTGAGCATGCGATCGTATGTCGTGCTGTACAATCGCTGACCTTCTGCAGCGTGGTATTTGTCATAACAGACCGTGCATTGACACCGCTTCTCAACCCCGACGAGGTGTCGAGGCTGTTTTCCATGCCCCTAGCCTCGTTTCTTCATACCAGACCCTCGCAGATACCCTCTTTCCCATACTCTATATCATCTCGACTTGCAAAATTACCACCCGGCGCAATCGATTCCATACCACCGCCCCCTCCCATCCATTATGCGCAAGACGAAGGTACTGTGGGAGGAAAGGAGGGCAGATTTTACGGGTGGCGAGATGTAAAGTGGGGTGTTGGACTCGTGAGGATGCACAGATTCTTGACAGGCAGAGAGAGTGAGGGAGTGAAGCCGGTGTATGGGTTGACAGCGTGAGTGCACGCCTCGTCATTGACCAGAGCTGAACAATTGCAAGAGCCATACTCATCAGAGCCGCATCTGTGGGGTATGGCGTCAATCCTGAATTTGCAGTTTACGCCCCCGGGCAAAGTAGCATGGACGATCGCATCGAATACGAAATTCAGTACGGGAAGGGGGCTCTGCGCAGAGCCATCGAGTCCGAGGGCCTCTCAATGGACTGGATTATCTCAGCAAAATTGTGACCATATCTGTATTACACGGCTCGTGCTACAACCATGACTCCTCATCTATCATAGATTGTAAGAGAAGCAATGCTACATACAACGAAACGATTCTTCTACATTATTTCTAGCTGAACAAACTGACAAGTTCTTCCGACTACAAGACTGTCAGCTTGGCATGAATTAAGAACATATGCACACTCGCCTTTTGAGCCAAGAGCTCTTTTCGAGTCATCGTCTTCAGCGATAGTGTCGCCAGATCCGCCTTCTTTTTCTGAATCTTATCTAGCTTCTCCTCGATCGAGTCCTTGATCATCAATTTGATGGCCACGACCGGTCGAGTTTGACCCATACGGTGAATACGGTCGATAGCTTGAGATTCAACAGAAGGATTCCAGTAAGGATCCACAAGATAACACCTTGATGCCACTGTCAGATTCAAGCCCACACCACCCGCCCTCGTGGACACCAAGAGCACTTCAACGTTCTTCTTGTACTTGAGGGCATCGATGGCTTTGGATCGTTCCTCTCTAGTCATGGTGCCATCTAGCCGGGCGTATCTGATGTTGGTCTCATCAAGCATGTCACAAATCCTAAAAAATGTCAGCTTTGTAACAAAGCAAGCATCAACCTACCGATCAAGCATGGTAGTCCACTGAGAAAAGACGACGCTTTTGGTGACAAAAGGTTTCCCCTCGGCATCCATCTCCTCCACATCATTCTCAGCATCCATCGCAAACGGATCGTAATGAGCAGAGTGAGGATTTCTCTTGGAGAATCGCAGCAGCTCGTCATGCAAGAACTGCATCTTTGTCGACAGATTGAGCTTCTCTCCGGGCTGCCTGACGTATTTTTTGCGGGCGCCTCGCTTGGCGACCTGCTCGCCAAGGGCTTGCTCAGAAGCATCAGCAGAATCAGGAGGAAGGACTTCGATGACGTCTGAGGGAAGACGAATCATGGTATTGCAACAACTGCAAGCACGGGCGACGGTTGTCTTGGAGCGTTTGGAGTATTCAGGGTAGACGCTGTTCTTGAAACATGTGGGACCTATGTTGTGTCAGCATGCCTGCTACATTCTGAGAGACGAAAAGACTGACAGAAGAGGTGAAGACATTTTGTCATCAATGGCTTGTTGGTCAACTTTTTGACCTTTGGCTTCTCCTTTTCTTCCTCCACACCGCCGAGTCCGATCCATGGGAACCACTCGCCAAAGTCGAATCCACAGCTAACACAGTTGGCCCCTTCACCCTCTTTCTGAGAGCAGACTACCGCGACTGCCCTTTGCTGAGTGAGACCGTGCTTCTCGATACCTGAAGCCGCCACTTCGTAGTCCATGATCGTCCCATCATAGTCTTCTTCGACCGGCCCCAACATTGCAAGGTCGACATGATTACAGATTTGACGTAGACGAAGAACTTCTTGAAGCATGTTGACATATATTTTGCTTGTCTCATTGTTGGCCTTCAGCTCTCCAAGTTTGTTCTTGGCTCGCGAAGCTCGCTCGTCATAGACTTGTCTTTCGTCCTCGCGTAGTGTGAGCCACATCTGACGCTCACTACGAGGAGGAAGATTGAGGATTTTCGATCCATCTTCGTGCTGCGACTCTTTGGTGCGTCGTAGAGTGCAGCATCGCATTACAAGCTGTAGCCTCGCAACACCGATTTGTTCGCCGTATTTACACGGTGAGGCGATGTATTTCGTAAAGACGTCCTTGTCATCAACAGGGGAGATGCGGATAAACTTGAAGAGAGCCCAGACGTCCTCTATCTTGTTCTGGATTGGCGTGCCAGATAGAGCAACGCGGCGATCCGCTTCAAGGGCACAAGCGGCTTGGGAAGCAACAGTGGAAGCAGTTTTAATGTAGCTAGAAAAGTCAGCTATGTCCCGAATGGATGCTTTGACTCACTGTGCTTCATCCAATACGACACGGAACCAATCGATAGCTTGCAAGGGACTAGTCTCCATCCCCTTCGCTTTTCCCCTTCCCTTCTTACCGCCCTTGATCGCAGCGGCAACCTCGCCAGGCTTGATGGCAGTGTCCACCTTTTTGTTGTCAGGAATATCATCGCCGCTGTTATTGGCAGTCTCGCCGGGAGTATTGCTTTCGGTATCGGAACCGCTTTGCTTGGAATATTCGTTCGCAAGAGTGTTGAAAGAAGTAATCACAATGTCAAATTCGGAAATAAATTTCGGATCGGGCCGACGAGAGGGTCCGTGGTAAATGTAGATTCGAAGTAGATCAAAATTATCCAAATCTTCATTGTCCGATTCCTCACCATTGGCCTTCGGCGGTTTCCATTTGCGTTCAATTTTTTTAGGGGGCATGACACCTGAAGCACCGCCGACAATTTCAACAGGGCCATTCCAATGCTCTTTGATTTGATCTTCCCAATTGGATATCGTAGACATGGGTGTGATTAACAAGGTGGCCTTTGACCGGCAAGCGATACGGGCGCGGCGAGCAGCTGCGTCGATGGTCTGATCCTCGTCGCGCTTTCGTTTCTTGCTGTCTGCGTCGAGACGCAGCTGTTCACTAATATCAGGCATACCAAATATTTTGGTTCGGAATTGTCCGGCCTGCATCTCAGCGTCTTCCTCAGCTTGCTTGGGGCTCTCCCTGGCGGGCTCAGGTTTGGAGCGGGCGTATTCCCGAGCAGAGCTCCTGGTGGCAGCAATAAGTGAAACGACAGAAAGTGTTTTACCCAAACCCATCTACTAAAAGTCAGCGGCCGGTTGACATTCGTCATCACTACTACTCACATCATCTGCGAGCAACGACCCTTTACAATCCGTTGGCTTGCCCTTTTTTCCTCGAAGCTCTTCACCTGTAATCCTATTCTTCCACGACCTGATCTTTCCCTTATCGTCTCTGGTGTATTCCCACAACGACCCATGCCCTTCATCCTCATCTCTTTTCCTTGCCTTTTCCTCTTCCGCCTCCATCTCTGACTCGCCCCTCTTCTTCAAAAGCTTCTTGGCTGCCTTTTTGCATTGACGCAAACACGACGAATCTTGTTCTCTCAGAAGGAAGAAGGTGAGAGCTTTCCGTTGGTGCGGAAAGAGGTGGGTCTTGATCAGAGGCCCCGGATCACTCTGCTCCAATTCCATGCCATCCTCCAAGGTCTTGAACACCTCGTCAACCTGCTTTCTCTGCACCTCCACTTGCGTCGTCTTGTCCCTCTCCTTATCAGAGAAGACAAAATCCCCAGTCAAAGCTCGCCTCTGTGCCATGGCCAGCATTCGTTGAGCTTGTTCTCCGCTGCCATGGGCATTGCGATAAGGCGGGTGATCAGAATGCCGAGCAGGATCGTACGGTGGGATGGGGTCCAGCAAGAAGAGGTTGTGGTTGGTCAGGAATTCGGCAATGTAGTTGATATTGGATGGTAGAGTGAAGACAAGAACGTCAACGTGGACTTGATATTGGGGCTAAGGATGTATTAGGAAGCATGTTTGAGAGAGACGAGATGACATACCGCTTCGTCATGCAGCCGTGGGACGAAACCTTCCAGTCGACAGAGGCCCCGGGCCATAAGAGACGCTAGAGGCATAGCAACCCGTTCGTCAAGATCACCGATGTAGACTGTCAAGCTAGGAGTCAAGACCTGTATTGTTTCCAGGGGCAGGACAGACTCGGGGTCATCCTTTTTAGCCAATGTACCAGAGGCACGATACTGCGACCACGTCAGCGAGTTTCTTCACCATAGCGCACACATACCTTGAGTTTCACTTTGATGAACTCGACGCCTCTGTGCTCCACAATGTCGTACCGTTCTCTCGTACCAGGAGAAGGCACTGCGCCCACCACCACGGCGGGACAGGGGTATAGCATGAGGGCACTAGAACGAAGAGACCCGATACAGATCGGGTGCTTGTCATCGTAGACTTGAGGCGGGGGAGAAGGAATGTTTCGGGAGGTGAGGCCAATGGCTGAAGAAGAGTTGACACCCGCGTTGATAGGGGGCGGAGCCGGAGGCTGCACCATGCCATTGCCGTGAACGGCATTCCCAGGGGCCCAGCCGCTGACAGTCTGATTGTATAACGAACGGCTTGCACCTGGCGCAGGATTGGAGGGCATGTATGAGGAATGACTGAATGGCGAACGAACGTTCGGTAGCTGCTGCTTGGCTTTGGGCAGGAACTGAGTCGAGGGAGTGCCGTCTTGGCTCTCTGGGGCCCGTGCGCCCAAGAACATTGAAGTCTGAGGAGATCTGGATGTCGTGTTCCCGTTCGCCCTGTGGACACCGTTCGAGGTCTCCACGACATCGTCTCCGTCTGAATCGTCGCCTGTAAGATCGATAGGCGGCTGGCTTCGTGATTGGGCGAAATCGGGTTGTGGCTGCGTAGCAGTGCCGTTAGGTTCGCCAAGATTGTCGCCCGAGGGAATGGGCGTAATCGCCGCCATGTTGCTGGACGCCTTCCTGGGTGGCGGGGTGGAGAGTGACGAGCAAAAGGAAAAGAGATGCGAATCCGGGTGACACAGATATCTGCAGAAACATCTGGAAAAGATAACCGACAGCACAACGAGCGGCAACTGGTGGGCATCGCCGCTTAGTAAGCAAAAGTCGCTGCGAATGTTGTCCAATCATATCAATATCTCTTTCCTCTCGCGTAATGCAATATGGTACCATACATCCAGCGAGATGACGAAAATGCTCTACAATATACTCTACAACTTCCTGTTTGTCTTATCCCAAGAAACCCCCAAATTCGCTTTCTAGTCGGGTGTAGATGTAAAATATCATTGCTGAACTCGGCGCTGATCTCAGCACTGTCAATCCACACCCGGCATACAAGCCCCGGATACCCCGCGCTCTCCAGATATCTTTCGCAGTAGGAAAGAATCCTGGAGGCGCCTTGTGAGGATTGAGTTCAGCTGACGTCTGCATCGTCGATTTGATGCTGTCTGCGGGGAAAAGGATCACGTTGTATGATACTCCCGCGAAAGCGCCTGACGCCATGAGCTCGAGGCCGGTTAAGTCGGCTTTGGTAGCCTTTCTCGCACTGCCAATCTTTTTCTGGTGTCGACGGATGAAGTGCCTCGCACCATACTCGTACGCAGAGAACCAAGCAGCCGAGCCGCCGGTCTCGCGAAGCAGAGTGCCCGTTTGTCCCAGCCAAAGACCACGAACGCCAGATTGACGGATAGTGTCGAATATCAACGCGACAGGGCCAAGAGGGGAGGACAAGCGGGGAGCGGCGGCTGTATGAGAAATCGTGGTGTTGGGAGTAGTGGCGAAGGGGTGAATGCCAGGAACAGGAGCTGAGGTGGAAGGAGTTCCACCCAACGCTCCTTCGCGCGCCAGCATTTGTACTTGCATCCGACATTTGATCAGCTCGATAGGAGTCCTACAATGGTCAGATGAGTCAAGCTGGACCTCTTTACTCACAATACAAAGCTCGCAATAGTACCAGCACCAGCAGCAGCAATGGCTGTCTCCTGCATGTCTAGCTCAAGACCCTGGCTACCCTCTCCGCCATGCCGTAACAGGATGATCGTCTCTTTGCACTTCTTGTATGCCAAGAACAGCGTAGCATTCTCACAAGCAGCCCCTACTATAGGAGCAGATATACCCTGTGACCGAATCAGTGGCTGCAGTTTAGGTGACAGATAGCTTACGCGGTATAGACCTCTCCATCCCTCTCTGCTGTACGTCTGCTTGAAACAATCAAGAGGTCCAGTAAATTGCAGAGCACGATCTGTGGGTTGTGATTGAAGGCGGACTTTTACTGGACAGCTGTAAGTAGAAATACGGGTCACGACAAACCCTGCGTACTCAAGTCAAAAGGGTGCTCGAACACCTTGGCGACCATACCAGCGACCTGACACTTGTCAGGCGAAACGTCTCAATGATCAAAAGCACTCACACTGCCAAAGAGGACATCCTCCAGAGCACTCGTCTTGGGCTCTTCGCTCATCGGGCGTGGTGGAAACGATGTGGAGAGGGAAATGAGCCGGGCTGTACGTAGATGCAGAGATTGGAGAGAGATAGCCGTAAGCGCGAAGAGACAACAGCCTAGGCACGCACCAAAACAAGCGACCTCCACTTTTCGGCGTTGGGCGGTCAAGTCAAAGTCGTCGTTCAACTCGGTTCCTTATCTGTGCACTTCAACATGCGATGCATTCTGTACAACGGAAAGGTCACAACTCCTGATTTCTACACATGGAGGATTCTACTAAGACTACACTTCTGATTTCAATATTCTTGGGATGGAATGGATATGACGGCAAGATCACGCCTCAATTCAATCACCGCGTTCACTCAATGATGAAGACCAGAGACAATAATTTATTTGGTCTTGCAAATCTTCTTGGGGACGTGGTAGCCGTCGGCGCGCACACCGCCGCCCCAAGGAGTGTTACCGATAAGGGAGGCATCGACGCCCAAGCCCCTCTCGGCGAATGCCTTCCAGATGATGCAAGCATTCTCACCGCCCGTGAGGATCTGGTCCGCCTGGATGATAGCGTCTCGCGCATCAAAGAAGGACGGTCGACAGGGCTGAAGCTTCATGCCATCGATGATGAGTTGGAAGGCGAGGGTGTTGCCATGTTTAGGAATAAGGGGAATGGGGTGGCCCTTGGAGTCCACGCTGGCTTCCTTTGTAGCAGTATAGAAGTCGTTGCTTTCGGAAGTATTGGTGGGGGGGAAGAGAGTCTTGGAGAAACCATACTCCTCGATAAGTCGCTCATTGAGAACGAAGAGAAGCTCCGCCCAAACAGCCCCGATGTCGTGGACACCCCAATATCTAACAGAATGTTAGCATGGTGAACGAAGTTGAACGAGCTGATGAAAGTAGGAGGTTGTTCATGGCAAGGGAGAGAACGAGGAAAACAACATGGAAATGGGGGTATGTACTCACTTGTCGAGAGCCTTGTACGTGTGTGGGTTCACAGTGCTGTTGGTAGAGTACTTGTAAGGACGGATGCCCTTGTCAGTGTTTGCGGCCCAAGCCCCCATGGAGAATTTATCGGTGTTGTTCCTGTACAAGGTCAGATGATTCTTTTTGCCTGCTGATCGATACCCACTCGAAGTTCTTGTGCTCTTCAACCTGGCGGATAAGAGATGCTAAAGCGTCACCCCATCCCTCTCCCATACCTGCGAAAGTAATCAGCATGTAAGATATGATTAGTTCAATAAACTCACCTCCTGCCTCGCCGTACCCAAGACAGCCACTGTTTGCAGGCCCACCAGTCAGTCGGGTGGACACCCCGTGACTGTACTCGTGAATTACAATGCCGGCCTCGAGATCGCCATCTCGATAAGGGGTGGCAGTATCCCAGATGTACATCCTCATTCTGCCGGGAGTGCCGTCGGGAGGAGTCATGAAATTGGCGTTGTTGTACCTGACGGATAGTTAGCAAAGCAGAGGGATGGAGAAAACCAACATACCCGCTACCATCCTGAGCATTGGTAATAACGGGGTCACCGCCCTTACCACCAAGCCCAAAGTTGTGGGCCTGGAAATTACCCGAGATCTCGTCGAAACCGTATCGGTACAACAGGTCATGGTACATGTTTGAGGTGTAAAACAATTGAGTGACAACGAGGTCGATATACTCTTTGGGAGCAAGTCCCTCCTCAGCTCCATAGTCGTACACAAAGATGTGCGAGTCATTGAGAGGTCGATAGTTGTTCAAAAAGTTGTTACGGCCCTCCCAGTCCTCGTGGGCGTACACGTTGTTGCCGACGGTAGTGTTGAAGGTGGTATAGTTGGAATCAGTAGTCTGTCCCGGGAGATCGAACGTAGACCAAGGGTTGGCGGAGGTGGGGAACTGGTGCCAGCCGAGGGGAGAGGCGGCAGTGTCCCAGGGCTTGGTGACGATGGAAAGGTTGCCCACCTCGGGGTCATTCACACCTGAAACGTGTCAGCGTGATCGATGTAACGATGCCGATACTCACCCCAAGGGAAGACCTGATAAGAGTAAGGCTCAAGCTTGGAAGGAGGCGAGGGAAGAGGCTTCTGCTTGCCGCCCTTCAGCTCTTTGATGTCATCCTTCAGCTGGTCAAGCTCCTCCTGGAGCTCTGAGAAGTCAAAGTCACTGGCCCAGTCGACGATCCGCAATAGCTCGCCAGAGTATACGTCAACATAAGCTTCGTACCAAGTATCTTTCATCTCCACTTCATACTTCCAGACAAGACGGGGCTCGGCGTCCGACACCTGAGTATACATCAGACGCGCGGGAACGTCAGACATAACACCAGCCTCCGCAAGGGCAAGTCCAGAAATGATCTCAGTAGGAGGCTCCGCGGGGGCAGGCTTGGCTTTGAGAGAGTGCTGAGGGGTCGACTCAAGTTCATCGGCCGAAATGTCTCGCAGATTGTCGTTTGCCACTCGAGAAAGGAGACTGACCAGACCTTCGGCAGGAGACATGATGCCACCAGAGACCAAAGGCTGACAGACAGCATCGCTATGATCCTCGAGATGCTTAGAAGACTTGTGGAGCCTCCTGATGGCATGGTGGTCAAGCTGCTTCTTGGAGGGCAGAGAGATGCCAAAGATATTCTGCGCAGTCGATTTGACGAAACCCCAAGCACCGGTCTCGCCCTTGAGCTCGGCCAGCTGAGCATTGTGAGATTCAATGTTGTCCTCGAGGATGGAGCAAAGCCTCTCGGACTCGCCCGAGGAGGGCGCGTGGACATCGCTCAGACTGGGGGCGGAACCGGGGTGGAAAGAGTTACCCCAGGAGATGACGCGGCCGTCCCGATCGATATTCAGGTTGATATCACCGTCAGAGACCTCAAGGCCGTTGACAAGCTGCCGGACATAGAGGTGTGCGACACCAGTGCGGGCATCCGTGTAGCTCTACGAGACGCGTCAGCTTGTTGCAAGGGTCGCCACCGAGTTTGATCCGCGTCGCTCCATCTTCGACCGCCCACACATTGACACTACGCAGACCACACATCGTTCACAGAATACTCACGTCGTCTCGAATGTAATATTCGGAGCCCTCTCGGAAACCAAGCTTGGACTCAAGGAAGGCGGCAACGACGTCCTTGGCCTGGAAGGACTGCCCGGCCAGCAGGGTAGTGAAATCGGGAGAGGCAGGCTCATCGACAAGCTCGAACTTGGCATGGGAATGGGAAGGCCCAAACGAGAGCGACTTGCGTGCCCGGAGGGAAGCAGGGGTAGATTCCTCGGAGTGGCAAGGCCTCGCGACGGCAGTGGTGGCGATAAAGGGGAGGAGAGCTATAAGCGCTGAAGTGCGCATGATGGGGGGAGTGGATGTGGGTGGATGATTGAGAAGTTATAGATGCGGATGAGGAATGGAGATGCGAATGGCGGGTCAAGTACGGGCTGATAAGAGATGCGGCCCAGATGAGGTGCTTGATCGCCGTATCGGGCAATGGGGGCGGCGATACCCGGTTAAATGGGGGGCGAAGTGGGAGATAACGATAACATGCCTCCACCCTGCACGCCGGGTCCTGCACTCGCTTTCCTTTATCCCCTTCTATCCGGCGCACCACCCCCATTCCATTCTTCGAGACCAGCCGCCATCTGCCCGACCAAGACGGAGGCTGTATCACTCAGGTCTCACGTGAGGCTGATCGAGGTTCACTTCACCTACCTTCGGCATCCGCTCCCAATTCTTCTTGCAAATCGACAGCGATGGCCAGCTTGCAGAATTTGAGGCCATGGAACTCCCTGGAAGAGCGAGGGCTACCATCCGCCGGCGTTGACTCCCTATCTGGTCAATCGGCAGAATGTTTAGAAAGACTAGCCAATTATGACCCCCCGCCTTTACCAGAGTGAGTCGATCACTCACCGGGGTGCCCAGTTGCCTCATGACATATAGCTTTGGTATCATGAAGCAGGCCTCAGTGCTTGTGGGGCTCTTTGAGAAGGATGGTGAGCTTCATGTGCTTCTGACGACTCGCGCGAAGACCTTGCGGTGAGTCCAAGCAACGCGTTGACCTGACAAGTACATAAGGAGGCTGATCAAATAATCTAGGAGACACCCTTCACAAACTGTGCGACCAAGTTCCTTCTGCCATCGTATCTCAGCTGACTCATCTCAGGCTCTTCCGGGAGGTAAAGTTGACCCCGAAGACGAAGATGTCATCTTTACTGCCGTACGCACCTTCCCCTGATCCTAGCAATTCGCTCTCACCTTCGGTATCACAGCGCCGAGAGGCTAATGAAGAGGTTGACCTCCCACTGAACCATCCATCAATACATCACCTGACTATCCTTGATCCGGTCATGACGATTCTACCGCTGAACGCTCACATGAAGAACCACATCGTTGTCACTCGCAAGTTCCTCACCTCCCGGGAGGCGACACGACTAACGTCGATGATAGCTGTGGTATGCTTCCTCTCGGATCCTTCTTTACTCATTCATCTTCGGCCGAGTCCCGATGAGGTGGACGCAATCTTCACGCACCCGCTGAAAGGCTGCTTGACGGGCGAGGTAGAAGGCAAGAATTGGGAAGGGCTGTCGGAAAAGGGCGGGGAGTGGTGGCCGTACGAAGAAGAATTCCATGTAAGTTGCCTGATCACAATTACCTTTAATGATTTTTGAAACAGTCTACCGAAGATCGGATAGGAGTGGGTAAAAGTCGTAGATCGTATCGGAGACGGTATGCTGACGATAACTCAGGTCACCGGCGGCTACAGGATGCATCGCTTCAGAAGTGAACGCACCCCCATTAAAGGCCTCACATCAGACATGTAAGCCTGCTCAGATCATCTGGAGCTCTGCTTGACAAACCGCAGCCTCATACACACCGCCACTGTAGCATATGGTTCCTCTCCATCGTTCGCCCGTTTCGCCTCCGATCAGCCTTCCTTCTCAAGTGCCATCTCGGACGTTGTCCTAGAGCTTCCAAGAGTCATAAACAGCAGCTCGTCCACATCTCCTGGAGGAACTCCGCGTGTACTGGAGTGGGGTGGGACAGAGGTGGGACAACGAACCATCAGCGGAGAAACCTGGGCGCTGGACTAACGCGAAGACGATGACATGCATCTACTTGTATATGACTAACTGTATATGACTAACAACAAATGCGTTTTTTGCGCGTTGCTACAATGTATGAGAGATATTATAAAGATATACAGTATACCTATGTAAAAATAATGAAGACTCAAGAACCCCTTTCTTGCTCTTCCAATGACATCTCTTCCTCGTGATGCGACGTCAGACCTGAACCACTCCTCGTCCCCCTCTGCCCCTCATACTGCCCACTCGCTTGGGACTGCAGTCCAGTGAAACTGACTCTCCCCGTCTGCGAACCTAACGCCGTTCCCTGCTGACTCCCCGCCAGTCCACCCCGCTTACTACCCGTCCCACTCTTTCCACCACTCGACCCCTGGCCGGTCATACGCGTAGCCAAGCCTTGTACAGCACGAGCTGCGTTGCCGACCATTTTCATTCCATTGGCGCTGTAGCTGCCAGTCTCATGGGGTGAGAATGTTCCTCGGCGGACGCGCTTACGAACGACACGCTTTGTGCTATGGAAAGTTAGATTTGTTACAGAGCCCGGAAGGCAGGACTTACTGCCACTCGACAAAGCCATAGATGATTGCATCCAAGAGTCCTTGAGACAAGACAAACCACCTGGAGATGGCCCGAAGAGCAGTGGGAGGGTTTCCCGCAAAGTCATCTTCACCAATGTTAGCCGCGGGCGATCTTTCGAGAGGAAGTCACTCACATATCAATCGAACGAAAGACACGGAGAACAGTATCACATACTATCCGAGATCAGCAAGTGCTCGTAAAGAACGGCGTTTCACTCACACCAAGGGGAAACCAAAGCATCAACATCGCCGTCTTTCTGTTCAGGTAGCTCGACATGCTCTCCGGTACAAGCTCATACTGCTTTCCCGGGTGGCTCTGTGTCGGCGGCGCAAACCTATCAACCATATGGGCGGGCGGTGGGCCCGCCAGCATCTTCAACAGATCCATCTCCTCATCTCCATCCTCCATCCCCGTCCCCGCACCTGATATCGAGCTTTTTGTGCCCATCTCGGCCTGCGAAGACGTTGTCTGCCGGCCTTCTAATGGCACGGCGCAAGATTCTGTTCGCGACGTTGGAATCTGAGATTGGTTTGAAAACGATGCGCCGGGAGATTGCGGACGGGAAGGGGGACTAGCTTGAGAGATGACGGGCGATAATGGTCTGCCAGGTGTCGCATGGCCGACGTTGGGATGCTGCAGGAGTAAAGGCATCTGGGACCTTTCGTCTGATGGCACTGACGATTTTCGGGAAGCTTCGCCACTGTCAAGGTCATCGACTACAGTCGATACTGATGGTCTTTGCCTCTCGATAGTAGGGGTAGGAGTCCGATTCCACGCCTGGGTATTGGAAGGAAAGTAAGTGCCCGGTGATAGGGGCCGGGAAAGAGAATAGAGGTTGTCCACCATTGTGGCAGAACTACTCGGCTTCCTGACCTGATCCGGAGGTGCCTCTTGGGTGGGACTGAGAGCCTCGGTTTCTTGCTGCTGTTGACGCAGAAGTTCCGAGAATCGGACAGATTGGACCGGCTCATATATCGGGGAGAAGGAGCTATCTTGACTCGCAGATATGCTCTGCATTCTCGGGTTCTTGGGCAAGAGAGTCGGTGACGTTGGCCCGCCGGTCGCACTCCCGCTTCCCTTCCGATTAGAGCCATCTCCAGTGGAAGAAATGCTCCCAAACCGAGATTTGGGCTGCTGCTTGGGTGAGGCCACCGAACTTGCCGATAATCGCTTCTTGCCCCCCAGACCCTTCCACCCATTCCACATGGAGTTACTGTTCCTCGTAAACTGTTGAGGGCCACCGTACTTTTCACCATCGACCTGAAAAGGTGGCAACTCGATCCGTTCCCATGGAGGTAGATCAGATAGAGGGATGGGGGCCGAAGTAGGGGATGTGGGTTGTGATCTGACAAAGGGTAGAAGGGTTGTACGCGAAGGTCTTCGTGGTTCACTGGAGTCGACCGGGGTGCTGAGCTCGATTTGAACCTCCGTCATGTACTTGACCTCTTCCTCAGCACTGTGGTTATACTTGGGAGGCTGTCGTCTGAAGACATTGACAAACGATACAAGGCGCGATTGGCGACGAGTATCAATGGTTTCAGACTGCGTGAGGCACCCAGTTGTGGATCCAGATCCGCCTGCACGAATTTTGTCGGGCCTTCGTAGGAAGACGATCAGGCGTGAATACAGGATGACCACTGTGAAACAGACGACTGCCCGGGGGATGAATTGGATCAACTCGGCATAGAGACCGGTATTGTCGCCGTAATAACAGACACCTCCCGCAGGATAATACCCGTAAACCTTGTACCCAACCAACCCGATCATGGGTGATAAAACCCAGACTGTACTAATCAGCTCAACGAATCAACTGCGTTATCTGTGTACTCACCAAAACCCCAGAGAATGTACCACCGCCTCTCCAGCCAGAGTGTCACTGTGTGCAAGGGCTGTAAAGTATGATGAGCGCAGATAGAAAGAATGATGCGCTGAGACCCACGTAAATGAGGATCATGTATGTGGCAAAGGCCAAGATGAGCGTCCACAGGTGTTCTGTGGCAGTAGTCAATACTGAGCAGATCTTTCAACAAGCTACGTACCCGACCACAAGACTGTGGTAAGCATGAATCCCAGTCCGGAACAGGCAGCAGTACCGTGCGCTATACGGTGTCCATCGCCCGAGAGCGTCAAAGCACCAGCTACCAGGCCAACGATGCTGAATTATATATCAGTCCCAGATATACAGACGACATAGATGGAAGGGTGACTCACCCAAGAATCAGGTCGCTGAGGATCAATGCCTGAACGATCCTTGTGCGCGTCGTACCTGGTCTTCCGCGAACAAACTCATTGATAGTCATACTGGTCACAATCATCCCGGCGCCGAGAACAGTCAAGCACTGGTACATGTCAGGAGAATGCAGCAACAAAAGGAAGAGCGCTTACCAAAATGACGATATTGACAATGATGATACCCTTCTCCGCCTCAACCTTCCCTGTCTGCTCCGCAAGGTATATCTCTCTTGCTTTCAGACCCGCCCCGACCATGTTCTCCGCCCATGGACCCGGCATGCTCGCGCAGATCGCGCTCTAGTCACTTGCCGTAGATGGGCGAGATACAGGCGATTATCGGTTGGGTTGTATGTTTTTCAGAGACCTGACCGCCGGCGGTGACGAGGCCATGGAATACTCTCTTGTTGTTTTGTCGGGGACCAAAGTCTTCAGAGGTATTGCTGAGAGTTTTGCGGGTAGAGTATATACACAGTCGGGGGTAGCAGCGAAAGGATCCGAGGGCGAATAAAGCGGTGTATGTATAGATGAGAACGCAAAAATCTCTAGGCATGGCATGGCGGGTCTCGGAAGTTCGCGGTTCGCGATCGTTCTTCATATCTTTTCATTTACGCAAGCCGGAGCAGATCTATATTTCCTCCCGAGCCCCGAAAAGCCCGTAAGCCCGTACGTATATTTTCTAGTCCTGCTTTCTCGCCGCTCGTCGCGCTCCTATGTGTACGGTATATGGCAGATGGCGTATGTTCTATAAGTTTGTAAGCTGGATTGTACGGTAGCAGTTTCATGGACACTCGCCGTCAGTCGCCGAGCGTATAACATCTAGCATCCTTTTCGCGCGATGATCAGAAACATGGAGCAACTGCGTTCTGGGCTCTGAGTGAGGAGTGGACCCTACATATGTATGCACTTTGCTGATCTGGGCGATCAAGGCTGGGCAAGTCACTGTGCTAGCAGCTAGAGTACTAACCGCTACCGCTCAGCGTTACCCCTGCATCCGGATCTGCCGCTTGATTGACGAGCATTCTTTTTCGCGTTCGTATGTATGCTCTGCCTTGGCAGTGACTGCAGTAAGACAGACGACGTCAGTTTGACTTTGGGGCGGGCTGAGGCGATCACTGTCCGTAGCCGATACTTCTAAACTATGTAAACCCCCGCCCCGCCCAGGTGGAGTCATCAAACGCTCTTGACCGGACCGGCAAGAGGCAAGAGGCCCAAGAAGAGCAGGTGGCACCTGGGTGGGCGCGCAACATCTAATGACCTATTAGTAATAACGGAATTTAATATAGGGCATTAGTCCCTGAAAGGGAAAAACGCAAGTACCAATATTCCGTAAATGAATCCAGGCAGCAGTTCATTTTCCATTTTTGATATGCATCTATAGTACTCGAGTATACAGCAGTAAAGCTGTAGTATTCACCTGGCTCGAGGCAAGCCCCGCGCGTCGGCCGGAGGTCTCCGCGGGATGTTTACGTACGCAGGACGAGGGGCGAGCCGCGAGCGAGTACATACATATTCACTTTCGAGCGTCGCGTTTTCCGATTTTGGCAAATATAACCAAGATAACTATAAGCCAGCATCATAAAAAGTGAATATCCAAGCTGTCTTGGCCAAATAATGCCGAAAACGCCGTGCCGTCATGCATGCATCTGAAGTTGCGACCATGAGTGCAATCATACTCGCACAACCTGCATACCTACTGAACCTCAATCCCCCCAATCGACCTGTTCTTGCACTATGAGCTCTTCCGACGCCAACCCAGCACCTTCCAAGAGACCTAGGCGCAAAGGGACATGTGCTAGAATCAACTGGGCAACATCCTTCACATCGACCCAGTTACGTACCCAAGGGAGCGGGAAGGTCGTCCTCAGTCTTCTTGCCGGAAGCCTACTCGTAGAAGGCGGCGACAGAGGTGTTGAGGGACTCGGGCTTGTCGCACTGGTGGATGATCTCACCAAGAACGTAAGGGGGGTTGATGGCGACGGCGTCCCAAGAGGGCTTCTTCTCCTCGATGAACTCTGCCCGATTGTCAGTTCTTAGATCTCCTGCGCCCTCATGTATACGAGCTTCCTGCTGAATGCGACATCCTCTGGCTCCTCGTCGCGCTTGGGCTTCTGTCCCCGCCCGGGATAGAAGCTTCGAGGACGTCATGGTCTCGTGGACTTCGGGGACCGTTTTTGGTCCAACTCTAATCGACTGCACCCGCTTTCCTAATCACTCACCGCCAACACCGTCGAGCATTATATTCCTCTCGGGACTGCGACTCGTACAGGCTGGGACGTACTACTGAATGTTTATGCACAGAAGAAGCTGACTCGGTGGTCCTCGGCACTCGAGACAGAGCACTCTCGGCCGGGCCAGCATGAGTGCTTGGCGGCGACGCATCGCACTGGGCGGTGTCTCTCAACTTCAATGTGGCAATGGTAAAGCGGGCCCTCACGACATGATGAGTTGGATGCTTGATTAAGATGCTTCGTATAGCAATCTCATATTACGAATGCATACACAATGCTGAACCGTCATCTTTGCTGCTCACTCTCGACGGCTTTCAAAACTTGTCTGCAAATCTCTTCTGCAAACTCTCCGCCATCTCCACAACGGTATCCTCGAATGTCTTGTATTCAACACCCAGAACCTTTGTGGCCTTTGCTCCATTGAACACGTTGGAGTCCTTGACAATCTCGTCGTGAGTTCCAGGCTTGCCCACTGGAATATCCGGCAGGTCAGGGAAGCGTTTGTGCAAGACATCCACGTAGTCTTGTCCGGCAAACGGACCAGCGCTAACAATGAATCTGTTGCCTCCGGCTTCAGAGACGGTAAGAGCTCGAACGTGGGCAAGGGCGACTGTATAATGTGTCAGCATTGAACACAAGCACTGAATCGATGAGCGCACCGTCTTTCACATCAACCCAATTGGCGCCGGGGGCTGGGAGGTCAGACTCGGACTTTTTGCCGGTGAGCCATTCCCAAAAGGAATCTGCAAAGCGTCAGAGCAGTTTTCTTGACGGGGTGGCGCAGAGTCACTCACGGACAGAGGTGTTCAACTTCTCAGGGTTATCGCATTGGTGGATGACTTCACCAATCACCAGAGGGGGGTTGATGGCAGCAGCATCCCAGGTAGGCTTCTCGTCCTCGATGAACTCTGTTCGCACTATCAATACTGTTTCCACTCCTGACCAGCAGATGACTCACTCCAAAGTGCCTTTTCCGCTAGAGTCTTGCTTGCGCGATAAGAATCACCTCCGTCAGAGTTGACGCCGTTCTCCTCAACATGTTTGATGGAATCGACGTTCCAATCTTCCTCAGTGTAGATCACAGGAGTCTTCCTGGATCGCGCAGACATGACAGATGCCACTGAGGAGGTGATAACCACGCGCTTGATTCCTGGGCTTGATCCCGCTGTCAGCATATCATCACGGCGGGCCGAGACGAGGCGAGACTGACTTGTTCTTCTGAATACTTTTGAGGATACCGGTAGTCCCTTTGAGGGCAGGACCGATAAGCTCTTGCGGATCCTTGACATTGGCCGTGTAGAAAGGAGAAGCGAGATGGGCTACAGCGTCGACACTCTTGACGGCCTCGTCAAACACTCCGTCCTGTAATGTCGCTCGTCAGCTTCCGGTTCGTCGTCGAGTGATCTCTGTGCCGCCTCACCTTGGCAATGTCCTCGACGACAGCATACTCGAACTGGCCAAGCCCCTCGAAGAGGTTTCTCAGATACTCGCCCTTCTCCTGAGACCGGACGGTCCCGCGGACTTTGTATCCCTGCTTCAGGAACTCTTTGGCGGTGTGGCTGGAGATGTATCCGCTTGCACCTGTGACGAGGATGAGGTCTCCTTTGGTAATGGGGGCCATTTTGCTGTCAGTGGAATGTAATGCAGAAGAAGAAGAGGCGCAACATCTAATGACCTATTAATAGTTACACGAGGGGCGCGGAATTTAATATAAGTTATAAGGCATTAGTCCCTGAAAGGGAAAAACGCAACAAGTACCAATATTCCGTAAATGAATCCAGGCAGCAGTTCATTTTCCATTTTTGATACGTATGCATCTATAGTACTCGAGTATACAGCAGTAAAGCTGCAGTATTCACCTGGCTCGAGGCAAGCCCCGCGCGTCGGCCGGAGGTCTCCGCGGGATGTTTACGTACGCAGGACGAGGGGCGAGCGAGTATGTACATATTCACTTTCGAGCGTCGCGTTTTCCGATTTTGGCAAACATACCCGGGCCAGGGAAGACTGAAGCCGCCGGGTAACCAAGATACTCTACTTTAACAGAAAGCAAGCAAAGCCAGCATGATAAAAAGTGAATATCCAAGCTGTCTTGGCCAATAATGCCGAAAACGCCGTGCCGTCATGCATGCATCTGAATGTTGCGTGATAAATCGCCACACCATGGGACTTTGTCGACCCCCGTAGCAATAGCCAACGAGGCTTCCAACACACGGCATCTTACTCTCCATCATGCCGGTAAGCTCTAGTGTAAAGACGAACAACTTGGTTGTTGGCCCCGACAACTTGACACTATTAACAATACTTACCAATCTTCCCTCCTCGGTCGCAGCCCGCAGGCGCCCCTCCCAGCATGCCTTTTCAAGTTTCCGCTTCCCATAAGTTTCCGCTTCCCATGATCCTCCCCCCCTCAGCTGCCCTCCAAACTCCTTCACATGATATAATTCAGCGACCAGCTGCGATTCCCCTTTCCATCGACTCACGGCCAGATGTAGCCGCAATAGGGATAGCTGGCTCCGGCACTGTCACTTTTACCTTCCGAAGAGCAAGCGCCTCGACCCATCCAACCCCAGTCTCCGATTTTGGAAGAGGAGCTCTTAAGGAGTAATGATGAGCCTCTTCGATCACTCGAATCAGCAAGAGAGAGTGAGCCTTATCGGGAATTGGGTCTGCGGCGGGGAGTGAAGATGAGCTGGATATCTCGGAGGATCCGATCAGTCAAACCGGCGTTCGTTGGGACAGACGCTTGGAAGGCTATGTATTGGGAGAAGATGGGACTTTGTCGAGGACGACGAAGGTGACAGGAGTGGGAACACTGGATGTCGGACAGTCGGGAGCGTTGACATCAAAAAAGAAATTCTTGGGTAAGTGCTTCGATCTGAAGATCAAACATCCTGACATCCGTGTGCGCAGAATGGAACAAGAGGGCGTATGAACTGAAGAGATCACCACAGTATTATCAAAAGCACAAGTGGTCGGTTATCAAGAAGGCATGTCTACTCTGCAATCAACTTTATTTGCAGCGCTGGCATTCTCTCTATATGTAGGCCGTGGACCTTGTCATCAACTCAGGAGCAACAGTCATGTTGCACGTCTGGCAGTGCGTTAAAAACTTCCTGCACTATTGCAAGTAATGTACTGATGACCAAGCAGTGACAGCGTCTTGAGCGACGCTGGTAAACAGACTGAGTATGGCCTCACAACCTCGTTCTCATCCCTGAACCTCACATCGGAGGAGCCAACCATCCCCATCTCGTCCTTCGCTGCTCCACTGCAGTTAGCTGTCCTGGTGCTGGCTGTGAGGCGGCATAACCTACATCAAGCCGGCACACCAGCAGAAGATCCCGCTTGGAAAAATGCCAGTGTCAAGCCCGAGAGTCTTTCGGCTGTCTCTCCTTCTGACCTCAATCATATGTCCAAGCTCGTTCTGGACATGTTTGCGCTTGCGAAGCAAAGAGGGGTAGCGGCTTCCTCAGCCGGTAGGCTTCAGCGAGCTATTCGAGGGCGTAATGATGCGGAATCACAATTGGCAACAAAGAGCACACAATTGGAAACGACGCACAGTATGCTTGAGCGCGCTGTTGTCAAGATGGGTCAGGATGGCACGACCCCAGAGGACATAGCCGTGCATATCGCTATGCCTCTGGATCAGGTCAAAGAGACACTTCTTCGTTTTGGTATCGTTGTATAGCCCTATTTTGTAATCAATGTATCACATTCAGGTCATCGTGACGTATCTTTCCCCCTCTGTCATGAATCAAGTCCAGCGAACACTGCCACAACTTCACTGGCTCATTGTCAATCCTTCTCGTCTTCAATATCTGAAGCCAGAATCGACTGTAGACAAGAAGAAGCCTCGATGAAGGAGATAATTGCCAATCTGGGCCGACGGAGGTGATGACCGACGGCTTGTCGTACGACTAACGAAAGCAAAAGTCGCGCTGCCATGCAGCTCTTTCCACACAACCCCCAGCTCCATCTTGCATGTCCACCACTGTCCTCGTCCCAGGTCTCAACGGCTTCGTCGCCGTCCATGTCGCCGTCGCCTTTCTTTCCCGCGGCCACCACGTAGTGGTTGGTACTCACCGTGCCATCGCTACAGGCAGCCTGCTGACGAGCATTGGTGAGGCGATACTGTGGTCCAATATAGCTGCCGCTTGCGTCCAGCTCTCGAAATCAGCCATAGACGATGAGCGAAGGGAAATTCTGACTCGATTAGGATTCATGAGCGCTTATTACGACGTTACTCCATGGCCGCTACCGTGAAGAATAACCGTAAGTTCAAACTTTAACGTCTCCTCCTCACCAACTTGCTCACTCTCTTTCAGGCAAACGTCTCCTATTGACCGCCCCCGACGCCTAAGTACTGTCCGCTCAGAAGACAAGAATGCCAAAGACAACGAGCTCTTTGCTCTCAAAAAGTATGCCGCCGACGGCTCGCTGCAAGTCTTCGTGATCCCCGACCTTGTCAACGCGGACTGGGACTGGGACACACCCCTCCTCAAGGATGTCAACGCGGTGCGTCATACTGTCACCTTGTACAAGCCCACAAGCTCACACGATGTACAGATTGCCCACGTCGCGTCGCCCTTCGACTTGCCCCTGCCTACTTATGAACATTTCGCTGCTCCCGTCATCGCTGGTACTCGCAACTTGCTTCAGGATGCATCCAAGAATCCCAGTAAGCACCACACCTCATGTATTAGTATTTGGTTCTCACACTCGTCTAGACATCAAGTCGGTGAATGTTGTAGATCGTACACTCGAAGACACTGTCCAGGGCACGATTGACACTCTTGAGAGGCTCGGAGTGTTAATTGAGTTTCTTCTTCTTTATCTCTTATCTCCAGGGTGAATATGTTATGCTGTAGACAGGGCAGAGGTACAGGTAGCATGTAAAGAGTACAACTCGATATGTACGCAAGTTCGCAATGCCAAGAGTTGACAGGCAGACTTCATCTCAGCGGAAGACGGCGCCTCTTCCGGACTTGGACCAGCATGTCGCTTCAGATAACTGTTCCCTTGGCTGGCACTTGTCTCGGTCAGTTACCGCGCCCATGAGCCACATGCTGAAACACCAAGACAGCCTCATACTATGCATCCGTGGCGCAGATGTCTGTCATCCTTTGTTCGTCATGATATGTCACCAGTAGCAATCCTTTGACGTCAGCTCTTCTGCGAGTGGATGGGATTTCTTCCCGACTCGACAAGAAAGGATGGTATAGCAGAGTCACAAAGCGCTGCGTTCGTGGGGGTGGAAAGTCTCAAAACGATTGAGCCCAGACGTATTCCAGTATCTTTGCCCCTATCCTTCCTTTTCCCATACCGCCTGCCACAATCGCTACTACGCTTACACAACTTGCCTCACACATTGCCAGCAAGCTACGCTACCTGAATCTCGAATCCCAACTACACTAAGCAAACAAAAGAAGCGAGGAGTGCATGTCCTACCACCCAACGTCGCATTATCTGCAACAACCTCACTGGCCGCTCCTCTCTACCGGAGGAGTTGATGAAGGAAACTTCTTTGTTCATGACCTGAGTCATCCTGTGCCGTCATCAACGTCCACCAGCTTCAACGGTCGATCTCATGATGGCCCCGTGTACTCGTACTCTGCACGTCACGAAGAAGTCAGCCCGATATCGGCCAATTCCATCAACGATCCTTGGAATCGATCATTGGGACAGACCAGCGCCGCTACTATACCAAGACGGAATTCAGGCCGATCGTTTGTTTCTGATCTCACGGAAGACGACTTCACTGGTGATTCATGGTCGTCAGTCAGTGATCTCAGCTCGTACACTCCTTGGCAAAGTCGCTCAACTCCAGCGCAGCCATATGTCAGAAGCAGGGAACCTTTCGATGGAGTGTACACTGCAATGCACGGGGCACGCTATGAACATGCACCCATTGTAAATATCTCCACTCCACAATTCGGTATGTGGGCGATGGAGGACGCTCCCGAGCGAATCGCCGAGGAGAGCTCACAGTATTCCGCCGGAAGAAATTCTAATGGCGTCAGCAAGCTCTTCTCAAACCTGGCCTCCAGGGAAAGTGGACGAAGGCACCAGCCAGAGAGTATAAGAGGTCATTCGCGCCGAAGGTATGACGACTCATACCAAAGCCCGAGGGTGCTGCAGAACCCCGTCAACGATTCAGTCGAATATCTCTCCGAAGACACTGTCAAACCATCGCTGTGGAAGTCTGCCCGATCGGTGGCTACTGCCTGTCTCAGTAATATCCACCTCCCCAGTCGATACAAGCCGTCCTCCTGGTCTGGAAGTGACATCACCTCGGATGGTGCTAATGCCAAGAAGAGATCGACATGGCAATCTGCCAAGTCTGGAGCCACGGCACATCTCAAAAGCATCCACTTGCCCAAGTTGTATCAACCTTCGTCTTGGTCCGGAAGCGAATACTCCAGGAAGTCTGCTGACGAGAAAAAACATTGGACTGGCAAGCTACGGAAACTTTGTTCTCGAGAAGACACATCCCGCCGCAGCAAATCGGCCTTCGGTAGCCACAAAGTACGAGCACTCTCGATTCCGGAAGGAGATAGAGTGGGCGAAGATTGGTTCGATGAGTCAGGCCGATTGACACAGCAGTCAATAGACGAGGCCATGCGACGGGCAACTCGCTCATCCAAATCACTCCACCGGGATGATTTTGCTCCAGAGGACTGGTTCGAGGAAGACGGGAGGTTGAGTGAGGCGATTCTTGCACACTGGAACAGATCTCGGTTTGATGATGGACTGTCGTATTACGCTTGACAGTGAAGCCGATTGGGGTCCTCTTTAACCCAATATTCTATGCACTGTAGTAGTTGTATCAGAGATCAAAATGTCGTCACGTATGGTGGCAAGAGTAGAAGTAGGAGAATGCATGATCCGTCGTAAAGTTTAACAGAAAGACATATGACAGCAACAACCATCATCATGATGTCCGCAAGTGGGGATCGTAGGAATATAGGGCACAGTAGGATTGCGATCATGGACGCCCGCATTGACATGAGCTTACACAAAGGGAAGTTCATGGCAGTGAAACACCTTTCATGCCCCTTGAATGTCTCCGTACACGTAGTGGTATTCAGAAATGTATAGTGGACATCTCTACTGTACTCTGATTACTCCAGCGCATCGCCGTTCGGTCAGCCCCAAAGGTACACCCGGCTGTACCGGAACATCCTCAATGAGTTTTCATAATGAATACATCCCGCCCGACGAAGACAAGGATGTACCCTGCATGTGGGACGATACGCAAGAAGGCAGCGCCACCAAACGCTTCAGTATGGGCTATAGCTACCCCTCGGCTTCTACTGCCAATCCTTCAAGGTACTCACAAAGTGCGGCCAGGTCCAGGGTGATTGATCATGAAAAGTACAGGTCTTGTTTACGAAAGTTAGAGGAAGAAGAAGAGGCGAGACGACTGGAGGATGCAGAGGAGGCTCGACTGACGAGTCGTCCAAAAAGACCCAGACGTCAACTTTTCAAGATCAGGCCTCGGCCTCCTCTTTCTTGCACTGCTCTCGAAGATAATTGGCCTCCGCCATTGTCGGCAGTACAGATCGGAGGTCCAGATGAGTCGATGAAGTCGACAAATCAGACACGCGATACTTTTTCTACACCAAGCCTGCCAAGTGAGGGTCAAGGTTACCACCCACCAGTAGTAGCCTCGTATGATTCCAGCTTGAACACGCCTTTTTCACGCTCATCATCAGCCGCTGTTAGTGACCCGCCAGCGGCTTGCTCGGGAGTGGCATCGTCGGAGAAAGCTGTTGAATCAACTTATCCCGCCTCTACGCACGTCTATACAAACGATGACGAAACAACCCCAGTAACACCCAGTAGCGCCCCAATCCCCACAGCTATGAGTGATGCCACCCCACCCTCCTCCCCGTCCTCTACTGCTGCCCTGCCCCAAGACCAGATCGAAGGAGGGGCTGATCGTAGTTCGTCCACGGATCCTGTCAGTAGCAACGATGGTGGAGCTTCGGTCAATACGTCACTCCCGGACGCAGATACACAGCAGCACCAGAGGATGCCCTTCGCCTCGGCAGCAGATACTACGGGGACTACTAGTAAGATTCGAGATGATGATGACGAGAGTCCGAGCGATGACCCGCAGGCGTCGACTGCTACTAGCAGTCGGTCGGGTGCATCTGTAGGGAGAAGCGACGATAGTAAAGATGAGAGAACAGTCTGGAGGTGGATACCCATGCCTCTTATCGTGACTGAAGGATCGTTCGGACCAGATGCACCTATACTAAGAGATCTTGTGCCATCATCCGCGCAGGGGTCAGTGGTGACTATACCGCCGCACCCACCTGTGAGTCTTCCACCAGGAATTATGAGTATCAACCAGTCAGCAAATACTCATGAGGTGCTGTAGGTGACCATCATCCCTTGAAAGATCGGCAGTGTTTAGCGTGCCACAAGCGTTGAACGATGACGATAACGGCGGGCGGAAATAAAAATGTCGCCGGCCATCCGATGCAGACCCAAGTTTTTGTGCACTCGGTTGTTTCTTCTGCCTCATTCAATTCCCTTCCCTACGCACTCCCTACAATGCCCCCCCGAAGAAATCTCAAGCGCCACAACGAGGACGACGCTCGCAGACCCAACAAGCGCGCCGGCAAGAACAAGCGCAACCCCACCTATGATACCTATGACGAGGCTTTGGATGGTGGCGTAGAACAGGAGGAGAAGGGCGAGCGCTATCGAGACGGTGAGAAAGTGCGTATAGATTCGGGTCATTCCAATGTAGAGACTGAGCTTACATCCGGCAGTCTCAAAGATTCTATGAAAGAGCCATCGAGCTGTACACCAAGGCCGCAGAGTTACAAGAGACCTATGATGCCGTGTACAACAGGTGAGCAGGCTCGGCCCTCTGACCGTCCGTGGCTCATTTCAGCTAGGGCTCGAGCTCTGTACACACTCGCTACCGACTTTTTCCTTCCACCTTCGTCCCTGCCTCTCTTCCGCGAGTCCATCACTCTCTATCAGAAAGCGAACGATCTCACCAACTCCCCTCTTCTACGAATGGACGTCGCATTCAACCTTTCCCAAGCGTTTTCCACGCTTGCAGATGTATTGGAAGACCTCCAGACCGACGACGATACGGACAAGGACGAAGTCGTGAGGAAGCTGAGGTGTGACGCTAGAGATACTCTAGCAGAAGTCATGGACGGCCAAGAAGCCTTCCTCAGGACTGTGACCATGCAGGAGGGCGGAGAAACCGATGAAGCCTCAGAGGAGGCCACTGAAGAGCTTGAGGGTTGTGCCGAGGGCAAGGGCATGGAGGTGGACGCAGGATCGAAGGAGGACGAGGAGGGTGAAAACTCAGCCACCTTTGAAACGCATCTCCCCACTCCCTCCACGTTTATCGATACCGTCGTGACTCTCATGGACATCCATCTCACCCTTTGGGAGTCCGTGCCTACTCCTCAACCTCCGACCGAGGACGAGCAAATCGCCGTCCGAGTCATTCTTGACCGCGCAGCAGCTATTGCTCCCGAAGAAAGGCAGCCTGAGCTCCTTCTTTTGGAGATCAAAGTGCTTCTTGCCATGGACCGTCTAATCTGGGACGCATACAAGGGTGAGGCAAAAGCTGGTTCTGGCGTCGAAAGATCGTTGGAGGGCGCCGTTGCGGCTCTCGGTAAAGTTCTCGAAAGCCTGACTGGTGCCGCTGGCGAAGATAGTCACTTGCGAGCAGAGGTCATCACGACTCTGGCCGACACCCACATGACCATAGCGAGCCGGCTCAGTTTCCTCAGCACTCAGCTGCCCCCGGGCCCTTCGTCTCTTGCCCAAGATGCCTGGTTGCATCTGACCGAAGCAACAACCCACCTTTCCACGGCGGCCGATTTGCCCACAGATGGCAACACCCCCCGGACGTTCAAGCCTTCTATCTTCCTGTCCTTGTCCAAGGCCAGTCTCGCTAGGGCGACGCTCTCAGAGGTGAATGACGCGGCCAAAAGGAATGTCGTGCAGCTGTTCGACAATGCTGCTACCTACGCCGGCCGAGCAGGTGAGACGCTGGGCTGGAAGTTTGTGCGCATCGGCCCTGCGCCCACATCCACGGGCGGTGTGCTTTCGATCGGTGGCTCCAGTATCGGAAGTAGCGATCTGCCTTACCAAGCCGGGTGGGAGTCCGAGCTGCTCGGAAGATCTATCACTCTGCAACAGCTTCGAGTGTGTTTCTATGCCACTCAAACGGGGTTAATACCGTCCGAGTCATTGGTAAAGTACCAAGAAGGTTCCACGAAGTTGCTAGTCAAGCTGAAGGCTCTTCCGGAGGGAGAGAGGAAGATTGGGAAAAAGGACGTGGAGAGGTGGGTCGGGGAAATCGAGAACGAAGGGGAATTGGGAGAAGTAGAGAAAACTTGGTGGAACGAGCTTAAGTTGGAACTACAATCTTGATTGAGTCGCAATATCCCATGAAACCTTGTGATACAGATCGTCGTCCTCGGTCAAAAACCAAAACCGGTGTAGGACGCCTTTGTGTACATGAAATAAAAAGCAGCATTCGTAGTCTTTTCTACCATGTTACAATACAGGGAAGCTCATGTAGCAAACACTCTATCTTATAGATCTACCAACGCCCCATTGCCATTTCCACCTGGCTTGCCCATTGGCGCAGCCGATAGCAGTTCCGTGGCCATCTTCTTCTCTTCTCCCTTCAACCCGCCTTCTTCTTCCGTCTCGCCTTCGCCCCCATTCTGTGCCAAGAACCTTTCCACTTCGTTCATGATGGCCGCCGTCTCGTCATCTCCCCCTTCACCGTCCTCTTCCTCATCTCCCTCGTCATCACTATCACCAATCGCATCGATAGCAAAGTTGGGACGCTGCATGACGGCCTCTTGGGCTGCCTTGACCATCTGCGACTCTTCTCTGTACCGCGCAGCCACGTCGGCCAGGCTTCGCTTCTCTTCCATGCTGGCTCCTCCGATGGTGGATCCAGTCTTGTTGGACGCTTGAGAAGCTTGGGAAGCTTGGGAGATGTGGGAAGTTGAAGAAGAGGAGCGGTTGCGTTGGAAGAAGCCTTGTTGCTGGGCAGGAGTGAGTAGTGACTCGCGAGCGCGCAGGTCGGTGGACGCGTTGGCTACAGCTGGGTCTGCTGCCTTGGCCAAGGAAGGTTTGCGCCATTCGGCATGCTTGCCAAGCGCTGCACCAAACCCGTCTGCAAAGCGATTGAGTCGCGACTTGTTCCTGCGTAGATGTATATCAATATATCGTCACGAGTCGACAAGAGAGGGTGGACGTACTCGTTGGTTACGACGAGGTTCATGAGACCGCCCAACAGACCATCTGGCCGTTGGTGGGCCTGGTGATAGTCCTCTGCCTCTGCGACTTCAAGCTTGAACGATGCAGGTAGGTCATGGTCAAAGAAGCTTTCCAGAAGCTCATCCGCCAAAACGACCATACGGAAGGTGGGTAGATCTATAAATCATATCAGCAGTGTTGCAGAAGTTGAAGTGTTGTGCTCACTTAGGTAAGGTACATTGTGTGGAGCAGCAGTCGAATCCGACCTTTCCCGGACACTGCTAGCAGTCTCCTTATCACCATCCAAAGTCTCTCTATCCACGGGACTCGTCACGCTTCCTTCTGGAGCAGTGGCATCGCCAAATTCAAATGCGTTGAGAATGAATTTCGAGACCGAGGCAAGGTAAATGTCTCCAGGTTCGTTGCGGAAGATGAATAGAAGTGATTCCGAAAGGCGAATGACTTCATCTTTCGTGAGATAGCCATCCTTGTCTTTGTCGTGCTGGACAAGAATGTCAGCAGAAGTACACATCCTAGTGGCCGACTCACGAGCTCAAAGAACCACTCTATAGACTCCATCAGTCCAGCGGACATGACTCTGTCTAGACCAATGACGACGTCTTGGAGAGATAGCGACCCTTGGCCTTGATGGTCCCAAGCAAAGAACAATCTTCAACAGATGAGCTTCTCTTTCCAGTGCAGCACATATCTTGTTGACTCACCTATCAAGCAGATCGTGATCTGCGATCTTCTTGTCTGTCCTCTGCATGAAAGCATTGGTCGTCACGGTCTCCTCCCTCGCCCAGGTCGCTATTCCACTCAAGAAGATCTTGAAGGTCTTTGAATCGACCCTCGTCTCGACCCTGCCCTGGGCGTCTACTTGTATACGCGGCTGATCAAATTGATCACCTGGCAGGCTGACAACTGAGGGGTGGACAGCTGGCCCAGCTTCTGGTGAACAGACCGCTGCAAAGTAGTGGTCGTAGATGATACCAGTCTGCTCTTTGCTAAATTTGCCAACCTTCTTCAAGTTTCTCACAGCGGCTCGCTTGGAGAACTTTTCAATCTCATCACTGATGATTGCCCGCAATCTCTTGCGCTCACTCAAAATGGTCTCGTCTGTGATTACGCTGAATTCGCGGAAGGCGACAACAAGGAGTTCCTGAAAGTTGGTGATGGCCCGCACGCGAGGATCAGCGTGGTCGGGGTGGGCAGAGTCACCGATGGTGGAAAAGTATTGGCGCATGAGGTTGATGAACATCCCATCGTCGGTAATCTCAAGCAACTCTTCACCATTGATCTTCAACACCGCTAGAACAAGATGGTCAGCCTCAAATGAGACGCTCAATGAAATGTCACTCACCCAGACCAATCTGGAAAAGCACCTTTACTCCCATGGCGAGAACACAGTCCACAATCCTGAAAGCAAAGATGAGAGGCATTGAGTTGATATACAGACTCAAGAACCAAGGTAGGGAAGCGACCGAGATCTGCACGTCGACCGAACGGAAGTGCTCATGAATCATGGGCAAGCAACGTTGGACCAGAGATTCAAACACTCGCTGGTCAAGAAGTGTCCCTTCCATTGAGGGGCTGTAGTATCCAGGCAAGATTCGGTCGCAAAGGATTTCCAGTAGCCAGAACGCTTGTTCTTCTGACATGTAGCTGAAAGCAGGACGTGAATACTATTCTCGTACGAGTGAAAGGCTCACTTACATCAGAAGACCAGCGACGACGATGTTCAAAGCTTGACAATACCCTAGTTCCGGGTTTCTGAAACTATATGCCACGAGCACCCTTCTTAGTTTGTCCAGACCCTCATCGGTCTGGTAAGCCTTGTATTCAGGCAAAGAGCGGTTGAGGTCTTTCTCGATCTCGTCCGTAGATTGAGAATGCTTGCCAGCATTTTGTGAAAGCAGAAGAGAATAAGTCTGAGGGTTGGCGTATCGAAGGTCTAGCAGCAGTCGGATTGTCAGCAAAGCCCACAAAATGCGACGGTCATCAATCATACAGATAGATCCTGACATGACCTCCCAAAGTTCTCCGCGCAATCTCGAAGGAAGACCAACTTGAAGTAATCTCTGGAATGGTGGATATCTCAACACTATGTTACATCAGCTAGGCCAACCAGGGGCGACTTCAACCCTACAGGTAAAATTGCGTCCGTGAACTGTGCGCAAGTCAGACAAGGCATGCAAGGATGTGATTGAAGCCGCTCACTCATGTAGTATTCTCTCCAAAGCCTCATCTTACTCCTTTCCCTCATCTTGCGAGCATCACCCGGAAATCCGAATGTTTCTCCCAGCCCTCTCTCATATTCGCCCTTGCCTTCACCCCCGGGACCTCTCAAGTCTCCTTCCCCATCATGCGCTGCTCCGGAGGACGCCAAGTCGCTTGTGGAGATTAGATCTTCGGTCTGCGTCTGGTTACTTGCGTTTGGCGGCGCGAGTAGATACTCAGAGTACAAGGTTGGGAGGAAGAGCTTGAGCTTCTTCATTTCGGGAAGCTGTGAACAGTAAGAACATGTTCCTGTAACATGTGAGGGGAGACGTACCTGAGATTTGAGCGCATCGCGAAGCAAGATCGAAAAGTGCTCGGCGGTCGGTAACAAAGCAGTGAGCTGCAAGACCTATATGTACTGTCAGCCAGAATCTCAGATGATGCTTGAAGAGTACGCACAATCCGCATACCATGCCAAGTAGCTAATGACAGCGCGAATACGCCCGCACGAGAATTGAGTCTGCAGACAAGAGCTCATCAGTCACTCGGAGCCATGACGCTTTACGCAATGTGACTTACCGCTCGACACGACGAATGGTATACAAAGGGAGAGTACAGCGACACGACTTGCGGTCGAGCGAGATGAAGCATAGGAATGGCGGTAATAGAGACAGTCTCCCAGCCTATGCCGGAACCTTCATCAGCATCACAACATGAAGCCAAGCACAGCGAGGCTATGCTACATCTCGGACTTACATAGACCTCTTCCTTTCCCTCCACGCTAAGCACCGCATTGATCTCCATACCCTGCCCCAGCCTCTCTTCATTGACATTGTTGTTGCGTATCTTGACCACGGCCGGGGGCTGATCCGGGGCTGGGAGGTGTTCTTGAAGGGGGACATTGAAGAAGTCGCGGGTGACCTCGTCCTTAGACTTGTCCCGGTACGACCGGAGGTGCATCGGGAGTGACATGGCGGGGCACGGTGGGGGCGATGGCGGCGAGCGGGGCGGGGTCGTCGGTGAAGGGGGCTGGAGTGGGGTTGAGCAAGGATACGCGCGCTGCGAGCGACGCCGAGCGACACCTTCCTATGTCACCACTTTTTCATCTTCTCTATCATTTCCTACGGCACGTCGCTCATGGCTTATATCTGACCTTCATGCTACATTTGATCAATTTAAGCAATGCATATACGGCTATGATGCATGCTTTCCAAGTCTTGGAGCAGCAATACATGTCTACCCCTCAAACCACCCATTCGCCGCTTTGGGTGCCGTCCTCATACCGGCCATCCTTTCCAGATAAGAATTCCATAAATCATCAATAAACTCCTCGTCCGTCTACATGGCTTTTCGTCAGTCTCCAGTACAACTATGATGTTCTGACTTACCATCATCAGATCGACAAGTCTCCTCTTGAACTCTAGCTTTCTCTGTTCGGCACTCAACTCTACACCCCAAATCCTTACGTTCTCCTGTTGCTCCTTCTTCACGATAACGTCCGTCACCGCTTCTGCCATGACGGCCTTTCCTTCAGCGTTGGGCCTGTATCCGCTTAGTTGGGTAGGTCGAGGGGGGAGGGGAGAGACGGTGCGTTGGCCATTGTTGTAAGTGAACGGTTGAGAAGGGTAGCCGGTGTGGGTGGCATTGTATTGAGACTGATTGTATTGGGGCAGGTTGGAAGGAGATCCTGGGATGCCCGAAGATTCGGACACTCCAGAGAAACAAGCAGCAGTAGCGGCCTGAGCAAAGGTCGCGTCTCCAATCCTGGACGACTTGCGTACAAGCGGCTCAGTAGCTATCTGAGGTTGCTGCCCTTGAGGAGACACGTAGCCATGCTGTCCGGCGTAGTTCTGTGGCCGCTGGAAAGCATTTGCAGGGGAAGCTGCTGCTTGTGGCACCGGATGACTAGGCTGGGGCGTATATTGGCGATGGGGCTGCACCGAAGCCGGGGCAGGCGGTGAAACCCTCTGTGCCACAGGGGCCGGTACAGACCGTGGAGGTAGGGGAACAGTGCCCAAGATACTAGCCAGCAAGTCGTCGGCTGTCTCCAACTTGTTCTCGCTCGTTGGCGCGAGTGCCGTCGAGTCAGGGAGAGGGGGAGCCGTTGGCATCGTGACAGAGACGGACGCTTGTATCTGCGTCGGTGGCGGGACCTGGTACTGCGCCTGAGGCTGAGATTGATATTGAGGATGAGACAAAATGGGAGGGGCAGGTGCGGGGCTGGGCCTGTGTGATGGCAGGGGAGGGGCGGGTCGCTCCTCCCTTGGTGTAGGCCCCTGCGAAACACTTTGAGGAGCGGGCGCCCCACCCAAGAATGCAGCATTCCCGTTGATAGGTGGCTATTCAAATATCAGTTCAGGCTCTACATGAAGTAGATTGAACATACAAGTAGGCCGGCAAAGAGCTTGCTAAGACCATCTTCTTGCGTTGACTGCGATGGCTGCTGGGCAAAAGATTGCGAGGGGGCATTCGGAGCAACTTGCGGTGAGGTCACAGCGGGAGTCTTTTTGGACGGTTGACCAACGATCCTATGCACATGTCAATCCTGAGCGTAGAAAGCAGAGTTGTTTAAACTTACGCGAGGATGGCGGCTCGGAACGTTTCGACTTGCTCATGTCCCTCACTGAACCAGATTCCGATTCTCGTCTCTACATGGATGTGTTAGCAGTGGGGCACGCTGTCGGCATGGTCGATACACGCACTCTCTCCACGACGGGCAACTTGCAGCATTCCGTCGTCAATAACCGTCATCTTCATCTCTCCGGGTACTAATGGGATAGCGGGGTTCTTGACTGTTTGTCGGTTGAGCATATACAGTTGATATTCCGGCGTCTTCTCCCTGCAGCCATAGCGTCAGTATACCTCTGAGCCAAAGACACAAGGACACACCTGCGGACGACAAAAAGCGGTCCCTCCATCTTCTGCTTCTCCCATCTCTCGCTCCTCTCATCATAGTGGTATACGACACTGTATACACTGGTCTCTAAGATTGCTGATATGGATGGGTCGGCACGCTTGACGGATCGAAAGTTCGTGGCGTTGCGGAATTCGATGAGTCGTTCGTCATCTGTAGACATCTTGAATGTTTTCTCTGCCTGGCGTGGAGCGGAGAGCGGGGTCGGGGTCGGGAGTTAGGCCAGAATAAATGGCGGCCTTGTAGCACGAAAAGCGGGATGCGGCGTGGGAGGCGTATGGGACACGGGGAGATATAGGGATTGGAGATGAGAAAGGAAGATGGAAGAAAGCAAGAAGAAAGAGAAAATGGGATTACTCGCGGCGACATCAGGATGACGAAGGGCGCTGTCGAGGTGCCCATGTGAGGCCATGTCCATCTTATCACCATGAAGTCAGCGTTCACTCACAGGCATCTCCAGGACATCTCGACCCGCCTCATCCCCATCTCGCGCACCCCGCCCCTCTCCCGCCTGCCGCCCCATACAGCCACCTACGACCGGGGACGAGCACCAAAGGAATCAGGGGTGCTCATCCCTCTCATGAACATCAAGGGCTGCCCGCATGTATTGATGCAGGTCAGAGCACATGGCATGAGAGTGCATGCAGGTGAAGCTAGGTGAGTGGTCTGGCTGAAAACGTTTGAATGGATGACCTGACTCTTGTCTAGCTTTCCGGGAGGTAAAGCCGACCCGGTAAGGCTAGTTCTCCCTGCATTTGGCATATCTGACCTATACTCCGTCTAACCATGCAGACCGACAGAGATCTAATGCATACAGCAACGAGAGAGACTGAAGAAGAGCTGGCCATACCGCCGTCTCACGTTCAGTTACTCGGCGGACTAGAGCCAGAGTATAGCTTAGGTAACAAGTCTCGCGTGTGGCCTCTCGTGGTAAGTCGGCCTTCCAATAGATGACTGTGGCTAAGAGCTATAAGGGTTTCGTGCACTCCACGCCGAATCCCTGGCCCAATGATCCCAACTCTAGCCTTCCCTCGCAACCCATCTCTTCCCTTGTCCCTTCTCCAGATGAAGTATCCGCCTTACTTCCCCTCCCCTTGGCCATTCTCACGGATCCGGCCCGTCTCTCGACCCACAACTTTCGTCTGAATTGGTACAAGCCTTACCACAAGATACGAGTGGAGGACCTGGTCATCCCACCAGCGCCCGGGGCAAGCCTGGATGTGGAAGGGCTTGAAGTTTGGGGGTTGAGTGGGTGGTTTCTGAACAAGCTGTGCGAGAAACTGGGGTGGTTGGAGCCACCAGAAGTGGAGGCGTCTCCAGAGGATTGACCGACAAAGTATGTTCCGGGCTGTTATCAAAGGAAATATCGGGCAAGATCGATATCCGCATCGTGGCATCATTATTGTATGTATTATACTACCATTGATTGATGTGACTCAACTTCGGGGGCGGCTGATATGAGAGAAGAATACTGAAGCGTAGCCAGCGTAACAGAGCTCGACGATGGGCACAACACGGTGGATCACGAGATCCTATAGTACAGGAAGGGTGCTGGAATCTCTTCTCGACGGATTGTATACGGGATCGAACAATGGCTGAGCTGCCCGTGGCTGCATGCTCCTCTATGTGGACATTAGCTCAACCACTATACGGCAAAAAGTACTTGCAAGATACGCATCTCGGATCTGGGAGGCTTCGGTCGGACGACTGTCCGTCTCTGAAGGTGTGCTGATCTGATCAGTCTGGCCCGTTTATCAGCTTCAGCTCGACTTTCATCAACACCGCTGACAGACCTCGGATAGAATCGCGCTCCACCTACTGGATCCTGCCTTGACAGTCGCCTCGTCATCCTCCCAGACTCTCGCATCTTCTCCGTCCTCCGAAAAATCCAACCAGGATTCATCCAACCTCTTGCCGGGCTCCTTCTCCCTCTCGTAAGGAGTGGGAGGACGCCGTGGGCGCGTGCGCCTTTGGCTGAAAGGATGGGGCAAAGGGACCGGGGAGAAGCCTAGTGACGCCAACGACAAGCTTTCACTCATGCGGCGCTCCAAGAGTGAGCTCGGGGCTGGGCTCGCCGCCGAGCTCTCTGAACTGGTGGTCGCCTCGCTGTCATCCTCCTCGGTCACGCTCCCTGCTGACTCTCTGAATTTTCTGTGGTTGAAGCCTCTTTCCCATTCACGCCCCCACCCTCCAATGGCCAAGGGGTTCATCAGCGTCGGCGGGCGATCGCGCGTGCTGGCTATTATGGAGCCGATAGAAGAGCTCAGTGAGGACCGAGACTCTGTGGGGGAACGACGCTTTGCTTTCTTGGCGGACGGCGGAGTAGGGGGTAGGTGAATGGGCTTCGGAGGGGTCGTGAGCCTACTGTTCGAAGAGTCGTCTTCAATGGGCAGCTCTCTCAAAGGTCTCTGCTGAAGGAAGACCTTCTTTTCCTCTCTCTCGAACCAATCTCCCAACAGATCGGAACACTCCTCCGGTGTGTCAGGCACCCCAAAGTGCCAGCTCGACATGGGAGAGATCATCAGACTCGTGCGCGAAGAATTTGAGAGCGCAAATGGATGGGACGGGCATGACGGACTTCTAGAATGGGGGTTCTGAGAAAATACGAGCTGTGTGTCCAAGGGCGCCGTCGGCAGGCGGGGCAAGGGTTTGGAGGTGCACGCTCCTTGAACTGTCGGCCGTCAGCTATGTTCTACATGTGTGCGGCCTCACGCATACCTGGCTCCTCTAATCCTCTTGGCTGATCTGACTCAAAGCCGCCATACACTGTGAAGGCATGCTTGCGCATTGCTTCCCGTCTGCGCTGACTATCGCCGCCTGGACGTGCAGATCGTGATGCAATTGGTGAAGCCAGCAATTGCAATGGCGGAAATCGATTTCCGTTGGGGGACACTGATACTTGTGGCGCCTGTGGAGGGCCTTGGGACCGGGTAGTGACTGGCTGTTGAAGGGAGATCATCATGGCTGAGGATGAGCTTCTGAATGAACAAGTCGAGTTCGGACAATGGAAAGGAGCGGATTGAGAAGAGATACAAAGGGATGCGATCATGGGAAGCAAGGGGAACTTCTATAGGTTACTCATCATGCATATGGCTAAAGATTGGCGCCTCGGAGGAGTCGGGGGCAGTGAGAGTGGGTGGCTGGGCGTGAGCTGTACTTTACCGTGCCAGGTCGCTGCGTCTGTCGCAGATGTGTGCTGCCCTTGGTTGAGTGGGAGGTGATGCTTGGACTCCCGCCGTTACAACAGCATACGCCTAGGGACAACCTCAAACAGCTAGTGTGCCACTTACATCAAGTATGTACTTTCAACGCACACTGCCTCCGAAAGATCTGCCCTCGAACCGGAAAAGTAACGCCGCACGAGAGGGGAAGAAGAAAGGGGAAGGGCAGGGTGTCTGTATGGGGCTTGTGTGGTGTGTGTCCCGGGATCTCCTGAGAGAGTCAATGCGCAGATATCGACGTGACGCGACGCCGCGACTGACTTGTTTCAGTCTTTTGTCATGGCATTAAGAAGTGTTACGCGCCAATCCGAGGTCTCGGTGCATAGCTAGGGTGTACCTGTCGGTATATCATCTGTCAGTTTAGAGGCGCGATATTGGCCTCTTCATCATTCACCACTTATCGGGGCGCTTGACAGCAGCTTGACAGCTACCACATCCATCGGAGTGTGTACTATATCAGTCGGCCCTGGCTAGACACAAGCGAGTAAGATATCTACAGTAGAAGATAGATGTTTTCGTCTCTACTGATGCTCGCATGGGCCACACTATGATACATATGCTCATCAACTCTACTCTTACTTTCTGCCAGAGACGAGCCTCTCCAACTCCCCAGTGTCGACCACATGGAACTCTCCGCCTGAAGCCGCGCCACCTCTTTGGGCGCCACCAGACGAGCCCTTGCCACCAGCAAACACACCAAGCTTACCCCCGCTCTTGAGAGTTCGACCCTGCTTCCTGACAGCCTCGTACATCCTTCTCTCAGTCTCGTTCCTCGCCGTCAACTCCTTGCCGCCCTTGACCTCGTCTTCGTCGTCGTCGCCCTCCTCGCCACGCTTTCTCTTGCCTGGCTGGGCACTGGCAGAGGAGCCGGCCTTGGCCTTCTTGGTCTTGCCAGCATTGAGAGCGCCGGCCAGCTGAGCGGGAGATTCTCGTAGAGCGAAGGCTTTGGCAAGATGACCCAGATGAAGCGACTTGGGGTGGAAGAATCGCTTTTCTTCGAGAGGGTGAGTAGAATAGGCTCGTACAAACGAGGCGAAAGCCCTCCTGGCAAGCGCAGCATTCTAGAAAGATGTCAGATATATACCATATGTAATTTCAGTGATGACTCACAGGCTCAGAGTTCAGAACCCAAGTCTCAAAGCCATTCTGCACCTCTGTCGCTCGATTCTCAAACTCCCAGCCCTTGCCTCCGAATCCCTTCTTCAAGACGTCCTCAACGCCAACCTGCGCCAAGTTGACTCCACCCTTGCCTTCGGCTGAGCCCATCTTGGCCTCCATCCACGGCACCCACTTCTCTTCACTCGGCCCAACAAACGCCCAGGCCTCACCACCTTTACCGGCTCGCGCGGTACGACCCACTCGGTGGACGTACTCGTTGGCTCCGCCTTCTGTAGGGAGATCGTACTGCACGACAGCCCGGACGAGGGGAAGATCAAGACCACGAGACGCAACAGAAGTCGCAAAGAGGATAGCGGGCTGAGAGGAGGCGGTCGCGAATGCGCCGAGAGAGGCAAGACGAGTTCGGAGTGGAAGGGAACCGTGGAGACGATGGAGAGTAGTGTTTGGGAAAAGGGATGAAGTGAGGGAGACCGGTTCATCCACGGCCTTTGGCTTGGGCTTGGATTTGGACTTTGACTTTGTCTTTTTCGCCTTGGGCTCGCCGTCAGAGTCAACATCCTCCTCGCTGTCACTACCATCTTCAGAGTCCTCCGCAGCTTCTTCCTCTTGCTCGCCCATCTGGACACCACCCAGCATCTTCCAGTGGAAGTCGACGGCATCCGTCGAGCTCAAAAAGACAATGACCTTTGTGCCCTTGGCGTCGACATCGATTTTGCTGGCAGAGGAGACGAGAGATCGAAGGAGGGCTACAAGAGCAACCAGACGAAGTTTTGTAGGGGCGACCACATACTTTTGCGAAAGCTGCGAGGGCGGGGTAAACTTGTCTTCAGGCTCTTGGGGGATGACCACAGCAGACGCTTGTTCGATCGCCTCGGCAACAACGTCCGGCTTGCCATCCAGCAACTTCTTTCCATCCTTCTCCTCTTTTCCTGATCGGAAAAGCACCGGATCTCTCAGAGCAGCGCCAGACAGCTTCTCCACCTTGGCGTCTACAGTAGCCGAGCAAAGAACATTGAGTCTTCCTCGGTCCCAGAACGGCCATCGCATAGTACCACCACCCTCCTCATCCATTGCCTTTTCAATGTTGATCTCGTTCCTTCTCCTTCCTTCCAAAGCTTTGATGATACCCTGGATAGTCTCTTCGAAACCGAGATCCATGACTCTATCGGCTTCATCGAGCACAAGGAACATTGTCTTGGCGCATTGGAAAGACATGGTGTTTTGCAGGTGATCAAGCAGACGACCGGGGGTGGACACGAGGATGGGCACACCTTTTCTCAGCTTGGCCTTTTCGTGCGTCCTGGTGCTTCCACCGGTAAGCAAGCCGGATACAAGCCATCGAGTGAATGGTCGCTCGTCCTCGTCGCTATCGCTGTCTTCTTCATTAGAAGCTAGAGACATGTGAAGCAATGATTCGACCACTTTAGAAATCTGTTGCGCCAATTCTCTCGTGGGAGCGAGGATGATGGCAAGAGTGCCGATAGACCTGTCGATATAGGATAGTCGGGAAAGAGGAAGGAGGGTTTGGATGATGGGGAGGAGGTAGGCAAGGGTCTTACCGGAACCGGTTTGAGCTTGGATGAGGACATCTCGTAGAGGCTCATCGCCTGCGTCACCGGCCTTCTTGTCCGGGTTGAGAGGAGAAGAAAGCATATAAGGAAGGCAGTTCCTCTGGATACCGGTGGGCTTCTCCACACCCATCTTGCTCTTCAGGTGCCTCACAAGAAGCTTGTTCAGACCAAGACCTTGGAAAGTTGTCGGGTCGCCGCCAGGCGCATTTGAAGGTAGCTTTTTGGCAGGAGCAGGCTGCTCGGCCGCCTTGACCTGAGGCATATCGACATAGCTGAATAATGAAGATATGATTTGGGGTGCTTTAGGTGCAGCAGGCGCTTGCTGTTGGGGCGCAGACTGAGCTTGCGAGGGGAGAGGGGCGCGGTCATAGTTGACATCCGGGTTGGATTGGCGAGGTTTGGGTGCGGGCTTGGAGACGGGTCTGGGTGCAGACGAGCTCACAGTTCTGGGAGCAGGTCGAGAAGGGCCTGCTTCAGCGTTGGAGAGAGTCCTGGCTGGAGCAGCTGGTCGTGGAGGTGGAGGTCGGGAGACGGGCGCAGGGGGAGGGACATATTTGGGCTTGGGTGCAGCGACAGGGGCCAGAGCAGGCGCAGCGGCTACCTGAACTGCCTCCTGGGGCTTTGCGTTGGCACTTCTGTAGGCATCGCGGGCCTCTCTCTTGTTGATCAATCTGAGCTCAGTCAGTCTCTCGCCAGCCGCAGAATGAACCAAGAAGCTTACCTGTCTGTCCAACGACCTCCCTTTTTGGGCTTTGCCTGTCTGACGCTGTTGGCCGAGGGCGGCGCGAAGTTGAGCTCGATATCGTCGGCCATCTGGAGCTGGTTGTGCGCTTTTGTTTGTGAAAGACGTCGAACAAAACCTTTTCGGGATTCAAAACGATAATTATTATCTCAGGAACGAGCCAGGTCTGGGAAGCCCCCCGGGACTCGCTGCCACGATTAGAGTGGAGGTGATTCCTTCTGTGGCAAGCAAGTGGCAAGTGACATCTATGCATCCTCTCTTCCATCTCCATCATCGCCCACCCGCCATGTTCGACCCCACCTTCTTGAACGACGGACACGGCAACAACGTCAATCTGTCCACCCGCACCTCCACCTCCTCATCCGCGTTACTCAGCTCCGTCCGCACAGAGCGTCTCGCCCGCGAACACGCCCGCCGTCAAGAACTCGCTGCAATCAGTCTCCAGAAGCACTGGAGAGGTAAGAAGGATGTTGACAGGCTGAGAGTGCGGATACTGGAAGACTTGGAGCAGAATCTGGCGAGCGACGAAGGGCTGAGCGTTGAGAAGGCCGGGAGGGCCATGGTCGTGATGCTGAGAAGTCAGGCCACGGATAGTGACGAGCTGGCGAGGACACGTAGGGCCATTGGGGGCTGGTGTGAAGCGGGCCTTAAAGAGGACGGTAAGCAAATGGGTACCAAAAAGTGACAATAAGCTGATTGTGCCAAGATGGGAAGCCGAGGTTGATACAACCCTTGGTCGGCGATCCAGAATGGGGTGTAGTCCTCGGGTCACTCAGCGTCAAGTTTTTGAGAGTGGTAGAACATCACCCAACATCCCCTGAAGTGCCGGGCATATTATCAGGCTTGGAAGCCATCGTCAGCTTGCGGACCTTTGATGATCTACCTCAACATGCGGTGCCAGACTGGTTGGATATCGCTCAACGGCATGGCTGGGTGGATACGCTTGTATCAATTTCGAGGAAGCTGATCAAGTCAAGCGTGAGTCTGCTCATTCTGTCGTTTGACAATCGCTTATGTCATCCCAGCCGCCCAAGAAGAAGCATGCACTGCTCTCTCCCGTTATCCGTCTAATCGCAGCTCCCCTCCTGATGTCACGCAATATCTCCGAGCTGGCACCTACGATCACAGCACTTCTCAATCAGCTCCTGACCATTCCGAATCTCCCTGGTTCCCTCCCTCTCCCTGCCCTCACCTTCATCTCTGGTCACCTTCACATCTTTGACATCTTGATTCCCTTTGCATCCCACAACCCGCATATCTTATCTGAACATGGCTTGTCAGATGAGTCTGGAAAGACGTATTTTCTGGCCAACCTCGCCACATTCGGTATATCGGGACAGTTGTTGTCACAAAGTGGTATCGTTGGCGCTTGTGCCTGGATGAGCGTTGTCGGTGTAGTACTGAGCGGAGTCAAAGAAGGCTGGGGTAAATGGGTTGAAGGGATCGAAGAAGACGAGGATGTAGTCATGGCGGTTGTGGAAGAGGACAGTGATGACGATGAACAAGGCGGAGCTACAGCAGCTCCTCGCAAACCGACTCGACCTCGACGAGCAGTCCTTCCACAGAATATTCGGTCAAAGCTGGTCCATTTATCGACGCCATCCCATATGGCAGTTCTCTCGCAATACGTATTGTCTCCGCCGCGCAATGCCCCGCCAACACTGCTCGAAGACTTTTCGTCATTTTGCATCGGCCTGTTGAGTGCGTCGAGGGGTAGTCCAAAATGGGAAACTATCCTCGACTCTTTGGTGGACGGCAGGAAGGGTCTGGCGCTCATGAAGAGCATCTGGAGAGATGGTGTTAGAGGTTGGTGGGACAGCAGTGAGGATCCGTCCATGTGGAATCAGTTCTCAGAGAGTGAGTGATCTTCATGCCTGGTCTCGATTTGCTGTCCTGACTGTGATAGACCGCAACGCTCCTGCCCTCCTTCTTCTGACCCATCTGTACTGCCACTATCTCCTCTTTACACCCGACGATGAGTTCTTCTCTCCTTCCCATAATCCCTTCACAACCGACGAGGTCCTGCAACTGGCCGTAATCTGGAGAAATTTGGCTTTCTGGGGCTACCTGGGCGGCGTTTCAGCTCCCTTGGAATCCGGGTATACAAGTCGAGAAAGACAGAAAAAAGATTTCAAAGGGAGTGAAGAAGCTAGGTCGTTATTCACCAAGGGTGTGACGCGCGTGGCTGAGAGAAAGTATGTCGTGTCTTGACGTATATTGGCATACATGGCTCACATACGACCAGCGCCCGAAACAAGTTCGCTGATCCTGAGATCTGGATGATGAATGTCCAAATGGATATGAAAGGCTTTGCGGAGGCAGCAGTGTAAGCCTCAGACGAATGACAAAGACAAACTGACACTGACCTATGTGCAGGTATGAAGATGTCGAATTGTCTGGTCTCAATGATACAGAACCGGAGATCTCAGACTCCTCCCTTCCCCGCTGGGTGCGTTCCAGGCAACGTTACAGCAAGAGGCAATTGGCATACATATCTCCTAGGCTGGGTCTGCTCAACAACTTGCCGATGTCTATCCCTTTCGAAACGAGGCTGCAAGTCTTCCAGATGTTTATCGAGTGAGTGCAGGATGTTATTGGTATGAGGAGTACTGACATCACTGCAGAGCGGACAAGACAAAGATTGGCATCGACTATTATAGCCGACGTCAAAGACTTCCTGCCAAGATTAGGAGAGATCACGTTGCGCAAGATGGCTTTGACGAACTCGCGTCCGCCGGGCCGGCTCTGAAGGGCAGGGTGGATATTACGTTCGTGGATCAGCACGGAATCACCGAGGCGGGTATTGATGGAGGAGGGTTGTATAAGGAGTTCTTGACCATGTGAGTATCAAATGGCTCTCCATTGGACCACCTGCTGACACTGTCCAGGTTGACGAAGGAAGTTTTCGACAGCAATAGAGGATTGTGGCTTGTGACCAACCAGAATGAGCTTTATCCCAATCCTCATCATTTCGCTTCAGAATGTGAGTGAGACATGTCTTTCCCAATCCAGCAGGCTAATGTGGCACGGGAAGCATTCAACCTGAGCTGGTATCGATTCGTAGGTTTCCTCATCAAATGGCCCGGGTACAGAATTGACAATATGGTACAGATCGGTCAGATGCTCGGCAAAGCCATCTACGATGGCATCTTGGTCGATGCTACTTTCGCTGGCTTTTTCCGTACGTCTGACTACACAAAAACGAGTCCCACAGTCTGATGACAGTGCAGTGGCGAAATGGCTCGGACGACAGTCTTACCTCGATGATCTTGCTTCATTAGACAAGAGTCTTTACAAGGGTCTTATCAGTAAGTATTTGTAGCCCTGCGGTAACAATCTGACCGGGTCTTGCAGTCTTGAAGAATGACCCAAAGCCCGAAGATATGGCCCTCACGTTTTCTATGACTGAGGAAGACTTTGGTGTCCAGAAGCAAGTCGACTTGATCCCTGGCGGATCTGATATTCCTGTTACTGCAGATAATCGACACGAGTGTGAGTTCATTGATGTCCATATCACCATATACGCAACTCACTTTTTTGGCAGATATACAGCTGGTCTGCAAATACAAACTCGACAAACAAATTGCCGCTCAAAGCAAGGCATTTTTCCTCGGTCTTTCAGACCTGATCGATGCCAAGTGTAAGTATTGGTGGGGGTACGCAACTTTCGCTGACGGGATCTTGACAGGGCTGCGTATGTTTGATCAGCAAGAGCTCCAGCAGCTCATTGGCGGAGAAGAGGTGCGCCTGCCACCACAATTATCTAGACGCAAGCTGATTATCTATACAAGACCCCAATCGACCTCAAAGATCTCCGGGCCCATTGCCACGTTGACGGGTTTCCCAATGACACGACGCCTACGCTCTTCTGGAAGGTCGTGGGAAGTTTCACCGAAGAACAGAAGAGAGACCTGCTCCGCTTTGTGACGAGTTGTTCTCGGCCACCTCTGTAAGCCGGCATACTTGCAGAGTGAATGGAATGGCTAATCCGGACTCAGTCTTGGGTTCTCGCAGCTTTATCCTGCGTTTGCAGTCAAGTTTAATGGATTGGATATGGACCGACTGCCCACTGCATGTGGGTACTCTGGCAGTGCCAAGGATCCTCACTAACAGCGTTATTTAGCGGCTTGCTTCAATCTCTTGAAGCTTCCTGGCTATACTGTAAGTCTTCAATGATATATATAAGAGTGATGGACTAATACCAGACCCAGAACGAGGCAACTCTCCGAAGTAAGCTATTGCAAGCCATCACATCTGGCGCTGGTTTCGACATGTCGTGATCGAATATGGTTGAGATCAAATAAGAAGAATAGCACGACGATAGGTAGTCTTCTGTATTAATAGTGGTTTGTGATTGGATATCTTTAGGGCATTCTCATGCAACGAATGTCACATAGAAGGCAGAGTCCCAAGTATATAATCCTACCCGCGGTTATCTGTCACGGGTTTAAGCGCACGTGATTTAGGCCGAACAACGCCGCACCAGCTATTAGCGTGATCTTGATGAATCTTGCATGACTCTCGCTTTTTCGACACACCTCAGCTGTATCTCCCCCTGCCCCCGCCACGATGTCTCCCATTCTCAAGAGAGACATAGGCGAACAGTTTCGCCAAGCCCGAAAACTCGCAGCAGCTGCCTCTGGCATCGCCCACCACGACGACCATTCCTACAACCACCCCCCTTACGAAGAGCAGCCAGAAGATTGGATACACAAGTCCGGACAACCAACAAGCGGAGGTATAGCGGGGTCGTATGCTTCAAGCTCATCGGCGCGGCAAGGTATAGGAGTCGAGAGGAACGAAATAGAGGACGATCATGGATTCAGAGAAGCTAGATGGCTGGACACGAAATCAGAAAGAGGGGATGGCAAAGGCAAGCTGAGACAAGCTGAGAGTGATTCTGGAGACGAGGTCGACAACCTGACGGGTGGTCGTCCGTCAAGTGAAAGCTGGATAGAGGAGGCACCCTCAGATCATGGGGTCCCGAGAACGAGCTTCGGATATGCCGAGCCTGACCTCTACTCTGATGCGAATATCGGAAGCCCTGCCAAGTGGAGAGATTTTGTCAGTCTTGTAATTGAGGTACGTGTCCAGAGTAGTCATCAGGCTGTCGACTGACGTCTCGCAGTCAACGTGTTCGTTATTACTATCACTGGTCGGCCTTGTGTTCACCGGGGAGCTGTTGGAGCATCTAGCTCGCTGGGAGGTCTTTCGCAGAGTAGATGAGCTCTTCATCCTGGTCCCCATGATCGGCAACCTCAAAGGCAATCTTGAAATGTGCCTCTCTGCCCGTCTTGGTACCTCTGCCAATATTGGTGAACTGGACCACCGTCAAACCCGCAAAACGATGCTCGTCGCAAACATGACCCTCCTCGGCCTACAGTCTCTCCTCATCAGCTGTGTTGCTGCTATCATAAGTTTTGCTCTTGGTCTGGTGACGGTGCATCGTTTGGGTGATACTCCAGAGGGCGTCAGCTATAATAGCACCGTACCGGGATTAGATCCCGGTTTGGAGAGCGCGGACCAAGAGTGGCATGAAGGGTATACAAGACCTGGATGGAAGCAGCTGGTCATGGTGCTGGCGACTGGAATGGGATCTGCGGGCATCAGCAGTGCCGTCTTGGGATCTTTCATGGGTAGTTTGATCATCGTCTCAAGATGGGCCGGAACTGATCCAGGTAAGCCTCTCTGCCATCCCATCAAGACCTGGGCTGATCGAGTACAGACAATATCACTCCACCACTCGCTGCCTGTCTAGGTGACCTTCTCACGCTATTCATCCTCGCACTCCTCGGCACTGCCCTGGTTCATACCATGGACACCATACTTCCACTCTGCCTTCTTATCATCATGTCTGTCGCGGCCGGCTGGTTCACCAAACGCGTCATGCGCAACCAATGGGTCAAAGAGGTGGCCAGGGGCGGTTGGGTGCCACTCATTGGAGCTATGTTGATTTCAAGCGGGACGGGGATGGTGCTTGCCAAGGGTGTGGGGAGATACAGGGGATTCGCACTACTGGCAATCTCGATGACGGGGCTTACGGGCTCTATCGGCGCTATACACGCAAACCGTCTTTCCACCCAGTTACACACCCTCCTCCACCCCACTCACCCGCATCCCCGACCACTCGCTCATGAAATTGCGCCTCACCCTGGTCTCTCTCCTTTACAAAGCGCAATCGCACTGTGTGCCATTGGGTTCCCTTGTCAGGCGGCGTTCTTGTTGATCGTGAGATGGGCGGGGTGGATAGACATGAGTCTTGGGTGGATCGGATGGGTGGTTTTTGCCTTGACTGTAGGTTCTGGTCATGTTGTTCTTCCCGGATGACTGACGCAATGTGTAGATCTTGATCTCCATTACGATGGCTCACTACATGACTTTGTTTTTCTGGTCAAAGAACCTCGATCCAGAGTAAGTCACACTATACATGTATCTGGTCGTCACTAACAGAAATCCGCCAGCTCCTATACCCTCCCTATACATTCTGCCCTTGTAGATTTCCTGGGGCAGCTTTTGCTGATGGTCGCCTACGAGATTTGCATCTCGCGAGGCAAAGATGTCATGGTGCGGCCAACAGGGGCTGATCCATGATCATATTTGCAAAGAATTTCTGTATGGTCACAAGCAATCATAGTATCCTGTATATATATGTACAATTAGTGTCAAAGTGAAACCATAGATCTTACATGCATCTGCTGTTGAGGTTCTTGAAAGTGATACAGCAGGTCCATATGCAAAGTCCCCCGCGGCCGAAGCCAAAAATGGTGATGTTGACAAAAGTGAAAACATTTCCACTGCATAATCTCTTGCACACTCAATGCACACTCAGTGCACTTGGCACTTCAGCTCATCCCAACACTCAACATCGCTGCGTGACCGACCTTTAGCCAGTACTCAAAGGCCAAAAGGATGTTTGTGCTGATTGGTATCAAGGTTTGTCAACCGTTGAGTCTGCATTTCGCAAGATGACAGCTGACCAGTCCTGCCATTTCGTAGGATACGGTCCCCGTCGCGCCCAAAACTTTCGACATTGCTCCCTCTACGACCATCAAAGATGCCATCAACAAAAAGTAGGCCTTGTTTTATCTTGCGGGGAATCAATCAGAGCTGACCAAGAGCTCAGATACGCAAACAAGCTCGTCCCAGACAAGGGTCTCGCTCTTTCAGTATTCGACATTTTGACGGCAGAGGATGGAAAGGTCACTTGGGGAAATGGATTGATGTATTATAAAGGTAAGAGCCATGACTCGCGAGCTGAAATCATGTCTGCATGTACTGACTTTGGTGGCAGTCTCTTTCAGATTAATGCTCTTTGCACCTTTCATCGGAGAAGTCATCGTCGGCCGTGTTCTCTCGACTACCAAGTCATATATCAGAAGTACGCTCTACACATAATCCCAGAATGATCTCTCATGCTGATTGGCTGTCAACAGTATCATTAGGATTCTTCCAAGACATCTATATCGTGCCTTCACTCCTTCCCCCGAACTCTGCATTGTATGTGATGTCTATTGGTCCTATGCTTCTGCTGATGCAAAGTCCGTTCCACAACAGTGATCCACAGCAGAGAGCCTTCTTCTGGGTCGCCACAGACGAGGAAGCGCTTTCGCAAGAACAATTGCTCAACACGGTCGTCACTGGTTCGTACTGCTTCCTTCTCCAGGTCGGGCCCTCCATTGACTCCCCATATGCAGAACGGTTATATATCGATGCGGGAGAACCGATACGATTCCGAGTTGATTCGGTCGAATGGCGCGACGTCCGACCAACACCACAGAGCCTGATGGCAGAGCAGAATGGAGAAGATGTGCCGGAGAAGGATCCAATAGAGAAGGCCGGTTTCAAAATACTTGTGAGTGACCTGTTGGGGAGAACGAGTGCGTCTGCAGGCTGACCAGTGTCACTCAGGCAACGATAGCCGAGTCGGGGCTGGGTGTGACGGCTTGGTGGCCGGGACGTGAGGAGAATGAAGAAGTGTATGAATAGAGAGGCCAGTGTTCGGGAGGCAGCTGCGGAGGATCGAGTCGTTGGTGTTCATCTGGAGAGAGATGTTGGGGGTGAGGCGCATATCATTCAACATTGCATTGATTTCCGGGCTTCACGCATGTATCACTACTACTATCTTCACGTTACTTATCTTGCGCTTCACATGCTGTATTTCAGGATCTCGCAGCAGACCAATGACACCAGGTAAGTATGCATAGACTTCGGGTAGATCATACAGGGGCGAACAGTCAAATATAGCCGAATGCATGTAGTCATGACCTCACCGGTAAATCACAACAACACGACAGACTCTCTATATTCTGAGGTAGCGCGCACAATATCCTCAACACGTTCCGATACATATGCCAGCCGCAGGCATTCTTTCGAGTTACGATCAATGCTACGCTTCCGACTCCTCCACATCGTCCTCTGGCAACTTCTCCTTCTCCACTTCATCCTCACACGACGAGGAACCCACGGCTGGAAGTTTTATATCTCTACCGACGTTGGTGATATCCAGAAGGGATCATTGGGATGATGACGGAATGAGCGTAACGGTGAGGGATAGATCGCCATATCATTCCGATCCAACCTCTTCGACCATCGACCCTCCTACCGGGCCTGCCCTCGGCGTATCTGTCGCCGGATGAAGCTCATACTAGACTGCTTCGAGGCAGCTTGCTTGATCATCTCTCGCTCGAAAGATGAGTCTATAATCAACGACGAGCTTGCACCTTGCTCGAGCGGGCGTAAGGCCAGGAGAGATATCAAGAAGAATTTGGCAGCAGGGAGGACAGATGCGAACGGTAGAGATGTGCCTTGGGAGAGGCTTCTAAAGAGAGTGAAGGAGATCAGAAATGGGGAGCCGGTGGATGCCGTGGTCATTGGCCAAACCACAGGTATGACAATCTTTACTTGTCCAGAGTATGTCGAGCGCAGGCCTACATGTGCATAGCTTTGTTGAATCATCTGATCGAGGCCTATATACGTCCCCTATCGGCCATGAAGCCCATCGTCACTCGGCTCTCCGGCTCGGAATCCCGTTCTGCCCGCTCTCTCCTCAGAAACCCCAAACTTCTCATCCATCCTGCGTCGCGTCCGACAACTATTCCTTTCCCACCAGACCTCCTGGTCATCGTGCCTTGTTTTCTTTTACTTCGCTTTGTGCGATTTGCACTGACAGAGATGGGAGGGAAGAAGGTATATCTCGATCTGTCTCGACTTCCTTACGTGGATAGCAAATCAGTATTGGAAGAGATGGATTTTGGGGGAATCCTGGGGTTGGTTGGGAAAGGCGTGGAAAGTGTGTCTCATCGAGATCTGTGGAGAAATAATCTTCATGATGCGTTATTCAATCTTCCTTCGAATAAAGCTGACCAGCGTAGACTTTCCTCGGTGGCCATCCTTCCCGCTGCCGCACGTCCAAGTGCTCACCGTATCCTTCAACCCTCTCTGCACACCATTTCTTACCCTCTTATCTACCTCGCCCATCTCCGCCGCCTTCCTCACCGCCAGACCCTCCTCTCTCATTCTCATTCATCGACTACTACTCGTAATTGCTTTTGGGGTGCAAACCACATACGCCTTTACGAGAGAGAAGGGATGGCAAGATTAAACTGGACAGAAAACAGGTCAGCTCGTTGAAGAAACGGGAGAGAGGGGTGCCGAGTTTGGTCGAGATGAGTATCTAGAGTATTGCGCGTCAGCGGATGGGATCATTATCGACCGAAGATCTAGACTGGCGAAACGAGATGGCTGGCACAATGGCTCCACAGCTGCAAGAGCGCCTAGAACAATTGTACTTTATGTCTGCGAGAGGTGTTTTCAGCTACACATCTCTCCGGCACCTGAAATGGCACAGGTCGCGAAAGAAGTCGGAGACAGATTGCAGGGCGGCAAGGTGTGGGATGCGAGGGCCAGGACGGGGCGGCAGATCCGAAAGAAGGGTGAAGAGCGAAAGGGGACAGTTTGGATAGAGATGGTGATGTGTCCGCAGTGTCTGTATCATGTGTTGGCATCGAGGTCGGGAAGATGATCGCGGCTGCTTAATCAGTAACATGTATTCTCTGACGACACCCAATGCTGCAGCAGCCCAGTTGAGAATGCAAGGTTTCATGTCGCTACATCAAACCAAACGAGTACAAGCCGCCATCCTACACAGCACTTCCAATACGTGCCGAGACAGGACAACAAGCTTAAGCCCAGGTAGACTGATGATGGTCAGTATTTGGTATTTTGTTGATCGAGATGGTACTTACGGGCCTGTTGGCGGCGAACCAAGCCTTGGACTTGGTCCTTCGGTGGGGGAGGGGGAACTTGAGACCGGGGGTGATGAGCTGCTTGATGTAAGGCCTCCTGATGTCCTCGGTCTTCTCAATCTCGGCGACACGGAGGATCTGGACGTTCCTAAATCGGGCACGGTGTCGGGCAGCCATGTCCTGGTACATGGACTCTACGGCCTCGGCTCGGGAGAGGGCTCGGAACTCCTTGACCATCTGCAAAACGGGTCAGTAGGCCACATAATGATTTGAAAAGTTGACGCACGTTGTGGGTACCGGAACGAGAGTCGTATCGGAGCCAGATGGCAAAGTTCTTGACCTTCAAGGGCTTCTTCTCGTGGATCTACATTCCTTGTCAATTTGACGCCCCATGCACTTTTTTTCAATTTCCACGCACGACGTTGAGGGCAACAATCTCTCCGTTGGCCTTCTTGGCCTTCTTCAACTGACGGAGGTAGTACCAGTATCGGGACTTGGCGACAACCTCGTTGGGGGCGAAGATCCTCATTCGGCTGTTCCTTCATCAGTCCATGCTCTTCATAGGGTGGATGGCTGTACGCACTAGAGCTTGGGGGCGGGGTCCGCCTCGGTAGGGAGGGTTCGGCCCACAACAGAGTACTCGGTGAAACGAGACATTCTATGATTCGGCGTCAGCACGACGCCCTTTGCACTCTCCAAGCATCCCAGCCACAGCACCCCCACAGCCAGCATTGTCCCCCCGCGACAGCTCCGAAGACGTGCTCGACCGGCAGCATTGCTGATGCCATTCTCGGCCGTCCAACTGGTTTATCGTCAGGACGCAGACATTGCCCCGGTGTTTCTTCCTCGCTGTCCGTCTTCTCCTTGCTGTTCTCCTGTGGCGTGGCGGTGCTGGGCTGGGCTGGGTGTGGCGGCGGATGACTCACTTGAACGGTCTTGAGGGATACGGAAGAAGCAACAACACCACCAGATAAAACACCATACAGTCAAGTCACAGGCGGCGCCCCCCGCTCATCCATTTTTTGTTCGTGGCGGTTTAACACCGACAGATGCGGCAGACGAAACGGTGTCCACGTGGCTGCTTACGTATGCGTCGCGTGGGCGCGGTGAACAAGCTAAGAAGTCAAACACGCTCGCTTAGACGCTCGTGCTCTGCTTCGTTTGATCCCGCCGTGTCTTAGTCACTCCTGTCAGCCATCGATGATGGTACGCCGCGCCCCCCGCCGTCCCCCGCTGACACCGATCAGGCCACCCTCATGGACTTCTCCCATCCAGACCGCAAGTCGGACGCTCAATTCCAGCAGATCCTCGACACGTTTGTCGGCGAGAACCAGACTGTCCTCACCGGCAACCTTCCAGACCGTACCGTGCTCTGCTGCACTCAATGCCAACAAGCTGACCGTGCCACAGTCCTCGCCGGTTACGAAGATGATCACGACGTCAAGATCCTCGAAGAGTCTGATTTTCACGGAGTCAAGCATCTCTGTGAACAGTACCCCGACTTAGAGCTTGGCCCCACCGACTTGTTTGGATTCTTGATGTATGCCCTCGCTCGCACGGCCAAGAAGCGCGCTGAGTACATTAACATAGGGCTGTACTCCAGCGTTCGACATCACCGCCATATCCTACACCCGAAACTACCCCAGCCCCTCAACATTCTACGCCTCAAGATGATAGTCGCAGACGCCGCCGACACTCGGACCGCATCCGCTCTCCCTCCGATGGATCCTCTAGCTCGTCCGAAGAGGAGCATCCTCATCTCCGTCGTCAAGACTCTGCCCCCGCCACCTCTCTCTCCTTTCCGCTTTCATCCACCACTCAACCCCCCAAAGGCTTCTCCGGACCAGTCCGAACAAAGACACTATCAGACCCGAATCGTTCAGACAGCTCGATGGACTCGCCACTCCCGCCACAGAGGGTCCGAGGCCGAGGACCGCCACCGAGTGCGTTCACGGGCGGATTCGCGAGACCGAATCCCGCGAGCAGGAGGAGGAGGGGATCGAGCAGTGCACCGGTGGAAGACGACCTGAAATCACCGGACCTATATAACCCGAGAAGGGCGTCTTCGAGGGCGTCTTCGCGAGCCCCCTCGCCCCAACCGTGGAACGCTGCCTCTTCCCGCCCTGCATCTCGCGCCTCTTCTCCAATGTCCCCAAATGATCAACTAGATCACTCTTCCTTCCACGAATCGTGGCACGACCGTGCCAAGTCTCCCGATGATATGGATAATGACGTCGAGGCTGAGCGCAAAGTCCTCGCCGACGCAGATTATGATGACGAGGTTGATGAAGAGGAAGAGAGGCGGGATGGGCTGGATAGAGATGTGACAGGTAGCGATTCTCTGATGCCAAGATTCAGTCGCATGACTGTGAGTAGACCTTGTCGCCGTGTATTCAGAACTGATTTCGATAGACTGAATCGACGGCATCACTGCACACTTCTCATGATCACCTGCGGCGACTCAAGAAGGAGAACAATGAGCTGCTGCGCAAGTTGAAGGAGACAGAAAAATCACTGGCCGTACAGGGGTAAGTTGTGCCCTTCTGTCCCGGTCTCCTCTGACATCATGGTAGCTCGGAGAACGAACGAATGGTGGAAGACCTCCAGGCCCGTCTCGAAGAAGCGCAGGGAGAGATTGCTCAACGACGCAAGGACGAAAAGGATATGCGTGGCAAGGACCGAGCGCAGCTTATCCAGATCTCCGGGGTACGTCTACTCTAATGATTTTCCGTCTATGCTCACAGGCGGCCCAGTTTGAAGCCGATATCCTGAGCTTGCAACGGACCTTGGAGAATGCCAAAGCAAACCATGCAAACATGCAAAAGATGTACAATTCACAGTGCGGTAAGTATTTCAGTATGCCTGGCGGTCTGTGCTGATATCATGCAGACGAGGCGCAGAGGCTGAGAGATATGCTGAGAGATCGGGACGCCGAGATTCAAGAGCTTGAAGAAGTCACAAACACTCAATCTGCCGACGAAGAAAAGGTTTGTTTCTGTTATATATGCAAGAGACTCGGCTGATAGCCTCTTAGCTGTCTCACGAGATACAGGCCCTCGAGGCCGAAGTCAAACGTCTCGAAGGCGACCTTTCTCTTGCTCGCCAAGCCGAATCTCACCTCCAAGTCCAGAAACAGGAAAACCTCGGGCTCAAAGAGACTATCGACCGTATGCGCTTTGACCTCGACGAAGCCCGTGCCCAAGCTGCCCTCGCTGGCAACGCTGGCCGTGGTTCAAACAGCGCTACTGCCTCTTCCATGGGAGGTACCATTTCAAGAAATCTGGGCGATGAGCTCGGCAGGAGACTCGTGGACGTGGAAAAGGTCGGAGAAGAGGAGGGTGAAGACGGGTTTGTGGAGACCATTGTGACCACCCAAAGAACGCGAAGGGTCGGGGGCAGAAGGAGTCCTGTGCAGCAGCTCGGAAGCTCGAGTGAGACACCGCAGGAGCCGGTATACGTCGAAGAAGGCGTGCGAGAGTATGTGGATGCCTCCACAGCTACAGATTCTTCTCTTCTCGAAACCCCCATCTCTTCTCCACCCGCATACACGCCAGAGCCGCCACCTATCAATATCGACCAAGTCCTCTCCCGTGCCCATCCCAAAGCAAGAGAACACCAACACGATCTACACGGGGGCGTGATAGATGGAGAGGAAGAGTATCAGCAGATGGTGGATGCTGTGGGTGTGCGGTGTACGGTGATTGAGGATGAGATGAAGATGCAAAAGTTGGACAAGATCAAGCGCGGAGGTGAGTCTTCTCGGAGCGATCAATGGCAGAGCTGATCAAGAGTAGAGACGCTGCGGAGAAGGGCCAAGAGGGCACCCTGGGTCGAAAACTCTACCAATGGTATATACCAATATATCTTTCACGGTACGACCGACGTTCGGGATAACTTTGGGCGATATACTGTCTTTGCTGTCGCTGTCTTTGCCTGTGCGTTCATGACCTGTCACCCCTTGCATCGCTAACGTGCATCTAGTCGGCATGATAGCAGGTTCCCATCTCGCCGGCCCTGCTGCCGGCCTCCACCCTCGCGACTATAGGCTCTTCCAGCAGATGAACACGCTCGCAGGAGCGGCCGGTATCGGAGAAGGCTTTCTCCCCGGACACATGCTGGGTGTGGTAGATCACGGCGCCCGACTTGTTGCCGGCAGGATCCCGACCTAGAGATGGGACCATGCGGAAAGGGTGCATGGCAATATGCTCTTGTGATTATAGACAACATCTTCTTCGGGCTGTAGAAATCTAGATACCTCGAGAACCTCCCGGTTCTCACGCAATCACCACCACTCAGAACGATTATCCTTGTCGAATGGGTACCTTTAACGATATTATAACGAGCGAAGAAGCAAGGGAATATTCTTCTTCGGGCTTACGACGCTTTCCTTTTCTTCTTTGTTCATGACCTTTATGCCTATACTGTATGATGACGACCGTAATGAATGTTGATGCTTTGCGAGATACATACGTCGAACGTCGAACATTGCTTCAGCATCCCCGATGAGAGACCACGACGCCGTGAGGGCGAGCTCGGGCGAGGAACAGGTCTTCATCTCGCCTTATACGAGTACCCCTTGTGACACTGTCAGCACCTTACATGCCACTGCTACTATCATTGCCGTTGCTCGCCACCAAGACCAATATGACTGGATCAACATTCCATAACCACTGATTCCACGTTGACACACGATGCCAGGGCATCTCCCTGCCGGCTGCCGGCCTCTGTGCATCTGATAGCCCACATGGGGCTCTGAGCCCAGTCACGAGTTCTCTTGGATGGCCCGATGACGGTAAGCAATGGACTGCCCATATCGAAATTTGTGCATTTTTCTCGTCCCGAGTATGTAATTCTTTTGACATACTGTATATTTGACCTTTCAGCTTGGGCAGCCTCTGTCAGCGTCAGGCCTCAGGCCTCAGGATTGTCAGCACCGGCACCTCTTCGAGACGGCGGGGGAATGGCCGGGGAAGGGCAGAAGGCGGGAGGAAGAAAACTCCGGTCCCTCGTCAAATAAAAGTGTATTGCACGGGTAATCATAATAATAACTCTGATTATAGCAGCCAATCTCTGGCCAATCTGCATGTACCACGCTGTCATGTTCTACGTTCTGACCTCTCCTGCGTCTTCTGATCGAAGCCGGCGGGGGAGAGGTGGTGATGAATGTCTTGCGTGATGACGGAGGCTTTAAACCCTCTTTCGCCTTTGCCCTTAGTTGTTGGCGTACCTGTGCGAGTCTTCGGCATCGCGGAGGCCGTTGCGATTTGCGAGGCAGGAGGAATAGAGTCAAAAAGTAGACTTGTTTGGTCTTCCAACGTTGATCTGAACACCACCATGCACCTGCCACCCCAATTATCAAGCAGCCTTACTCAGCACTCGGCAAGGCTCAGCCGAAGCCAGCAACATACCGTCGGAACGTCTTGGGCCATATCATCTCGCCCTACGCTATACGGATTACTACAAACGTCGAGTAAACGGCCAGCTGCCTATTTGGGAAGTAAGTGAGAATGCATTAATTGGCGCCATATGATTAATATCTACTGAAATCCCTCGACCCACCACCAAAGGGCATTGGCCGTTGCGATTGCCCAGACATGGCACTAGGTATGAATCGATTGTCCTCCGTATATACACCGTAGCCCGGGATCGATGTACCCGGAGGAGGTGGCTGACGCATGAACGGCGGCTCTTGGTCGCTACGTAGACCTGTTGATCTGTTGTATGACTGGAGCCCAAACGAAGGTCTTGGTGTTGGCGTGCCAAATGATTGTGAAGGTGTTCCACCAAACCTGACAGGTCGTCGCTGTGGAGGCATGTGCGGATCGTAATAGTCTTCCTCAGTTTCGGCTGCGGTATCTGATGCGTCGTCTTCCCACGTATCGGAGAAGCGCTGCTGCTGTGGGGTTGGAAAGCTACTTTATTGTCAGATTCATACATGCCCATAAGTGATATGACAAACCTCTGACGGAAAGGCGGACGTGAGTATCGCGAGACGTTTGGTCGTGACTGAGGCTGCCCACCGAATTGCGAGAAGCTTGGCCTTGAGGGTTGCCCGAATTGCGAGAAGATTGGTCCTGAGGGTTTCCAGGATTGCGGAAAGGTCGGTAGTGGGGGCTGAACAAAGCTTGGTCGTGACTGTGGCTGCCAAGAATTATAGTCGTCCATACCATAGCCGAATTGTGATGGGGGTCCAAAGCGGCTGCTAGGCATGCTACTGGGATATGTGTCGTTCATTTGGGACATTTGAGACATTTGGCTTTCCATTATCACTACCAGGTATTAGCTCTCTTCAAACAGTGGCGAGGAAAATGACATACTTCTTCTTGCAACCGCTTCACCACGAGCATATAAGTTTGTCTCGACTCCAGTCTCGGTAAATCTCTCCCATAGAGTAGATGGCGCTGGAGGATCCCACTGCGGCGTCTCGACAGGAGGTGGCGGGGGCTGAATGTCTAGCCTCGGTAGTCCTAGCATATCCCTCAGCCTGTCTCGACGGGAAGCCTCAGTGAGCGGTGGTGGAGACTGGCGCGATTCTGTACCGTCAGTCGTATCCCCAAGACTGCTCCTCGATCGACTCCGGCTACGCCCCCTTGACCACGATCTTCTTCTGGACCTCGGCTCTTCCTCCGCGACTTTCGATCTCTCATCGGTAAACCTGCTTCTGCTCCTCCCTCGATATTCGTGATCACTGTCTTCTTTGGGCTTGGTACGTCTCCAAATTTTGACAAGCGGATCATCATCGACGTCTTCGTATCTATTCCGTCTCACGTCAGGAAGCGCGCCGCTCATGAGGTATGGGTCTGGTTTAGGAGAAGAGCTGTGGAACTGTCGTTAGCAGAGCCACCACGATCTCGCAAGTAGACACTGACTGTGAGCGGGAGGGATCAGGGGGTGGTGGATGGTTGCCAAAAGCGGATTTTGGCAGAAAGTCGTCAAATGTGAGACTACGGGGACTGGACAGCGGCAAATCAGCTTTAATAAGACTGTTCCCTCCCGCGACCAAAGACTCACGTGCTGGCTGAACTTTCATCAAGACCTCTTCCTCGACTCGCCTCGTAACCTTCCGACCCTTTGCCCCCAGCGCCGACTCTCTCGCCTCGGGCCTCTGCGCTCGGCTCATCATCGCCTCCGATGTCAAAGAGAGAGTCAGTGTCGTCGTGAAAAGTTCTATCAGTTTCTTCTGGGACGTCTTCTGCATACGATTGATATGACTGAGGGCCTCTTTGGGTGTATGACGGGCCGCTTGGATTGGTGGGAGGCGTTTCTGCGGTTGAGCGTTGTCGTTGCGCGGAGGCCTTCTGATGGAGCCACTGTTTTAATCTAGATATTGCAGAGGTAAAGTCACCACCGTATTCTACCTCCAGGCGTGGATTGAAGCTGCTCAGGTCTCGGTGGATCGATTCAACATCGCTTTCGTTTGTATCTGGTGTACCAGATCTGCTGGCACGGACGGGGGAGGGAGATCGAGACCGTGAGCGTGAGCGTTCTGTATACTCCGGGTCATTCAGTGAGCTGTCCTGGGAGTAGTAGCGAGGAGGTGGGAGGATTCGCTTAGTGCGGACTGGGTCAATGGGGTCTATGCTTTCGTTGGACATGAGAAGAACGGTGGCAAGAGGGATGCAGAGATTGCTCTGATACTACACTTCGCTGTCTTGCGGGCACGAAAGGAGGAGCGCACAAAGGGCCGGGGTGAATGGTATTACGTAATTGGTACCTTTTGCGGTAGCCCGAAGGCTGATCGGAGAATGAGAACAAAAAGAAAGTTGTTGGTCCGAGATGGTCCCTGAGCTTGTACCTGGCGGTCCATTTCGTATTGTTCTTTTTTCACCATAGGGGTGCACAGCGAGCCGGGGCTTATTGTCCCCCAGCCCATATATCTCGCCATCTCTCATCCCATCTCTGCTCTTCCCATCCCACAGCCCGCCATGTCGCCCACCCAGACCAACCTCGTCACCCACTACGCTCGACAATACTCGGGATCCGTCCCCTCATGCGTCGCTACCTGGTCAGTCCAACCCTGTTTTCGCTTTGCAGTACCACTGACTGTCTACAGCATGAGCTCGGGCAACGCTACTGGATGCAGCGGTGTCACTGATTATACCTGCGTCTGTGCCTCTACTGCCTATATCACCTCTGTCAGCGTAAGTCCATACAACTTGCGAGACGGGTCAAGCTGATATCTGGTGTGATAGGAATGCTTCTCAAGCTCGTGTACTGCTGCCGAGGCTGCCGTCGGTCAAACCTACTCTGAATCTGCCTGTGCATACTATGTACGTTGTCCTCTGTGTTTGCGAGCAGCCAGCTGACTCTTACGTAGGGCGTCAGTATCAACGGCACCTCTTCATCGTGCGTTACATTGTCCAGGCATCTCGGAAGCGCACTGACACCTGATCTAGCACTACTACCGATAACTCCACTGCCACTGCCGAAGTCTCCTCTACCGCCTCCGCCGTCCTCTCTGCTCCTGTCACCTACTCTCACGCCTATATCAATATACAAGCCATCGTACGTCCCCTCGTCACCTCGCATCGTATCCCCTGACTGACCATCAACCAGTTCTCTTCCATCTGCGGTGCCCTCCTCCTCCTCTCCCTCGCCTCTGGCTTCATCTCCTGCCGCGCCCGCTACAAGCGCGAGCGGGCTTTCACCCAGAGCCGCACCTGGACCGGCGTGGGTAGTACCATGGTCGGCGGCAACACCCAAGCCACCGGCGGCGGCAAGAGCAAGATGTTTGCGTCGCGCAATGCCGACCCGACAGCGACCTTTATGAGCGACAACTTTGGGGCTACGAGCTCGAATTTCGGGGGGACGACTGTGAATGGTGGCGGGCAGGGGGTGTCTTTTGGTGGGGCGTTTGGAGCGGGGGCGGCGTATTCTGCTGGACCGTCGTATACCAGCGGGAACGGTGGTTTTACCAATCGTCTTGCTGTCGGCGAGGACGAAGACTCCAAGTCGGAAGAGTACGAGTTGGGCGATCTTACCAAGAAGAGCTCTATCCGAGAGAGTATCAAGGAGGAAGAGGGTTTGGACAGCCCTACGACTTCCAAGGGGCCGGGGAGTGAAGTGGACTTGGACGGCAGTACTGTGCATTTGACCAGGCTGAACAAGGACCATGTCTATTAAGCAGTGCGAGTGTGTTTTAATAGAAGCAATAGCAAGAATTTTGGGTGTAATTATCAGCAATAATCAACTGGTATATCTAGTCGACTCTTTCTGGGTTTTAATTGTGAATGTATTTTGATTGTCCAACACGTGAGGAGGATCAGAGCCTGCTCTACAAGTGCGACGTTCATAATGGTATTCGCTGAATATGCAGATGCGGTGATGCATGATTGTATCTATGCGTTTTGGGTCTCGGCTGTGGCGGCCGGGGTTTCAATGTCGCGGGCGACGGCGTAACGATCCTTGATCGTCTTTTCAATCAGGCCCTCTCTTTCCTTGCGCCTCTTCATAATCTCCTTTACAGCGACGCCCTGGGATAGAGTCAGCATCATCCAATACAGCATACGTATAACTTACAGCGTTGGCATGCGTTTGCGACCTCCACCTAGAACCCTTGTAAAACTTGAACAACGCCTTGTCTCTCCAGCTCTCCATGTCGTTGAGACTGTAGTTGGTCTGCAAGTACTCTTTCCTCAACCTGGCCGCCTCTGCGCCGCTGCCATACTCTTCCTCCTTGGCGTGGTACTCTTCGACATCATCGGGGTAGTGGAAAGGCTCCTTCAGCCCGACCACCGCCCTTTTGTACGTCTCTGTACCACCACCCTTCCTCACCACCTCTGCCGTCCTCGCTCTGCCCACTTGTCCGAGGTAATTGTCCGTACGGATAAACGTCACCTCGAGGCCGTAGACGGCGTGCAGGTACGAACGGAGATCGGTCTTTGTCATGCCTCGAGGGATCCGGAAAGTGGCGACGAACGGGTCGTAGGCTTCGCCTGGGGGAGTGTGGTTGCGGACAAGGCGGATGGTGATATTGGGGAGGTAGATTCTTTGACCGACAATGTCGCTCAATTCTTCTTCCTGCGCCACGGCTCCTTCTCCTTCCGGACCAGCGATAGCCTGGACGCGCTCCTCAAACAGAGATCTACCACCCATCTTCTTCAGCAAGAAAGCATGCTTGCTGTTCTTGCCTTGAGGGGCATAACCACGGACACGAGATCTCCACTCGCTGGTAGCCGACAGATAAGCAGCTCGCAGCTCGGCATCTGTCCTCGACGAGTCGAATTCTGAGCGTTTCAGGAGAGACCTGTAGTCCTTTTCGAGCGGCAGGGGAAACTTTTTGCCAGAGGCGGGGTCGAGGAGAGCAGCATCGGACAGAGGGGAGGGGGAGGCGAATTTGGAGGGGGGTTGTTCGAGGCGGCGGCGGCGGACTGCGAGGGGGAGGGTGTTGGCGACTGCCTGGAAGGGGGCAGGGGCGGAGGACGGCCCCGGGAGGGAGGAGAGGGTGCGGCGGAAGATGCGGGACATGGCGGTGGGGTATAGCCAAGAGAAAGAAATCTCTAAAGTCAGAGGAGAGCGGTTTTTCGGGGATATGGGTGGTGGCGGGTGCTTACGTCATCAACGCGTCTATAGCTGTCAAAACAAATCAACAGTCTTGTTCACCGCACAATGCAGCACCTCGACAACCGCCAGCAGTCGTTCAACGCCGTGGCCAGGCCGAAGAGTAGGGCGAAACCCCCCTTCCCCCTCAGCCCCGCCCGCTACCCCCGCCTCACCCCAGACTCCCTCGCACAGGCAGGCTTCTACCACACCCCGGGCCCAGCAGAGGGCTCCCTCGACAACTGCAAATGCTTCCTGTGCAGTCTCGAGCTGGGAGGATGGGACGAGGAGGATGACCCGTTTGAGGAGCATGCAAAGAGGTCGAACTGCGCGTGGGCAGAGATGGTGTGTGCTGTCAAGGTCGAGAAGAGGAAGAGAGATAGAGACGTCAAGTACGAGTGAGTGCATCTGTTGCATGTGGCGATGCATGCTTATACAAGTAGGACGATGTACGAGACAGAGCAGGCCTTGCCCCAATCTGCCGAATCAATACAAGTCCGGATCCAGACGTTCAAGAAATGGTGGCCGTACAAACAAAAGGCGGGCTGGCTGCCCACTGTCAAAGCCGTGCGTCTTGCCACTCTCTTCCATGTGTCTGGCTTATCCCTATGTAGCTCGCCCGTGCAGGGTTCGTGTACAACCCGTCGACTGAATCGACGGATGCTGTCTTCTGTCCCTATTGCGAGTATGGTGTTGAAGGATGGGAAGCTACTGATGATCCTTGGTGAGTGACGAGACCCGATAGTGGTCGCGATCTAACACTGCACGCAGGGAAATTCATCAGTCAAAGGTTCCGGACTGTCACTTTTTCCGCGCCGCTCTGTCTGGCCAGGCTGAGGAGCCAGTGGTCAGTCGCTCTATACTACTTTAGGAAACACGCTGACGTCTTGCCAGAGCAAAAGCTCCCGTAGCAAGAAGTCCCTCGCCCCTTCGAAACGTAGCAAGCGCGCCACCACAGCCGCTACTGCCCCTTCCGAAGCCGAAGAGACCGACCTCGAGCATACCCAAGTCGATGACGAAACGGCGTCTCAGGCGACCACCGCCAGCAAGAGAGCTGCGAAACCGCGGGCGACGGCTGCCAGCAGATCAAAAGGGACGAGAGGACAGAAAAAGGCTGCTACCGTGGAGCCCGAGGCTGATCGCGAGCCGCAAACACAATCAGAATCTGAAGGCGAGCGGGAGCAGCCAGAGCCAGAGCCACAGAGTGACGTTGAGATGGAGAGCCAGGCTGAAGACCAAGAGGCGACGCCAGTGAAGAAGCCGAAAGGCCGACCAAAGGGTACCAAGGCTACGGACAAGAAGCCCAAAGCGAGCAAGGCAAAGGGCCGCAGCACCAAGGCTGTAGAGGAAGATGCTCCTATGGAGTCGGAAGCAGAGTCTCAAGCTCAACAGACTGAGCCTGAAGAAGAGCCCGAGACTCAAACGACTCCCAAGGCTGCACAGCCGTCTTCACAGTCTCTTCGCTCAAAGACTTCCTCACGCTCCGCCAAGCCACCTTCACAGCCTGCCAAACCCTCTTCCCAACCGCTCGAACCTTCCTCACAGCCCGCCAAACCCTCCTCCCAACGCTCCAAACCACCATCCCAGCCATCACAACCCTCCCGCTCCAAGCCCCTCCCCAATCTCTCCCCATCATCTTTCCCTGCGTCCGCCAGGTCGCCAACCGCCTCTCCACTTCCCCTCTCGCAGCTCCACCGCTTTGCCAACATCCCACCCTCTTCCCCTGTCGTTACCCCGAGAAATATAGCCACCCTGCGAACAGGCCAGCCCTCCTCGAGGATTTCGCCGCATGTGCCTCTGAATAGGTCAGACCAGGACGCTAGTATTGAGCGGGGTGCTCAATCGGCGCATCAGGTGATGGACGATCTACTCCACTCGCCCGCGCTCGCTTCTCCTGCCAAGCGCACCGCCCAGGCATCTAGCTCACCCCTCGTTGCCGCAGAACCGCAAGAGCCGGGGCAGCTACCAGATGAGATCATGAACATGACGCTGGAGGATCTGGTTAGGGCAGAGATGAAGAAGGCCTACGAAAAGCTGAGGAATGAAGGAGAGGCAAAGATCGAACAGTGGGCAAAGAGAGCTGCAGGCGAGAGGGAAAAGATTGAGGCATTGTAGATCGTCGTTGGTACGCACTCTGTAGCCCCTGTTCCTCAACATGTCCCTATGTGCCTGTTACACGGCGCGATGACTGTATGAGAATGGCCTGCCTGGTGCTGTACCACTCCTGAATCTCCCTATACACAATTTAGCCGTGCTGCCATCCACACCCCTTTCACCTTTCTGGCGGACTTGGCCAGGTCTCCTGGGATAGGATGGCACCATGCGCAATGACAGGCAAGTCTCTCAAGACTTTAGGCATGGTCATGGGGCAAGTCAGTGCCCTGGTTACTCAACTCTGACTCAGTTTCAGTCTCAGGCCAACTCCCGCACAGTCCTCTTCTCTTGCACGCTCATCGACATCTGACGCGTCTGTATGTGACAAAAGGAGGCATTTCTTATTAGAAACATAGAATATACAAACAAACGCGTTTGCTTCCGTTCCCTTCCAGCGCCCGCCCCAGCCCTTGCCTCGCTCCGCCTCAAGTCTAGACCCCCCCCAGAAAAAATATCTCTTCCTGCCCGTACCGTTTTTGACCCATGCATGCATAGTCGACTCATGTCGAACTGGAAGATGACCCTCAAAATAAGGTTTGACGGTCGCCATTTGCTTCCGTTACTTTCCAGCGCTCGCCCCAACCCTTGCCTCCCTTCACCTTTTGCCCCGTCGTACTCCAGAAAACTTAGCCTCCCTCCTCGTACCGTTCTTTCCCCATGCATGCATAGGCCACTCATGTCGAACTCGACAAAAATTGGATTAAGGTTCAAGGGTCCACCCGTCGCTCATCACCGCCGTGCCTCATGCCTCTTCTTTTTCCGTTTCTCGCTTTCATCCTCGCTCTTTTCGTGCTCTCGCACTCTCACTTTCATCAAATCGCCAGAACCTGCACCTGGGAGCCGCTCATCAGCTGCAAGCCCTGCCGTGTACGAAACATCCGCCGCTTCATCATCCATCTTCCAGCCCTACGGCCCTCGACGCGACGTTCTCCAGTACTGCCTCGGTCCCCCGAGCGTCATTCCTCTTCTGTTACAGCTGCACTCTGCTGCAGAGCTCATCATCCGCCGCGCGTCATTTCTCTTCTTTCTGCGTGCCTCTCTTTCATCCTCGCTCTATTCGCGCTCTCACACTCTCACTTTCCCCCAATGTCTCCTCAATCACCGTTATCTACATGTACAGTATCCAGCTGCAGAGCTAACCATACAATCATACCTTCCACTTCCCCCATCACATTCACGCGCGCCCAACAACTTCCGATTTCCGACCCTTTCCGATAACAACTCAACGCCTCTGGGATCACCACCCGCCTTTCGTTCACCTGTGGCTCTCTGTTTCCTTTCCATTTCCTTCAACTTCCTCCGATCGTTACAGTACGTACATGTACAAGCAATTTGCATTTTGTAACCAGTCTAAAAACTTGCCCGCGAGTTGTCGAGCGGGTCTGAGACTTGTTAGAAACATAGAATATACAAACAAACGCGTTTGCTTCCGTTCCCTTCCAGCGCCCGCCCCAGCCCTTGCCTCGCTCCGCCTCAAGTCTAGACCC